ACAGCACCGATGCTGACGGCTCACAGGGGCTCACAGACACTCACACGCACAGCTATTGATCAGATCTCGGTGCTGGTCCCAGGCAAAATCGTCGGCCGGCGTCTCACAGGAATCCCGCTCATGTTGAGGGCGTCCCAATGCGGAGTGATCTTCGGAGTCGGCAACCTCGGGGCGACCTCCACCACGCGCCTTCAGCTGTCTACATGCACTTACTCATATGTACTACTATATCGGCCACATTCCAGTCCTTATAGGCTCGTATATGTCACAGCGGCATGGGTCAAATCTCCAAGCCTTCGCTTTTCGTGCGCGCAAGTTGCCAAGGCATGGATTGTCTTTGGCTTCTCTTTGGCCCTTTGCTGACCTGGCGTGCCTGGGTTTAACTCGCCTCGGAAATATCCACCTTTAGTCCCTCACAGGGCCCAATATCTGCATTTTACCTCTCTCGACCATCAAAAGAGGATCCAGTCTTTGGACTACCTACCTATTGCCTGGCTCCCTGGGCTTTGGGTTTTGGACCGTCCTTAGGCCCCTAGAGCCCTGCAAATGCTACGGCGTAAAGATGATCAAACATGTTCAGCGGTTCTCCACCCCACTGTGATATGTCATCATCTAGGTGCCCGGCTCTCCATTTTGGTGGTAGGCGGGTACCTGTACCTTGACTCTAACCTCGAATCCAACACAGACATCAAACCACCATGTTTATCACGAACTATTGCACGAGGACAAAGTGCTCCATCGCCTGAAACAATAGAGAATCTCGCAGTGGCGGTGTGAAAGCCTGTACACGGCGGTGGCTTCCACTTGTACATCTGGATTCAGCCTGTCACCACCTCCACCCCCCTTCAGCTCCAGGGAATCGAAGGCCTCAGAGGCTCACAGAGCAGGCACCGGACGGAAAGAGGGAATAATTTCCAGTATCCCATCGTTGCCGTATTGAATCAACACACACGGATTGTCTGACCAATCCGTCATGCAGCCCGCCCACACCCCGCTGTCACCAATGCTACGACCTTCCTTATCAAGCTCGGCGCTAGATCTCGACTTGCATGACCGGGGATTAGCTGGAGATGCGCATCCTGTTTTGTCTTGCCTGTGGGTGGGATTTGGGCCAACCAGGCACCTCACTTCAACCATCCGGATCTTAGCCTCGTCACTCACATCCTTCTAGAAGCAAACTCTGGAACAAGCTAACCACGGTTAGACTATTGGGACGGTAGCAGGCATATGTATGGGCAGGGTGGGTGATGACCGACAACAAATGTGAGATGAATGATTAGTCGCTTCGCCGAGGTTGTTTGAATTTGGTATAGTCAGGATCGGCGAGCGACACTCGCCAACCTTTACCCGATATCGCCGTTTGCTCGTACACTACATACAGCTCAGCCTGACTGACGACAGCCGCCCATCGATCAACAAGATATTTCTCAAGCAGCATGCCAGGCATCTCCTCTCACTTCTATAACAGAGCAATTTCAGGTGTCATCACCAAGGCATGCCCTTTCCGAACCAGAGCTCTCTGCATGCTCAGGGAGACAGAGGAAGGAAGTCATCGTTAACTCGGCACTTACAACTACCCAGGATGGCAATCACAAGACATCTCCATCACGTCGGCCGATTGAGTTTGCCCGTTCAACCTCCTCGAACCCCCATCCTGGCCCTCGCTTCGGACATTGGTGGTCTTGTCAATTTGAGACATGCATCACGCTATGCTGAACGGCCTCGCAAGGAAGAGACAGACAAGGGACCGAGTTTCTAACTGACAGGACGGGACACCTCACTTTACCATGCCACGGAGAATATTTCGGCAGTCGAGATTGGAGTGAGTCGCCACGCCAACCCGTGCCACACAACATGATTCAGTCAGGTGTCTGTCGTGGACTGGACTTTCTTAAGGGAGGCCTGGTCGCCTATCAGCTACCTACACTATACGGATACTGACTTGGCGTATTCGAAGTGCTTAGTGCCCTACCCTTGCTGCGTACCACCTGACCTGCAATGGTATCGAAACTTTTGGCTTTGATACCCCTACTCTTCATCCAAGGTCCGAATATCTCAGAATGGATATCCATGATATGGGTGTTTTGAAAACAAAGTATTAGAACGTCACAAGCCATCCCCCACTAACTAGAAGAAAACATGAAAGCCTCAGTAGCACTTGACTACTAGTAGCCAGCCTATCTACTCACTAGTCATCACCTATCATCCAAACCTTATACATAACAGCCTCAATACTTACCTACTAATCTGCCCAAGTGACTCCCTCCAAAAAGAACCGTCCCCCATCCCTTCCGAACATGATTTCCTTTTCTGTTTCAGCCCTGTCGATCACCTTCGATATCCACTTACACTAGGTAGGTATTAGTCACTCCTCTCCTCTCCCAGTCTCACTCCCTAGAGGGAGCCAGTATTGGGTGTTCTTGCTGCCTGTTCTGCCAAGGGTTGATCTGAACCAGATTACACAGTCAACACCATCACACACTCTCATCCGGGCACGCACAAAGATCTCATCTCATCTTGCACATCATCTCTCTCTTGCTTTTACACATCTTGTCACCGAGATTGCCGGTATTGGTAATCATTGCCTTGTCTGGGGTTTGTCTGTGAGTGAGACCACTCTCGAGCCACTGGTGGTGCCGTCCATCCCTGGGCTCTTGAGAAGAAGAAGAAGAAGAAGAAGAGAGTGTGTGTTTACATATCTAGTTTGAGGAGCATCCGTTTTGGAAAAAAGGGACTGTTGTGTTGGTTAGGGACTTGGGCATAGCTGATATGAGGTCGGTCGGTCGATACATGTTGTTGGAAGATTAAACCAAGGTTAAATTTTCATATACTATGGGTTACCTACACAGAGCATATTCCTTCTCAGACCCAGTTCAGCACCTGAACAATATCGTAGAACATACCTACCTACCTAGCCACCTTAACCTGAGCTAACCGACCTATCCATGACATACTATGGTGATATGGGAGTACCTAGGTAGCTCTCCATGTAGTGTCCACAGAAACCTATGGTACATACTCATATACATCCATCCATCCCATCTTCCTCTTCTCCAAGCAACCAACCAAACCAAACCAACTAAACCAAGTTCACACACCTGAAACGATGGAACCTAGAGGCAACTAAAAACTAGTCTAACTACATTACCCGCTCAAAAATCCACTTAAACTTCATGACAATCTACACTGGCGTGAGTCGTGACTGCCGTGACTAGGGACGCCGGCGTTCTCGGCGGGCGGGATGACGATCGTCCTAGCTAGTTGGACTAGTCTCTTTTGTGGACAGAGGCCTAAGCTACCGCTTTGTCTCATTCAAGTCGGATTTATCCCCCCTGTCCCACTAGTCCTACTCAAGCTTAGGAGCTGTGCTGTCCTGCCATCCGCTGCGAGTCACCCGCGTGCTGGAACTTGCCAGTCGTCTTGAGTGGTCTCGCTAAGTCTGTCAGCCCCATCTGCTACGTTGGCGCTCAGGCATGCAGGTCCTTTCCCCGATCTACTAGACCGTATGTGGGAAGGATAAATCCGACTTGAATGAGACAAAGCGGTAGTTCACGATTTAAGTGGCGCCTCCACTATCTTGCTCTAGCAGTAGACTACCGCTTTTTTTCATTCAACTGGGTTTTATCCCCCACACTATACTAGCCAATCACACCTGCAGAGAGACTTTCACGGCGACGCTTAACGGGGCATGCAGACCTCAGCAAACCATATAATTGGCTAGGACAGGGGGGGATAAAACCCAGTTGAATGAGATAAAGCGGTAACCGCAGGATTGGATTCGACCGCAAGCGCAATATAAAAAATGTATCAATTTCTCAGACCCTACCTACCGAGCGATTGCACCTGCAGCCAGTTCTCCTTATACTGGCTACAATAGAAGACTAGTTCTAGGTAGCCGTACTAAGTTTCTAACCGAACGGCCAGCTCTCATAGCAAGTAGTCTCCACTCCCAACTAAACCACTACACCAGACTACATACACTATCTACATACTCAACTCCGCTACGCATGTTGATCACCACCCTGGACACCTACTACTACACCAGTCACCGGAAATTTTTATGATTCCCAAATCACTCAACGGTTTTTACTCTCCCTCTTCTTAAAAAAAAAGCAAGGGATCACAGTGGATTGGTGGATTCCCTCGTGAATATCATGGCCTGATATTCTTTCCCTAGCTTCTTTCCTAGCTTGCTAGCACCCGCTTGGTAGGTAACGATCGTCGTCTCCCATTTCTTGAACGTGGGGAATCGGAAATCTCTCCAAGTTAGCTTATTCGTTGATGATGTAAGGGTCTCTTTTACATATTTGGTGGTTGTGTGGTGTGGAGAGAAAGGGCCCAGCGGAGATTTTTCTGCCTGTTGAGTTGTCTGAAGAGGATACGAGGCCAAACATGAGTTTTATAGCTAGGTACTCTGCTACTGAAGCCATATAGGTACAGTATTCATGGCCATGCTAATGTTCCAATGTTCCAATATGAAAAGCTTTTATTTTCCTAGCCTCATTGTCTTCCTTCCCCCCTCTCTTTCCCAGACCTTCTCTTTCTCTATCTCTGCTGCCCGAATGGGAAAGGGTTCCATCCAGGCTTCGCTGTGATCATTGTATGTATGTCGGTGTATGTATGTAAGTTATGTGTGTGTGTATGTGTATGCACGTTATGTGATAATGCGCTTGTTAAAACATCTAAACCAACCCATAAAACAAACAGAAACCTTTACCCGATGACCATGCACAACCCAAAATCATTCAACAACAGCGATCAACAAAGGCTACCAAGCCTGTGACACAAAAGCAGGCCCACCACGGCGCAAACGCTGGGAGGAAACATGAAGGCAGGGTAAACACCAGACAGACACTGGGTGATGTCACACAGGGAGGTGTCGACATCTTCCCTTCTTCCAACAACAGGATTTGTTATCTATCAAAGGGGATCCAGGCTGTTAAGAAGCATCATAGCAACCGATTGAACTATGCTGCGGTCGCGAACGAAGTCGGACGCCACTAGTCCGACGACTTATCGCCTCCTTCTGGCTTCTTTGGCGGTTCCTGAACTGCTGGCGATTGTCTTTGCTGCTCGTGATCGTCGACGTGAATCTCCGCGACCTTATCGTCATCAATGTCGTCAACGCCACCATCAACGAAGACTTCGTGAACCTGCTCCTTGTGGTCCCATGTCAACTGCGTGATTTGGTCCATGGTGTCTTGGTCCTGTACTGACGGCGGCGGCGGAACATTGTCAGTGAATGCCGAGTAATCGTCGTTCTGTGCAGCAGGCCCGATGAAATCCACAGCGGAGCCATATTCATTGATACCGGCAAAGACAGAAGCTTCGTCGCCGGAGTTGTCGCCTTGTGCCACATCGCTCGCAATCTCGTCGTCCAAGCCACTAGCTTCGGAGCCGGTCTTGGGAATGTTATCGAAACTCCAGGTTGCGGGGAGAGCAGAGGCCATGCCGGACATGTTACCCGCAGCTTCATAGTTGGGTAGGTCAATACCCTCATCCTCAAACTCAATGCTCTTCCGCACCTCAGGACCAGTAATCGTGCCGCTTTCCTGATAGGAGGGCAGTTCGGAGTCGCCATTTAGACCGCGGCCACTAACCGAACCAACTTCTCCTCGCAGGAGAATTTGACCTGCTCCGTTCGAAGCGCTCGGCGACCCACGAAGGGAGGAGCCATGACCGAGACGCTGACCTTCCCCCGAGTCCAGCATTTCCTCATCATCGTCAAGGGAATAGCGCTGGGCGACTTCCTCGCATTTGGGCCCGCCTAGAGGCTTGTCTGAGCGGCGACGGTAGAACAGCAAGTAGGCAGCGGGTGAGACAACCTTAGAGGTATCGGTCACCTTAGACACGGATGAATCTACTCAATGTTAGCATTCGCCTTGTCCGCCGATAACGAGGGCAAACCAAAATTCTTACCATTGAATTCATACCACTGATCATCAACGAAGTTCTTGGCAAAGGCGGTGTAATGGCCACCGCCCAAGCCACCCCAATGATCATCCACAGCAATCAGGTCATAGATCTCCTGTTTACCGTCTTCCTTGTCAATGACCCTCTCGTTCAGGTCGAGGCCTTCGATGGGGAAGTCGACAAGGACATCCAGCTTATCCCGACGCCAGCCAACGGAGCTAAAACGTTTCAGATGGACGACCAAGATATCTGGCGTCTTCCAAAGGTCGAATTTCTTGCTTGCGCGACGGTGCTCCTTGCAACGAGGGCAGTACCAGGTATCCTGCTCGGATAAGATTTCTTCCTTCTCGAACTCGGCCAAGCAATCGTCCAGACTGATACCGTGCTTCTTACGCAGCTCCCGTTGCCTCTTCTTGGCACCCAACGACGGGTCATTCAAAGTCTCAATCTTGTTGTAGGTCCTGTTCGTAGGAGAGAAGACAGCATCAAAAGCGTCCTCGGACCAGTCCACAACAATGCCTTCGCCAAGACGCACAAGGGGCCCTTCCTCGGAGTCGACACGGTAATCTTGCTCAGGAACCTCGATGGGTTGCTGGGCGGCCGCAGCCCGTTTTCTCAGTTGTTCTTTTTCAAAACGCTTCTTGGCCTTCTTGCCATAGGTGCGGCCAGCCTTCATCTTCTTGTTCTTGCCTCGGGGCCCGGCACTGGCTCCCCTAGGAGGACTAGCGATGAATCGATCCTGATCAAGGCGTCAGTACACTGTACCACGTAGGCCGAATTACTGGAGACACTGCAGTAGTTTGACTTACACTTCCCTTAGGGGCATCCGAACCCTCGCTCGACTCATCGGCCATCCGTGTCACGGAATCCACATGTTCCGAGGAAGCCTCTTCACTACCGCTGTCATCCGAGCCATCCAAGGCATTCGGGCTGCACATCTCCACATCCGAAGAAACCGTCTTAGGGGCCCTCGAGCTCAGTCTTTCGTGCTTGCTGGTGTCATTGACGCTTTGCCACCCAGTAGGAACACCGCCATGGGACTCCCTGAAGTAAGACATCGTAAAGAGGTTCTGCAGGCTCGCATTCAGGAATACTGAAGGGTCAATCCACTTAGGCCGCTGCGACTTGAAACGCTTGAGCAGCGCCGGGAGACTAGTTTCCATACCAAGTTAGCTACGCTTTGTACAAATCAACATACTCGTGGGGGTCACATACGTTTGAGGAGCTGGTGACGCCGTTGGTTTCTCAGCGGGAACAGTGTTGCCCATAGTCACGTCGACAATATCTTCCTCGCCCTCGACGGACTTGGCAATTACCTTGGAGTCCGCAGAGTCGATGTCTGATGCGCCATTGACCATCTCGGGGTCCGTAGCCTCCGATGCCTCTTCGTCGGCAGTGAATTCCGACCACGTAGACAAGGTCGCCAGCTTCTCCAGAATCTTTCTGCGGATGACATTCTCATCACAAGCCTCCTGAGGCGTCAACACAATGTAATGTGGCGGTGGGATGTCCTCCACTTTCTTGTGGTATCTGGCACTGCCCGCATTAGGGTCCATGCGATGTAGAACTGGAACAAGGAGACGTTCCGCCAGGGGATTCGACGCAGGTTGAGTGGGCTCTTCCTCGGCATCGTCCAGCAGCGACCTGTACGCCTGCTTCTTGGCCTTTTTGGCGTTGACATTGGTAGGCGGCGCTTCCACTTCATGAATCACAGCAATGTCACCCGATTGAATCTCTTCGTTGATCGCCATCATGTCGTCGTACTGCTTGAAAAACTTGCCCTTAAACTCTTCACCCCCAACAAGACGCTCGGGGGGGACACCGACCCTCGTCGAAAGGAACTCCTTGATGGCCTTGAAGGCGCTCGTCTTATCGACCTCTACAACGATTTCCACTGGAGGCTCGTTCAAGGGATAATACTTGACAGACCGGGACCAGACGTTACTCATTGGCAAGGGCAAAGTGAGGTTGTTGAAAGGATCGAACGTGATGCTGATCTTGTCGCACACAGGGCAATGAAGGGTCGACTTGTACATTCCGGTGAACAAATCCGAAATGATCGAGTCGTCACGCTTCTTTGTGATATCCCACACCTTCTCGGCCATTTCCTTGATAGCAGCTGGGTTGCCGATCATGTCATCCGTAGAGTCTGGCTTTTCAATGTACGGCTTCTTCTTGATGCGGTTCAGGTCTTCTTGTAGGCCATCGAGCAAGAAACCCAAGAATTCTTGGGAGTCCTGCTGACCATAGCCGGAGAAGGCGGGGGCATATCGGCCCACGATGCTTTTGAAGTGACGGGGCGCGACCGAGTTGGGCGCAGGATTCTTATATATTTCATCCAACAGCCGCATGTATGCCATAGCAACGTCTCCGTTATGGGAAAGCGGATTGTCAGGATTGATCTCTTTCTTGGCCTCGTGAGTGAGGAAATACTTGGTCAACTCTTCAACGCTCCGTAGACATTGCAGAGCCGAATTCATGTAGCATGTATTGCCCAGGTTCTGCAAGCCAACGCACCCTGGCGTACGACCGCATCTGGGTTGCACCCGGCCCCTATTAAGGACACTCGGGGGAGCCGGACTGTTACGTCCGCTGCCAGTACCACGGGCCTGAGCGACAATGCCGTTGCCAACGGTCTTGTTACCATTGGCCACTTTGGTGAAGAACGTAGAGACGTAATCATCCCGGTCAACCTGTTCGTCGATGATCAAGGTTTGGTCCACAGTAAGGCCAACCAATGACAGACTCTTCCTCCCGTTGTAGTTGGGATTGGTTGTGGTATCATCTGCTGCGAGGTGATCGCGCTCCACGCCACGCTCTAGTTTGCTGAAAGTTTCAACATCCACGAGCATTTCCGGCCAGGAGCCTGGAGCCCTAGGTAGGAAGTTGGGTATGCTCGAGGAACGCCCGGGAGAGTCAGGAGGGGTTTCCATGCCAGAGGGCTTCGAAACCTCCTCTGTGGCGGGAATTGTTTGCAGTCGCTGCCAGACCCGGACTTTACGATCCATAGGAACAGCAGTCAGCTCCTTGATTTGCTTAAGGAAGTTGTGAAACGATGCAGATGCGCTTTGGACAATAATGGGCGGTGGCGGCTTCTTCAGCTTGATTTCCTGCTCGATGGGCAGAGGGCTTGCTGCCGACCATAGCCTGTGGACGGTGAAGACGGGGGGATGAAACTCAAACTGAACGTTGGGCTCGCTGGCGGCATCAAGCGCGGTATTGTGCGCTATACGGACAATGGGAGCTTGTCCAGGCGCCAGACCATACCATGACAGCACCAGGTCCCATGCGTCTTTGGGAAACAGCTCAGCAGACTCCGATCCCACGCCCGGCTTTAGCTTCACGCACTGCTGGTCGGCGGAGTCGGTGAAGATAGCTTGAATGATATCCGAGTTGTCGATCGGCCCAAGAGGCTCGTTTGAAGCCTCCTTGCTCGTAGACTTCCCATCTGCACCGAAAGCCTGGGCCTTGTTCAGCCATTGTCGTGATACCAAGTAGGCCACATCTCCCTCCTTTGCGCCCCTATCATTGAAGGCCTTGAGAAGTGTTTCGATCGTCTTGATCTGTTGCTCGATCGGTGGGATATCTGCATTTCCTTCAGTTAGAAGACTGCGCGGTTTTAGTTGAGGCACGGGCAGCTGGCATGCTTACCTGTTTTCAAGGGCAGTTCCATGTCAGCGACAGGCACCTTTGTACCTCCGGCGGCTTCTGCTTCCACGGGCTGAGACTCTTTCACATCTTGCCCAGAATTTTGGTCTTGCGGTTGGGCATCAGGGACCGTGAGCATATCCACGTCCTCCCGCGAGTCCACGTTCTCATACTCTGGATCCATGCTGGATGCTCTTCGTTTCAGGGGAGAACCAGATCGATGTGACTGCTCTGAAGCCCCACCCATGAGCGCACGGTGGGGCGTGTTGATGAGGGGAGACTGATTTCTCAAGGTCCCGCAATTGGCAGCCTGCAGAGTCGAGCTGGAGTCGAAGAGCTGCTCGGAGACACGGTCGTTGTCAACGGAGAGATCGGCCGAGGCAGCGCAGGGTGAACTGGCGGCAGAATCGGCAGAGGCGTAGTCGGTCGCAGAGCCAGACAGCGTGCTAAACTGTGTCTGAAGATGCGGAGGTATGCCTGATGGTGGTAGCGAGTCGCCGCGGCTGTATGCTGGAGTATTGGTGGCAGAGACCGAAGCAGAGGCCGATGTGGAAGTCGAGCGTTGGTGGTCAAAGGAGTAGGTTGGGTCGAACTCTGCTTCTTGTTCGGTACTAGAGAGCACCACGTCTAGGGCAGTGTCGGTAGACCCTTCCTGTCCCTGCTCCCTTGTCGACTGGCGGGTAATCCTCCGTTTCTTTGAGGAAGACGTGGTGAAGGTGAGCTGCCTGTGCAGCTCGGAAGGCGCTGGGTCGGTGTGATGGAAGGTGGGAAGTGGGGGACGGCGCGCAGTGGAGGATGCCGGATGGAGATCGGGGAGATCGTGACAACCCAGTGAGACGAGTCGGTAGGGTAGTCACGCACGGCACGGTAGAGCGACTCGGACGGAGCGCCGAGTGGTTGAGGCAGGTAAGACGGTCAGGTCGCGGACGAACTGACTGACTGACAACGACAGGAGCAAATCCAGACAATAAAGCTGGGTCTGGGGAAAGCGAGTCGTTGCGTTAACGCTTTGGTGGTGGCGTCCAGTCCGTGATAGGTTAGCCGTGGTGCATGGGGCGGACTGGTTGGCCCGACGGTCTTCAAGTTTTTTTTTCGGAGTGTCGTTTTTTTCTTGAAGTCCTTTCCAGTGGACTCTCGACGCCTCGACGGGACTCGTTCGGGCGATCGATCAGCAAGGGCACGCTGGAGCCGGAAAATGCGACGGAGGCCAAGTAGCGGGAATCGGGTGTTACAGCGTGGAGATTTGTTGCGTCACGTCAACGGGAACCTGGTACCTTTTTTGGGGGTGGCCAGAAATGGTATTCGAATTTGAAAGAAACTTTGACAATCCTGAGGTTTCTGTCAACAACGAGCCAGACCTCAGGTTTGGAGAGCGGGTGATGGAGATCCTGTCCAATAAAATTTCAGGCGTTGTCTACCCGTGGGTTTCTGTGGTTTTTTTGCTGCCGGAGCGGAAGCTGGGGCTATCCTGGGGTATAAAGCGTGGTCCCGCTCTCAGTCTCGTCGTCGTTGCAACCTGCAGTCGCAAGTGAACAGAATCGCGGTCGCGTCACAGCCCTGCCCTATCCTGCCCTGACTGTAAAATACCTGTAAAACTGGAATGGACGCCCTGGCCGCTTTCCGAGCCCTGTGGAATGCGGGTTCCAGGGCTGATGAAGGAAGCGCCCTGGGCAAGGGGAAGAGCACACCCCGCAATTCGAGCACGCTGCTAATGGTACCTAGGCAGCCCAGGGGCGGGTAGTGGCGTTGATCTCTAACAGAACCTCACTCCCGAGGTATTCCCAGCAGACTTCCTCTTTTATCTTTGCGTGTTGTTTTGCTCCTTCACCAGCACATGGAAGGATCAAGAAGGAGAGACGGGGGATTACGATCTAAATGGAGGCTAGTTGAAACAGGCACGAACGTTATCAGCGCCCTTGTCAGTTTATAGGTTAATATACCGTGAGACATGGCGAGTCAGGAGGTAGGTGAAGTCAGCCGTGAATCATTTCAGCAACTTCCATAAAGAGGATATCATGATTCATTATTATTGCCCCATATCGCCCCTCACCGTTGTTTCATCCAGGACAAACTAAGTCGCGGCTTTCTTTCGAAACATCTGCAAGGTAGACACGTTCATTGTACTTGGACGTTCGTCCATCAAACTGAGCATATCCTTCCTCTGTTTGAGCACATCATGTTGGTTCATCACCCCAAACACCACATCATCATAGTAACAACCGGTTTGAGTCTACCGTTAGGAACCTGTATGCTCTAACTGCAACTAATGGAGAAGGGGGTATTTTCCTGGCAAGCGAATGCCTTTTCGGTTTGTCTTCCTGTCTAACCATGGCAGACAAACGCATACTCTGGCACATCCGTCTAGCAACAAACAAAGGTCTTCCATCACAGCTTTGATTCCCGGAGATTCCGAAAGCAAGGCTTGATATGGAATTTGTTGTCTTGCGCTGCTTGATGCTTCCACTTAAAGCTTGGAATCCAACTCCTCATACTCGCTCAAGTCCTTCACCGGCCTAGCAGCAGCGCTGACTGGCAGTCCAGCCTTGTAGCTGCGCACATCCTCAATGAGAATCGGCTTCGTGCCGTTTGACGACGGCGGCGCCGCATCCTTGACCACCCCGGTGACCTTCTCAGCATGGAGCTTCTTCCATGTCTCGGTGGCGGCATCCATCTTGTTCTCGGCAACACTGAGGCCGTTAAGGTACTCCTTAAGACCAGCCATCTCCTTCTCCTCATCGTGGTCAGCCGCGCTCAGTCTTGCCTGGAGATCAGTGGCAGCCTTGGCTGAGGTAGTGGCATCCAGTTCCAGAGTCTTGACGAGTTCGGTGATCTGCGCAGTCGTCACGTCGCTCTTTGCCTGAGCCTCCAAGTAGATGGCGAGCTTGGCCCTGCTAGCCGACGATGGGTGGATGTAATACTTGAAGAACTCAATCATCTCCTCCTTGGTAAGAGGCTTGACGTGAGCAGCATCACGCTGGGCTAAGGGAAAAGGTTAGTACAAACTGAAGGTAGTGGGGTCAATCTCAGATGTCATGGACTTACAGATCTCAAAATCGTAATACTCGCTATGGATCTGACTCCATTGCTTGTTGGTCTCCTGGTCTAAGAACTTGGGCTTCTCGAGGCGCTTCACGATCAAGCTGCGCTTGTGAGCCTCAAATTGCCTGGGGTCCATCTCTTCGATCCACTTCGCCATCCTCTCCAAAAACAGCTCAATCCTAGTCTCCAAGTAAGGGGCCGTCTTCTCGCTCTGGATAAGGAATCGGAATCCGTAGCTTGTGTGAGTAGCACGTACTCCAGAGAATACCACGTATCCGAGTTGCTCCTTGGTCCTGAGTTGATCGAAGCAAGGCTCTTGGAGTATCTGGGCCAAGAGCAGTGTCTTGGCACGGATAAGAGAGTCGTTCTTGTCACCGACATAGAGGAAGTATTCGATGCAGTTGTTCACGTTAGCAGGATCCTTGAGCGTCTTCTTCCAGACGTAGTTGGACCCGGGCGGGAACACCAATGATCGCAGGATCGGCCATTGGGAACGCGGCAACACCCTCGGCTTGAGTGTAGACTCGACCATATCCGTCAACTTCAGAGCGTCCTCCTTGTAGAGGTTTCCATGAATGTAAACCTCCATGTGCAGCTGAGCGAGAAGTTCTTTCCGGAACTGCCGGACGTGATCCGAGGTAATATGTGGTAGCTCAGCCGCGAGCTCCTCGACCGTGTGGTCATGCTCTGCGGTGAGCCATTCCGTGAAACCGCCAACCTGATACCACGGGACCTGAAGCTCCCAGTTACGGTAAGCTCTGGTCAGACGTTCTTTGATGATATCAAATCTGTCGTCTCGGACCTCCAGATCCCGCATCGTAATGAGAACCCGTTCCAGGAGGAGGGATAACTTGTCATTGTACCCAGATACCTCAACAAACAACCCACGGCTGTCGAGTGATACTAAGTAAGACAAGCCAGCAAGGTCGGCATCGTACGAAAACTCTTCCAAGGCATCCTTGACGTGGTCGGTAAAGAGCCTGGCCTTGACAACGTTCTCGGCAGACGCGTGAATCAAAGGGCTCTTCATGCTAACAATCAAGTTCGCCTTGGGCACCCAAAACGTGTCGTCCTTCTTGTACCAAGTGCGGACAAGGTCGTCATTGCGCACGATCCGCGGCGCAAGAGCTGGTTCCTTGACCTCCTTCCTTTCGACTTCCAGCTTTGTAGGAATGAACTGGTTCTTATGCGGGAGATGGAGCTCCGGGACCCGTTCTTGATCGGAGATAGTGGCGGCCTTCTTGATCTCCTCCATAAGTTCGCTAGGAATCTTGGATAGGGAATACTCAGTCCCGTACCATTTCTCCTTATGCTCCCATTTCCCAGGCACCTCTCGCGAAACGATGGACATACGGAAATTGTCAGGCCGCAAGCAATCAAGGCCCTTGCGGATGAGGTTGGCATCATACTTGCGCAACTTGTTAGTTCCGCTCAAGAGCCATTCCCTAGGCAGTGGCCGTTGCATGACTCCGGCTGTCTTGCTCGCGAAGCTGGAAGCCTGAGTCTTCTGCTTGAACTTGAAGTCAATGTCTCCCATGATCTTTTGCTCTTCGTGGATCCATTCCTGGGGTCCTGTTTGTTTAAGCAAGGCGATGTATTGGAACACCACCTTGACAACCTCCTCATAGTTCTTAAGCCCCTGTATGTTTTGGTCAGCAATCTGAATTAGATTCACGGAACAAGGGAGGACATACCTCTTGTGTCAACTTGATCTGAATGTCAAACATGCCAGGGGAGCCAGGGCAAACAGTCCACGCACCAGCGCTAAGACCATTAGCCCAACCTTTCGACTTGATATAAGCCATGATGCTGCCCGGACCTTCATGGCCAATCAAATGGCTAAGGTAACGACTTGGAAGCTCCTTGAACAAGAGATGCTCGTCCAAGAAGGGGAAGGTGATGTTGAGTTCTCGTGAATCCATTACGGGCTTGGCAAAGGTCACTACTCCGAGTTGCTCCGGCGTAAGAGGAGGTTCATCCGTCCACTCATTAGGTGGCAGATCTTTGTTCTCTACGTCTGAGAACAACTCGGCAACCCAGCCTTCAAGAACGTCGAGTGATTCTCTTCCGAGAACGCAGAGCTTCATGCGGTTGGCCGAGTAATGCTTCTGGTAAAACTCGATGAACTTTTCACGAACATTGACGCCCTTGGACTCAGGCAACACCTTGAGCGTTTCAAGGTTTCCAGTAGAGAAATGGCAGTACGGATGCTTGGGGTTCGAGATGGACTTGTCTAACTGGTGAAGCCGCCACGTATCGTTCTGTAGGTTCTTCTTATTTTCGGAGTCCACAGCCTGAAGCTCCCTGTCAAGGGTGTTGGCTAGAAAGAGCGGCGCAACGAAGAACTGAGCGAAACGATCCAGAGCACCGTAAAGGGGCGAGGGGTTGGTAGCCGAGAGCTCCTCATCATTGCTGGGTTTGGCAGACACCTCGAAGTAATAGTTAGTGTGAGTTGCTGCAGTGAAGGCATTAGAGCTACCAGAATTTGTCGACAAGTACTGGCTGTAGTCATTCTCGACCGGATACTTCTTGGTACCCATGAAAAGGAGCTATAACCAGAAGCCACTAAGGTCAGTAAAAAATACATTCATGGATGAACCGGATGTGGAAACTCACATGCTCAACAGCATGGGCCATGCCAGGCATGTCATCTTCATCACTGAAGCTTCCGACATTCACATCCAAGGCAGCACTGGCCTTGTCCGTCGTGGGATCATGCACCAAGAGAGCCTCAAGCTTATTGGGGAGACGGATGACCCGGTAGCTGCGATCATCAAGAGAGGGCTTCTCCAGCTGATCGGTGACCCGCTCAACAGCGGGTGAGCCCTTGCTGGGCGTATCTTGAGGTGAAGTGGACATGACTGAGTAATGACGCCGGTCCAGGAGGTGAAGAGTCGAAGATCCGGAAAGGCGTTGGGTGTTGTGAAGTGGAGGAGAAGACAGATATTCAAGCTGGGTCTGAAATACAGCGGGCCCAGGAAGTACCGACAGGAAGCGGCTGACGACAGGGAGGCGAGAGTAGGGCGGCGTAGAAGAGAGGGGCGGCGTTGGCGTTGGTGGCGGTAGGCTAAGTGCCGTGGAGGAGGCTGTCCCAGGGGTCTTTAGCTCTAGGGTCCTGCTACTCTGGGGGCGGGTCCAGAATGGTGTCAGGGTCTGTGCGACGGGTGTGGACACGGCACCAGAGCTAGGCAAGGTTACCGGCAAGTTGGGTGCCAGCAAATCCGGGCTGGCGGTGACACTTCCGGTAGGACGGTACTCTGGCGCTTGAAGTCTGTTTCGGTTGCGCGCCGACGCGGGGAGACGTGTGAGGTTGCGGTGGCACTGTTTGAGGGGATACGGGCTGTTACCAGGTCCGCGTCGTGGTTGCGCAACGCGGTTTCGCGGGTTCAGTAGAGCTGAAGAAGTGAGGAGACGAGACGTAGACATCCAAGTGGAAGTGATTGTCGACTCTTTATACCTGATTCTGCCGTCAAGAGTTTCTCGTTGCGGTCGACTCACTGGTTGACTGGATCCTGGGTCGTATCAGAAAAGGTGAAGGTTATTCAAACGAGCATCTGTCCTTCGTGACGATTTTATTCGTGGTCTGCGAGAACCTCGATGGCCCTACCCTAGAGAGGTTGGGGTGATGACGAAGGAACCAGCGCCCGGTGGGGAAGAAACAGACGGCACGTCCCCGCGCCTGGGGAAATGAATCACGGACTAGATGTATAGTGAAGCACGGGAACCGAAAACCCACGATGAACTCGCCTGGTGTTCGTATGTATCACAGCTACCAGTCCAAGAAGAAATGCTGCCTGGAGTGGAAAGTAAGACGACATATAGTTCTGGTTTCTTGAGGGACGTTGGATGAGGGGCAGCTTCACGACAAAACTTCCCGAGGTACGGGGTACCTCTACGTAACCCTCCCTGGCTCACTGGGTGCCACTTCATCACGTTGACCATTGAGGTTTCACCCTACAGCTTCAATGTTTCCCCATGCGGTAAGGAGCTCTAGCATTTCATCGGCGCGTTTACATAGTAGTACTCCGGGCCAAGGCTCGAGCAAGGCAACACTTGTCATCACGTGCATGCTCTCGTTTGGTCGGCTAGAGCACAAGGCTTATCTTTCGCCGGCCCGATGGTCAACAGTTCGGAGAGAAGACCATATATAACAGGATGACTCGATGAGTGAAGTAAGCTGAGCGGAGAGCCTGACAGCTTCTGGCAACGACCTCTTTGCTGTCCTTGAGAGAACAGCGAGAGAGTTTGAAAGTTGAAAAGAGCTAGAGAATGAAGATACCCTTTCTGGCTAGCATCCTTTTGCTTGGGACCCACAAACCCCGCCAGCCCACCTTCCCGTCAACTCAACGTCAGATGGCAAGAGCGATTCGAAGTTTTAAATCTGAAGGGATCGAATCAATGGGATGAAAGATATGTTTGCTTTTCTACGTAGAAGCTCATACACTGACTGACACTTCACAAATATATATGCGACTTATCACCCTGTCGACCCATCAAAAGCCATTACCACAGGACGCACAATGAAGTGTTTAACTCTCCCCTCGAATTATTCATCACTTTCAACCCACACGACATTCCCCAAGCTTCGTGATATGTGACGGGAGAGCCGCACATCTTAAAATAGATGTATGTAGAGTGTGAGATCCGATCCTGCACTTTTTCAAACAAGTCAACCGCCCGAGTGACGACCCCTCGCAAGTGTTCCACTACGGGAATGTCTTGCAGCTGAATCATCAATGGCATTGTTGTCGTTGTCCTTTGATTCTTACATGTACTTTTTTCTCTCGTTGTAAACCTCGCTATGGTCTAACTGGCTGTTCGCGTTGTCAGTTGGATCTGTTCCTTTTGGACACTGACTCTCCTACATTAGCTTGATTGATGATGGTCATCGAAAAGATAAATGATTGCTCTGTCAAGGTAAACAATATGCTGCTGTCAACCTGTCGTACATGCCTGTGGTATCATCAAACACTCATGGTTAGGTTGTAGATAGGAAGTGGAAGAGGGAATTTGAGATGTTACTCAGAAGATTGCCATAGTCCTACATTTCCCTTTTCGAGCTCTCTTACACATTCATTATATGCCTTGCCAAACCACAAACAAATCGCAAACAACCATGGTCACACACGCACATGCGAAATTTAGCACAAGCGCGTAACAGTACACCTAGCACAGAAACGCCGGGTACTATGTTATCAGTTTAGTTTATTCATCGTATATGTCATAGCATTTCACCAGTCTAGGACACGGCCACTTGGGTAAAAGAAGCTATGTGACAGGCTGTGCTTCCGCTCAGGTGCAGTACTATGCGTGGGCAGATTCAGGAGAGAAATATGCGGATGGATCACATATGCGCAATATTAACTTGAAATTCGTGGGGGTTGTAACTGAAGAGACCATGTAAGGTGAAGTAGGACTGAATAGAGAGTCTTAAGCTGCGTGGTTGCTCCCGAGACCTTCAGCCGCCAAGATATTCAATTTGTTCGGGATGGTACCGATGAAAAAAGAACACGGCACGGATGTCACCCGTCAAAAGCCAATATTGCGGTTGCTTGTGATTTTGGTTATTGCTGTTCCTCGCGGCTCGGCGGTAAAAGCACTCTAGGCCGCATGCAACCTTTTCTTCCCCGGCCCTAGCAGAAGATGAAACCCTTGTTCTCTTCTAAACAATTAATCATCCATTGAATGTCTTGACTGGATATGAGCCTCACCGGTGACCGGTCTAGGAGACATGGGCGGGTGGGAAGACCTCCCCGGCGCCTGGGAGGCCATGTTCAAGAGAACGGTTTCAAACCCCTTTAAGCCGCCTAGCGGCATGCAAACTCATCACACTTCCACCACTCTAGCCGCCCATTAATAAACGGGCTATGTCCTTGAGGATCTACTATGCGATCCATCACACCGAAGGCCCTACAATGTCTAAAGGGACCGAAGACCGCAGATTACGCGATGCTACACCATGCCAGATGTAGTCCTCGCACCGCCAGTATAGTGGATGGCTAACAACAGAAGGCCTGGAGGAGTTCCGTAGACGGCCCGAGTTAAAATGATTTAACTCTACATTGGCGTAGACGCCATGGGCACATATATCCTGGTCCTCCGTAGGCATCGTGGCACTCATGCAACCATTCGGCCACTCTCCGGCAAGGAGAGCAGTAACCTATGATCGTGGAGCTTATGAGTATTACGGCCAAGTCTGGACAGCGGAACACCTGATCGTGACTGAAATAGATACTGAACCATCAACACTACTTCCGCGACTTGCGGGGGCAGTCAGCAGCTCGATGACCGTTTTGTCCACATGTGTGGCAGGCCCCGGTGAAAGCCTGCCGCTGAAAGCCTTGTGGCTGGCCACCCGATCCAGATATCGTGGCAGGACGGTTGGGATTGACCTCCCTCTTCCGTCGGCCTTGCGCAAACTGTGCGGCCTTCTTGCGCTCCTCGCTTCTCTTGTCAGAGAACGAGGATCCCGGCCTTGCCCGCTTCTGCCCCCTGGGATTGGCACCCTTCTGTTGGCCTCGGTCTGCCTGCTTGTTGGAGTCGGAAGATGCTTCACCCTCAGAGCGGTCGTCGTCGGAGTCTGAGCCTGAGCTATCACTGTCACTATCACTCTCGTCGTCGTCATCGTCATCGTCGTCGCCGTCTTCCTTCTTCTTCTCCTCCTACATAGTCACGTTAGCGCGTGGGACCAAAATTGCTGCCTATAAACAAACATGCCTTTTTCTTCATGTTGAATTGGCGGAAGCGGGCGGTGGTGGGAACAGCGGCGGGAGCGTCATCGTCATCACTCGCATTGCCTGAGTAGTCAATCTGCGCAAATCCAACTTGAACAACATTCAGCACCGGGCGAGCCCCGGCCTTGGGGGCGACGGAAGCCCCGGGCAAGACCCAGTGGGAGTCACCAAGCTCTGCAGCACGCTTTTCAATGGCAGCTTGTCGCTTCTTCTCTTCTTCCTCCAGCGCAGCCTGGATGGCCTTTTGATCAAACAATGCCTGGTCGGCCTCCGGGTTGGGTGTGCTCGTTTTCGATGCATGAGAATGCTTCCGGCGCTTTGAGGGACCCTCGTCCTCTGTCTTCGGGGTGCTGGGCTTATCGGTTGGTGACGCAGTAGCAGCAGTAGCAGCAGCTCTCTGCATGAACTTCATCGTCATCAAGCGAGAAGACATGGTCTTCTGCGCCTGTGGCGCCGCCATGGTTGGCAGGTTCGTGGGAGCCATCGTGAGTGTGTAGAAATAGGCGCGCGGTAGCGTTAAGGATTGAATGATGTTATCGGTATCGTAAATGTTCTTGTAATCGAGTCAATAGTTTGAGCCACAAACTATTCGGCGCCCGGTAATGCGATGAGGAGTTGGCCCGGCTACAACGATTTTGCGCGTGGTCGATGATGGTGTCGCGCCAACAGAAGAATGGTTGACAACTGACAAAAATTCCCAAAGTCCGGGGTCGTCAAGGTGGGACCTCCCTACGGGCATCTTGGCCCCACTTCTTCTACTTAGCTTAAATGCCAGCTTGAGAGTCTGTGCACGGGCCACACCCCAAGCTTTGAGCCGCACACCCCATACCGATAATCTGCCGACAACAGCATTGGCCCACTTGGCGAAGCTCAACTTCATCATACGTACCTGGCCCAGCTCTCGGCCGGTGCCCGCAGCGACTGACTCGAGACGCTCCCGTCTCCATCCACAACCTCCTCCACAGAACATCCACCATGTACCCTTCCAGATTGCGGGCAGCCCAGCAGCTGTCGCGCCAATGCGCGCGCTCGTTTACCACTTCCGGCCGTCAATTGTATTCGTCGTCGACCGTCCCGGCGCCCGAGAAGAATGGAGAGAAGACTGTCGAAATTACGCCGACTAAACCGGCCGCCGTCGTGAAGCAGGCTCCCAACCGCGCGGAGGTCTGGTCCAAGAGTCAGAAGCCCCGCTCCGAGGCCATGACCGGCCCCCGTTTTGAGCAGACCAACTTTGATCTCCAGGTGAGCTACTACGGCCTCCGTCCAGGAACGAATCTCTGCGCAATCGCAATTCGCAACCAATATTCCGGGCAAGACAGGATACACCAACGTTTAAGACACTTGCTAACTCAAGTTGCAAATGACAGCCTCAACCATGGGCCGCCATAGAGCTCATCCACAAGCAACCTGTCAAGTGGGTGCATGAGCGTATCGTCGCATGCGATGGTGGTGGTGGCCCTGCCGGTCACCCCAAGATTTATATCAACACCGACAAGCCTGAGATTGCCTCCTGCAACTACTGTGGACTTCCTTTCGTAAGTTCACAACAGGCTGCGATTGTCTTGGATTGGATTTATAACTAACGACGTGCTATTTCAGGCAAATGAACACCACCGCAAACACCTCGAGTCCCTCCCCCAGACCTCCTACCCCCTTCAATGAAGGAGAGCGAGCCAGCCGCAGTCTGATTTACGTTGAGTGTGAAAATGTACCACGGTACCAGTCCGTGATGAAGGTCAAACAGGGACCTGTACATACAGAGCTGAATAATGACGAAATAGAACTTCTATCGCTTCAAGGGGCACGAAGCAAGCCCGTACTGATTCGCTTTAATAGACAACTACAATGCAATCTCATGAGCCGGTACGCGCATTCTGTCGACTTGCTAAGGAAGCTTGGTTATCGGCTTGATTTACAACCCCTTCAGCGAACATGGGCACCCCGGTCGGAGCACGCACACACTGTCTAAGTGACATATCCACTACGACCGTATTTCTCCGCCTATTTGTATCGTGCCGGGGCTGAAGTTGTTTGTCGAAGAACGTCCGACGCCACCGAGTATGCGTTTGAAGAACAGGTTTGGAAAACAGCCAAAGGGGCGGGAAAGGAGATGCCGTAACAAACTTGAACGACGTTCATTCCACTGTGGCTCCAACTGACTTTCACCTCCAAAAATCCCATCACTCCCCGGTTCGTCCTTGATTACTCAACTCCAACCTTCAGGACCTTTATGGTGTGGAAAGCTTACACAAGGAACCGGTAGATATTCAAGCCACCTACGTAGGTGTCATTTAGTAAATCGGTTCGCGTGATGAGGAGTGCAGCGTGAGGCTGATATCTGATTTACCAGCAAACATTTGATTTCTATCTGGTTCGGCATGCCCAGTCCTCAGCTCATTCCAGTTGCATATTGACATTATCTCCATGTCAACGGTTCAATTACAACCGCATGTGAGATGAACAGGTTTTGCTGGAGACTGTCAGCTGCAAAAGCTTTTTACAGCTTCTCAGCTTTAGAAGATTTGGCCACCGGGAGGGCAGTGCAACGACCGGGTGTCACCGAGCGGGCGCCAAGGATCCCGTTAGTTTGTTGCTATAAATAACATCGGCCCCGAAGCACCGGGAGTCATGGTTGGGACATTACGTCCAATTGACGCCTATCGGACCCGTTGGGCTTGACCGGGCGAGGACCCCTGAAGTGTGCATTCAATCCACCAAAGTTTACTTTGGTAAACACACCATTATTTCTGTACATCGCCCGCGTTTTGCCAAGCTCAACATTTCAACACCCAGCTTCTTCAATGATTATGCTCACCTATGTGATTCAAGATTCGCAATCTTCAAGGAAGGGCACATTGTTGGGTTGCAGACCACCATGATGCTACCCCTCACCAATGCATTCATTCGGACATCCTGAGAATAGTGAAGTTTCTTTATTGAGGGGGGAGAATATCACGAAGTCCCTAAACATGGCCGCATTCATCCGCCGCTCCCACTCTGAGGTTACTCTGCTGTGATATATGTTCCAAGGCGCACATGCATTGCACCGTCCAATGATCATGTCTTGCAACTTTGTTCTTCAGCACAGCCGGCTCGGTTGCCGGGAGAAAAGTCAGGTCCTTGTCAAGATAACTCGAACTACACTTTGTGAGCGTTCAACATTGACATCGAACAGCGTGCGCAGCATATACCAACTTAGGCTCAGAGCCAGTTGCGCATGTATTTAAAAAGCTCCTTAGTCTAGACAAAGCCAAGGATGCGGCTTCAAAGGCCTAACTACAGATCTACAGTCTTCACCTCTTTGGAACGTCGAATAGAGTTAGGCTCAAGGTCCGTTCCCGTCTCTGCCTTTGTTTCCAACAAAAAGTCTAATCGTAATCTCCGTGTCCTGCACCCAATGCTCACGCTCACGGCATCTCCATCGGTCGGTTCTCCCGACATTGTTCTGCCCCCGCCTTCAATCAGCAAGCTGAACTGTCATGGCACCTTGGCCTGAGAATGTGATGTTACCCACATCTAACCGGTTGATAGAGCACACTTTGTGAGAAAAGAGGGATTCAGCACGCGGAGCACACGCCGAACACAGCCCCGCGAAGAGACCCCAGGATCGCCCAGAGTGGCAGAAAGTGGCATCTTGATAACCCCCCGTCCCCTGCTTTCGTCCAATCCATTGGATCCGCCAGCTGCACCTTGCGGGGGGTGGAGGCCATCCAAGCATTTCAGCACCAACGGCCTGCCCTGTTGCGGATCCTTGGAATCTTGGGTGCCTGGAACCGAACGTGAACCTTGAACCCTTTTCGTCTCATTCTTTTTTGTGTCCCTTGCTCCACAGCTGCTCCTAGCTCTGACATCAAACTCGGAGCTTTTGGTGAGCTCCAAACAGCTGTGCGCACCAAGAGAACCCCTCTGAGAGACTTTGAGACCCCGTCACAGTGTCCCATTGTGATCGTGTGCAAGCCAACATCTGAATGTCAAGGTACCTGGTCTCTCACTGTCTCTTCACCTTCTACTCACCACTATTACTACCTCTTCACATACCCTGCTCCGTCCTCGTAGGGCGTTGAGACCTTGACGTTACCTTGCGGAGGACGCCACCCCTCATTCCCGCTTCGTTCCAAGAGCATTCGCTGCGGTTGGGTTGTCGTGCTGCTTCTGCTGCTGTCACCTGTGCGCATGGATTCGGACGCTTGTGGTTTTGCATGCGCCTTTTGTGCCGTTGGCTTCTACATACCTCTACATACGCAGTGCATCTGCGTCCTTGTAAGGCCAGCACTGTCCCTCACGCCCACCCGCATCTTCCAAACAGTTCAGGCTACCTGACGACCCGGTACAAGTGAAAGCGCTCTGGGAGTGACGGGAGCCAGTTCAGTTTGTCGTCAACGGTGCTTCTTTCGGTCCAAGCCCGGTTCCATCCATCCCAACTTGCCCGCTTAGGTCCGAGTCCCGTCAGCACTATCTGGGGTTATCTGCTGCTATCTGATCTATTACTGGAACCCGGCAGCGCAGCAACAGAGACGGAGGAGGAAGACACTGCCTCTACCACCACCACCACCACCCGCGCATTCGGCAGCCCACGTTTTCTGTCCACCAGGTAACGGGGTCCGACTCTTTGATCGCTGCCAGAGCAATACCGCCCTTTCTCTTTTCCCTTTCATCTCGACTCTCCCGATAATGCCGTTGCCGTTCTATCGGTCTTCTAAGCACAACCGATCTCAACACAACTTACTGGGGTCGTCGATTGCTGAAGACTCTTCGCAAACAACAACCTCCGTTCAATCAGGCGCGAGCCCGGGCGCGGGCGCTACAAACCCCTCTTCAGCCTTGCCAAACCCGGCCTTCAGCTCTGGCTCCAACGAATCTTTTCAGATCGATAACGGCGCCGGAAGACCAAACCTCGCACAGGCCTCACAGCCGCAGCCTTCGCACTTGGTGAATATTTACAACAATCCCGCCAGCGGTCCCTCTCATCCCGCTGATCCTGTTCCACAATCGCAACATTCTAACACGGTAACTGGTGTCGTTGAGTCTCGCCAGAGAGACCACGACTTCGCAGATCAGGTAGCCCAGTCGCACTCCCATCGCTTCCCCCAAATCTCACCGAGCCAGGCCCAACAGCAGCAACAACAACAACAACAACAACAACAACAACAACAACAACAACAACAACAACAACAACAACAACAACAACATCAACAACAACAACAACAACAACAACAACAACAACAACAACAACAGCAACACTCTCCAGCCACGCCTCAACAACATCACCATCTGCAAATACAACAGCAGCCACAGTCAAGTCCAAACTCAGTTGATAACCTACCAGACACGGCTTCCATCCATAATTCCCCATTCTCCGGCCAAGGACAAGGCCAAGCTTTTGTTGCAAATCAGCAGCCGCCCCCACCCCCGCCCAAGACAAAGCAGTCGACGCGCAAACTGATCAAAAACATATTGAGCGGCTCGTCCTCGCATCGTAACCACGATTCTCACGCTGGACAAAGTTCGTGGGGCGACCATTCAGGTGTTGTTCGCAGATCGTCAAGGCGTATAAGCCAACCGCCTCCTCCCGCAATCCGCACCGGTGTATCCCAGGTTTCGCTTGACCATCCTCCCGACTGGCAAACCCAATATCCTCTGTCGCAGCCTTCGCCTCTCCAAACCGCAGAGTATCGAGACCCGTACCTTGTTGCGGGACAAGAAAGAGACTTGCATCTCCAGAACCCGCAAGACGGCCAATACAACCCCACCATTCGACCGGTCCCTCCTGAGAAAGACGTCTCGCCTTATTCAGCGGGGGAAAGCGGGTACCATCAGCAACAGGTCCATCCTCAACTGCAGGTTCAGATCCCTCCAGAGCTCCAGCAACAGCAATTCAACCAAGCTGAGTTTGAGGCCGCGCTTCAACAACAGCACCAGCAACAGCAGCAGGTGACCCCCCAGGACCCCTACCAGACCTCGTCTCAAGTACAATACCAGGCGAGCACCCATTCTGCAGTTTCAGGCCACCTTGGCAATCCCCAGCACAAGAATCCCGAGACGGTATCGCAGCTTTCGCGCGAATCGCCGACCATCGATTCGGACCAGCGCTCAGCTACAAACGTTCAATCATCTCTACAGGCTTCCGACGAGAGCAGTTACACGTCCCAATCCCAGGATATTCCCCTGCGTCAGAACCCACTCCCCGCGCAGCCTTCAGCCCAACCCCAAGGCAAGACCCCGCAACAGCAAGTCATGGCCCCACAACCCGGCGGACGCCGGTCCCAGGATACCACAGATAAGGCGACCGGGATCCGCGAGGTACAACCACCCCCTGGCCCCCCGCCAAGCTACCGCCAAAGTCAACAGCCCAGCATGAACAACTTGTCCCAACCCTCCAACGCAGGCGGGCAAAGCTCTGGCAGCTATCGCCAGGGAGACAGACAAGGTTTCGATGGATCGGGTGAGCAAGGGCGTAATAGCCCCCAGCCGGCCTCTTCTGAACGTGCTGCGGAAGACCAAGAGAAGACCTTGAAGGAACTGCGTATGTGAAACCCCCGATTCTCTCTCGTGAAATGCAAACTAATCAGGCGACTTCTCCGACGCCCAGTGACCAAGTACAAGAACGTCAAGAGACTGTACTTTGACGGCAAGAAAGAAATCGAACAGCTGGGCAACCAAGTTGAACAGCTCCAGAATGCAATCGCCAACCAGCGCATGTCGCAAAGTCGAACGTCATTGGACGACAGCGAGTATACGACGAGGTTTAATCGTTTACAGGGCGCCATCACAAACCTGGCCTTCAATATCAGGAAGGAATGGAAAACATTACCAAAATGGTTGGACCCATACGTAACCGCCGATGCGCTAAAGACGGGCAAGCAAGAAATGACCGCGGTCGGCCGCGCAGTCATAACTAGCTGGGTTGTAGATGAAATCTTCAACCGCTGCTTCCACCCTGGCCTGGAGCCTGAGCTAAGCAAGCAGCTCAAGACGATTGAGCAGAACATCAGGCACTTCAGTTACACGTTGAACAGCCAGGAAGAATACGATGCGCTGACCAGCAAGGTTGTCAGCTGGAGAATGACCACACTCGAAGGACTTCAGGACGTTCTTAGGAGCGCAGAGGCTGACGATCACAAAACTAACTTCACCCGGCTCGCCACTAACACCCTGACCTCTCACCTTCTCAAGCACCTTACGGAACCTGCGCCCGTTGGAGTTGACGGAAGTGTAGGCATGATCGTGGAGCTGGCAGTAGGGATTGCCAGCAACTTGCCCCTCGAGAGCCGCGATGTTGCCATCATCTATCCGTTGCCAGAGCAGCCAATCCAGACCAACATCATGGAAGTCGAAAAGACGCCCCTACCACCCCTGGAGTCGCGCCCGTCCGATGCCAGCGAGGAAGGGACCGCAGGTGACGGAGCCAAGGAGTCTTCCAAGGAGCGCCGCGGCGACAAGGCCAGATCCGGTATGTTAAACACCATCCATCACACCATAGGCGGAAGCAGCGCCAGCGGTCCACCCGGTAGCCGGAAGGGAAGTATTGCTGACAGTTCGACGCTGCCGACAGCACCTTCTGGAGCGGCTTCACAATCTAAGGATGCTGGAAGGGTCCGCTTTGCCGGGTCCTTTGGTGTGGAAGTTAGGGGACGCCATGTTCTGGTTAAGGCGCCAGTCTGGACCATTTGAGGCCTTGACGTATGGATTATTTCGTCACTTTTCTTACTCCATTTAACATTCTATCTGCCCGTAATTGGCCATAAGTAGGGGCGCACAGAGGGATCTCTGTGCATGGAGAGAGAGAGAGAAACAAGTTGTTAGGAACCAGTTTTCTGGGATGTTCCGCAAGCTGGGAAAACGGAACAGGGATGACTTGAGGAGACAGCTGAATGAACTGGTCTGAAAGAGCAGTCAAAGCCCATTGTGGGCAATGGAATACAGATGCAAATCAAAATTGGGGGTGGATTTATGTGACTTGCTTATGATGCTAAACTTCTCTTCATATGTTTGGGGCTTACTTAACATAACACGGGGTTGTTAGGGGGTTGCCCTTGAACAAGGGCAATATACCACCACATGGTTGTTTCTCTTTTGGTATTGGAATGGAAAATTCAAGCGTACCCTACTATACTTATAAGTCTGAAGATTCACGTCTAGTAGTAACGGCATGTTTTCCAACCTGTACCAAAAAAGAGATAAAAGGGTACTGACGAGAGCATCGTCAGGTTGGATGCATAACTTATACAGCTTTCACCGCCTTCCCGTTTAGGCGCGGTTACCCCTCCATCCCCCAAATCGCAACTTTCCGCGCTTTCTGCCGCATCGCGAGGAGCATTTGCTGTAGGAAAGATTTGGCTTCAGAACGAGCGACCTAAATTCCACGAGAAGAGCAAGACTTTACGAGCGAAACGAGTCAAGCTTTGTCACACCAAGCACCGAAACCTGGAATATCCTCAATTGGCACCCTCGACTACGAAATACGAAGCCACCAAAAAATGTCCGCCGACACAACAACCCCCATCGCCACGACGACGAGTGGTGAGAAGCCCGCTCACCTGGAGCCCTCCAAGTTGGGAACGAAAGAGTAGTAAGTGACTCCCTTCCCTCCCCCACCAACCTCCAATCCCCTATCCTAACTAACCTCCCTCCTCCCTTTTCCTCTCCAGCTGGGACGCCCTCTACACGCGCGAAATCTCCAACCACGCCTCCAACCCGTCCGACGAAGGAACCGTCTGGTTCGACGACTCGGACGCCGAGAACAAGATCGTGCAGTTCCTCGACGAGCAAGAGCACGAGCTCTTTGCCGGCCTCTTTTCCCGAGACGATGCGGCCATCATGGATCTGGGGTGTGGCAACGGCAGCTTGCTGTTTGCGTTGCATGACGATGGTTGGGAGGGAAGGTTGTGCGGTGTGGATTACTCGGAGCAGAGCGTGGAGTTGGCGAGGAGGGTGTTGAGGACGAGGGTGCTGGGGGAGGATGTTGTGTCTGAAGAAGTGGAAGATGAGGAGGCTGAGGCTGAGGAAGAACAAAAACAAAAACAAGAAAAGGAGGAGGAGGAGGAGGAGGAGGAGGAGGAGGAGGAGGAGGAGGACACACAGGAGGAGGAGAACAACGTCGGAGGAATCGAGTTCAAAGTCTGGGACGTCCTCAATGGCGACTTTTCCACCGTCCAAGCCCGCCCCCCATCCCCATCATCCTCCTCCTCACAACCCCCATCATCAGACCAAAACGCCGGCTGGGACCTAATCCTAGACAAAGGCACCTTCGACGCCGTCTCGCTCTCGGACTCACGGGACTCCCGGGGGCGTCGGATCTGCGAGAACTACGGCGCGCGCGTGCTCCAGCTCCTGCGGCCGGGGGGGTTTTTCCTGGTGACCAGCTGCAACTGGACCGAGGAGGAGCTGAAGGGGTGGTTCGAGACGGACTTTGCCGAGGTTTATGATGGTACAAAGAAGAAGAAGTTGGGGCTGAGGCAGGTGGGTAGGGTTGAGTACCCGTCTTTCAGCTTTGGGGGTGTCAAGGGGCAGACGATTAGCACGCTTTGTTTTCAGAAGAGGGATATTTAGAGGTTGAGAGGTGCGGTGGTTAAGTTTTTGAGGAGAAAAGAGGAGAGGATATATGTAATGGGTTCAAGAGAAGTACTACGTCGTAATGTACATATTTGAAAAGTACGACAAAGGACTTCGAATCTGGGTTCCCTTCCAAGTTCAACGAATTACGGGCTGTTACGCGATGTCCGTCTGTGTGCTCACTATATCTGTGATCGATGATTGTTATCATTCATGGTACCAATACTTCTCATATTAGCATGCATGCTCCCATGGATATCTCGAGTCGCAGTTGCTGAAACCCTCGTATTCTCTTCTACTCTATCCTTTGACGGACACATAGCCAGCCGACCATGCCCAGCTACCTGTCTCCTCACAAACAAAGAGCAGTGAAACCTCCGCGACTCGAAAGCATACAGTATACATACAACGAAAGACTAAAGACGTCTACCCGGAACAGCGCAAAATCGTATTCACGAACCTGTGATGTACGAACAGTGGTGATGGTATGATGCCTGAGTAGCTACGACGAACCTAAGGAGAGAAAAACCGGCCACTTGTTTATCATAGTCCTAACGCTGCTCTGTTTGCTCATTGGTGGTAACAAAAACTTTCTTCATTAGGTGGGACTCTCTGCTTTCTTATGTTCTTCCGTCTCAAGATCCGTTGTCTATGGAGATGTGTTCATGGGCTCCCCACCGCTAGGAATGGGGTTTCCTGCCTCGGTAGCAGCTCCCATAAGAGGACCAGTTGCTTGAGCCGCAGCAGTCGTCGCAAAGTACCGCACATCCACATCATCATCCTTCTGCAGCTTCTCCAAGCACGGCATGATGCGCTGCTGGATGAGTTCCTGACCCTTGGGCGATGGGGTAGCAGGCTTGCCCTCCTTTTCTAGCGTGTAGACGGTGCCCTCATCGGGCAGGCGACGCAGAACACCGATAATGACGCCATATGTCTTTGCGACGTTAAAGCGAATATTGGGGATCGAATCGGCTGTGAGCTTTTCCAGCATCGGGAGGATGGACTTAGCGATCACATCCAAGCTGACAACGGTAGCCAGGGTCTGTGAACATTAGTTAGCCATGAACTTCACCCAGTACCAGACCTCGTAGAGTCTCTTACCGTGATAGCAAAGCAGGTGGTCATCCGGTAAAGGTAGTTGGGGTGGCCACCCATAGCCATGACCTTGGGAATGATAGCCTCGCTTGCCCACGCAACACCGAACACCTCGGTCAACTTCCTTAGGTTTTGAGTAGCGGCCTCACGAATGGAGAAAACGGTGTCTCCGAGCCAGCCCATGCAAAGCTGGCTGAGCTTCTCGTCGAAAAACTTGACGCCCAGCTGGCTGGCAAGAAGCGGGATGTAGTCGATAATAGCCAAGCGTACACGCCACTGCTTGTCTTCGGCTAGCTGAACAATGGCAGGAAGGAGAGACTGAGAAAGGAGGTCGATGCCGATAACTTGGTTCACAAGCTCCAGTTTGCTGATGATGTGAAGGCGGACCTCTGGGAACTCGTCCTTGAGCATCTGAAGGAACATGGGCAGAAGGTGATCAATAGTCCTGTTTCAATAGTTAGCATACGCGTGAGCGAAACGGTGCCCGACTGCGGGAACGTACTCTTGCTTGCCCAAGATAGGAGCGAGGCCGCTGATTTGTGTGCCAAGGGCGGCTCTGACATGCTGGGAGCTATCCGAGACGAGATCCTCAACACTTCCCATGATGTCATTCAGGAGAACGTTGCGATCAACCAGAGCACAGAAGCCGGGGATCTGACCAGCGATCGCAGTCCGTACCTCGGCCTCGTTATCTTTCAGCAGTTTTACGAATGCAGGAACAAGATCTCTGGACACAACCTCCTCGTCAACAGCCTTTGCGATCTGTATATGCTGTTAGTCATTCCGGAAGCGACATGATGGGAGGCCAGGCGCTTGGCGCGACTACGAACCTTCTCAAATCTGTCGGCGATCATATACCGGACTCTCCAACTCTTGTCCTCTATCAAGCTGCGTAGCGATGTGAGAAGCACGCCGTGGCTGGACTGTTGCTCTTTGGGCACAACCTCCGCAATAGAGATCAAAATCTCGACTGTAAGGAGCCTGACGCTGTCCTGGTCGTCCTGGGCGAGGTGTTGGAACATGGGTATCATTTCCTCGACAACGATGGCAGCCGGCATCTCCTTCACGAACTTGGCCATGTTGGTGGCGGCCTGACGGCGCACCATGGGGGTCTCATCGTGGACGAGCTGTCCAAACTGCTGGCGCAACTGTTCTTGAATAGGCGGCGAAACTTTCGAGTAGGGGGTTGTATACAGGCCGCATGCGGAAACCTTGGACGTAAACCAGTCGGCCTTGGAAAGGCGAATCGTAAGAGGGATGAAGTATTCTTCGACTTGCTGCGAAGAGAGCTGGGTGCAGATCTTGTTCAAGGATTCGACAGCCTGCAACGCCTGTCAGTACACATGCGGATCGCATGACGAGAAGCCAGGAAATGGTCGCGTGTCCGTACCTTGTCTCGCACCACAGGCTCCTCGATAGCAGCGAGGTTCTCAAGGGGGGAAAGCAGAACATGTCCCCATGCGGGGCCCCCCACGTACTCGACAAAGTTACCAAGCTCTTCACTCAGGGCAACGAGGACCTCATCTTCATCTTCGACCGATTCTGTATTCAAGGGTGTCAGCAGCCGTATCAAAGAATCCCAGCGGCTGTATGGCCGGAGGCCGGCGCGGGTGGGGTTGCTAGGCTGAAGCTGGGTCGAGGGGTTGGCTAACCATCGAGAAAGGGAATCAGCTCCTCGCGAGTGCGCTCGGGACCCAAAGCAAGGGCGATAGTCGAGAGACGGTGGATGGCGTTTAATCGGAGGACGACCTCGTCGTGCTGCCCAAAGTCAATCAGGGTTTACAGTTCATCACCAGACAAGGAGGGATAGTCAGGGGTTCTGGCTGCCCGGGTCACCGCCATCATACCTTCAATTCGTCGATAAGCACGGCGATGGGGAAGAGCTCGTCGTTCGCGTTCGTCGCGTCGGCCATTGTGGGCGATTTGTGAAGTGGACGCGGAGAATCGCGAGGAAGTATACAGTCGGCGAGCGAGACGGATTTGGACAAACTGTTTTGCTTGGTACGGATGTTCGCTTGCGGGCGTGATGCAATAGACGGGGGGTGTGGACTGGACTGGTAGCCGATCGGGCGACGCTGTGCGGCGGCGGTACCAGTGACGGTGATTGTAGTAGAGAGAGCAAAGTGGATGCGTGCGTGCGCAAGGTAACTGCGTTGCTTGGGCGGGCAGGTTTGTTGTGTTTAGGTTGGTTTTGGTTGCTTGGTTGAGAAAGCAAGAGTGACGCTTCGTCGGGTCGAAATCGGAATTGGATGCGATCTCTCAAGCGTAGTCTCACACACGGCGCCACGACAAAGCGGGCAGCAAGTAGGCGAGGAATGATACTGGACGGTTTTGCTGAGAATAAGGGTTGCTGGATGGAGGGTTGACGGTGGTTGTTCTGGGGGGGAGGATTCACCTAGGTGCGGTTGGAGGTCGAAGCGAGCTTGGTGGTTCTCGCAGGGCCGCAACAAGGAGGAGCACGGCAGCAACAGCAGGGCAGCAGGGCAGCAGGGCAAATTGACCTGACCTACCCGCAATGCTGGGGTCCAGTTCAATGACGGGGCCCGGGCGGACAAGGGTGAGAAGGAGCACTGGCCACTCGCCTTTTCAGCTTGGGACGTACCAGTTCGTGGGTGGGGTGGTGCCTCAAAAGGCGCACCGGGCACCACTCTGCACCAGAAGGAGTTATCAGATGTCAGATGGGCAACAACTTCTTTCACTTCTAATCATCGACGTCAAACCGCTCTTTCTGTTCGAGTCATGTTTCGCCATGAAGTAGGATTATAGCAAAGACATTGGACACTAAGATGGATACCTCTAGGAGGTGGTACAGCTCCGGAACCCAATGACATAGACGGCAACAGCAACCAAGATCCCAAGAAGGGGAAATTGTTAACACCAACAACTGCCTTATTACAGCCCAAGGTGAGTTGTTACAACATCTCAGATTCTGATTCTAACTCACTGTCAAATATCATTTCACATGTAGTAGACGATATGGAATGTGTGTTGATATTTCGCTGTCTTATAATGTCAGGCATTACTGCAACTAAACCATCGCTAACCTTGCTTAATCTGCGAGCATGCTGTTCCAACGTGCTATTCCCATGACGGGCAACCAATCGCCCATCTATTAGTTCTAATGCAGCCTTCTGTTCCTCCAATTGTCTTTACCTCCCATCTAGTCCATGCTCCTCATCTCTTGCTCCACCAGTTCGTTTTGCGAATTCCGCCCGGAATCAGAGCCAGTTCCGCCAATCGAACTTCGCCCTGTGCTCCCACCAATGCCGCCGCCAAACATAGCCTTTCCAAGCGACAATCCGGAAATCCTCTCCTGAAGAGCTGCGAAAGTGCTTGTAGGATCTCCAGCAGCGGCATTTTGGTTCAGCGGCGCCGGACTTCTAGTCCCGGGCGTCAGGACCTCGTGGGCCGACTCCACGCCGGCAAGCACGGACCCTCCGGCTGCGGTAGCTGCCAAGCCCGGTGGCTGCGGGCTCCGGGTGGGGCTTACCGATGTCCGCGATGGGGCCCTGGACGACGATGGGTTGCTATTCGCATCAGGTGTCCCTGCATCAACAGGCCCCGAAAGCTCTGACGATGATGAAGCTTGCTGGTAGGCAGCTACACGCTCTGCTGTTGCGGCCAAGGCATTCAGATCGCCATTCATCTCATCATCAGTCCGGTTGAAGAGCTGGTGCCACCACCGCACGTCGTCGCAACGAGGGAATATTATACGCTCACGGCCCCTGACGTGATCATCAACCGTGGCATCGTACTGCTCGTTCGTGAACTCCGAGCGCCGGCTCAAAAAGTAGGCCCACACGCTTCTTGTGCGTTCATGTAACCGTGCTTCGTGGCGCTGGCGCTCGTTGTTGAACAAGAAGGTACCGTACTGACAAGAGTAGACATGGTAGTGTAATCGGCGCAGGAACCGTTCGTTAAACTCGAAGCGAGTCGGGTGTTGTCTGAGGAGCTGATAGGTGGCGTCGAGGAACTGGTGGAAAACAGGCGAGATATCTTTGGGCCTGGTTGCCATGTTTTCGGCAACAGCAGGTTCCACGCCGGTCTCGATAGGCGTTCCATCCGCATCGGTAACGGCTTCCTTCCCGCTGGCCGTTTTCTTGCTCCAAAAACGCTTCGCGCCGGCTATGGCGTTCTCGAAATGGTCCGCCCGACCATCATTTTCCCCCGGCTTGACGGCCGTCCCTGCGAGTGCATCGCCGTCCACTGTAAACCAGTCCTCATGACTGAGATGCCCTGACCGAAGGTGAAACATGTGTCCAAAGGATAGCCAATCCTTCTCAACCAGCACAATGAAACCTTCGAGAGTGCGATAATAGGGGTCAAGCATCAGCTGAGAAAGTGCACTGAGCTGGCCTGTGCGATCCCATCCATCGGAACAGTGAATGAGGACATTGGAGTGCTGGATACCTACTCGTTGCGCAATCAAGGCTGATCCGGACAAGATACCGCTTATGTGCTTCAGCCATTTACTCTTTGCCAAGAGTTCTTTGTTCGGTGGGAAAGGTGACACATCGGCGTCCTTGATGGCGCTGATAACCTTTTCTAACGACTCTCGCATGACGTGAATGTTGTCTATGTTCAGGTATTCTTTCTTGGCGAATTTGTAATGCTCCATGTTTTCGGTGCCATATCCTATTGCCTGCATCGCGTACGAGTTGATTACCGGCCGAGCGTCGACGATCAAGTTTTGTTGCTGAGCTCCATATATCAGTCTCTTGCCAGTCTTTTCGTCGTAAAGTATAGTGCCACCAACAGTAAGCTCATCCTCCGCATTCTGAATATCCGACATGGAAGCATCAGTGTTCTCGCTCTCTATCATGAGGTCAACCGTACTCGGGGGCGGGCTTTCAACTGGCATGTCGGGAGAGGCGCCGCCTGCAAACTCGGTCGAAGCCGAAAAGCACGCGCTGACCAGAGATTCATCCTGAATGTTGCGTTTGAATGATATGCCTGGAAGTGGCTGCGAGCATCTTGTAATCGTACAGTTGTTGACGGGGTGGCGGTACGTGAGAACCGGTATTCGCTGTCGCGACCGGTAACTCGCAGCATATTTTAGCGTTGCGTCAGATATCTTGGAGGGCACAATAAGCAATGCCGGGTAGGTCGGGGAAAAGGAGTAGTCCTTGTTGATCGTAGAGATTCTCCATCCCAAGTCGCGTGACTTCTCGCTTATACCTTGCCGGCGAAACTCAGCCCTGACATCGTATAGGTCCCAACCGTTGATTTTGCTTTCGGGTGAGTTTGATGGAGGCCGGTAGCTGAAGGCCAGGAGCTTTTCGACGCTTCCTAGCTTGCATGTTCTGGTCTTGATGAACTCGAAGGCCTCCCGGGCTTCCTTGTCGTCTGCGAAGTTGAAGCTAACATATGTAAAGTCTCTGAACCGAATACGTATCGAGGACGGAACGCCACTAGAAGGAGGCGTGGGTCGCAAGGTGCATTGCGAAATAATGTGAAAGGCAAACCACACTTGCTTCACACTCTTTTTCAGATTCGGATCTGCGGCAGTCAGAGACTCGGGGGGGAACCGGAAGACGAGATGGTAGTCACTGAGCGCAAGGTCGCCGAGCTCTGGCTTTCCGCCTCGCAAGGCATGGATGTTCGCGAAAGTCTAGCCTTTTGTTCAGCAAAGAGGACGAAACGCAGTTTGAATGGGGGATGATGGAGAGCATACGTGCTTGAGGTGAGGCGCCGCCATCGTGATGTTGGGAAGTAATACTAACTACCCCGGCACTATGAGGCGCTGTGAAGCCAGGGTAGGAGGCCGGACGTCCGAGGCCCAATGTGTCCGGACAAGAGCGCAAGACGTTGGCAATGCCGTTGCGGCGAGAGGAACGGGGAGACTAGAATCTGTTTCGTTTAAGATGTATCGTAGTTGTACAGTAGTGCCAGAATTCGGGACTGGGAAACAGAAAATGTACCAATCAGGAACATGTGTCCTGATATAAACGAAAAGGAGGAGCTCCGCCGCGTAGTCACCGGTGCCGGTCAACGATAAATGATGCACGGGACTTGGGATGTTGAGTGATTGCCCCAAGGTCCAGGTGACGTCTAGAGGTAAGGTAACAGAGACTGATAACTTTGTAAGTTACGATACCTCTGCTGCTCGACCTCCCTGTCGTCCGGATCCAAAAGGTATGCGAATTGTGACGGCGATTTGCGAACAAGCAGAAGGTCAGCAACTGCCCGAGCTGGGCAGCATCGCGCCCTGGGCCGGGGAAGCGACGATTGACGTCGATGGAGCCACCGGACACCCCACTATCAGCAGCACCACCCGAACCCGATGAGGGACGTTCATAGTGCCTGCCGGTGAAGCAACGACAAAATCAAAGAGAGTGCACGAGGTGGTCTGGGCGCAAGGCTGGGCCTGGACGGGGAGCAAGGAAGTGACCCCACATCTGAGATCTGTACGTACCTTTTTGGGTTGCGCTTTTGGCGTTGGGCGCGCAGACTGTATGCAAATTGCCAGCCGCTTGCCAGCCGGGATGAGCCGTGGCGGCTGTTAACCCTACTCCGCCAGCCAGTCAGAAGCGGTAAAGGACAGCCCACCAAGGAATTCGCAAAAAGTAGCTGTGCCGGTCGAATTTCCCCCCATCTTTTTGAAAAGCCCGGTGAACACCGCGAGAAGGTATCGCACTCCATCCTCCTCAGCAGCACAATTGAAGCCCTCAGGACCTTCATAGCCAAATCGCAAAAATGGCTGTTCCCGGCACCCAGATGTAAGCAACCAGAGCAAACGAAGAGCATGGAAGCCTCCTACACACGTCTACACGTCAACACGTCTGTCTACACGTCGGTGGGATCTGCTGCTGCTGTGGTGGTGCAGATGCAAAACGAAGGCGTTCAGTTACGAAGCCGGGAAAATGCTGCCCGCTTGTTGCAGCAGATTCGCGCCGACGGGGATGGGATTTGAAAAGTGGTGGTTTGGCTTGGAAAACAACAAAAGCGGCCTTGATGCTGACTGCTTCTCTTTCTGTCTACAGTTCCAAGCGCAGAAAGTTCGTCGCTGATGGCGTTTTCTACGCCGAGCTGAACGAGTTCTTCCAGCGCGAGCTCGCTGAGGAGGGCTACTCCGGTGTCGAGGTCCGCGTTACCCCGACCGTCACCGACATCATCATCCGCGCCACCCACACCCAGGAGGTTCTCGGCGAGCAGGGCCGCCGCATCCGTGAGCTCACCTCGCTCATCCAGAAGCGCTTCAAGTTCCCCGAGAACTCTGTCTCCCTCTATGCCGCCAAGGTCCAGAACCGCGGTCTCTCCGCCGTCGCTCAGTGCGAGTCCCTCCGCTACAAGCTCCTCAACGGTCTTGCCGTCCGTCGTGCCTGCTATGGTGTCCTCCGCTTCATCATGGAGTCCGGCGCCAAGGGCTGCGAGGTCGTCGTTTCCGGCAAGCTCCGCGCTGCTCGCGCCAAGTCCATGAAGTTCACCGATGGCTTCATGATCCACTCCGGTCAGCCCGCTAAGGACTTCATCGACTCTGCCACCCGCCACGTTCTCCTCCGCCAGGGTGTCCTCGGTATCAAGGTTAAGATCATGCGCGGCTCTGACCCCGAGGGCAAGTCCGGCCCCCAGAAGTCTCTCCCTGACGCCGTCACCATCATCGAGCCCAAGGAGGAGCAGCCCGTTACCCAGCCCATCAGCCAGGACTACGGCGCCAAGGCCGCTCAGGTCCAGGCTGCCGCTGAGGCTGCCCGCCAGGAGGAGCAGGCCGGTGAGGAGGAGGCCGCTGCCCCCGCCGCTGAGGAGTAGGATAACCTCAAGGTCGGGTCAGATGAGGTTTTCCCTTCCATCGAGGTGCCTGTGTCTTTCAACGAGCCTGAGGTGTCTTTCAACGAGCCTGAGGCCGCTCCTGTGGTGGAGTTTGATTTCTCCGCCCAGGACGAATATACCGGAGGCTGGTAAAGGACGCTGGGTTTGGGAGGGGTCTTTTTTCAATGTGCTTGCAAGCTCAAACAAACACTGGGTTGCGGAAATGGATGGGTTCACTTTGGCGTCAACTATGGTCATAGCACATTTGCATTAAGACTTGCGAAAAGGGGAAATGGCGGACGGATTGTTGCTTGGGATTAGGGATTGTTTTGTAACGAACTCCACGATCAGAGCAGCAACGTCAGGAAGTTCCTGACTTCGCCAGGGAAATAAGATACCTGAACAAGCCCTCCTTCCTTCCTTGCCTCAATTTGCGATTGCCAATTGTGCCATGTCCTTCGTGTGATCATGGAGACGATCGATATATGGAATAGTATACGAACTGAACCTAAGTGAGGCATGTGAAGAAGTAACTATGTAGGTTTGTTGATATGATATCATGGCCTACGTACACAGTACAATCAGATGCAAGCAGGTAAACATCAGCCACTGTCCGCTCAGGGGCAACGCCCCACAATGTCCCAACCGTTTTCAAGCCTTCTATCTTCGAGGGCTTCACACCAAATGACATCTGACGAACACAGGAGGACTGGCTGACACATGCTCAATCGTTTATAACTTGACAAAGAGATAGATACTTCGAAGAAACGAAGTAATCTGGCACCAGTCACGAGCTTAGAAAAGAAAGGCAAATGAGATTTGAGGTTGAGAGAAAGAATACACAGCTTGGGGGGGGGTATAATAGTGCCTAGGGGTAATCAGGACTCAGGCTCAAAAGGTTGAGGTGGGAACATGTGGTTGGGTGCCATGAAGGGGGAAGGGGGAAGATCTCGTAACGCACCCGTACTTGAGACCAAATAAAAACCACAGATACTTCACGATATAACCTAACCCACGGAGAAGAAGGAGAGTAGTGAGGACACGCACAAAAAAATTCTTGTTGTTTTGGTACTCGATCATCCATCCATCTTTTGTTCCGCGTACATAGATGATTCCCTTCTGACTTCCCTCCTCCTCACTTCCATATGTTTGTTGTCTATATCTCCCGTCTTTGCTTTGCATCTTCTGAATGATGTTGTGTGTGTGTATAAATCGACAATCAATTCGCTCCATCCGTAACAGGTTTCAGGTACCTCGGGTTCTCCAGTTATACGCCCCTCTTTATACCTCTTCGTTTGCCCCGAAAGACTTTCATTGTATACACTCAAGTCAACCCTCAATTATTCCTTCAAAGGAAGCGAGTCCTCCTTGGACCAGACTTCGAGACTGCGATATCAGATTAGGCAACTTCGGTCGAACTCGGTGGTGGGCCCATACAACGATTCCAAACGTCTTTCCTCGCGTCGACATCGTTGTAGAGTGGTACATGAACTTCCCGTCCGTTTTTGCTAAAGACGGGCGCGCATCCGTGGAAGTAGGTACCGTAGGTAGATTGGTTTTGGTACACAAGGATTTGGACTGCGCCTTGAGTCCATGCCTTGCCTGTCTGTAGACCGAGGAGGAAACGAAACAGAGAAATGTAACAACCGACATGTCCCCCCATTATGTCCCATATAGCCTAGTCGGTCTATTGTGAAGAACAATATGCGAGTTAAAACAGGAGAGAGAAGAAAACAAAGAAAGGAAAGTTAATCGGGGTATCGTATCATCTCTCTCCAGACTTCTTCCTGTTTTGCATCTCTATCGAATCGCCGACCGCGTGTTTCTTTCCGTTAGGGGCGAGACGCCCTCCTTGTGTTGTTGATGTCGTCGGTGTTGTGTTTCCGTTGGCCGGGCCTCCGTTGCTGTGTCTAAAGCTGCCGATCATGGGCGAGCGGGGGTCATCATCCTCCTCGTCCGAATCCTCGGCAAGATCGGCCAGCCCCAGGGCCTCTTCCTCGTCGTAAGCCCTCATGAGACCGTCGCGATCGCGGGTGCTGCCTGTGCTCATACGTCCCTGTGAGCGCCGTCTCTCCATACTCATGCGGGTTTGCAGACCTGAGATCATGTCGGTACCAGTGGCATCGCCGCGGCTCCGTCGTGCGAGGTGCTTGGTGCCATCCGGGTCGCTACGGCTTAGGTTGAGTAGGTAGACTCCGGTAAAGGTGACCAGGAAACCACAAAGAAGCGAGAGGGTGGCGACTGGCTCGGTGGTGTTGAAGCCCTTGAAGAGGATGAACGAGGCGCAAAGGGTAGCGGTGGTGAATGTGACGTAGTAGAGAGGGTTGACACTACAGACATATGTTAGCCAAGTCCTGATGTTTTCCCAAATCCTGAACCTTGAAAACCCACATATTGGTAGGGAACTGGCTGAGGGCCTTGTTGAAGTAGTTCATCTGCGTCAGAATGCAGACAGCGGTGATAATCATAAAGACATAGGTCGACGGATGGCTGAATTGGTTGTTGCCCGCAAAGGTCAACTTCAGCGCAATGCCAAAGGCCTTGACAGCCATGACCGAGATTGAACCCACGGTGGAGCAGATACTAAGATAGACGAGGGGGTTTTTCTTGCCGTAGACCGGAGCGACCCTGTAGATCATAAACCCGGCAAAGCCACATACCAAAGCCGAGTAAAGGAGAAACCCTGGTAAAGTCAGTTAGCCTAGATACTGTGAAGCGAAGCCGATATCAGGAGCCAAGACATACCAGGCTGGATCGCGTAGTTGAGAATCTGGTCGATCGTCTGGATATCCTCGTCAGGGGGAGCATGGAGGACAATAATGACAGCACCGATGAGGCAGATGGCGCTTCCCAACTTGCCCAATGTCCCGAGCTCTTCGTTGAGGAAGTACGATCCCAGTACCGCTCCTATTAGCACCGCCAGTGCACCTAGTGGGGTGACCAGAATGGCTGGAGCAAATGCGTATGCCGCAAAGTTGCAAATCTCGCCAGCAACCACTATACGAAACAAAAAATGTCAGCCCTTCTGGTATCTTTGAACAAAACTGTAATCTCTGGTTGTGGGTATTCCATACTGCATCCAATTCCCGCCCACCACATGGGGTTCCTGAGGTATACGTAGCCATCTCCTTCGAAGCCGTGTCTCTCTTCTGCTTGGTTCAATCCCTAAACAGCCTGGTGTTAGCACCAACATACCCTCTCGCTATGCGGTTCGTAATTCGCAGCCAGGCTAAGTGTGGCCGGAGCGGGCGTGACGCTGGGTACGGTACCTTCTTGGTGATCACGAAACTCGTGCCTGTGTGGTGGAGTGTGTTAGAGGCAACTGTTCCTGAACGTTGTCTGGGGGCTATGCAAGCATACCAATTGCTAAACTCGACGTCATGGCTAGCGCCAGACCGATATACCTGTCCACATCTCCATCAGTATGAATGTTCTCCTCTCGACCGGAATCCGAGTCCCGGCTGTAATGGGTCTGCTGCTGCGTTGGCCTACTTTTCTTCCAACATCCACGACATCTTGAATCAAACGAGTGTAACGACAGCTAAAGATTGCGCTGCACAGTAGTTCGTAAGGAAGCCGCGGTGGCTGTCGTTCTCTCCCAAGTTCGAATGGGGAGCAAAACCGGGACTCGCGCCGGGCGAGGTTACAAAGAGAATGGAAATCCGAGGCTTAGTTGGTCGTCGTGAGGTTTGGATGCATCCGCTACGCGCCCGGAAGCAAACGGCCGACGATGGCAACGGATGGGGGCAATCGGTACGTGTAAAGGAGTGACGACGGCGAAAGTTGTCAAGCTGTGTGTGTCTGTTTTGCAGCCCTCCCTCAGGTTAGGTTAGGGTGGTTTCGCTCGTTCGGATCGGTTGTGTAAGGCAAGGTGTCGTCGTGTGTCTTGGAGTCTTGGACGTTGGTGGTGCCGGTGGTGGTGCCTCCTCAGTGGTGCCCTGAGGCAAGGTTGCTGTTGGGGAATCTCCGGTTCTTCGAACGGTGTTTTAGCGCGCAGGCAGGGCAAGCGGGCGGGCTAGGTAAAGGTAGGTAAAAGTCGTAGCGTGCGTATGATAAATTGTGCTAGGTAGCCCTGTCCAGTGTCACGGCAGCGAGCCAGGTGGTTTCAATTCGAGGGGCGTCGCTGGTGTGGTCGCTGTCGATGGTGCGTCGGCGCTGTGGTGAGGCCAAGTGCAGTGTGTGGATGTCGAGCCAGTGGTGGAGGGAGAAACCGTGGAGCCAAAACGGTTTCAAGAATCACAAGAGGCGTGGATTCGGCACCCCTGTCGGAGATGTGGTCGAACCCCTGGATATAAGTATGGCAACCTGGTCACTGGCAAGTCTGGGAGGGCGCCCGTTCCTGTTAGTCAGCCACTTAAAACCCCATCTCAAAGGGCCCGAGCCAGGCCAGAACCACTTGCTTTCATACATACCTATAAGTAAGTACGTGCTTGAGTTGTGAAATGTCCGAGTGCCCAATGCTGTCCGAGCACGTTTTTGAAGACAGATTACGTGTGCCGAAGAACGCGTGTGCAGTCAGAAAAAAGGTATGGGGGAATGGGAGTATCAGACGAACACGGTCAACCTCAGCCACTGCAGTCAATTGAGATTTTCTCATGCCTACCGCGACCTGTAGTTCGTATGTGAAAGACTTTTGAATTTTGATATCTTTCTTAGCCTCATCCGTGCTGCCCGTCCGGCGCCTTCCCTCATTTGATTTTCTAGTAGGTGGACCCCATTCTACTCGACTCATGGAAGGGAAGCGTGTTGAGCTCGGAATCATTCCTTCCCTTGTTCCTCGGCAGAGCATCAGGGTGGGCTCGCAGCGAGCGTGTCTGACCTTCCATCGAGATTCCATTGATCTTTCCAATTTTGGTTGTTGAGGGCCTGAAAGGATCACTGCCCCGCACTTTTATTTTAGTCTTGGAAGCTTCCTTCCCCTGTGCCTGGCATATACGTAAAGTCTGGTAAGGTAAGGAAAGTGACCTCAGCCAAGATGCTGATATGTACGAGATAGGGGCATTTTTATCTCCGATACTTCGAGGACCTGCCCGTGTATGGTACGTATTGAGATAGTGACCTGAACTTAATAAGCGGCCAAAGTTGAAACCTGACTCTGGAAGCACCGGAACATTGTGCATTCATCGAAACACCTGTTTCCCGTCCTCTGTCCCGAGTCTCCATTGTTATCCACTTCTCTCGAGGGGTGGTTAAAACCCGCGCCGACGGGGTCCGACGACCGACGCACGCCGCGGGAAGCCTCCACGCCTCCATCGATCACATCACTGTGCGTATCACGGCAATTACCTGCAGTTGAACAAAATAGCTAGCCGCATATGTCCGCATGAGTAACTGATCGCCATAACAGAAGCAATGGGTTCACACTAGTGTGTGGTTAACCCTAGATCCGTTCGGGGAGAAGCGATTTGATAAGATTCCGTCCCGTCCTCCTCCCGGAAAGGGGGTATCTCATCACTGATGTCAATATGCCAAGGAAGGGCAATTTTGTTTCTTGATATTGGTATTTACCAACTCTATGTAGCAAACTGTAAGCGTGCAAGATGCATTTTGAGGGATAGCACATCAATTAACCATTGAGGCCCGGCTGTGTGGCGAAGCAAAACATGACGAATGCTGTGGAGTTTCTGAGCTGGGCGCGTTTGAGGCTTCAACATCCATGATCCATCACGATGTGGTCAGATCGACAGTCTCAGCCTTGCATCAAAGTTCATCTAGCACTTGGGTTTAGATGATTCTCTGCCATTGGGACATGGGAAGACTCAAAGCTCACCCATACTCCCATCTAAACTGATATCTAACCCCAAGCTATCCGATTTTCCTTACGTGGTACGCCTTCACTATCTCTTCTCAACACCTATTTTGATTTCGCAGAACCCGCATCCCCACACTTCCCAACCCGAAATGCGCCGCCACAAACAGAAAAGCTCTACATACCTCGTAAAAGAACCCCGTGCCAACCACATGTTGCATAGTCTCGACTGCGATGACCATATGTTACCCGGATATACCCACCAAATTCAAACGCACCTCTGAACCCTTAAGGACTCCTAAAGATAGCCAAGCCATGTGTCGCCACCGTTCTACTAAACACCAACAAAGACTATAGTACAGGAGAAAGTATACACCAGGAAATATGCTATATGGACCTCAGGGAGAGAAGTTCCAAATATGCAGCTTTAGGTTGCAAATATAACAAGCAATCCCTGAGGTACCGCATGTGTTTTGCTATGTTCAGCAAGATTGCGCTTCTTCGAGCGATATGTCCCCCAGGCCGTCCCAGGGGTTTTCGATTGTTGATGACCGCTGTATGCAACCTGAAGTTGGGCTGCGTTATCGAGGTCGGTGTCGCGAATCCTGGTGTCAAGTGTCGCCGATCGGGTGAAGAGTAATGAAGTAGGGGGAAACACGACTGGCCCCATTGAGTACGGCCAATCCGTTTCAACTTACCTTGCCATTCTTGAAGCTTGGAGCTTCTCCCAGCGCACATTCAAATTCGGTTCTTCGAATAAGAACAACCAAGAAAATCAAGAGCAACTCACAAAAGACAAGGCTGAACTACAGCGGTTAGAGGGGAAGGGGAAGGGGAAGGGGGGGAAATGGGCTGGGAAGCTTAAATCGGGGCATGGAGGTGTTGGAGCGATGCTACATTTGAAGCCAGAGATTACCGATCAGGTCCGACGACGCTTGACATCTATAGTCTTGATTAGCGAGTTGTTTTCCCGTGCAGATTAAGCGTTCAACTTACCGGCCTCTTCGGCTTCCTCATCCAGATCATCAGTCCGACCTCTCTTTGCTGTGAGGGGCGGTTGATCTTGAGAGGTTGTGGTCTGCTGTGTTGAATCATTGCTGTCCTCATCTCCATCATCTCCCCATCCGATTTCGTCGTCGTCACCCTGAGCGTTGCTGGACTCCTGGACTTGGTCTTCTGTTTCAAACGAGCCATCCTGTTCCTCGTGTTCGTCGTAGTCAATCTCGTCGCCGCTCATGGTATTGGTTGTGCTCGTGTGGGTGGCGGGTTCTTCGGCTGTGAAGTCATGGGCACCTTCTTCAGTCTGGTCCTTGGAGTCGGTGGTGTTGATTGTGAGATGCGATGTCTCATGGGTGTACTCGACCTCGACCGCGTTTTCTACTTCAGTATAGTCGCCCATGTTGTGGCCGTCGTCAGTGTACTGGTCCTGCATGGCGGCAGAGTCCGGATTGCGCGAAGTACTAGTGTCGTTGTTTTCTTGATAGGGCATGTCAGCATCGTCGTAAGCAGAGAAGGTGACGCTTAAATCGGAGTCTTTGTGGGAATGAAAACGACCGCCACGGCCCGGGTGAGGTGCAGCAAAGTTGACCGGGCTGTTAGATTTCTCGGTGCAAGGTGAGTCGGAGCGGAAAGTGGATGGCGCTGCGAGACTGCGGTACTGGTTTGGTCGCAGTTCAACTGCAAGCTGGCTTCCGCCGGATACATTGTCCGAGGGCCTGCTATGCAGTGGCGGCATTGTCCCATCCGTTTGCTCGGATCTCATCTTCTTTGCCCCGAAGCCTAGGTCTGGGAACACGGACTTTCGTTTGAGACCAGGCATGGTATGGATTGGACCTTCATCGTCCGTGTAGTCGATGAGATCGTCATCCTTGGCTTCGCCTGAGCGCGAAACGTGTATGTGGCTGTGTGTGCCGGGGTTGTGTGTGGCTGACAAAAAGAAAAAAGGGGATTTACCAGTTTCATTGTCGTCAAGACCGAGCACTGCGTTACCTTCAGTAGACCCCTCCATGATATCGAGGGAGAAGTTGCCGTCGTCCAATGTCTGCCTGAGAGTCAAGTCATCGCCGAGCTCCTCCGCACCCACTGCATGATCAGCTTCATGATCCTCTTGCTCCTCGACTTCGGCCTCTTCATGATGCTCGAGGTACTCTTCCTCATCATAAGCTTCCTCCTCCTCTTCCTCGTCGATAGCCTCGGTATGATCACCGTTTTCCGGCTGAGGTTCGTCCATGGCAGACTTCATTTCGGAAGCATGCTCCAAATCACTGCCCGTCGTCTCCTCCAAGCTGGGCTGAAGCTCTCCGATATCACCATCCATCTCATGCTCAACATCAACGATGCCTGAAGGGCCGTGAGAGGATTCACCGGCATCAATGTGTCTTTCCCCGTTGATATCTGCAGATGGCTCTGCTTGGGGAGCTTGAACGATGTTCTCTTCTAGCGAGAATTGCTCAGTATCACGCTCATTCTCAGGGACATCCGCGGTGACCTGAGGCTCTGTTTGTTCCTCTGATGCCTCATCCTGGACGTCTCCAGCCGAGACGGTAACATCCCCATTCTCGGCTACATTCCCGCTGACTTCTCGGTCTTCGGTAACCTCGACATCCTCGGCAATTTCGACATTCTCGGTCAGCTCAAGGCCCTCTGGCTGTTCGTCTTCTTTCTCTTCTTGATCTTGATCTTGCTGGGCTTCCCCGTCTTGATGCTCTTGGTCATCGAATTCATAATCTTGGACATCCTCATGATCATCACCATTTTCGAGGTCTTCATTGTCATCATAGTCTTCAATGTCCTGATCGTCATCCAGATGTTCATCCTCCCCGGAGGCATCTGAGTAATCGGGAGAGTAGTCAGCTCCACTCCAGATGCCTGCCTCCTCGAGCAATTCCAAGAACCGGCCCTCGGGGTCCGGACGGACCACAAGATTGAGCGTTAGGGACGTCTCTGTAACGATTCCTTTAGCTAGAAGGACATTGTAGCAGTAAATGATCTGATGAAAGCTGCGCTGCAAAAAGTCCTTGCTGGACCTTTCGCCAAAGTTCAAATCAAGCGAGTCAATAACGATAACCAGTTCTTCTCCGGGTGTCAAGTCTGAGGCAATGACAGAGCGGATAGATGCAAGTAGTTCCGACAATGGTGCGGTTGCAATCTCAGTGTCGGAAAGGAAGTAGGTCTCAGGATCCATGTCCGAGTTTCCAAAGAGGGCATAACTGCCACCATCATACTGGACTGTGATATCGGTGATGCTAAATGCGGCATCATCCACAATGGCCTCGTCATGGTCACTCTGACTTTCCTCGAGCTGGTGTCCCTCGTTCACGGCCTCGTCCGCTTGTTCAGCTTCTGAGACCGCTATATCCGGAGCATCGGCAGCCGCAATACCATTGACGTCCAGGCCGACTTTTATCTCGGCAGCATGTTCAGTAGCCTCCTGATCAACACAAGCGGCCGGCTGTTCTTCCGCATCGTCGCCCATTTTGGGCTCAGCGAGATCGATCTGGACGTCCTGGGCTTCCTGTTCCGATTTACGTTGATCGGGATTCTCGTCATTTGCAGACGGCGCTTTTGACGCTGTGGTTTCTGTGGGCTCGTGTTCCGTAGTAGCCTCTTCTGCGACACCCTCCTCCTCTTCGTAACCTATCTCATCACCGTATGCCATGGAGACATCCTGAGCATCTTCCTCGGCGTCACCTGCCGCCTCTGCTTGCTCATCGTTCGTATTAGGTTGCGCCTCGAGGCCATCGACAGCGACTTCCACATCGGCTGTGACGGGTTGAGCGTCAAGATCGACCGTCTGGTACTCGTCTTCCTTGCCGTGTAGGTCGTCGAGTTCTAAGACAAGCTCGTCGGCTTGCACGCCGGCATCTAGCATCAAATCATCGTCAAAAACGGCTTTCCCCGCCTCGACGCGGACGTCGAGGATAACTTCCTCCATGATGATAGGCGGTTGGCGGGCAAAAAAAGCGCCACAGATGGATGGGTTGAATCAAGTACGAAAGATTGAAAAATAACGCGAAACTTTCACGAAGTTTCTTAGAAGGTGCGACGTATTGCCGTTGTCAAGATGTTGTACGTCCAGCAAGCGTGATGAAAGAAGCGAAGACGTAGAAAATTGGTGCACTGGTCAAAAACTCAAGCTTGGCGATGGGTTTCGGTGGATGTCTTGGACTGAAAGGCTGTGACTTGTTGTTTCAAGGGAAACCGTAGGTATATAAAGACCACGGGTTCTGGGGGTTGTAGCTGAGAATGGGTCGCCCCGCACTCGACAAAGAACGCCCGACAAACAACGGCGCTTCTGGAGCGCAAAATGAACCGGTGAAGGGTTGTGAGGCGACACGTAGACTGGGCGGGATCCGACAAGACGATTTAACCGCTGTTAAGAGTTCGGGGGCGGATATTCTGGGCAAAAGTGCACATCGAATCGAGGTATGCAATGCTGAATGTGGCAGATAATCGCGATGCCTCACGTTCACGGAGCGGCGGAGCTGGGAGGCGGGTGAAGTGCAACAGAATCGAGTGAGCTCTTTTTTAATGGCGAGGTGCGTCACGAAGGTAGCGTATTTGTTGATCCACAAATGGGACTCGTATCGTCCGGGCAATATTTCAAGCGGCCGAGAGACGGGTTGTTCGACGGCGAATCGTTTCGTGGTTGGAGGTTGGTAGTTTGGATGGAAATGGAAGTCGGGGGATTTCGACACACGGTTGTGCGTTGTTCAGTAGAGAGAGAGGTGCAGTTGTCGCTTCTGCCGCAGGCTGTGAATGACGGTGAAATTCGCAGAATTGATCACAAGCAAGTGCCGCATCGAGTTTAGCGGGCCTTGTGGGTGCCTAATCTTGGTGTGCCCCTGGATTTTCCTTGCCAGCTGGCAGCCCCTCGCCGGCCACGCTGCCGCCGTGTTGCCCTGGCCTGAACCCGACCGACGCTGCAGTGAAGCTGCCGTCCAGGTATCGCTGCCCGCTGGGGTACCTCCAGATGGTACCTTCAGTTCAATTGGACCTGACCGACAGCACACCTCAGCACGGCAACGGAAAGACCACATCAACCTTCCCGTCCACGTTAACTTTCAGGAGGTGAAGCTCACGACTTGGCTTCACAACACACCAAAGCTCCCCGCACCACGAACCTTTCTCCGAGTCAGTACTAGTACTGCTGTCGAAATGGTAACTCATCCATCCCTGTCTGCTGGTGGGAAGAAGCGATTGACGGAACATGTCAGGTTGTCCTCGCTGCCTCCATCTGCACCCGCGGCGGCAAGGCCGTCTTAGCCCGCGCCTTCAACGATATCAAGCGCTCCCGTATCGAAGCCCTCCTCGCCTCGTTTCCCAAGGCCGCCGACTCGGGCACCCAGCACACCATTGTCGAGCAAGACAATGTCCGATTCGTCTACCAGCCCCTGGACGAGCTGTACATGGTCCTCATCACCAACAAGCAGTCCAACATCCTCCAGGACATCGACTCCCTCCACCTTTTTGCCCAGGTTGTCACCAGCACCTGCAAGAGCCTCGACGAGCGCGAAATCCTCCGAAATGCCTACGAACTGCTCAGCGCCTTCGACGAGTTGGTGACGCTCGGATACCGCGAGAACCTCACCATCAGCCAGATCAAGACCTTCCTCGAGATGGAAAGTCACGAGGAGCGCATTCAGGAAATCATTGCCCGGAACAAGGAGCTGGAGGCTACCGAAGAGCGCAAGAGGAAAGCCAAGCAGTTGGAGATGCAGCGCAAGGAGTCGGCCAGAACTGGACGTTCCGCAGTACCCCGGACGCCGGTATATCCCACATACACCCCGCCTGTGCGACCTGCTGTTACCGAGTCTTATGATACCTATGAAGCCGAGAAGAACAAGGCCAAGTATGCTTTAGTCCCTCTTCCATGCTGGCTGGCATGCAAGCTAATATTTCTACAGGTTCAATGCGCCAAAGGGCAAGGGTATGCAGTTGGGCAAGAAGTCCAAGAATACGGATATTTTCGAGCGCGTGAAGGGGGATCTTGGACACGAGGCCGAGGAAGCGCCCCTTGTTCCGGTAGCCGCGCCGGCCGCCGCCGCAGAGCCTGCTGCCTCCAGAGTCTCTTCGACACTCGATCGGGATGCTATTCACGTCCTTATCAACGAGGCCATCAGTGCCAAGCTGTCGAGGGATGGTGCCCTCGAATCCCTCTCGGTCAGCGGTGACCTCCAGCTTCGCGTCTCCGACCCATCGCTTTCCAGGATCAAGCTCAACCTCAGCGCCACACCAACCCACGGCGCCCAATTCCGCACTCACCCGAACGTCGATAGAAATGTCTTCAACAGCTCCCAGGCTATCCAGTTGTCTCAACTGGCAAAGGGTTTCCCTACCAACAACTCTGTCGGAGTTCTAAGGTGGCGGGCCACTCCCAAGGTCGACGACACCAGCGCACTACCAATCAGCTTCACCGTCTGGGTTAACAAGGGCTCAGATGGTAACAGCACATTGACGGTCGAGTACGAGCTCACTGGCGGAGATACCCTCAAGGACGTTACTGTCGTAATCCCGTACTCGAGCGCAGAGCCTCAGGTGTCTAGCTTCGACGCTGTGTATGAAGTGTCTGGGGACAGTCTAGAGTGGTCGATAGGCACTGTAAGCGAGGAGAACGCGAGCGGAGCGTTTGAATTCGAGGCGCAGACGGATGACGAGAACGAGTTCTTCCCGATGCAAGTACGGTTCTCCAAGTCGTCGCCGTTTGTGGAGGTTGATGTAAGTCGTCCTTGCCTTGTATTTGGAACCAACAAGACACAACTGACACGCCCTAGGTTCACTCTGTCGAGCTGGTGGATGAAGGCGAAGAGGTTTCGTTCTCCAAGGACATCAGATCGGTGGCTGACAAGTTCCTCATCGAGTAAGTTTTGTTGTCGTTGTTTTGAGCAGAGCCAAAAAGGGGCGACCATAGTATGCCGGTCAGGCGTCTCGATCATCATCTTCCGCACCAGAATTAGAGTAATGTATGGGAAGCAACCGAGTTGTCCAGCTCCCTTTGTAATGAAAACCGTTATACATGGTAATATCCAGTGGGTGCTCGAGTTGTCATTTTTTTCCGTTGACAAGGTGATATTGGTTTTCCGGAAGAGGGGTTCTTGACGTGTTTGGGATTCTTAAAAGTAACTCTTGAGCTACGGGCCGTGCACACTTTTGAAGGGCTACAGATTCTTAAGATTAAGCATCATATACAGGGATCTTATTTATACAAAGAGCTAGTATCCAACTAAACTATCGGTGTTGTAAACATTGAGTATGGCAATCGATGTCTTACACTATTGCGTAGTTCGCACTTGAAGGACTACAGTAAGAATGCCTAACTGCACAGTACTCCATCGCTGTAGTAACTGCTCTATCTGCACTGTGTTTTCGATCAACAGGCAGGACGAAACCACAATGGCAGAACAACAACAGCAGCAACAACAACAATAACCCAAAGGCAAGTAAAGCTCTAGCAAACCAAACCTAAAATTCCCAAAACATCAAATTTGACTTGCCAAGTTATGGACTTGCGCGCGTCTTTGTATTCGAAATTTCACGTCCCGGAGTTGAAGGCTGGAACCAGTTAGCCGCCGCTTTCTACGCAGCCTGAACATCCAAGTACCATCACCCAACTGAAGGTTCAAAACGATCCTACACAATGTCCCTAAATGGGCAACTTCAACTATTTAGTTCGAGCACCTTGAGTGTGCCAGTCTCCGGCAAGCAAATCGCATGCAACCCGGTAATCGACCTGACAGCCACGGTCGGCGACGGCAACATAATCTATGTCTGGCGTGGCAGCAATCAGTTGGTCTCGAAGCATACAGAGCGAAACCAAAAGGTTGACGCGATCAAGTGGAAAGAAGATGGTAAGTGAACATCTTCCGATGACTTTTGAGGAAGCCAATGTCTTACAAAAGTTCACAGGCCAATTCTTAGCTGCCGGCTGGAGTGACGGCGTGGTGAGGTTGATCGGCTTGGAAAGCAACAAAGCCGTGCATCACATCCGCGTGGCAGGCCATGATGGGAAGCCTTCCAGAATCGAGTTTATCGCCTGGGCCAGAAACGAAACTGGCAGGCACTCGCGCGCCAAGAAGCACGATGACCTCCCCGATTTGCCGTGGCGGGATCTCATGCCCGATGAGAAGAAGCATGTTCTGGACCTCCCTCATGAGTTGACTTTCTTGGAGGTCGAGACCGCTCTCCCCAAGATCAGTCCTCTTCCTTTGTCGGGAGGCACCGGGTAAGTAAACGGGATCCAGCAGCTTCTACTGCAAGGAGGGCAACTCGGATGATGGTGTAACTGACATGGTATTAGGGACGATATGTTTGTTTTCTCTACAGCGGCATCACTCGAGTTCGTGTTCCGCCCTTACCAGCCCGAGGACTCGGATAATGTCCATGTCATGATCGCCGGCACAGCCGACGGAGGCATCCACCTCAGCATCTACGATTCATTTGCCATTGGAACCTTTCAGCATATTCCACATACAGCCAGAGGACCTCCCTCAAGCAAGGGTGCTTTCCAGCTTTGCGGTCACAGCTCGCGCCCCAAGGTGTCTACACATGCACTCCTACTAAGACCCAAGGAGGGCAGTCTGACATCCCTTTACCTTGTTCCCATGGACCTCACTTTTGTTCACAAATCACCAATCAACCTCTCCTTGTTGGCGTCGAAGACGACAACGCTCCAGAATCTTCTTCGGTATCTGAAGCAGGCACAGTCCCACATGGTTAGTGAGTGGAAGTCGACGAGAGAGCTTCCTGGGCGTTTTCTTCGCGGTGTCCAAGAAGATCTGGAGAGGAGTCCCAAGGGGCCGATGACCATTGTCCAGGCACTGTATCATACTGTTGCAATAGGACATGTGTTCCCCCAGGTGAAGGAATGGCTCGTCGACAGTCTGGCCGAGAGAGTAAGTCTGAAAGTGAGATGCGCAGACTGCCACAAGACTGACAAGTATTTAGGGACACAAGCGTTGGGATAAAGCGGTCGTAAGCGGTCTACAAAATCTCAGAAGCCTCGTCCACGAAAACTTTTTGCCTGCGCTCGAGAGGTGCGGCATCGTGCTCAGCCGGCTCTTGGGACTCGCTCGCTTCCACGGCTCGCGCGAGAACATTGGCTTTACCGCCGCGCAAATCGAGAAGCTTCTGGACATGGTCGCGGCGCTGACCTTGGTCTCGTACAAGATTCTGTTGGCGGTCATGGACGAGCTGGACCACTTCACTTCCTTTTCGTCATGGCTCCGGATGGAAATCGACAAGCTGGCTTCGTCATCGGCAGCTGCCGAGGAGTTGACCGAGAAAGAGGCGACTATGGATAATGTCAAGGTCTTGACATACATCCAACGATATCTGATGGGTAGTCCCTTGGCTGTTTATCTTGGTGATGTCACCGCGGAAGAGCGCGAGAAGGACTGGAAAGTCGCCGAGGAGAGCGACGGCACATCTCTGCTTGAACTGGTTGATCAGCAGTTGAAGAACCAGGAGCGCGGTAAGCCTTACTTGAAGGCGTTACCCAAAATCGACCAGTTGGTGAATCATCTCACTGGCAAATCGGCCATCGTATTTAAGGAGATTGCTGAGGCAGAGAAGCGAAGTGTGCGCTTCAACCAGGCTGTGGAGATATCTACTGGCGAGAAGATCTGGAGGCATGATATTCATCTGTGTTCTCGGCCTCAAGCGGTAGGTCATCTTGTACGGTACCACTTTTTTGCGAGCCTTGATTGCTAACGCGAATATTCAGGCCGAGTCCGGTGTCACAACATTTGTTGCTACAGTACCGGAAGGAGACAAGAACAAGAGTATGTTTCCCTTTTCTGACAGTTAGATGCATAGACTAATACTGAGTGTAGTCTTCATTGTACGAACCGCTATTCCAGTCGCCAACGGCATTAGTGGCACAAGCTCTAGCAGTGCCTGTGGTCTGGTCCTTCCCAACGGGGCTACCGTGGTCGATATCAAGTTCCTGGACGACGAGTCTCTGCTCGTGCTAAGCCAACTCAAAGGTTAGTCAGTTCGGAATCATCAACCAAGATGAGATCAGACAAGATAATGCTAACATCCAAAACAGATGAACAAAGCCCTGCAATGGTGAGAATAGGTTATCAGTCACCCGACCTAACCTATTCAGCATACAAAGAAGGAGAGAGGCCTCAGACAACCAATATCGGCGGTCCAGAAGTCCCGTACATTCCCCTTTTCTTCAACGCGGTTGGATTCGTGCCCATCCAGATGGAGGTCCAACGAGCGAGCAAGACCAGGGGTGAGCTTCCTGCTAGGGTATGTCTGCTAGGACGCGACAGAACGGTTTACAAGACATATGCTCTTCCCGACCACTTTGAGATATCTCCTGGGACTTCAAGGTCGCCAACGGAGAGGAAGTCATGGAAGCAACAAGGAGAGGAGGAAGATGTGGTGATGGAGAACAGCCAGTAGATGCCGTGTAAGTGCACGTCTTTTGAGCACAGGGCGGAAGATCGGAAAATGCGGTAATACGGTTGGGGCTTGGTGGGACCCTCAATCATGCTGGGGATTGCAACCATGAGTCCGTTCGTGATGTATGATTAGGAGGAGGATTTTACAAAATGAGGAATTTCATTGTTGGACGGGAGACATGGATGAGGTATTGCTCGGTTAACAAATCGGGTCTGTCAACTGTTATGAACGAATTACAATCGTTGTTGAAGTAATGCAGTACCATTCTCAGAAGTCTCAAAGTACAATTTTTCACTTCCATTCCTTGTGAAGAACATTCAGTGTCTTGGTTGTTGTCTTATGTCTGAACTCGGCCACGCATTCCCGTCCCGTGTGTTGATATCTGTTAGCGGGCTGTTAACAACCGGAATTGTGAGCGGAGCCAATTCCGTTAGCGTGAGCTGCCAGGGCGTGCCTTGTCCACTGAATAGGCGAGTTCCAGGGGCTCTGCAGGCCAAGTCACGGGGCTAAATGGGGTTCCTTGTTAAAGAGCGCCTGCCCTGAAAGCCCAACGCAGGTCGGCGGATACGCGGAATCCTTGGCAGGCAGCTTCGATCCAGGGGTTCAGCTAATGCCCACTGGCGTTCGCAGTCGATCATGCCCGGCCTGAAACGGCTGGCCAGTGACCACTCGTACCACTCAATATACAACGTCATTGCGTTTGCAGCAGTCTGGGCCCGCCACGGTAGCGACCTGGAAGTGGAAGTCTCCAGCTGAAGGAAGAGGAGGTACCTTTTCTGTGCGTGTGCGCCTGCTTTCCCACTTCCCGCCTTGTCTCCTTTTACATTGACGTCCATCCCGTCACCACCACCAACTTTCTCCAACAACAACTCCACCACGAACCAACTGCACCACCATTTGCGCCAACTGCAACGACAGTCTTTTAGCAAACCTAATCGATAATGAAAGAAACCGAATAGATCACGAGATATTGAAAGGGATTTACGGATGGTGCTACCGAGAGGGTTTTGTGATACGCCACCACCATTGTTGCTGTGAAAGCTACCCTAATACAAGGTGCCGAGGGGACAGACGTGACGAGATCGACATAACTGTGGACAGCAGCCGCCCATTATACCCTTCGAGTTTCCCCGAATACCACAAATCATGTCCGATACCACAGCGTTCCCCGTCCTACCGCCGGCCGCCGCGGCCCCGAGCAAGCCGCAATCGACGCAGCCGGCATCAGTTCCTACACAGGCCTCTTCGTCTACAACGCAGTCGCAACTACCCCTTACCAAGAAGCTACGCCCTGGCGCTCCCAACCCCGTGAGCCTCAACGAAGCCGCTCTCGATTCTCCGACATTCAGAGCCTCTGCCGTCCACTTCTCCGAAAACCTCGACGTAATCGAGCGATGGCTCGACAACTACATCCGCAGCACATCCAAGGTGGTCCACGACCTGCTCGCACTCGAGGACAGCATCCACCATTACCTCCAAAAGATTGCGCCGCCACCCGTCAACGCAACCGCCCAAGCCGATGCCATCATCGACACCGACTATACCTTCCTAGCCCTCCGCCGAGCCGGCGATGGCGCCCGCGACTGGTGGACCGGAGTGATGGCCACGGTACGGCGACTCGAGCCCATCAGCGTCGAGCCCATCCGCAACTTGGTCAACGGTGAACTTCGCACATTCAAGGAGGCACGGCGAGCATTGGAGGCTGCCCAGAAGACGTTTGACACGACACTCGCCCGCTATGTGAGCCAGAACAAGACCAAGGAGCCGAGTGCCCTGCGCGAGGACGCATTTGCCGTGTTCGAGACGCGCAAGGCGTACCTCAAGGCTAGCATGGACTTCTGTCAATCGGCGCCCCAGCTGCGCTTTGCGCTCGACAAACTGCTTGTGCGGGTTTGCGCCGATATGTATAGGGAGATGCGGCGCTCGCGGGGCGACGCACCCCTGGGTGCGGCGACTGCGGCGGAGGAGTTGGAGAGGATACGCGGTTGGTCTAAAGAGATGGAGTCGTATGAGCCCTTGTTTAAGCGAGAGCTACAGGCGGCGAGGAAAGAGGTTGGGGAGGCGACACTGGCGGTTTATAAGCCTTCGAGGGAGATCGAGGACTACAGTGTTTCTACGGTGCCATACCTGGGGTCTAGAGGACCGATGAACATGCAGCAGAAGGATGAGACGGATGTGATAGCGGAGAAGCAAGGGTGGCTGTTCCTACGAGTCGTGTCAGGAAAGCCGGCGAGGACGACTTGGGTGCGCCGGTGGTACTACTGCCGTAACTTCCAGTTTGGCTGGCTCATGAATGGGCCGCAGGGTGTGCTGCAAGGAGACGAGATCGGTGTGCTGCTTTGCAGTGCTAAGCCGGCTGTTCAGGAGGAACGCCGGTTCTGCTTCGAGGTCAAGACCAAGACACAGACACTTTTGCTACAGGCCGAAACTCAGACGCAGTTGATGGAGTGGCTAGAGGTTTTCGAAGTCGCAAAGAAGAGAGCATTTGAGGCGACAATGGGTCGAGAGGCGAACGCTCTTAGCGGTGGCGTTGATCCTGCCTTCTCGATCAACCCTCCCACTATCCCCGAGTTCTCGGCCAAATCTCTCGACAATGTCGATGGAGATGGGCCAGGCCCTGGCCTTGAGCGGACGGCAACACTCGCCGTCCCTGGTGCTGACGCTGCGGCACGCGCCAGCTTTGATGCCGCCGCCAACCCTCCTCGGCGCTCGATAACGACAACATTGGGCCGAGAGGAGGGCGAGAGCGGCCGTGAGCATGCTGCCCGACTCATGCAGAGGCTCGATCTACACAGGAAGGCTATGCTTGCCAACCAGGATACGCAAGCTCAGCCTTCTGGAGGTATTGCAAACTTGATAACAGCAAGTCATGGTCTCATAGGCAATAGCCCTATCGCACCCATCGCGCCCCAGACTCCTGCTGTGCGGGTACCGATTCCCTCGCTCGGCGGTCCTTTTGATCACGCCCCTACCAGTCTTGCGCCTGCGACATTATCTAAACCTCCGGTCCCGACGAATCTCAGCAGAGCCGCTGTTATGGCCAGCGCCACTGCAGATATCAATCGCGGTCTACCGAGTGCGGTTCTCGCCAACTACTGGGGTAGCAATCCCTGGGCATCCTCCTTCACGCCCTTGCCTGAAACTGTTCGGACGCCAAAGGTCGATTTGGATGATCCACTTGTCGGCATTGTGCAGCCAAAAGCTCCCGGCGCCATGAGCGAGAAGGCCTCGGTTGCCAGCCTGCACAAGAAGACTCTTAGTGTAGATGCGGCGTCTGATGCCCACGGGAAGATCCAGGAGAAGCAGGGCCAACTCGTCGATTCCTTCCCGGTAAATTATCCTCCTGAGTTGAGAGCTCAGTATGCGCAGTTCCGGTTGGTCTTCCCAACCGTTGCTCCAGAGGAGAAGCCTGTCTTGGTGTTCAATGCTGCCTGGTCAAACTCGTCCGGCGAAGGCAAGGAAGGAAGAGGCATGGCTGCCAATGGACGTATCTTTGTGACGCCCGATAACATGTACTTCTTTGGCCACCAGCTGGGTCTCGTCGTTGCCTATGCCATCAGCCTCGACAGCATTACAGAGGTCACGGCGGCTCCTGGAAAGGATTGCGATTACATCTTCCTACATCTGAATCAGGATGCCAGCGATCACAACATCTCCCGTATTACTATCAAGATCTTCTTGGACGACTTTACGCTCCTGCATGCTCGACTTAATCTCCTGGTCGATGATCTTCAGGCCGCTGAGCCAATGAGCCTCGAAGAGGTTATCACCGCGTTGATTAACCTCGAAGGGGAAAGTTTTGACAAGAGAAGCCCCAGTGCGGAGAGTTGGGAGGAGGTTGCGTCAAACACGCCCATGGATGACGGAACACCCCATGGTAGGCCTGTTCAACGCCGGATTGGAGACTTGAGTGGCCGGTTTATCAGAGGAGCACGCGGTCTGAAGAAAGCTCCAATGCCCAAGTTCCAGCTACCAGCGCACCCTGTATACTACGAACCGGAGGATATGGGCAAGCCTGTAGCAGAACGGAATTTCGAGATTAGCGCCAAGGCGTGTTTCCATGTTCTGTTCGGTGACAAGAGCTTCATCTTCCCCAAGCTCTACTTCGAGCGCCGGGCCAAGGAGATCGCCCAGGGGCCTTGGGAGCTCAAAGACCACGGTGGCAAGATGGCGCGCCAGTTCAAGTTCAAAGTCGATAAAGCCGACATGCTCGGGCGCAAAACGGATGCAAACATCGTCGACACACAGAATATCGACATTTTCAACGATCACATCACCTACGTCGTCACCCACGTCAAGACCCCATGGCACTTGCCCCATTCCCACGCCTTCAAGCTCATCACCAAGATCGTCATCACCCACGTCGCCAAGTCCAAGTGCAAGCTCGCCATCTACACAAAGGCCGACTGGTCCAAGGCCCCCGCCATCTCCAAGAACATGGTCGAGCGGCAGGCTCTCGACGACGCCGCCAACGACGCCGAGGAGCTCGCAGAGGTCGCGACCGACCAGGTCCACCGACTCGGCCCGCACAGCCGCACCAAGCGCGCCATCCAGGTGTACGGCAACATCGGCCAGCAAACACAGGTCGTGGTCTTCTCGCCCAACGCGGGCCTCGACGGTTCCGGCGCCGCGTCGGGATCCAAGAAGGGCCAGCCCATCCGGGTGCGGACGCTGACGGCCATGATCCTCGAGACGGGCCGGTCGCTGCTGGAGAGCGTCATCACGTCGGTCATGATGTGGGCGTTTGCGGTGGTGAAGAAGGTATTCACGATCATCACCGCGCACCGGGTCTTGCTGGTTTTGTTACTGGCTAGCGCGGCGTATAATCTGGTGGTGGTCAGCCAGTCTAGTGCGGCGTGGTGGGCGGAGCGCAAGGCGGCGCGGTATATGGAGCGGATAGGGGTGGGGCCGAACACGGTCATGAGCAAGGCCATCTTTTTGGCTGATCTGGAGGAGGCGGCGAAGGGGAGCGCGGTGGTGGTGGAGAGGCCTGTTGGGAGTCAATGGTATGTTATACATCGCAACTATCCGATCTTTTGTGGCCGAGCCATCAACAAAAAGAAAATAATAACTGACATAACAAAACAGCTACGAAACCTTCCAATCAATCCTCAACTCCACCGACCTCGACGCGCCCTACAACGACGCTGGCGCCGGCTTCGCCTCAGCAACAGGCAAGGCCGCGGCCCGCCGCCTCCGCCGCACGCGCCAGCGGCTCGGCACCTACCGCCATGATCTCCTCGTCGCCATGCGCGTCGTCAACGGCATCGAGAGAGAAATGATCCAATCCGAGTGGGAGAACTGGCTCGCCGATGAGAACCTCAGGTGCGAGCAGGTGAGCAATATGTTGCTTACTGGTAATAATGGCAGTGGCGTTCTTGATCAAGAGGTTGTATATGATGCCTCGCACCAGCAAAAGCAGAGTGTTTTGAGCTCTGATACTACTTCTATGGGTGCTACAGGTGCTACGGGTACTACGGGTGCTGGTACTACTAATGGCGGCGACGGTGGGGAGGCTGCCTCTGATGATGGCGAGCAACAGCATATGACAAGAAGGGACGCGCTGAAGAAGTGGTACGCCGAATACTGCGGCGCTTGTGAGGCCGATCAGAGGGCCCTGTGGGAGGGGAAGAAGATGCGGCAGGTGGAGATGTCGCCTTTTCTTGGTTGATTCAGTTCGGTAGATGTGGTAGGTAATCGAAGGAAGGAAGCACCCATTGGGGAAATGGGGCCCCATATCTTTATTTTAGTTATTTATACCGGTGAAGAGAAAGAATACTGAGAAGAGGGAAGAAGGAAGCAGTAGAAGAGGAAGCAGAGCAGCCATCAGGAGACGTATGCGTATAATATTAGAACCAGGACATAAACAAGTGGATAGATCTGTTCGTTGGTCTGGATACCCTATGTATTCTCTTTGTATCCTAGCAGAAGCCAAAAAGGGTTTGAGTAGAGGAGGGAGCATCGATGTATTACCTATCTACCCCAGCCATTCATCATCAAATTCTGGGGCTCGTCAAGACAATGTAAAGCTTGTAATTGTATACATATTTCGCTTGCTCTTCCTTTGTTCACAAAATAGATTGAATGCACGTAGTGTCTGTGACGTTGACTGTTTGAAAGGTTTGTTCACTGCCCGCCGACCTATTGTGACGGGGCGGGAAGATAATACTTTAGTTAGCCACGGAAAGTAAACAAACCCCCTTTTAGGCCAAGGTTTCGCGAACACCACCTTGTCCACATCAACAAGAAAATTCTGTAATCCATGGTTGTCCTTCCTTTTTCATTTTTGGTTTCTCATTTCTCATGTCTCATGTCTCATGTCTCATGTCTCAATTTTTTTTTGTAAATCTTTCTCATGACCTCGTATCTCATTCATTGTTCGTGTCTTCATCTCCTCATCTCTTCATCTTCATTCATCATGCATGCAACCCGTTGTTCCAATCTTTGGGTCCTCGCCTCTTCATTCGCGCATCTCATGCTCCCATCCAACCCCCACCCATCTCAGACACATGCGTACTTAACTGATATGCAATCTATATGATAATAATGCTGAGCCAAAATGATGAAAGGAAATAGACCAAAAAACTGGACTTCAAACTCCGCCACATGCTCGCTCATGCACCCACATAGACACAAAACACACTTTGTTCTTCAAGACCCACCCACCCAATCTCTCACTGCGTCCCGTCGCCTGTCTCTCTATCCCTAGTTCTTGGTAGGTGACTTGGTAGTAGCCCAGCTCCCACGGGCGATCACCACATCTGCCTTGGACATAGCCGACAGGCTGCTGCTTCTGTCCTTCTTTCCCGCCGCTACCGCTTCAGCAGTGGTGGTGTTGGTCGTATAGCTTCCGTTGGCGATGACCACGCCGCTTGTTGATTCCCTTCTGTGTCCCAGTTTGGGAGGGACCGCTAGTGTTGCTGCCGATGTCGCTGTCGATTGCGTGTTGACTATTTGCTCTTTCTGCGTCTCCGTTCTCTGCCCACTGGCATCATCCTTACTGTTGTTGTCCTTGTTCTTGGTGTCCTTCGCCCCCTGGTCGCTCTTTTCCTTTCCCTTACCGCGCGGTCCATCCATATTCTTGCTTTCACCGTTCTTACCACCTCCATCACCACTCTCTTTCACCTCCCCACCTCTCCTCTCACCCTCTGCTGCGGCCCCACCCACGGTTAGCCCTCCTCCTCCTTTTCCCCCTCCGCCACTACCATCACCCTCCTCCCCGACAAACACCGCCCCCCGTTCAGGAACCCAAACCTTCACTCCCAAGGTATACTTCCCAAAGAGCTTTTTATCCAGATGTGCCACCGCCAACTCGGCGTCCTCGATGGTCTTGAACCGCACGTATGCAGTGTGTCCGTGCAGTGTCGTTTCCTTCCTATCCGAAATCTGGATGCCCTGTATCTGGGCGGCGACAACTTCGGAGACGTGCTTAGAGACAAGGAGACGAATTTTATCGGGTGTGAGATCTTTTTTGGAGAGGCCGGTTATGAGGATCGTGTGTGGTTGTTGCTGTTGATGTTGAGACTGCAATGGGTGGGGTCCAGGTAAGGTGATGGGGAATGAAAAAGGAGGGTTGTGAGTGTTGGGAGGGGGCGAGGGAACGGTCAGCGCTGTGTTGACGGTGTTCACGGTATTGGGTGTGCCAATATTGGTGATGATGGTGGTAGTCGGTGTGCTGGGGCTGGGAATGGAGGCGAGACTATTGGCGATGCTGTTAGTGCGGTGGTTCTGAACGGGAATAGGAGGTGTGACAGCTGCAGCGATGGTTCCTTCGTAGTTGTTGTATCCTTCGGGATAGATGGGAGGGCTGTGATACACCGGAGCGGCTACCCAGGCCTGAGTATAGGCCTCTTGGCCGTGATCATGGGTAGCGTATCCTGAATTGAAGCCTTGGTGAGCGTTGTAGGGCTGTCCAATCGAAGCATAGGGGTTCCACGCCGGATCGACGCTGTAGGGACTAGTCATCAGCGGGGCCTCAGGATATGGCGCCACGACATGACCTCCATACGGCTGTGCGGCCCCATAAACCGCCGAAGACCCGGAGAGGGCCATGTTCGCAAAGGCCGGTATCATACCGCCGGCCGCACCACCTGGGCTGAAGCCATATCCATAAGCTGGAGCGGGGTCTGTCTCTAGGGACGCAGTAGGCCGAACGGTCAGAGGTACGGCGATGGTGGGCTTGACCATGACCCTTCCGCCCTTGTTCCTCCCATCAGCAAAAAGGGCACGGCCGTTAAGAGTACTGCCGTTTAAGAAAGCTGACTATGCTATCAGTAAACAGGGACCAGGGTAGTTGAAGATGATGATATATCACTTACTGAACGCTTTGTCAAAGTTGTCCCTCTCTCGGATTCGAACACAGCCACCGAGAGGAGCATAAACCTCGATTTTATCGGCTTCGACACCACATCCCCTCCTTACGTGGTCCTTTAACTGTTGCCACGTCGTTGTGTGGGGAAGCTGCATAAAGAGGATTGTTAGTGTCAATGTAACGGTATTGGTAAGGAGAGAGCTAGGCTACGAACACCAGAGATGGGAATGTAGTAAATTCCCGTCAGCTCACCATCCTCGACGAACACAGTGTCTGCCGTCCTGATAGAGTCTTTGGCATTCTTTGAGCTCCTTGAGCCAGGCATTTTGGCCCAGGGGGGCAGTTTTGGCGTGGTTTGGGTGACTTCGTCCAAGAAGAGAGTCAAGGCGGAGACCTCAATATCAAGAGTTGCTGCTGCAGCCGAGAACGAGCCTGGTTGCTGATAGTCCTGGCTTCTTTTGGGTTGACAGGTTGGATAACGTTGAAAAGGTGAGGCTGTGAATGGATGAACAAATAGACAGTGGGAATAGAGAGGATTCTAACTGAAGGAGGATCCGGGCATTCTTGAGTATTTGCCTCGGAATCACCTTGATGAGCGAGAGTTATGGCGAGTCCAGATCTCAGTGGAGCTTTGAATATACCTTCAACTATTGCCAGTTGCGTCGTTCTGGATTCAGGGTCATCCTGGTGTAAAGTGTCGATGCCGGGCTGTCAGGAAGTTCTGGCTCAGTTTTAACGAATTATGGTTCCGACTAAAGACCGACGTTTTGACAACTCTCTTACCCCTGAGACTGCGTGTCATCATCAAGTTCGTAATCGACGCCGGCCAGCTATTTAAATCCGAAAGCTGTACACATCTCGGGGGTCCAACCGCATGCAACGGAAGGTTGCCGTCGCCTGGTCCTCGAGGCACGGCGGCCTTCCGGCGTCAATGTAGGTTTCCTCTGAAGAGGATCACTAAGGGCAATACATCCTGCTCAACCTCTGTCCGGGAGGTGTCGACTTGGCTTCCGAACCGTGCGTTGAACTGATCACATCTGATAAAATGATGCACGAAACCATGACCACTTGCGGATGGGAAAGGGGATTCCTCTTGGCCACTCTACGTCATCCTCAGAAGCAATCCTACTCCGTGTCCTCTTGGAATAAGACATGTTCGACAGCAAAGGTGTTTTGGAATCGGTCTCGACGCCCACAATGTTCCCTTAACCAAAAGCAATGTGTGCGGTCCCGACAGGCCAGCAATAGTATCCGTGCTCGCCGTGATAGTCTCAAGGATGCAGAACTGGAAACGCAAACACACGTTACGGAAGTGCGTGATGCAGCACCTATAGAAGCTCGTGAGTTGTGCGGCTTGTAGGTAACCCACCAACCCACCCACCTCCCGTGGTCGCCGTTTCGTAACTGTATGATGCCAGCTTGTCAACTACCCGAAGGGCACTGAAAACGGTGGGGACCCACTGAGTTACGTACAGCTGCGGCTCAAGAGATGGAACCTGTCTCGCCTGTCAAGCTACTGTCTCAGTGTCAAGCGAGGCAGGTTATAACGGCGATCCATGGTTGGCGACGCTCTAACTTATGTGTAAGACAAGGTGAATGCAAGCAAGGGTCCGTCTGTCTGCCAACCTGTGTTTATGAACGTGAGGGAGTCTAACTGGCATCCGCTGGTTGGACTTTCATCTGTAAGAGGAATTCGATCGAAGCCCGAAAAGATACAGCGGTAAGATCCGGGTCGCCAGCAGCTGCAGATGAAGGCGGTTTCTGGGTTATGAAGTAACTCGAACAGGCTCAAAGGCCGGACGGTCATCCTGTTGGGACAATTTATTCCGAGTACGAACCACAATGTTTGTTTTCACTTCCGGATATCGTCAGCTAGCCAGTTGCACGAGTCATTCGAATCTGGTTTTGGGCAAACATTGAAACATGTGAGCTAGCAAGCGGGATGAACGCGCAAAGGTAAGGTTTCTGGGAACAGAAGGTCGCTCGAGTCGATTTACCATCCTGCCACCATCTGATGATCAAAGCGCGGGGGTCATTCGCTGCGGCAGTTCATCGTGGGTCCCCGTTAAAACGCCACTGATGTTGGGCCCAAAGCCTAATTTGTCCAAGCGGTGCGTCTTGGATCCTGTCACAGTGACTTGACAGCATGGTACCGAGGGTTGACAGACCCATGAACAACGTTGGCGGCTGGTCCGTCGTGCTCCCAAGTAGCCAGTAACGAGAACTGGAACATCGGCCAAACTCCCGGGTCGGGTATCCTGGAAATATCTAGGACATCTCCTGTAGGTAGTGCACAAGCGCCAAGGCACATGCGGGCAGGTACGGGAGATCGTTGTATAAGACCATTCGCACAAATCGCCTATCGCTTGTAGCCATATGTGTCCTCCATTACCATGTCACCGTCATCCCCAGTCTGTAAAGCATCTGCTTCGTCTGCTTTGTCTGCTGTTGCTGGAACGAGCTCAAGGGGTGATTCAGCGCGGCTCGGGCCGTCGCCGCCTTGTGGGTTGCGTGGATTAATCCACGGCAGAGAGTCCCTGTCCGAATCGGCGAGAGATGCCAACACGTAGTTTTGGGTATCCGAGTAGAAAATAGACAGGGGAGTTGATGGGTCGAGACCGAGCCACGAGGCATGCCACTTACCAACTGCTTTAAACCCGGACAGTTGCTGGCTAAAATCGACCGATTGAGGCCCTTCGGACAGAGGATCCCAGACAAACACGACACTATTATAGTGGTCTCCTTCACATCTTATGAGTAAAGTCTCGCGAACGTGGGGATGCCACGACAGGGTGCTGACACTCCCGTGAAAAAGGAGAACTGCACGAAGTACTGCAGCTTGTACGTCCCAAATCCAGACAGTCGAAGGGAAATCTTCGATCCTGGTTGCTATGAGATTCGACGACAGGTCGAAGGCAATGGTAGCACAACCTGACAGCTGTTCAGCAGCCTCATGGGGCCTCGGAGGCGGAGAGACAGCTTGAGAGGCTCGGATAAAGGTATGCATGATAGGACCGTGAGAGATTCCGATTCGTTCTTGCCAGATCTGTTGCGTTCCATCAGCTGGTCTGACTCGCAGGAGCCAGGACCCGTGTTACATTCTTACCTGTTGCGTGCCCTTTGGGACAAGATTGTCGGGATGTCGGAGCCGCAGCACTTCCATGGTGGATGTCATATCGACGATGGATAGACTTCGGCTGTGATCACCAATAGCAAGCAGGTGGGCATCTGGAGAGAACTGCACCGTCTTGACACCGGCACCCAGAGCAAAATCCTTCTCCTCATGTGTGGGGTTGACGGGGCCCGACCAAGTCTTGAACAGGTTGCCATCTGGCGTGTAGAACACGACCTTGTGGCCAAGGGCAGGCGACTCCCACACGACCAACCACCTCCCATCTGGGCTCCAGAGCAGGCCTTGTGCATCAATAGTGTCAGGGGCCCACGATCTCTGCAGTTCCCTGCTGGGAAAAGCGTGGATGCTAATCATATCTTTACCAGCTGTCCTGGTCAGGAGGGCAAGGTGGTTGGACTGAGGGCGAAAGGAGAAACCCCTGCGGACAGCCGTGGAGGACGAGAACTTGGGGCTCCCGATCTCGGTGGCCTTGGACGAGGTAAGGTCAAAGACGGCAAACTTGAGGCCGAATGAGGCCATGACACAGATTTCTGTATCCGAGGCGCCAAAGTCAACGTAGGTAGGCTTCAGATGGGGAGCAACAGGGTTTCGGATGGCGGCATGATAGTTCGCATCCAGAGCAGAAAACACTCGAATCTGGTCGACGCTGGCAACGAGAAGCAGGCGGGAAGACGGCGACCACTGAAAAGAGAGGAACGGGCCAATGAAGTCCTGAGGCAGTCTGACAACGTGGATGGGCTCCCATGACTGGACGCTCCGGACATTGATCAATGTCGGGAACAAAGTCGCGATGTATCGGCCATCAGGGCTGGGCAGGCAGTGAGCCGAAGCTATTGAACAGACCATCGATCAGCCATGGTGCCCGTGGGAATAAGTTTGGCAAACAACCTGGCCTGCTCCGAGGCCAGCTCCCGACGATCCTCATGAATAGTCCAGGCCCTGCCTTGGGGGTCATGTGGATGTTGTGGTTGTGGTGGTGGTGGTGGTGGTGGTGATGTTTTCTCACCTACACTTTACGTTCTTTGAGAACAACATCTTTGTCGCTTTGTCGGTCAGGCCCAAGAAGTAGTTGAGTGGTCCACGTTTAGTTGTCGTTTTGTTTTGGTGGGTTTCTGCTATTTTTGGGCGTGTTTTGGCCGGATGTTGTTGGTCAATTCCAGTCGGCAAAAGATGTTGAACGGGAAGAGAAAGCCTAGATGAAGAAAGGAAAAGGGACACGCGAGCAATTGAACAGGAAGGCACCGACAACTAGAAGGCGGTCAGCGAACAGTCAGTCGACCAACAACGTGACTTCCATCACCAACAGTTTTGATGAGAAGAGAAGTGACAGGTTCAATGGATTGTTCCTTCCTTCATGTCACAAGCTCAAAGGTGCAGTCCAGTGTCGTGCAGGCCCGGGCGGCAGGCCACTATGGACGCTATCTTATCGCTACCTTAGGTAGCGCTAACGTCCGGGGTGCACACAGTCAGAACAGTTCCCGACTTCGGCCGAGTTCCCGTTCCCAAAGCAGCCAAGCTGTCAACGAGCTGAAAGTGCACGGCGATGCCTGCCGGACAGCGGTGTTGATTCCCCTGCCAAGACGGAGGCTTTCATCGGAGAGGTGGTCAGTGCGCCCTATCATGGGAAATCCTTGATGTTCGCCGCTTTCTCCGCAAACACGGTGCGGGGTGAAAGTCCAGCGCCGGTTTCCGTGCCATTGTGAACCTTGTCAACCACCAACTTCTCCATCTTCTCCGAGATAATCGATAGCAGTCTGACTACGGTTTGTCATGGTATTTGTGTATTGTCCTATCTATCAGTGGATGTGAGATTATTGCCACTGCCATGCTGAGTCACCTCTTCGTTCTAGAACTTTGCGATACTGGATTGTAAACCTCTTCAGCAACTGCTTTATGTTAAATCTCTTTTATTCAAACCAACCCTGACTTTGACAATTGCGAGTCCAACCCGGCCAGCGGATAGACCGGTACCCGGACTTGCAAGCTAACGATCGATTAAGATAGAGTTGATGAGGTCATCACATACTAGCTTGCCCATTTCCAACCACATTGGTTTTTCTCTGTCTCTCTTGTCCAAACGCTCTTTGAGATTCAGAAGCACGAAAGAAAATCAACCCAAAAAAGAAGTCAGCAATCATGTCCGCTGTGGCTCGCCATGCGGCCCAAGGACTCCGAGTCCGCATCGGAACATGGCACCTTAACAAGACGTCGATCCCCTCATCCCGGCATGTTGCCACAGCTGCAGCCGCAACACCAACAACAACCACATCGGCACCAGCATCGATAGTCCGGAACGGTTCATCTAGCGCACCTGTCGACGTCAGCATTGGGGCTCCCCTCTCTACTCCAACAATAGAATCAGAAGAGCCACTTCGTCATCCAGCAGCCCGCACGCCAACATCCTCACGAAGGGACACTCTCAAGGATGCGAAACCCTTTTCCGACTTCTTGACTGACACCTACAACCGCCAGCATGATTACCTTCGCATCTCAGTGACAGAGCGATGCAATCTTCGCTGCCTGTACTGCATGCCGGAGGAGGGTGTCCCTCTGGCGCCCCAAAAGGAGCTTCTGACCACCCCTGAGATCGTTTTGCTCTCGTCTTTGTTCGTCTCCCAAGGCGTGACAAAAATTAGACTCACCGGTGGTGAGCCAACGGTACGGCGCGATATCGTGCCCCTGATGCAGCAGATAGGCGCCCTACGGCCTCACGGTCTGCGAGAGCTATGTCTCACCACGAACGGGCTCTCGCTGCACCGCAAGCTGGACGCCATGGTCGAGGCTGGATTGACGGGCATCAATCTCTCGCTGGACACTATGGACCCCTGGCAGTTCCAGCTGATGACGCGCCGGAACGGCTTCAGTGCTGTGCAAAAATCCATCGATCGCATCTTCGAGCTCAACCGCCTCGGCGCCGGCATCAAGTTTAAGATCAACTGCGTCGTCATGCGCGGTCTGAACGACCGCGAGGTCCTTCCCTTTGTCGAGATGACACGGGACAAGGACGTGGAGGTTCGCTTCATCGAGTACATGCCGTTTGACGGCAACAAGTGGAACAAGGGCAAGATGTTCAGCTACCAGGAGATGCTGGAGCTCATTCGCTCCAAGTACCCGGACTTGCAGAGGATCCAGGGTCACAAGAACGACACCAGCAAGACCTTCCAAGTGCCCGGTTTTGCTGGCAAGGTTGGCTTCATCACGAGCATGACGCACAACTTCTGTGGGACGTGCAACAGACTGCGTATCACCAGTGATGGGAACATCAAGGTGTGTCTCTTTGACAACACTGAGGTCTCTCTGCGAGATATTGTGCGCAAGATCAACCAGGGAGAACCCATTGATGAGGAAGCCTTTGAGGTGATGAGGCAGGCTGCGCTGGAAAAGGCAGGCCAGGCTTTCGCTGATGGCACTTCTCCATTACTCGCTCCCAACTCAGAGGAGCTCCTGAATATCATCGGCATCGCTGTCAAGAATAAGAAGGAGAAGCACGCCGGCATTGGCGATCTTGAAAACATGAAAAACCGACCAATGATCTTGATTGGTGGGTGACGTTCTTCCTCCTTTTCTGCTTGTTTTTGTCTTTTCTTTCGCACATTGGCCGGAGTTGGAAGGGTGTTTTGCTTTGAGGTTTTGGCACATGTATATGATATGGGTGGTATGATATGAGTGGTTAAATTGCTAGATGTTGGGTTACAAAATCACGACCAATAAACATACTTGAGCGTTCTTGTAGACGTATTCTTGAGCTTCAAAGATGGTAGACATACTAAGAAAGTTTTGTCTACCTAGATACCAATACCAATGCCACATCCCAACATCGCTTCCAGTCTCCGGGCCGCAACAGCCATCAAATTCAATGGAATCATAACGGGCTCTCTTCCCTTCTCTCGCCTCCCACCAACAACACCAGCAACAGCTTTACTCATCGCAAACTGCAAGGCACCAGCATGTTTGTCCCCCCTCCAACCTCCAATGTTCCTCCAGGGCTCAGGCACGTCCGCCTCCTCTCCACCACCCGCACCTTCTTCTCCTCCTCCTCCGATAACAACGGGAAGGAACAACCCACACTCAACACTGGGAAAGAGCAACCCAAACTCACCCACCTCACCCCCACCGGCGAAGCCCACATGGTCTCCATAACCACCAAGACGCCTTCCTCGCGCACCGCCGTTGCCAGGTGCACCGTGCACTTCTCCAACCCGACCGCCTACCCGCTCGTCGTCACCAACTCCCTGAAGAAGGGCGACGTCTTGGGCGTTGCACGCATAGCCGGGATCATGGCGGCCAAGCGGACGCCGGATATCATTCCGTTGTGTCACCCGATTCAGTTGACGCATGCTGAGGTTGAGTTGATGCCTGTTGGGCCCGTTGCTGCTCCGGTTGAGGGCTCGTCGGAGTCGGGATATGGATATGGATATGGATACATCGACATCACAGCCACCGTGTCTTGCTACGGCAAGACGGGCGTGGAGATGGAGGCCATGACGGCGGCGTCGGCGGCCGCCTTGACGGTGTATGACATGTGTAAGGCGGTGGATAAGGGGATGAGGGTCGAGGGGTTGAGGGTGGTGATGAAGGAAGGGGGGAAGAGTGGGAACTGGGTGGAGGGGGAGAGCGTGAGTGAGTGAGGTAGATCCCCAGGGAGACAGGATGGCGGATAAGAGGCGATTTTTTATAAAAGGAAGAAGAACGGGGTTGTTGGCGACGAGTGCCAGGGAAGGAGTTGACTATTGACGGGGAAGAGGGAGACGGAGTGTCTGCAGCGAGTGGGATGTTGAAGTCCTTTGGGGCATATCGTCTGAGGAGCATTCTGGTTTTGATAGTACAGAGTTTCCAAACCTCTTTTTGAAGGTGAAAGCGATTAAGGCCACTATATCGGTGCATGATGCTCTTTCATTCTCTGCACCCAGGTCTATGTTGTATCTAAACAAGGAAGAAGAGAGGTCAAGCATCAACGAGTTTCACATATTGATTTCCTTTTCCTCCCAAGACATGAATCTAGTCCCAAGGCGACAAATCACCATGCTCACATACTCGAATACCCGTGGTGTTGTTGAACGATGTACGTGTCGTAACCACCACAGCACTTCCTCGCAAGCCCTCGCAGATAATCGAGATGGAAGTAAACAAACAAATAATAACCTCGGCATGCCCCTGAATCTTCGCCATCAACCACACCCGGCGCGCGCGGCTCCCGCCTGTTTCTATCACACCTACCTAATCAGGCAAACCCAAGAGCATCGTCAAGGACCTCGGGATCGGTCGGTCTCGATAATGACATATGTAACCGCCGCCACCGCGCCGATGCTGCAACGAAGCAAGGTTCCATGCGTTCTGGACTTTGCTTGTAATATGTGCTAGTAGGTATCGTTATCTCATCTTTACTTTGGTACGCCGTAAGTGCATTCAGTATCAGTTGGTCCAGACGTCCAGTCGGTCGGGGACCTCCGACGAGGGTCGGCGGGAATAGCCTCAGGTCGCCGCCCCCTTATGTAAGGTAGTTAGACCTTAGCCTCCAGTCCATACGGGCGCTACGGCGTATCCCTGAATCCATGCCTGATCGCTGAACCCCGATGTCCCGTCCTCAGCAGCCGCCAGCCAGCGTCTACTTTAACAGAAATCTTGGCGCTGTTGGAGCTGTTTAAAGGCATCAAACTAGCGGCTGCTTGTCCCGTCCCTTCGTGGAGGTAGCGCCGCACCGTGTTTCCTCAATGTCATGGAATTGAAAACCCAAAAAGCAGTTCTGCAGTACCGCTTTTACCCAGTCGTAAGAGATTTACTGAACCTGGCAGTTTTGGTGAGAAGGAAGCATATGCACGGCGGGATTAGCTGCATATGAGGAATCAGTCCAATGGGATTCTCTCATCTTCCTAGCTAGCGCCTTTGGTAAATCTCTTACGACTGAGTAAAAGCGGTATCGGGCCGTAAAAGTTGAAGATTTCTTTCCGCTAGCCTGGCCCCTGTGGTGTTGTGGTTCAGTGGTTCATCACCGTCGTGGGCTCGTGGTCCTTTGCCGCCCGCCGACGACCACCGGAGACGGGTCCGGACCTTGACTGGTTAGTCACGGTAGTTGTCATGACGTAACAATATCACAGGCTTTCAGTTAGTTCCGCTGCCGCTGCCGGGGGTGTGAAAAGTGAAGTTGGGGGGACCTCGTAGGAGCCGTGGGAGCCCACGCAGAGCCCCAGCAACCGCGAGGGATCTCCGAGACCATTGAGTTTTAGGTTGTAGGGCTTATGAGATGCGAAATGAGAAAGGGATGGGTTGAGGAGTCGAGGACTCAAAGGACCCTCGAGAAAAGGAAGAGATGCCGTTGAATATTGCGCAGGGCGGGTCGACCGAGGCTGTGAGGCAGATGTTGAACGGGAAGTGTGGGATATTTCGAGTCGAGGGAAGTTCCGTAAGATGAGACATGCACAGCCTGTCAAGTTGACCATCTGAGATTGTCAGTCCCCGGTCCCGGTTCCCGCTCCCGTGGAGGGGGGAGGTTGTGTTGTCCTATACAACTGTCAGAAAGCACGTAAAGTGGGTCAAAGAGATATGCAGTAAGAAGTAATTGATTTTGGTGATCCTTGTCCTCGTCCTCTTCGAGGGTGCTAGGGTTTAAGTACAAGAACCAAGGATTCTAGGAGGCTAGTTCTTATATAGTAATATCGTCAGACAGCCTAGTTATTGAGCTATAGTTATAAGGGGATTCTTATACTGTATATATAGTATATAAGGTTATACAAATAAGGAGGTATATATTGGACCAAAAATCTAACCATCTATATATGTTCTAATAATCTAATATACCCCTTTAGTTGAAAGCATTAAGGCAAAGTTGAATAAAACTGCTAATTATATAAAACTATTCCCAATTTAATCCTTAATTACATCCAAATCTACGTATTTCCTTTCTTTTTTATCTATATTAATATTTTTAATGGATTTTATATATAGTAATTTTCTCAAATTCTTGTGTTTATTAGCGGTTAGTACTTTAATTAATCCGTTTGCTAGTATTTTTATCGTTTTATAATATTTAATTTTAATATATCTTTTTTATATTTCCTATTATAATTAATAACGGTAGATATCGATATAATGGAGCTTAGTATTTAGTTTATTGTTCTCAGTAGTAACAAAGCGAATTATTAATTAATTATTATATTGAATAGTAGGAATCGGATCGATAAAATAAACCAATTATTTAATTAGCCTTATCGTAAATATCACTTCCTTAGTTACATTTCTAAATATTAATAACTTTGCTTCTATTATTAATATTATAATTATTATTTATTTAGTTGCTTCCTAGTGTATAAGACTATTAAAGAGTTTAATAGTAAATCCTTAAGAATTCTTTCGATTAAGAAGGTTGTTAGTAAAGGAAGTATTTAAAGTAATTTCGAAAACGTTATTACTCCTAAAGGCTAAAGCTAATTCGCTAGTATAATAGAAATAATATAATATTTTGTCCGCTACTTTATAATAATTTGGATTGGGGTTATAATTGTATCAAATTAGTCAGCTTATTGTAAAAGTAACGTTTAGTTTAGTAATAACCGCGGCGTATAGTATTAAACCGATTTTAATTTAATATCGATAGATTGACTTCTTTAATACTTTATTTTTATATAGTATTAGTTTTTAGCTAACTATAGGGATGAAAATTGTACGCTTATTATTACTAAGGTTGTAAATCTTTTCAAAATAAAATCGTTAGGATGATTATATCTTTCTAACCCTCCAGTCTCTGATAATTTTAATACCGAGGAACTATTGTAGTTTATTACTTCTAATAAAATAATATTACCCTTTTAAATCTCTAATATATTATTAAGTTTCTATTTCTCGTCGTTTAGGGTAGGCGAAGATAATATTTTCTATATAATAGAAGATAAAGATCCCGTGTTTAATAAAAATATAGGGCTTTTCAGGTATAAGTTTAAAACCGTTATCGGTAAAAGCGTTAGTAAATTCGTATTACTATAATAACGGTGACCGACGTAGGCTATAGAGTATTTTATAAATTCTTAATACTTTACCTTCCTATTAATACTTTAGTGGTATTTTTATAAATATTTCTTCGTTAAAATTAGTATTAATAAAAACATTAATAGTATTATATTAAATTAATTCGAGGTTAAACCGAGTAGTAATAGTAATAATAGTTCGAAATAACTTTTTAGCGAGGATTGAAATATAAATTTCTTCCCCTATTTTCTATTATTAATCTCTTCTAATTACGAATTTCGCTTTAATTTTATTATATTTCCTATTCTTATAAAACTTATATACGTAAACCTATATACAATCAAATATTTATTTTCTTTAAATTTTAGGTTTATTAGTGTCGACTTTTATTTAAATTTTTATTTCTCTATAGCTATCGAAGTCTTTATAGTATTTAAATAAATCTAAAATGTTGTAGCAATATATAATATAAAATTTATTATCTTTAATTAAATAGTTAAATTAGGCTTTAATACTTATTTACTTTTAATAGAGAATTATTAGTTAATAAAGTCTTCTAGCGTTAAAGGTAGCTTTCTGTAAAGTAAATTTATTTATAATAATATTTTCTTTTAAATAAGTATTTTAAAAGAAGTTAATAAAGAAGGAAGATGGCGGTAGTAAATCCGGAAGAGTTAGGTAATAGTTAAAAATATAATTAAGGAATATTTTTAATAAGTTATACCGTTTAAAAATTCCATCTATTTCTTTATTACTTTCTATTAAATTTAATAATAGTAAATTATTAGGAAGTTCGGTTATATAAGCGTTTTCGAAATTAATTCGGTTCCCAAAGTAATTGTAAATTTCGTATAGTTAATTTATTTTACTAAATAAGTCGGCGAATTCGTTAAATATAATTTTAAAGTTAGCCTTCTTTTTAAGAACGTTTTTAATAAAGGTAGTATCTTTATTAAAGATTATATTTCGAGTATCAATAATACGGTTATTATAAGGATTTTAAATCCGGTAGATAAATAAGGATAAATAATTAAGAAAGTAACCGATTTACGCTTTTGGGTTATATTTCTTTCGCCTTTCTTACTTTCATTAGGTAATTATAATTATAGTATAAACTTTATAACTATAAATTCAAAAGTATAAGAGGTTTGGTTTTCGAAGGGTAGTAAATCTACGTTAGTGAATAATTGAAGTATAAAATCGTTCGTATAGGGATTTCTAATTATAAAAGTAGCAGGGTAAGTAATTTATTAAATAAATAATTATTAAAGTAATTTCTATTTATAAATCTTTTAATATTTAGGTACTGATAATTATAGTTTTCCCATTTTCTTTAATAATACTCTTTAAACATTTTACCCTGCTATTTTAAATTTAAGTATTAAGAATATATATTTCAATTTTAACTCCTCTACTAGCGAAGAAGTCTTTAATAATTTATATTTTAATAATTTCGTTATTGTATTTAATGTGTTGTAATTTAATATTATACTAATTTTCGAAGATAATAAACAAATTTTTAAAATAAATGAAAATCGATAGAACTATCCTATTTTAAAAGTAATAATCCTAAACGTAGCCGGTATATCAATAAGTAATTAATATTACGCTAATATACTTTATTTTACTAGGGTTATAATTAAAGAAGTTGATAATTAACCTTTTATTTAATTTATCGCTTTGATTGTATTATTTTCATCTTATTTAATTTTTAATTTTCGCGGTTCTATACGTATTATATTAAATGGTAGAGGGGCCTTTAAAATGTATTCCTTCGACGTTATAAAAGTAATAAAAGATTTAAAAATTATAATATTTAAGCCGATAATACTATAAAAGACCGTTCTTCTTATAATATTTATAATTAATATAGGAGTTGAATTAATTTCGTTTCATAAAAAAGTTAGTCCTAATTTTAGTAAGGGGAAGGTCTTTAAAAATAATTTAACTATATTATAAAAATAGTTTATAAAAGAGTATATTATTTAGGGAGCGGAGATAATTATTAAGTGGTTTATAGTCTTAATAATAATTTTACCTTCTTAATAATTAGAGAAATACTAAATTGGTTATAAGATTAGGGATAAACGCTATATTTTTTAACTTTAACCTCTTAGGTCTTTTCCTCCTTTAAATAATAATAATCGAATTTCTAGCTTATAGAATTTCGTTATATACGACCCGCCGAAATAAAATAAAACGAATAATTTTATTAAATATAGATAACGAATTTCTAAAGTCGAATATTGCGTAATTTTTAAACGGGTAAATTGTATCTTCGCTTTCCCCTATTTAAAGGGTCATTTAATTAACGCTAAAAGTAATTTAATAAACGCCTTTATTAGCGAATTAATTTAGGGTATTATCGTTCTCCTAATCACTCTAATAATTTTTATCGCGGTTAGAATTATTATCTTTTTTAAAATCTTTATTAGAGAGAGGAATATTATGTTACTTAACTAATTATTTATAATAAACGTCGATCTCTCTATATAATTTATTATTTTTATAAATTCTTTTTTAATAACTTCCTAAGTCTTTTTTCCTCCTCTCTAATTAGCTTTAACTAAATATAGGAAGATATACTAGTACTTTTTAAGAGAATAAATATTTTATTTATACGCTTTATAACGAAAAGGGGTCTTTTTTAACGATTTTATTAATTTAATTCGCTTCCTTTTATTATAATATAATTTATTTTAATAGGCGTCCCCGTCTTCGATATCACCTTTATTTAACGTAGGTCCTATTCCGAAGTTTCCCCTCTTAATATTATAAACCTTATTTATTAATAAGGTTAGAATCTTTTCGAAAATACCTTTATAATAGAAGTTGCTAGATATATTTCGAAAGTCTAATATATTCTCCTTAATATTTATAAAAAAAGTGCCGGTTAACGCTGGCTACTTAAAGGAGACAAATTATTTTTAAATATTTAAAAAGGTAGTTAAACTAAATATTAGTTTGAATAATTTCTAGAATCGTATAATATTTAACGAAGATTATAATCCTATCCTAACTATTAATTTATTTACTTATCTTACCTTTAAATTCCTTCGTAAAAGGTTTAAAATATTCGTAATATCGACGGCGAATATTAATTTAAATATTAATAGGATAGTAATTATAGGTTCTTTTAAATATAATTAGCTATTTTAGGGTTATACCCGATTTGTCGAAGGTACTAGCCTTATATTTAATATAAATGGTCTCTTATATTTATATTTTGATATAATTATTATATAATTTGAAATTGCTAACGATTTTATATTGAAGGTTACTAGTAAATTATTAAAATTAAATATATATTTGCTAATCGACGAGAAGTCAGTTAATAAAATGGTGAAGTCCCTTTTTTAGTCCGCGATAAATTTATTAATAGTTTCGACCGTATTTAAAAAAGATAACGGTTAGTTTATTGTACTTTAGATTTAGCTAGCCGGAATAACCGATATTAAATCGGAAGAAATTGAAGTTAATAGAATTATTATTAAAAAGGAAATATTTATTATTCTCATAATTAAAGTTAATATTATTAATCGAATAAATTATAATAATATAAGTAGTACTAGAATATATTATATTAGAGTAAGCTAATTTATATTTATAGATTTAACGTATCGGAGGGTGCTATTTTATAGCCTTACCAGGTTTATTTAAATTTTAATTATACGGTTCGAGGCGGCGGCTAATAGTAGGTAAGAATCGAAAGGGTATAAGGTATTAAAAACTGGGGCTAATTCTTTACTTAGAAGGTAATTAGTAAATTAATAACCTTTAGCGAGACTAAGTAATTTATTTTCCTAATCCTTATACTTATTTAAAGTATTAAAATAAGGACGAGAAGTCTTATTCGTTTTGATAATATTAATTATATCCTTAGAGAAAATTATAGTAATAAATTTAATAAGGGTAATAATGAGGAATGAAAAAATATTAAATATAAGTACTTCTAAATAATATTTCGTAGCGTAACGATTCGATACTTAGATTTTTAATTGTTAGAAAGTATGTAAAGTGGATTAAAGAGATATATAGTAAGAAATAATTAATTCCAGTGATCCTTATCCCAATTCTCTTCGAATGTGCTAGGGTTTAAGTATAAGAACTAGGGATTCTAAGAGGCTAGTCCTTATGCAGTAATATCGTCAAATAGCCCAATTATCAAGCCATGGTTATGAGGGGATTCCTGCACTGTATATGTAGTGTATGAGGTTATACAGATAGGGAGGCACATACTGGACCAGAAGTCTGGCCATCCATGCATGCCCTGATAATCTGACAACAACACTCGCCTGTGCAACTTTGAAATGGGCGGGACGTCGTTCGCTGGTCGGGTCTTACCGTCGACCGGCCAGAATCCAACATCATGCGCAACTCTCACACCTCGCCTTCTTCGCCGAACTTCTGTTTCCTTCCTTTGCCGGTCAAACGGGTGCCTTTCCCATTCGCATCAAGGCAGTCAAAAGCAAGTTCCATCAAGCATCTCGCGTCTCCGCGGCGACTCGCACGAATCTCGCCTCACCTTTTCCCTCCTTCTCCCACCCCCAAGTCCGACGTTCGCACTCTGCCGTGGTGGCTCCCCAGCGCCGCTCCAGCCGCCGGTAGAGCGCTCACGGCGCCAGTTGGACAATTCAATTGCGCATCAATTGACAAAGTAGCCTGGACCCATTGTAAACGGAGACAGGACCGTGAGGGATTGAGGGACCATGTAACTGCGCTAACGCAAGGCAAAAAAAAGAGTGAGAGAGTTCCACTCTCCCCCTTGAACGTGCTTTTGGCTGTTGGAGACTTTCAGAGGACTCGTCTCTTCAGATGCGTGACATTTTCAAAATCCAAATCGAGCTAATCAGCTCGTGGCGATAACCTTCAAGTGAGGTTGTCGAATCATGTGGCGGGGCTTAGAAAGAACTCCGCTTATGTGCATGTGCCATAGCATGCCGAAGCATGCTTTTGATGTTCAATGCTTGATGCAAATGCACCTCTGCCATGTTCATCATGTCTTGTCTTTGACTCTTTTCGACGTCGAACAGAGAGCCTTTTTTGTGTTTTTGTTTCTCCTGGATGAAAGAGACAGATCGTGACTCTTTTCTGTCGTGCGGCACGCGGCTTGTCATGACATTGGAACGCCATGGCAGAGATGTATTGATGTATTGTATCGTTACGAGCATTCAATATAGTCTCGCTTTTGTGCATCTTCACACAAAATCTGGAAAAGTCCTCAAAAAGAATAAGCAAAGAAAAAAGAAAGAACACCACAACACCCACCCCTCCCCCTTCTGCCCCTCTGCCCCCTCTGCCCCTCCTCGAAACCAAGGAACTACTGCACTGCAACGACGGGAGTGATGAGAAAGCGAGCGAGGTGAGGTGAGACGGGCATCCCATTTCACCCCTCACTTGAGAAAAATAAAAAAGAGGGCCAACAAGCGGTTGCCGTAACCGTTTGTGCTTGGCTTGTCAGGCCTGCCAGTCTGTCTTCGGTCTTTCTTCCCCTTGTTACTTGTGACGGCAGGGTGACTGGTTACCAGGAAAATAGAAGAGTCACAATCAAGATCTCGTACAACACTTCCATGGATGGTTGGACGGGCGGTGAGTCCTTTTGTTCAGGACCCTTGGCTTTCTGGTCGGTTTTCCATTTGTTTCTGTGTTCATCTAAAAACTGTGAACCTGTTTGTGTTTCTGGCAAGACGGCACATGTCGTTGAGCCTCACCTGCCCTTTTATTGCTTCCCGTTTATGACACCAAGTATAAAAACGAGTGCCAATTCCGCGGAAAAAGACCTTCATAACACTGCCTGTAGGTAATATGTATGTATGTGCATAGGTATGATGTATGCACCTCAATCCCATTTCAAAACCCTGTGGTAAACAAACCTGGGTGACGGTATGGCACTGGCTGGCTGGCTGGCTGGCTGTCGGCTTCAATGTGAGAAATGTCTCGGGGGATCAACCCCGAGCATTCGGGTCCCGGCAATGGGTTTGTTTTGGAACATGCCTGTGTGTAAGTGCATACCTCGAGGATTGTCAAACAAAAGCCTAGCCTAGTTCAACGAGATAAACGTACGCCATATCTCTAGAAGTTCTCACATCTGACATGTTCTCAGCCTCTGAATGTTCTCGACATGTCAGATACAAAACAGAAGAAAAAAATGTTCCCATAAATCTGAGCGTGATCAGTTTCCCCATCCACGTGAAGCAAAAAGCGCGACATGAGACATGAGCTGGTCTGCCAACCGCGCCAGTTTCGGTTTCATCTCATCTGATGTTGTTTTAAACCTGAACCCCAGCTTACTGTGTAAACCGGTGCTCTATAGTGTACATAGGTAGATAGATCCGCAACGAGACCCTGATAGAATTGAGATAACATCGTCACGGAGGAAGATCCGTACGCAATTCTCCCATTATTGATCAACCGAAGTGATGTTGTTGCGTAGTGTAACGTTTCCAGCGGGGGATGCAGATCTTCAGAAGGTCTTTTGCCTGGGCTACTCGTCGGTTAGGTGGGAACGCTTGCAGCCAGCCAACCGACTCTCATCGTCCCTTTGAGAGTCGGATTTTTTACATGTATCTTGCAAGTGGTGTATCTTTCAAAAACCTTAACAATCCATATCTCTACTAAAACACAAGCAAAAAAGATAATGAAATATTCAGATTGATAGTCTAAATCGCGCGCATTTGGCTATGTATTTATATTATGATTAAAATATTGTGATGTGTTTTTGTAGTGTTGAGAAGCCCGCCTTGGCCTGCTATAAGCGTTAATATATATTAGTTTAAAGAATATTAAGAATTACCATAAAGGTAAAATATTATTAATTTTAATTGTACAGTATTATGAATAGCCTTAATCTATTCGTTTTAATTACTTCTATCGATTTATTATGGCGTATTTCGATTCTAATATTGTTGCGCGGATAGAAAAGGCTATATATTATTACCTCGCCCGCTAAAAGCGTATAATACGTACTAGTTCGAGGAACAGTAAGAACTATTGTAAAAATAATAAAATATTATTAATTTTAATCGTACGGCCTTGTAAATAGTTTCAATCTATTCGTCTTAATTTCTTTTATCAATTTATTATAGTGCATTTCGATTCTGAGGTTGCTGCGCTAGTGAAAAAGGCTGTACGGTATTGTTAATAGCGTAAACTACCGCAAAAGCAATACGGGCCAAGGTGGGCTTCTTAATACTACAATATATTACGATATTTTGATTATATTATATATATATATAGCCAAATGCGCGCGATTTAAACTATCAATCTGAATATTTTACTATCTTTTTTGCTTATATTTTGGTAGAGATATAGATTGTTGAGGTTTTTGAAAGATATACCACTTACAAGATACATATAAAAAATCCGATTCTTAAAGGGACGATGAGAGTCGGTTGGCTTATGTAAGCGAGGCCCCCAGAGGGTGGACTCCACCAACCTAACCGACGAGTACCGCCTTTACCCAGTCGTAAGAGATTTACTTCCCCAGCTCTATTAATTTCAATATAGTATAGCCGGGCCAGCAAGCTTGCTTTTACCCACTTTTTCAACCCTAATAGCCCCGCCAGCCAACTACAGGTGACCTATACCAGCCGTGTGCCCCGTGCCAGTAATCTTTGAAAATCTCGCCTAGTCTCTCTACTCTTACTCTTTTACTAAACAACCTTCTTAAAATTTAACTTATACACTCTAATCGCCATTATCGCTAGAATTAATCAAATAATACTATATTATCGATCGCGATATTAACTTTTATTCAAAAAGTAAGCAACGTATTCAAACTTATTACTATTAAAATTCCTAAAATTCCTATCGCGGGTTCAATATTAAAAAGTCGAACAATTTTAAAGTAAATTTCAATTTAGATCTCTCATATTATCACTACCCTATTTTATTTATTTAATTATAGTTTTTTATCGTACAACTCCCCTCCCTACCCCTTTAGAAACCTAGGTTTTATAAATCAATAAAATATTATTAAATTTATCTTATAATACCTCTTTCTCTTTAACAATATTAATATCGACTTTATTATCCCACCTTTTTTTATAATATCGTTACTAAAAAAAAGAAGCAGGGTAAAAAAGTCAAACCCCTCTATAAACAATATTAAAGTCGGCTATACGTATATCCCCCCTTAACTTAAATTGCTAAATTTCGTCGCCAATATTCCCGCCGTATTAAAAGTAAAGTTTTAAATTACCTCTTCTTTAATTTTGTTCCTATCGATAATATTAACCGCCGCGGTCGCAAATTCGAAACTCTAAAAACCAATCCTATAATTAATAACTATAATTATACCCTACTTAATAGCTTCCGCCGCCTAATATATCTTTAAACTTTAAAATATTTTAGTATACACCGCTCTACTCTAATACGTTAGTAATTATAAAGAAATAAAGTTATTTATAGTATTGAATTTCCCTTCCGACCTAAATAACTAGAATTAGAGAAGCAATTATTCGACCGCTTTATTTCAAAACGTAGAATAGGTAATCTAATACGTATCGGCTAATTTAAAATAAAATTAAAATATATTTTTCATTAATTAACTGGCTAACGCTACTTGGAATTTTTATTCTCGACTAATTAAATTAGAAACTTTATATAGCAGTATAATATTATCCTTCGTCGTATTATACAGTAATCTTCTAAATTACTAGAAAATTATTTTCATTTTACAACTAGCTTTTTAAAATTTATTAAAAGAAATACAACTATCCCTATAATATAAAATATTAACTGTTTAATTTATAGCCTACTCACCCCTTATAAAATAAATATTTTATATTTTTCTCATCCTTCTATCTAATTTATAATTAATTAACTTCCCTTCCCTCAATTTTAATCAGTAAATAAGCGATTTATTATTAATTTTAACGAGACTTCTATACCCTTCAAATTTTTTAATAGAATTATATACGATATTAAAAGTAATAATACTATTACGGGTAAGACCGACCGAAGCGGATAAAGTAAGCGGTAAACTACCTTTATTCTATATATTTTTATAGATAGGGTATAGTGGTTAGAACCTAAATTTATTTTTAAGGCTACTTCTAATATAGTTAAGCGAAAGATTCTAGATAATAAATTAGATTATTTCTTTTATTATCTTTCTTTTTTATACCTTCTTATTTATATCTATCTCTTTCTTTTACCTCTAAGTTATACTTCTAAACTATAAGTTGCGTATAAAATTAAAACCAATAGAAAGTGCTAATACCGTATTAATCTTACTATCCGCGGGTAAATAAGTAATAATCTGAGCTAAGGCGGGTAAATAAGTGCAATGCTATATACTACAAACCTAGGATTTCCCTTTCCTTCTATCTTTTTTCGTTTTTTTCTTCTTTTTCCTTATAGCTAATATAATTGTTAGTCTAGAGTAAAACCTTAATCCAACGGAAAGGTAAATTAGTACCGTATCTTCTACCTATTATTTGCAAGTAATCAAGTTATAATATAAGTAGAAGCAGGTAGATCATACATTCCCTATTTAACTATAGGAAAAAAAGAAAGAAAAAAGGAAGGAAATAAAATTTTTTATTTAACCTATCTCTTCTATTCTATTACTAACCCCCTTCATTTATTTAAATAAAACCAATTAATATAATAAATATATAACGGTCAAATTTAATACAACGGTTTATAATAACGAAAAATTAATAATTAAATAGATTAATAAGGAATTGTATAAAGAGGTAGGCAATAATAACGATAAAGTATTATTAATTTTAAATATAACTGGTTTCCATAAAATAAAGGAGGTTTTCGATACCTTCGATAAATATAATATTAACCGAATATTAATTTCTAGCGGTCTTATACCCCTACTACAACCCTTCAATACCTAGATTAATAAATCTATTAAGGTATACCTCTTCAATAAATACGAACGATATATTAAAAAATAAAAGGCTATTAACGGCGACGCCGAAAAATAGAACCCTAGCAAAAAGAGGATTATACTTATATATATTATTATACGGATAATCGATCGTCTCAAATTGGAAAACTTAAACTTAGTAGTTAAATCCTTTATCGACTATAGTATTTCTATATACCCCGACGGTTCAAAAAAGTTAAAAATTAAAAATTAAAGGTATTAATTAGCGAGACATCGACTTTTTAAACTTCTAATAAATTATTAATATCGAGGTTATTAATAATTATATCGAACTAAATATAGAAATTACTCTTAACGAATTAAATATAAATTATACTGACTATAACGTACCCTAATTAAAGGCCTTTTACAAATAACAACTGATCTTTAACTTTAGTAAACTTAAAAAGTTCGAATTTATTACCAAATTCATTATAACTAACGAAAAGACTTTTATTACTGCTAAATCGAGAGTAAATAATATATAATTAATATTTAAAAAGGAGGAGGGAAACTTAATAGCGCTAATTCTAATCGATTAACATTATTACTAGTATTAATCCTCATCTTCATCTTTAATAACAATAAACTCTTTTACTTATATAAATACTTTACCTTCTTACTACTTTCTTTTAATATTCTATATATCGTATTTTCACTATCGCCTCCCTCTCGATTTTATAAAGTATTTAACTAAATAATTCTTATTTAAAATATATTTTTTAATAAAATCTATCTACCGCTTTTAAACCTAACTAAAATGATAGGCACCGCTTTCAAGGGATAAATTAATAATATATATAAACCCAGGGGAAAAAGGTTGCCAGTAAATTGTATTATATTTGTCGTTAATAATAAAAATTCTAGCATCCTCGAAGTCTTCTATTACGTCTATAAGGAAAAAGGGATAGAAAATTAGATCCAGTTAGTAATGTAAATTGTATAGCCGTTTACGTACAAACGATATCGATAGTCCTAAGGTCAATACAAAATATAGTTTTATAGGGAAAGATTAAAAATATCGTCGTTTTTATAGCTAGTATTAGTATTGTTAGCTAATATATAAAAAGAATAAAACGACGAAATTAATAGGAATTAGAAGGTTGGCAGTCTTTAGAACCCCCTCTTTTGCCAAGGAACTAGGCACCCCTATACACCTCTTGTATAGCCACGTTTACGTATCTATATAGCTTGTATAAGGGAGCTAACCATACTGTAAGAAGGTTAGGCTCTGAAATTAATATGGGGAGTAAATCTCTTACAACTGAGTAGAAGCGGTAAGCTTGACATGGACAACAAACCCCCAGAATATATTGTATAGTGTAGTTACGGCTCGCACAGTCTACGCTACTACAGCGTGGCGGACAGGGTCATCATCAACCGAATGTCGTGACTGGGGAACCCGACCGCTTGTGTCTCTTTTGCTCGGAAATGGACCTTCTGAAAGTTTCAGAACCCACTTATCCCAGAGGCGTAAGGGCGTGTTTGTTTCCCCTGAAATGTGGCTCTGAATTGTTCAGAGCCGTTTTTTCAGAGTGCTGTTTGGAAACGCTCTGAACATTTCGGTACTGAAATCGCTCCAAAATCCCCGTTCTGAAATTTTGAGTCCCACCTGCGATTTCTGGCCAATCATCTTTCATCAAACTCCCAATTTTAGAGTCCAACATTCAATACCAAAGGAGCTTTAGAACGTTTTTGAACCGAATTCTGAATTTTAGGATGGCCCGTGTAACCTTTCTGAAAACTATTTCAGAAAACTCACTTCAGAAGGCCATTTCAGAGGAAACAAACACGCCCTAACTTTAACCTTCTGAAAGGTTTAGAAGGTGGATAAGGCCAAAAATCCACTTTCTGAATTGTTCAGACTCCATTTCAACCATTTGACCAATCAAAGAGCGTGCATCGCTTTCTGAACTTTTCAGCAGCCTTTTGCTTTCTGAAAAGTTCAGAACGCTAGATTTCTACTATCGCGATAGCGATTGAAGATTGCGCAATGCTTTATCGATTAACAATAAGATGAAACCTTCTAAAATTATAGAATTTAGAAGATGACCCTAATAAGAACCGAAGTTCCAAAAAGATTGAAGTGCACTCTGGGAATCTTAGAGTAGAGAGGGAGTGCAGCCGAGAGCATTAACACTCAAAGATGGGCTCGAGTTTCCCAAGACCCAAACAGCTTTTGAAAAAGCTGGTTCCAAAAAATGGTCTCCACTTTCTCTGCTTGCTTGGCGTTCAATTCAGAATTGGCCAGTGCACGCCCAGGGAAATAGTGGGTTTCTGAACATTTCAGAAGGTCCATTTCCGAGTCAAAGAACACGCCCTAATCTTAAAAAGACGAATGAGGACGGAATGTGGGCGAAGAGATGGATACCGGTACCTCCCAAACAAATGGCGGGTGTGGTATGAAACTAACGGGTATGCAAGAAACGGAGTGGCGATCACCAGATAGTGCGCAGCCTCGGGTTCGACACATAACAGCTCTATAACAGAAATACCTACATCTGGTAGTTGAAGTAGTTACAACATGGCTTGTTCGACGAACAGTCGTTGACTTTTCTAGGGTTCTGGCATGTACCACACAAGAATGAACATAAGGAAGGGTATATTGCAGGTTTAATCAGAAGTTTAGCATACTAAAGGCCCACGAAGCCGACAAGGTGAGTAGCTTTCATATGTCCAAACCGGCTACAGTAAGGCCTTGGGTCGTCATTGGCCAGACTGCGACCTGCGCGGAAACCAAGAACTGAATTAGACGAGACAACTGGCTGTATCTTATACGAGACTAAGGGCCAGGCGCTCCTGTGTATTTCGGTAGGAGGGAACGTCGCGAGGGATGGTATATATCATGCGGCTGGCTGGAGGCGAAGACAGCCGCGGTGGTTGGTCTCTGACGGTTGACCTTTACATAACCAGACAGCACGAGTTTTGCTTCTTCGCACTCTGGTAGAACATCTTGCTCTGCGCACTCAAGTCGGAACTCTTGGCAACCAGGTCGTCGAGCTTCTCGCCTCGTTGCAGAACCTAAAACTAAGTTAGCATGCTATAGAGCACTGCTACCCTCCGTGGATGGACATACGCTATCAATAGCCTTGTGTAGGACAATCTTGGTCTCGTCGAGCTCCTGCTGGATCTTTGCGATGCTGCTCGCGTTGTTGGCATCCTGGTAGTCGCGGAGGTACTGCTCGATGGCCGGGAAAGGGATGTCGCCGTCGTTCCTGGCGGCGTTTATCGTGGCGATCGGCTTCTCCGAGAGGAACTGGTCCATGAGCTTGGAAAGGACACTGTGGGCGGCGATAGGAGGGTAGTCCTTGGTGATGACGACACCGCAGACACCCTCGGAGCGGGCATAGGCGTGGATAATGTAATCTGTTCGGACACCACCTTGTCAGCTAGGCACATGAATGCGAGCAGAGAGTTAACCATAGACGCACCTTGCTCCTCAACACTTTGCCTCTGGCCAGGCTTCGTCCTCTCTGCGACAGTCCTGCTGATCATGGTCATGAAGTTCTTGTATTGGTCTCGTGTGAATCTGGAAAAGTCGCTAAGCTCGTGGGCACCGCAGAGCTGCACCGCAGGCTGCTCGGTGTTTTTGTAGATCTTGTTCCCGGTCAGCAGGTGCCTTCTTCCCCCCAAAGACAGCCGTATCTTACACCAATGTAGTAGAGCTTCATGGTGGCGGTATTTGAGATGTCCCCGAGGTTTTGTTGTGGTCGTGTTTCAAAGCTTTGGCGCAAATCAAACGAGATTCGCAGTTGATGGTTCTTGAATGTCCAAGATGATGCTGATGTCTCGCGATGGTTTAGAGAAAGCCGATGTGACGGCGTGGGGAGCAATGAGGTCTGGAATTAGCGAATCGTGGGGTACGTCGTTGAATTACGTAGGTGGTGGGTTGCGAGTTATGATGGTTCGGTCAAGGAAGCGCGTCGCTGTGTCTGTCGTGGTTCGGGCTCGAAGATTGTCGATGGCGGCGATGGCGATGCGATGGAGTGTCGTTGGAATCAAGCTGTCGTTCGAGGCTGAATGGCGATGTGTTGAAGCCAACCACAGCCGCCGTCCGCTTCTTGCTGAGCCGGGCCATGGCTGAAGCACAGTCAGGCGGGCGTCGGCCAAACACCGCCCCGCTAGTACATGTTAGTGCCTACAGGCCTGTAAATGGCCGCGACCCAACGATAGGAAGACCTTGTCCTAACTTGTTGCATCTCCGTGGTCCTTTCTTTGCTTTGTTCAACCAGGATGATTGATACGTGCAATGACAAGGACGACCGCTCAGAACCTAACAATCGCGCTTGTCAAGAATATTCTCCTGGACCTTTGAACAACAGTTTCCAAGGGGACAAACTGATGATGCGGAAGGTAATCAAACACAACAAAGCCGGCTCATGCTTATAACGAGGTTTCCTGAAGCGATAAAGGGTCTTCTACCGTGTTCACCCGCAAAGCGAATATGTTCGAGACATGTACTTTGTTCCGAGTCTGGAAGGGATCGCGGACCTCTCAATGTCACGCCTATGAGGTATATGATTTTCATGATCTCTTATCGTATCTCAGCCTTTCGGGTACGTATCATTCATGGTCGCACAGATGTTACTACATACGACCATCGAACCGCGTTACCTACGAGTCTGTACATCACCAATAATGAAACTCTGGACATGTATCGAGATGCCAGACTGGTGATGCTGAGACTCTTCCTACCAAAGTTTGACCTTGACGGATAGTGTATGTAATGCCGAGGAGATGGCTCAAAGAGGAAGGGGATTCGTGAGGTGATGAGCGTTCCTCCTTCCACACCAGAGTTAACGCCCGATGGTGCTCCACCGCTCTTTGCACCGATTAGGACAAGCGGTGGCTCTTTGCCATTCCCGTCGTTTCCCCAGCGATCTCACTCTGCCGTCGCGGTGCCGTTCGCTTGTGAGAAGAGCAACGGGATGCTGGGGACGTTGGGACGGCGACGAAGCGCAGTGGACACTGGACTCTTTTCCGCAGTGGGCTCGCAGTGCAGTGGCTCGAGGGTGGGTGGGTGGATACGCTGCTGCAGACCAGGGCCGAGCCAATCCCATTGGCTGTAAAGGCAAGTCCAGGGTGCAACGTTCTTGCCGGGTACGAAACCTGGACAGGAACCATCGTTCGCTCTTGCGACCTCGTCCCCCTGGTCAGCTTCTCGAGCCTTGTCCACACTGGTGAGCGCTCCCTGCCAGATCCCCATCGATGCGGTCTGCCGTCGGCCAGACTTGCGGACTTAGGCTTTGACAAGCAATTTGAGGTATCCACCTGTTGGGTATTGGAAATCGATAATAGTCATGGTGCATCCGTGTTCTATATTCCTGCAGAGTATCTGTCTTCTTCACCCTCAAGGAGAGATATCTACCTGGGTATCTGTCCCGTACATAGCTGGCGGTACTTCTGCGACCCATCATCCGTCCGTCTTACAAACGAGCGCAACTCCGTTCGGCTCTTATACCTACCTACCTCTATCCGCTCCCTGCCAACTCTACTTCTTTGCCTCTCACCCTCTCATTACCTAAACCTGACCTTTTTGCCCATGTGCAAGCAGCACACATAACTCGGAGTTTGGACACACACGGACCCCTCAAGTCTATATCATTGACGCATCAACTAAACGAGGTTGAACGGATGCTTGCCGACTGATTTCCGACCGCTATCACTACCAAAGTTACCTCAACCTCACCCTTCCTTCAACATCGCCCATCCTTTATATACCTTAAAGCAATAAGCTTCTCCACATCAACCTTTAATCGCTCTTGAGACGTCTTCAACTTCGTCTCTTGCGACTTCCCATTCTGTCTACTACGACAATTCAACAAGCCGCACGTGCCAACCATCCATCCCCGCGCTCCCGACCGCCACAGAAATGGCTACCGAATTCGTGATGCCTCGGTTCCCCAACAACCAGCAACAACCTCATTTCCAGCAAACATATCGTGGGTTTCACAATAACCCGAGTATGAATCGCCAACAGCCGCCGCCTCAGCAAGTGAGCACGGGTGCTCCTTATCAGCCATCGGCCCAGTACAACGGCAACGGCAACGGCAACAGCCAACAAATTTCACCTCTCAGTACGTCTGGGAATGTTTCGCCAACCTCCCCAAAGACCCTCACTCGTCAAATCCGTCCGCTGTATATGCCGGCTGCCCTCAGGCCGAACCAGTACGCATCCAAGCCGCCGACATCGAGGCCCAGCTCCAAAGACGAGGAGATCGAGGAGGAGCGCAAGTTGAAACCAAACACCAGCTACATCGGACGGGGTGCTTTGGGGCGGTTGAGCAGGAGAAACACCGGAGATAGCGGCATGGGCATGTGCATCGACCCCAACGTGAATCTGGATCATTATCCCCAGCCGACTGGGGTGCCGACGCGGAAGCACTGGAAGGTACGTTTCCCCCATTTTCCCTGTCATGTCTCACTTCGGTGTGGCCTTTGTGTGTTTTGAAGTGACACAAGATGCATGGACTGACACAATTTTCCTCTACAGCCCGACGCAGAGTCTACGGTATGCGATGATGCCAGGTGCAAGAAGAACTTCAACTACTTCACCCGCCGCCACCACTGTCGCAGATGCGGAAACATCTTCTGCGACGTCCACAGCGCATTCGAGATCCCCTTGGACCAAGATGCGAACTACAACCCCCGGGGAACTCCGAGCCGCGCTTGCCAGCATTGCTATTCCCAATTTAAGGAGTGGCGAAGCCGGGCCAACAGCCAGTCGTCGACCAGCGGTTCGTCTATCTCGGATGGCAAGACGACCAGCTCTGAGCCGGGCAGCCCGGTTCTTGCTTCTCCCATAATCCCCACGGGGATCAAGATGGGATTCAACCTGGGATTACCGAGCATGCCCGAGGTGGCCCACAGCGTTCCTAGGGACTGGAACTGGAGCACATTCTGAAGGCATGATCGGCCTTTGTTAAAGTCTTTGTCTACAGAGAGAGGGACCTCTTTCTTGCACTCTGCGATCCAGCTGGATTGCTAGCTTTCGGATCGATCGCGCAGAGTATGTGTGCATTTACTACTCGGGTCGAATCGCACCGGAGACGCGGAGTTGAGTGGATCCTCCCATCCGGCAACGGCGACGACAACGACCAATATTTTTTACGACCGACATGGCCCGAGATTGAACGAAAGGCATATACGTTCAATGCGTCACGCACCTAATATGGCACAATGAGGTGGAGTTAATGGGTTGCATTGCTTCGGATGAACATTTTAGATGGTTCGTTTTGATCTACACAGCATAGAATCCCCCAGCACTTGCGGGATTGAGCGTCTGCTTTTCGGCTTGCTTCAGTTTATCACGACCTCTTGGCTTTGGACCTCGCAAAGTCGGAAAAGAGCAGCTTGCGTATTACAACAAACATACCCTCCGCATCAGACGGGGACTGGCCCTCTGGCGGGATGGGCACTGGCGAGGTTGACTCCTTTTGCTTGCGTTTACCCTTTGGGCCTACACACAACAAATTGCCCAGGGTTTGCTTGCGCGGCATTCCGATTTCGGTGGGCTTCTCGTCGAGCGGAGGAGCACACGACTCGCGCTTTGCAGCTTCAGACCCGCATCGTTGAGGCTGCTCGCTTCGACCCTCCACGCCGGGCTAGGGAGGTTCCACGTCGTCCCGCTCAAGACTCCACTTTCTTCACCTTCGACGCGGTCAACCCCTACCAATCCTACCAAGTGGAGTTCCGCCGATCTGGCTTTGGTGATGAACAGTTCGATCTGGTCATGGGATCAGAGCAAGCACTTGAGCGAGGGACCAATATTCCCTCTCCCGCATCATCATCATACGATGATAACGACAGCTACGTTCATGGCAAATGATCTTTGCTGCTTGCTGCTCTGTGTTTGCTTGCTGGAGTGTCCTTGATGGAGTTTGAGAGTTGTTGTTGAAGTTTGCTGTTGTTTTGTTCTTTGCTGTTTCTGTTTGAGAAGGGGGGGCCAGCCGCCAGCTAGCTCAACCCACCGGTTTGCAAATTTGCATAATTGGCGTTGCCCGACGGAATGTTTACTGTTTTCGTTTAAGCATGTCCGAAGAAGGGGAGGACCCTTTTTTCGGCCTTCGCGATGTTGCTGTTTTTTGTTGTCGTTGTTGAGATCTGCATCATGTTTGCGTTTGTTTCAGCTTTTACACTTTTTTCCTTCTCTGGTTCAAAGAGACATTGCTACGGGACAGTTTACAGGCGTTTTTTTTTTTTTTAGAAGATGTACATTTACAACAACAACATGAGACAAATGAGAAAGAAGATGGAGAACCGGAGGCTATCGGTTCATATTCAGAACTTCAGATCGGCGTTTCGCTCCCTCCCTTTGTGTGTCGATATTCATGTCTGAGTGATGTAGAAGGAGGATATACCAGTCAGCGTGTTAGACGGAGAAGTTTGAAAGAACCCAAGCGGGTTCCAGGTACTCGTTCGAAGAGAATTGTATTCAGATCAGTTACAATCAGCTCTCTCTCCTGTAGTCCTGTTGCTGTTGTACACTCCAGTAAGCCAGTAGTCACCCTGATCTTCCTTTCCTGAGATGTCTAGGACATCATCATTGAGGGTTGAGCATACCGGCAAGTACCATTGTCTAGTCCGTTCCTTACGAGTAGTCCTAAGTAGTATCATGCTAGGCATGATCGTCCTTAGAGTCTTAGACGAGTGTCTAATATCAAGAAAGCTCTCCCACAAGTCACAACGGTTGTCAACCTGACACTCCCACTCTTAACTCTTCTCCATTGGCATCCTTGTCTCGCCACTCACGGCCAAGTTAATGCAAGACGGGCGGAGTGCCTAGAGGTACATATGTGCGTGACTGAGTGGCGTTGGCGTGCGTGCCTGCGTGCCTGACATCCTGCAGCCTGGACTTGGACGGACGGTGTCCACGCCGCGGGATGACATCGTCGGGCGCCCAGGACTCGGGAAACTCGTTTTTGTTTTTTTTTGGGTTGCTGTAGAAAAGACAGGGTTAAAGATCTGTCAGATGCTTTTTGTGGCCGTCAGAGAGCATCTAGGTAGGTACGTGGTTCCTGGACACCTTTGACCCTGCAACTTGGAAAACAAGTTTTTCGAGCCTTTGCTGCAGCATCCAATGCACTTCTAACCAACCCTTCAACCCCTCCAACTGATTCAACTCTCAAAAGTCGGGGGCAAGGGGGCCAATTTTGATCTTACAGCTGATTGACCAACCGACTGACTGTAATTCTGTTGTACAGCCTTGCCTTGTCAAGCTTGACCACAGTGGATTTTCCAAGTAACTAGTGGCTACAAGCAGGTACACAGGCAGGTCTGCAGTAGTATTCAAGTTATATAGGCAGGTAAGCTAGGTAGTCCTCAGCTTTTGATGAGGAAGGACGGGGAAATCGGACATGTGATTACAGAACAAGGGGGAGACATACCTAGGTATAGGAAGTGAGAGAAGAGCAAGAAGAGAGGAGCCAGAGAGAGAGAGATAAGAGAGAAGAGGAGGGAGAGAAGAAACGAGGAGAGAAGAAAGAAAGAAAGAGATAGAGATTCCAAGGAAGTCAGTTTCACTTCACTTCCCTTCCTCCTCCTGAGACACATTCGAAATCTTAATCCAAGTGTGTAATCAAACAGCTCCTTCAACTTTTTCGAGACCCTTGAGACATCGCGAATTTCCATCCGAGAGCGAGACGTGCAATACCTACACCCACACGGCAGTCAGTGCTCGCAAGAACAAGACTGCTGCCGCTCTCCACACAGGTCAATGTCATTAAAAGCCCATTTGTCAGCTTTCCTCTGAACAACAAAAGTCGATCAGAACGCGAACAACATATCTTGATACTCTGTGTTAATAGCTCATCACCAATGGAATCAAGGAGACAACCGACGGAACGAACAAGACCTAAGGAAATGGTGGCATTAGTTTCTGTAAGTGAAGTACTACAGAGACGGGAGGTAGGGCTGGGCTTGGAAGATTAGGTAAGTAGTCAAAGACTGCCATGGCAGGTGCGACGGTACGGTTGCTTAACCCCCGCCGATAGAAGAAGACCGGAAGCGAAAGGCAGAAGGGAAGGCGCGGAGAGCGGGCAGTTCAGTTGGTCGCATGTTCTTCTTATTGGGAAAGAACACTGCACCACTGGAGATGCAGTACTTACTGTGGGAAAGATACCGTAAAGACTCGGGGCGTTCGTTTAGGGGTTCCAAGGCCTAACTGACAGAATCTATGTATTAGGTACCTTAGGGTTTGGGTTTTTAAAGAGATTCGAGCAGTCTGCAATGCTAGAGGTGCCTCAAGTGTACTGATTATGCCTGATTTCCCTGGAACCTAAAAACGAACGCCCCGAGTCTTTACGGTAGTTGGAGGTTCATTGGATTTTCAGGCCACGGTCCATACTGGAGACTTGCTGTGTAGAAATGACTTGACCAAAGGAAACACCACAATGTTGAGTGCGTGAGAAACTTGCGAATCAGTCTATAGATCCAGCACTCCGTTGGTTATATTCCTTTGCGTTGTTATCATGACATTCAACGTACCCCATCTGTACAGGTGGATAGGTTACTACTATACCGGACGAATGTAAACTGGCAACGTTGACGCTTACACGCCGTTAGCCTTTGACCATATTGGAAGAATGTCCGTAGCTACCATAACGTATGAGAGGTTATAAGTATGACAAGGCATTATGAACAGGATTGCACTCGGTGGGAAAGAGCTTCACAAGATTTAGAAGTTTGAAGATGGACCATGAATAGTTCTATTCTATGAAGTACCAAAATATGCTGATGAAATAATGATATGCCCCAATAACCCAAGCAAAATACCCGTCCCATGCTAGTTCCTGTCCCCTTTTCTCTTTCCTTATGCTAATAAAACCGAATCCACGTTAATCATTCCTCGTCTAAGAAAACCACAAAATTTCTTGTTTCCTATCTTTGAACAACCTCGAACGGCCGATTGGCACCGCTCTTGGCTTGAGATAATCTGCAACCGCCTTTAGAAATACGGGTGTTCACCCACAGACCAATGAGGTGTGGGCGCGGCGCAGAGAATCGGGTATCTCTGTATGTCAGGGTATTTTTGTTTGCTTCACCTCCTTTGTTGGCTCAAAGCAGAGACCAGGCAGCGAGGGAAGGAAGATACCAAATGAGAGCTGACATCATCTGGCCTTTTGAGGCTATCGCCAGGTCTGGATCACGACCGGACTTGCGGCGCGTCATAACCCCCATTCATACTGGAGGTTATAGGGCTGACTACAAATCGATTGGTGGTCAACTGTGGTCAGAGACCGTTTAAGCGCGCTGGCGGAGGGTGCGCTTGGAGCCAGAGCGGGTGGTGCGAGCCTCGGAGGCGTCCTCCTTGGTCTCGCCATAAACCTCACTCTCCATCTTCTTGGCAGCCTCCCAGCCGGCCTTCTCAGCCATGGCGACGTTGTCGACGGGCTTAGCGTTCTTGGCCTTCTCAGCAGCATTGCTGCGGCGGGTGTAGCTCTCGATGAAGAAAGAGACGAAGAGGTAGGTGAGAGGGGCGAGGTAGAAGACGTTGAGCCAGATGGCGAAGGTCGAGTTGTTGTTGGTGACGCAGGGGACAACGCGCTGGCCATAGGTGGCATCGGCGGCGTCGATGCGAGTAGCGTTGCCGAAGACAAGGACCTTCTGGCTATCGACAACGGTGCTGGCGGCCTCGGCAGCGGAAGCAGTCTTCTCGGGGTTGGCGACAACAACGGGGATGGTGTAGGAGACGAAGGAGTGGACGATGGCGTAGGAGGCACCGAGAATGAACTGGGTGATCTGCATGGTGGTGAGGGTACGCTTGATGGGGGTAGGTACGCGGACGTTGAAGGCAGTAACGGTGTAGTAAGTGTACTAAGTAGGAAACTATTAGCTTTTGTTCATGCTTAGAAAGCGAGTATTGGCTTTGAACTTACCATCAGAGCGTGGATGAAAGAGTTGACGAAGCAGAAGACCCAGATAGGAGTGGACATGTAGCGCATACCAGCCCACATGCAGAGCATAGCACCGGCGTGGTGGTAGGTCTGGAGAGTGGAGCTAAACTTGCCCTTGGCGAGGATAATGAGGGTATCGAGGACCTCGTAGAACTTGGAGAGGTAGAAGATCCAGCCGTAGAAGGCAAGACCCTCGTTCCAGAGACGGCCAGAGTCGAAGCGGCTGGGGTTGCCATCGGCACCGAGGGTGACGTGGGGAGAGTAGGTCTGGAAAGCACCGGCCTCATCGTTGTAGAAGACAGAGTTGCTGAGACCAGCGCGACCGTTGACGCGGCAGACGGAGTCGACGAAACCAGCGAGGCCCTCAGGACCGAAGGGGCTCACGAAGGAGCGGCGGACGGCACCGAGCATGCCAATGAAGGTCCAGGCCGAGTAGACGGCGAGGAAGACATTGTGGGCAATGACGAACCAGTGGAAAGGCCTGGTCTTGCTGATGGCCCAGGGCTTCTTGCCGGTGGACTTGTTGTACATGTTGAGGAGCTTGGCGGTCACGGCGTAGACGGTAGCGATGGTGAGAGGGACCTTGGGGTCCAACCAGGCGTAGTAGACATCATCGGGGATGTTGAAGACGGTCGCGGAGTTGGGGCCGACCGGGGGAGGGGGGACGAAGCCCGGGTTGGTGGCGGGCGGGAACTTGAAGAGGGATGCCTGGGGCAGGGAGAAGGAGATGGACGCCATTCTGACTCCTGGTGCAACCTAAATCGAGTTGAATTCGGTGAAGGATGGTGTTGAAAGGGAACCGGGAGAGAGAAAGCCTGAGAACCGTGACGAACGTCTGCGAGGTTTTGTTCTTGCGTCTTTTGTCGTGACTTTTTAAACAAACTTTATAAGAGGATCCCCAACGCTTTCGGGATCGTCCAATCTCTGCGCCACACTAGCAAGGTACTGGGTACTTTTGGGTACCTTTGGGCACAGTACGTACTCGGGTGTGTTGCAGGGGTGTGGTGAACGTCGGCAACTGGCCCGATGGACGCCTGGATGAAGTTGTTGCCGGCGTCGGATCTGCTCGGAACGGGAGTAGGACGAGCGTGATCAGATAGAGGTTTGCAAACTTGATGGGCCAGTCAAGATCCTTAGAACCGGAGTAGAACAACTGAGTGTTTGACCGAGGAAAGAGAACGGGAAAGTAGAACAACTTAAAAAGAGGAGAGTGGGTAGGTTCCATTATCAGCAGCCAGAGATGGCCATCATAGATAGGTAGAGGCGATATGCTCCTCAATCTCATCACTGCAACAAACTTGAATAACGGGGTCGAAGGGGGCAGTGAGCGACGAGCGGCAGGACCGATAAGGTACCTCGAAGGTAGGTACGGGCAGAAACCAAGGCGAAAATTGTTGGTTTTCTTTTCCTTCTTTTGCCAGCAGCTGGGCTCGCATGGCAAGACCACTCCGGGGCATTGTCCGTCCGGCACCTCGCAAAGGCACCTCCAAAGGCACCTCGCAATGGAAGGCATCTCACGCAACATGGCAACCTCTCTCGCTGATAGCACCAATAATACCAGAGCGCTTGCTGTTACTGGTGAGCCATGAACCAGACTTCCCAGTTCAGAAGGTTAACTTTTCCAAGGGCCCCACCCAGAACCCATGGGGTATCACAGACTTCCATAGAGCTTCCATAAAGGCAAATTGGACAATCAAAAAAGCAACAGGAACATGTTTGCAAAGCATTTCAGCCAACATGTCAACATTTTACTTGCCAGTATTTCCAGCATCGTGGGCGTTGCTCTCCCACATCTCTCGCCGCTGGGCAAAGGTCCACTCATGCACCGAGTTTATCGCGACTCCGCGAGTTCGTGGGACTTCAGGTATCGGTACCTTGACAGTACAGACACCGATGTGTAAGCCAAGACCCGTATTTTACCAAAAACAGAAGGAGAAGGGCTCGTTGAGGATTTTCATTGGCTCACCATGCTCTTTCCCTACCCAGCTGATTATTAACAAAAAGGTTGATCCTGGGCAATCGAAGGTTCTGTTGATCATATCGGGAGCCGCGGGGTGGCAGCGGCAGCAGCAGCAACAGCAGCAGCACAGCAAGAGGCGGCGTTTATCGCTATCTGCCAAGGTAGGTGCTTGTCATTGACGTGCTATCATCCGGTTTCCATCATCCAGCAAGTCGGCTGCCAGGCATCGAAGCGGCGTTGCAGTGTTGTTGACAGCAACTGAAAGATGGACAAGATTTGGCGGCATCGGATCGCTCGGTGGCGGGCGTGAGCGGTTGTCTTGACATTGCGAAACCGACTGGAGTGTCGATGCGTTCGAGCGACGGTCGTGGGCGGTCATGGAGATCCCGTCGTTGCCAAACAAACAGTCGGGCGGTGATGTCAGTTTGGAAAATCGGATGAGATGGCTTTTTGCGACCCAGGCGTGCTCTTGGCGTTCCCGCTCCAAATCTCGGAACGGTTTGGTTCGTTCGATCAAGTCGATTTCTCTAGGCCAATTTGGTTTCTTGCCACGAATTTTGCATGTGAAAGTTCAAGACAGGGAGCTTATAACTTTCGAGACCTAATTGGTGGCATCCGAAGGCGAAGGATCCATTATCCCGAGCTTCGTCAAAAAATGAGGTCCACTTTGTAGAGTTATCGATTTATCGCACTCAAAAGGCTCCAAGAGAACGCGGTTCACGGTTGTCAGGCGCGGTTCTAGGCGCTCGAGATCTGTAGGGCTACAAATTCAACAAAAATCCCAGAAAAGGCAGCCTTTTTACCCCTCTTTTACCCCGCCATTTGATCCACATCTCCCCAACAGTTGGAAAGAGCTTGCACATTTCATGCGCTGTAACCCCGCGCGCCTTCCGCGTCTGTGGTAGGGTGTCGCAGGGCGGGCGGGAGGTACGTACCGCTTGTGCCTTGCCTTGCCCGCGCAGAAGGTAGCACAGCCGCAAATCTTGGCATCAAGTTTGGGTTTCTGTTGAATGACACGGTACAAACACAAAGTGAGCCTCCGCTACGACTTTTCATTGCGACTGTTGCCTCCCACGACGTCAGCAATGGTTTGTCGTCGAGAAAGGTGAGAAAAGGGGTCGTGAGGGTTCCCCAGACGAGACAAAAGTCAACAGTCCGACATGCACGTGAAAAAGGAGCATGGATCCAAGAGCAAACGTGCTGTCAAACGCCCACGCTTTTTGAGTTTTTGATCGCCAGTTTTCTCCAGAACAACGTCCACTTCCCCCGCGTCCCGTCCGTGGCCGTGCTCACTTCCCGTCCCGCGTGGGTATCACAAGGATATTGAGCCTTGAAGGAGAATGTGTCGTCTTGTGTATCCGAATTTCCAAGGTACCTTCCTCTACTTCACGCGGAACACTGATCGCCGTTCAACAAAAAATGGTGATAGCTACTTCCGTTAACAATGGCCGTCTAAAGAGAGCACGTGGAACAAACATCATGAGTTCAGGGTCTTTTCTGCATCGGCAATGCTGCACTTTGCCTATATTTACCGAAAGTCCCTTTCCAGCAAAAGAAACTCCGTCGCTATGCCAAAGATGGACTTGGACTTTTATACCCAGCCTTGGCGACGACACCCCCAAGAGTCTGTCTCTGTGTCAGAATGTTGATCCACCTTTGAGTTTTACCGAGGTGTGCACGAACACTCTTCCCGTCTTGGATAACCATGTGTCAATGAGGCCGGATCAGATGAGGGGTGAAAGAGGGGGTCGAGTGTGAGAATTGAGCTTGATGTTTGTTGAGAGACTCTGTCTGATAATGCATGTTTGACACTATTCGCATCTCTATCTCGTCCGGCCTGGGGCGTGTTTGGTTCAAACAGCGAGTGGAAAGAGCGAGTAGAGTTGGGTACAAAGCTAAAATATGCAGTAAATCTGCAGTCTTTGACCGGGATATTGTACTATGATTTCTTTTCTTCTTTCATTCTACACTGACAGGGTCCGTTTCTACCCTACAATTGAAGGGTAGAAACGAATCCTTGTCAGTTGGAGTTGGCATAGCCTGATTAGGAAGGAGAATGCAGGAATATGTAGGATTTTGCTTATTCAAAGGTTGTGCAGGAAATCGATACCTAAATGCGACATCGCATTCTCAAAATCCGAAACTCCATAAATGGCCTCTTCCGTATCCGACCCCACTCCGCCCGGGCTCCCGCCGCTACCGCCCGGACACGGAGATTACTTCACCAAGACGCAGTGGACCGTGCTCATGTCTCTGCTGGACGCTACCATTCCTTCCATTACAGCAGTCTCAAATAAGAAAGATGACAAGACGCAGCTCGGGATTGCCGATGCCGGATTCAATGAAATCGTCAGCAAGGCACAAGCCAAAGTGATATCTGGCCGAACGTCCGTCCGATGACCCGGCCTTCTGTTGTGCCGTGCGCCGGACCCTCGGCACCGTCTCCGCCCCGGAATCAGCTCGGCGCCGTCTTATTCGCTCTCTCGCAAGCCACCACCAATCCGGTTATCCATTCAAATTACATGAGACCAAAACCCGGAAGTCACTTTTGAGTGTTGCCCCGGACTACCCCTTTTCCATGAATCCAGATGTAAACAAAGCAAGACGAAACCATGAGTCCTGAAGAAGGACGAGGTATGCAGAAGAGATGCGAGGTGGGAGATACCCGCGGAGTTGGATATGTTTGTATGATATGGTATGTATGAGTGATGATGGGTCCATGGCTTTGAAGATGATGGGAATATTCAGAAATAAAGTGGTGGTTTGGAAGGAATTTCGCCGTCGTTTGTTTCTCTTTGACTAGTTGTTTGACTTGGGTTTAACAACTTGCGTTGCAATGTCAGCATTTACCAAGAGTTAAAGAGCAATAATCTCCAGTGTATTCTCTTCATAACATAACGCTGATAGCATTGCCAGGTAGTAACCACATCTTCCAAACGCATACACTAAACAGGACCGTCTTGCAACAAGAAACTGATACTCAGGAGACAACAATCGCAACCGGTGATAATCCATTACTGCTAGTACCAAGAAAAGGTATCCCCTCCTCGTGTTCTCATATCCCATTCATAAACCCATCAAACCATCAACCCGTCATCCTCCTCTTCATCATCCCCATCCTAATGATCCCTCCCCTTCCACCTCTCCCCGAAATACTTCCTCTCCTCGACCAGCGAGGTGTTGTTCCATCCTACGCCCCCACAACGCCATTGCCGTTCTTAACTGCCCCTGGACCCTGCACCTCCCCAGCCGTGCCAGCCCCAACCACTTCACTTCCAGTAGCCCCAGCCCCAGGCCCCTCATACTTCCCTAACCTCGCCGCCAACATGGTATTCTGCCTCTGCAACTCGCCCACCTGCTCCCTAAGCATCTCCATCTGCCTCAACGCCAGATCCCTCTCGGCCTTGACCTTCTCCATCTCCCTCAGCACGTTGGCCTTCTCCTCCTTCTCAGCCGCCTTCCTCAGCTTCTCCTTCGCTTTCCGCTCCTCCCGCAGCCGGTGCTGCTCCAACCGCGTCAGCTCGCGCTGGTACTTCTCTTCCTGCTTGGCGATCTCGCGCTCGTGCTTCTCGCGCAGCTTGGCGAGGCGAGCGTCCTCGTGCGCGGCCTTGCTGCTCTTGCTGTGCTTGGAGGCGGTGTCGTCATCGAGGGCGGCAGCAGCAGCGGCGGCGGCGAGTCCCTTCTCTTCTTGCTCGCGCCGCTTGGCGGCTTCTTTGGCTTGGAGACGATGCAGTTTCTCTTCGGCCTTGCGGTGGCGCTCTTCGAGCTTGCGGACTTCCTTTTCGTGCTTTTCGCGCCGGGCGGAGTAGTGATCGGGGAGGTGGATGCTGCCGTTTTTGCCGGTGGTGGTGGGCTGGAGAGAGGAGGCGGATTCAGTGGCGGAGAGGTCGGAACGGAGGGAGGTCGCGCTGGTGGGATCGTTGGTACTGATGTCGCCGTTGCCGTTGAGGGATTGGCCGGATGCGTTGACGGCGTGGCCTTCTCCTTCCGTGGCGGAGACGAAGCTGCGGATGGATGATGTGTCGCTTTCAATGACAGAGGAAGAGGTGGAGGAAGCGAGTGAAGCGGTGTCATCTTCGGTGTCGTTGGTGGTGCCGGCAAAGTTGGCAACTTTGTTGGCGACGGCATTGCCTGCTGCGCCGAGAGCACCGGTCAACATACCGTAGAGGCCACTCGACTGCGAAGCAGGGGTTTCTTCCTCAACAGCCTCTGACTCTCGTAACGGGGATTGGGCATGGTCGACCTTATCGACGCCAGCAGTCCTTTTCTGTTGTATGGTAACGTCCTTGCGCTGAACATCGTTTGGTACCGTCGTAGCTGCACCAGGTTGCGGGACAGCCTGGGTCGTTTTCTCCGGCACCTCATCATCACTGCTTCCGGCAAGCTCCTCAATACTTTTGGTCGACAGCCAGTCCAGTAAACGCGCGGCATCATTAGTTATACCGCCAGGAGTTCCCCTTTCGACCATGAACCTAGGCACACTGCCTCCGGGGTCACTGCGTGTCACCATGAGCCACTCGACAGCAAACTGTTGGTCATCATCGTCTCCCTTAAAAGAAGATCTGCCACGATCATCAACGCCGTCTGCCGCCGCCGCCGACGCTTGCTTAGCAGACCGCAGCACAGCCTCCTTTTTGATGTCATCCACGCCTGCCTGATCCAGCGCATCCTTCATCTCGTGAAACTCCTCCCTACTGAGTTCCGCAGAAGATTTCGTCTTTCTCAACGGCCTATCCAGCGGTATCTCCCTGATAACCTCGACAGACTCGTACTGTCCTCTGATGAAGTTGGACCTAGCCGGGGCATCTGGGTGTTCGCAAGGTCTCGAGACCAACATGAACTGTCTCGGCTGCCGCGGTCCTCCCTTTTTCGAGGCAGAGGAACTTCCACCAGCACCAGCCCCAGGCCCAGGCATCATCAAACAAGTGACAAAGTCCCTAGGCGTAGTCGGCCCAGGAAACCTCGCGCTCACCAGGAACACCTCCAGCTTCCCTTGCACCTCTCCCTCTCCCTGCCCTTGCCCTTGTCCTTGTTCACCATCCCCTTCTCCTCCTCCTCCTCCTGCACCAACCCTCACACGCTCAAGCCTCTTCTCCCCTCCAATACCTCTAATATTCCCCGTCCCCGGCTCCGTCCCCTTCTCCTGGTACCGCTTGATACTTTCAGCGAACTCACTCTCCAGCCCAGCTCGCCACTTGTCAAAGGCCACATCCTTGTGGACGCTCCTCCGCGCGAACCAGGCCCCCTTTCCGTCTTTCGCCGAGAGCTTGTACACGTTAATGCCGAGCGGGTTCTCTTTCGTGTTGGAAACTTTGCACTCCTTCCACTCTTTGCGAAGCTTGGTGGCTGTTTCGGCTGCTTCCGCTGAGAGCTTGATGGGGTGGGAGCCGGAACCGGAACCGGTTGTATGATGGGTTACGACCGAGTCGGTTGCTGATCGGGCGCGGCCGTGGGCGGCACCGGCTTTCGCCGTGGCGGCAGCGACGCTGGGTGGTATCGGGATCGAGTCGACGAGGGTTTGGGCGTCGGAGAAGGTGGAGGTCATGAGGGCTTGTAGGTCGGAGTCGGGTCTGCCGGCGAGATCGGTGGGCCAGGAGATGGGGCCGAGGGCCTTGAAGGGTTCGTGATGCGCTGGTCCGCCCATTGTGCTGGCGACGGCTGGATATGGTGAAGTTGAGGTTCGTTATGGAGGTGGTGGGTAACCTGAGGACGAAGCTGAAAGAAAGCGTGCGTATGTAGCCGGGCTCTACACAGATACCACTGTCGAGGATACGGTGAAGGTTGGCAGTGGTGAATGATGGGTCAAGTAGAAGGGCGATCGTATCGCCATGTAAATCCAGGTGACAGTATGGTTTAAAGTAGGTACTCGTATGTGATAGCGTAGATGGTAGGTACGAGATCGACAACTTCGGAGTTCGATTGCAGTAGACGTTCGTGTAAGTCCCGTCCGTATCAGTTTACTAGTTGTTGAAGGAGTTGTTCTCTGAGTCTTGTTGATCTTTGAATAGTAATTCAAGTTGTTCGAGCTTATCGTTGCTTCTGCTGTATATAGGTTTGTATTTTAGGAACGATCTAACCTCCAGGTCATAATCAAGAACTTGACCAAAATCCAGACTGCCAACTGACAGCCAACAACAAGGAAAGAAGAGCGTGTTGCTCTTGGTTGTCTTTGTTGACGTCATATCTCGGGATTCCCCAGGGGCACGTACAGGGGTATAGAGTCCAATTGGTTTGTTTGTTAGCTTGGTACTCTTAGTATATTGGACGATATCCATCCCGAATTGTCCCCAACTTCACAAGGACAAATTGAATGGCTAAGCACGGATTAAAAAGGCATTAACAAGATTGAATATGACATATTAAACTTTGGAAATAGCGAATTAAAGATAAGATTACGCTTTAATCATAAAACCAAACGAATCAATTAGATATAAGAACACATAGGGAAGTTGATCCGGGTCTTGAGCTAACAATCAAACCAGGGTTGGAGTGTATATAGGGTGCACTAACAGCTCCATCCCCTACGTACCCCTGGGGGCCCTCAGGGCCCTACCGTAGAAAGCAGGTCCCGTCATGCATTAAAACTCGTCTACGGAAGCAGAAAATCAGACAACAGGGCAGCACGAGGTGACACAAGGCGCCAAGCTTCGTACATGATCTGTTCGCTAGTTTGCTTCATATGACTAGAAATCGAGAAGATTTGTCAATCCACCTCGTGCGCCTAGCCTAGCAACGAGTTGTGATGATGCATTCATAATGCGCCGAGAAAGTACTTTTTCTAATGGTCGTAAGAATTAACCGAACATGTCACGGTCAGTATATTACACCTTGGATATACTCTTTCACGCATCTAAACGTCTTTATTACACCTTTAAACCTAAACTCGAGGCAGTTCCTAGATGTGAAAATCCCTAATGGACTCTGGCCGATATGTTTCTAAATTATTGTAATCCCCATGACAGTTTTGTAACGGCCTTTCCCAACCGTAACGAGCGGTATTGGACTGTCCGTGTTCGGTTTATTCTTACGACCGCTCGCTTTTCTATGGTGCTTGACCCAGTAGAATATGTTAAAATATTAACGAAGAAAAAAAGGGCCGAAATTTACCAGGATACCTAGGATGCCAATGTGATCACGCCAAGTCACTTTTCAAGTCCATTATGTCTGATTCCAGTTCTCCTCTTCTGAGCAGAAGCCTCCATGTGTTATTACTCGAGGCCAGTCTTAGCCATTCATCTATCAACTCATCGCATCCGGATTATGATCTCCTCAACTGGCCGCGGCTTCTCGTCATCCCTCATCAGAGCAAATGTCTGCTCAACCGGCGGATTGTGGATGCCAGGAACTCCTGGCTGGCAGGGAAGCTGTGGCAGAGAAGCCAGATATGAGGCCTCGTCCCGTTCTTGTCCTCGTCTGACACGACCGCTTTGCTGAGCGACCCACGAGTTCAGACTGCGGAAACGTGCGGGCGAGTCCTCGCTCGACTCGGTATATAGCGTGTCCCTTTGACCCCCTCGCTGCGTTGATAACCCAGAGAATCGGTCCGTATTGCCGTTGGGCGAAGAAGGGTAGGCTATGGCGGCCGGCTGTGGCGGCTGAAGAGTTTGTTCGGGTAGGATGATATCTCCGTCGCCAAAGCCTGATGAGAGCGAGGATATGTCACTCATGCGTTTGCCTCGACCTTCAAATGTGCTGCAGGGTGATAGCAGGTACTTTGGATCATAGTGGCTGACATATTGTATTTGTCTTGTGCCGTTCGAGACCGTAGTCGTCGTAAGTGAATTGTTCTGTGATGGGTTGGTGGAAGTGCTGAGCTGTTGGTGCTGATGAGAGTACATCGTGGCAGATGTCAAGTTACGCGTGTCCACGATATTTGCTGGGTATGCGACGTTTGCAAAAGTCGCATATGGTACGGGGCTTCCGCAGTGCTGATGAACAGGATTGGGTTGCTGATATTGAATCTGAATGCCCGGCGTGTGTGGTTGATAACCCTGTTGCAACAAGTCATCCACCTTTTCGTACGAGCAGACGCTGCCAACACTCTCACTATGCGCAACGGTCTCGGTCCTCTCTGATACCGGAGATGGATGATTCAAGGCCTTGGAACTATCATTCAAGTTTTGCCAATCTCTTCGCTTGAAAATGGCCGTCTTCGGTAAAAGACCAGAGAATATTCCACTACGGGTGCCTCCAGTCTCCTTTGACCGAGGTTGCGTCGCTCTCCTGATTGCCTTCCTGACAGTCCAGATCAGAAAGCATACAAGAACAAAACCACCTGCGGCAGATGTTAGCGATTAGTCTTTGGTTTTCGAGTCGACGAGAGTCAGTACCAATAGAGCCTACTGAGATGAGAACACGCTCATCAGTCTTATCGAAGGTGGTTCCAGTAGCTTCAACTCCGTTATTCTTCGCCGTTTGTGGATCGTTTGCGTTACTACTCGTACTATTGTGCTGTTCACGCACATCTGGAACCCCCGATGACGACGAGGATAGTGCGTCTGATGAACTAGTTATCCAGACCGTGGGAGAAGCCCTGGTCACCCTTACGACCTCAGTCTGTACTTTTATGGATTTCGTGGGATAGATAACAGCTTCTGTCGAAGCAGTGACAGGAATGGGCGTAATCATGGTATCAATGGGCTAGTCTTGCTATCAGTGAGGTGAAAAGTAGGGATAATGTCGAGTGAGAGATGAAGATCTTACCTCAGGAGCAGATATTGCCTGGTCCGGGTAGGTTGCCTGAGGGACATAACTGGTTGTAAAGGATGAAGGAGCCTCGAGTGAAAGTGACCCCATAGAGGTGGCAGAAACGTCTGGCGTAAAAGACGGGGTCGGAGCCTGAGTTGGTTCAGAAACCAGAACGAGCGACGTTTTACCCGGGATTGATAATATCATGATGGTGCTCTCCGGTTTATTAGTAGGTCTAGAACTGCTGTTCTTGCGTCCATCATCCTCCCTGTCCTCTTCCTCTTCCTTTCCGTCTCCTTTGTCCGAAGCATCGCCATCATTGTTTTTGCCATTTCCACTTGTTCTGTTGCCCCTGCAAAAGACATCAAACTTGCCGCACCCTGTCTTCCCGCCCGCTTCATTGTTGTTGTTGGCGTCCCCCTTGCCGTCTTGATTAGTATTCTCCCCTCCATCACCGCCCTTACTTCCCTTACTGGTGGTGTCGTTCCTCTTGCCGCTATGTGTCACCGTGTTTTTGCCCCCATATGTAGTAGTTCTTTGGCGATACGTTGTCTCGGATTGATGAGTTAGCTTCCCGCCATCTGTACGGCCCTTAGCGTCGTGGGTGCCTCCTCCGATCAAAGAATCCCGACTCGTCAAATGACTTTGCTTCGTCTCAACCCGTCTTTTGCTTCCTCTAGGCAGAGAAAATGGTGCCATTCCGCCTCGTCAGGCTGTTCCAGTTCCTGTGAAAGCTAGTCGATGTACGCACGAGCTCGATGCATGGGGAAAGTTCGAAATGCCATCGATGCCCTGGTGATGAGAGTGAGTGATGAACAGCATTCAGGTTGCTCACAAATACAGCATAAAAGACCAAGCAGAAGAAGAGAATATGATAGCCTCTGGATATTAGAATCAGTGGTAACAATCAAAAAGAGATTATGTATATGAGAGAAATGAAGTAGCAGGCCAGCCTGGCTACAGCAGCAAGAGAGAAGAGAAAGAGAAGGAGATGGGCGAGAAGTGTCAGCTAAAGTAGGACAGCGGTGCAATTAGCAACACAATGCAACGATCGAACTCGACTCCTCAAAGAGTCCGTCAACCTTGGCGTTGCCGGCGCATGACAGAAGTAGACTCTTTCGGCCCCGAGCCGCCTCACCCCCTCAACCAGGAGGCCTCGTGGTGACAAGCTATCGGGAAAATGTCTGCTCGACCTCTCTCAAGTCATGGAGTGTACTGCTGTATTTAGCCATGGAGAAACACCGACTTTTCGTCCTTGTTGCCATGACAGCCACCTGTTGCTAGCTGCGGGGGACAAGCTTTGGGATGCCGTCTGCTATCTAGATGACAGAGCTATATCCCAGCAGAGATCCAGATGGAGTCCAGATATCGAGATTGGAAGGGGGGTCAGCTTGGAGATGGATTGGTCGGAGGAGAAACGGTCCAGACCCGAGCAGAGACGGAATGCTACCTGAATGGTAGTAGTGTATGAGATGTGCCGCCTCAGTCGGCAGAGTGCACTAACTGACGTCTCATCCGCCCCGGCAGATATCGTTTCATCTCAGCCTCAGAAGATAGTGGTACTGCTCCAGGGTTCAAAGAGCCTCCACAGGGCAAAGGGAAGGAACAAGGGCAAAGGGCGATCAAACAGACCTTCCCCGGAGTTCATGACTCGAGGCATTTGCGACTTTTGAGTTTCAATCGGGTAAGGCGGGAGGGCATCCACACTTGACAGTCGAAGTACCTTTTCAGTGTGTGACATGTAGACTCGTCATCATGGACCAGACCATTGCTTCTTTAGGCAAAAAGGCAGGGTATCTCTCAACTTCGGAATGGCATCCTCATCATCATCACAAAGATACCGAGAGTCGTCGACTGTCAATCCCGAGATCCCATTCGAGTTCCGTCGTTCCGTCTCTGCCGTCGAGGTTGCAGCAGTGTTTCGCAGAACTTCGGCGTTTGGCCAGGTGGACCATCGAGAGCCCACAGTGGGAGGAGCCCCGTGACACCACTGCACCATGTACATAGCCTGTATGATTGAAATGCCGGGCGGGCGGGAGTGCGGGATTGGGAGTAGGTAGACGTGCCCGTGGCTCCGTGCAGGGGTTGAGGCCGGACCGCATGCTTCAGCTTCTCTCGATTGCGATGTTCGGAGCCCTGCTGGAACGAGAGTAGAAATCGTTATACCCAGACTGTCGTTACTCCAAGTAGTGCCAAGGACGCCAAGGCAGGCTCAGGGCAGGTAGGTTGGTGATGTTTCAAGTCTACCACCTAACGGGTATAACGATCACCATACTAAACTGAGGCCGGATTTTGATCGTAATCCCAATAGCCAATATATCGTTATATTGCTGAAAACTCCATACAAATGGTTCGAAAGGTGGCAGCGGAATTGAACGTTATACCCAGATTATCGTTATACCTCGTATCGTTAATTGCAGACAAGTGCACGACTCGGGCTACCAAGACCGAAACCACCGACGCCAATGCTGAGACGGCATTGCATGTGACATATCCTGGCAGCGCTCGAGGCATCTGTGGCTTTGACATGTGCCTTCACGCCACTCTGTGCATTCTGGCATCCAGTCTGTTTGACATGTTTGACAAGTGGTCAAAACGCAGGGACGACAAGTTCACATCAGCAGTTGGGATGAATGCCATCGAAGCATCGAGTGCCAGAGCCGCAGCGACCACCCTTGTTCCCAAGTGATGGTACCTACCATCACCAAGCGGCCAGACCGTTGCTAGCCAGGTGGGCGATGCTGCCGGTGGCGCTGGCCCCGATAAAACCGCCCCGTCAATGGGATCGATGGTTGTTCATCCCAAAAACCCACAAAACCCGCCAACCTGATAGGGAATAGGGCACTCCTTGCAGAGGGTTTAAGGCCCGATAGAGAGGTCCCACTCGGGCGGGTTCCTTCCATCATGAATCGAAACACAAGACAGCCCGCCCCCCGATCTAGGATCAGTCAGACTCGGAGCCTTTCAGTTGTACAGCAACTTCCTATGGTGACGGGAGGACGGCATGGACGGCGCTGATGGGAGAGGCGGGAGGCGGAAGGATAGGATTAGTAAGAACCAGGAAGAAGAGACGGTCTGGACGGGACGAATCGAGAGACGGAATTTATTTTAACCAGAGCTCAGCTTTGGTCTACTTTTTTTTTTTGGTTTTGGATTCGGTGTAGCTCCAGACGGGTACGCGCATTTTTAGCCCACCTAAGTCAAGATTGAAAAAAAAAGAGAGGCTAAAAAGAGTCACTCCCACTCAGACTCCTATTACAAGGCCGGGCCAAGCAACCAATCCTAGCTGACTCGCTTATCACGCCGCCGTAACCTTTTGCTAGAGCTTCAACTTTTTCTTATCCCCCACCTCCTCTTCAGAATCCTTCCATTTTGCTTACCTTCTCTCCTCTTTCTCACCTAAGCACACCTAATTTCTTATCCTCCCTCCGTGTTCCCTTCCTCCCCTCTCGAGGCCATCTAGGTCGCCAGTCCCATACCGCGTCGTCGCGCTCGTCAATTCGAAAAACGACTAACGACCAACAACCATGGCGTCCACATCCAGAGCTCTGGGCAGGCTTTCGGCCCCCTCCATGGGCGTTGCCCGTCTCCAGACCCAGGCCGTTTCCAGGCTGCTCAGCTCTGCGCCTCGTCGCGCCCTCATCTCCGAGTCCAGGCAGGTTGCTGTCACTCAGCAGATCCGTTGCGCCCACACAGAGACTACTCCTGCTCTTCCCGAGCCCCCCAAGGAGCGTCGCCGGTTCCGGACGTTGAGGTGGCTCTGGAAGGCACCTCTTCTCGCTTCCCTCGCCGGTATCGCCTATGTCGGCTGGGGTGTCTACGAGGAGAGAAACCCTGGTCCTCAGGTTGAGCCTGACCCGTCCAAGAAGACCCTCGTTGTTCTTGGTGAGTTCATAGCCATACGCGCAGCTTTGCGCCATGCGCTTTTCTCTTCCCCATACGAGTTCATACTGACTGACTGATTTTGCTCAGGCACTGGCTGGGGCTCCGTCTCTCTTCTCAAGAAGCTCGACACTGAGCACTACAATGTCATCGTCATCTCGCCCCGCAACTACTTCCTCTTCACCCCCTTGCTCCCGTCATGCACGACCGGTCTGATCGAGCACCGTTCCATCATGGAGCCCATCCGCACCATTCTGCGCCACACCAAGGCCAACGTCAAGTTCTACGAGGCTGAGGCCAGCTCCGTCGATCCCGAGCGCAAGGTCGTCCGCGTCCTCGATACTTCCGAGATCCGCGGCGACGTTATTGAGACCGAGATCCCCTACGACATGCTGGTGGTTGGTGTCGGTGCTGAGAACGCCACCTTCGGCATTCCCGGTGTCCGTGAGCACACCTGCTTCCTCAAGGAGATTGGTGATGCCCAGCGCATTCGCAAGAAGATCATGGACTGCGTCGAGACTGCCGCTTTCAAGGGCCAGTCCCAGGAGGAGATTGACCGTCTTCTGCACATGGTTGTCGTTGGTGGTGGTCCCACTGGTGTCGAGTTCGCTGGCGAGCTCCAGGATTTCTTCGAGGAGGACATCAAGAAGCTCATTCCCGATATTGCTGACCGCTTCCGCGTCACCCTCATCGAGGCTCTTCCCAACGTCCTTCCCAGCTTCTCCAAGCAGCTGATCGAGTACACGGAGAGCACCTTCAAGGAGGAGAAGATTGACATCATGACCAAGACCATGGTCAAGAAGGTCACCGAAAAGACCGTCGAGGCCGAAATCAACAAACCCGATGGTACCCGTGAGAAGATTACTCTCCCCTACGGTCTCCTCGTCTGGGCCACTGGCAACGCCGTGCGCCCCGTCGTCAAGGACCTCATGGACCGCATCCCTGCCCAGAAGGACTCTCGCCGCGGTCTTGCCGTGAACGAGTACCTCGTTGTCCAGGGTACCCGCGATATCTGGGCTGTCGGTGACTGCGCCGTCGCTGGATACGCCCCTACCGCCCAGGTCGCCGCTCAGGAGGGCAACTTCCTGGCTGGTCTCTTCAACAACATGGCTCGCACCGAGGTCCTTGAGCAGCGCGTCCGCGAGCTCAGCGGTTCCCTCAACCTTGAGCCCGGCAACGCCGCCGATATCTCCAAGGAGATTGAGGAGCATGAGCGCCAGCTCCGCCGCATCAAGGACATCAAGCCCTTCCACTACTCTCACCAGGGTTCTCTTGCCTACATTGGAAGCGAGAAGGCCGTCGCTGATGTGAGCTGGTTCAACGGAAACTTTGCCTCCGGCGGCAGCCTTACCTTCCTCTTCTGGAGGAGTGCCTACCTGTCCATGTGCTTCAGCAGTAAGTTTCCCCCAGGAATGTGATAATTTGTTTTAGAAACGGTATAGCTAACATATCCTGCCAGCTCGCAACCGTCTCCTCGTCATCAACGACTGGGTCAAGTCCAAGCTCTTTGGTCGTGACGTTTCTCGCGAGTAAACGACTTGCATCTATAGCATGACTTGGAATTCACTCTCTCCTTCTTGCACGCTCTTTTGGCATGTTTAGCGTGTCTCTTGTATAGCGGGTGCGGACCTGGGGACTTCTTTACCTTTTCTTCTTCTGGAGTCTCGGGCTGCTTTGGTCATAGAAAATGGGGGCTTTTTAGACGGGTTTTTAAAGGGGATTTAGACGAGGGAGCAATGAAATGAACGGGTTCTTTTTGTGTTTTCTTTTGTATGATGCTTCTGCTATTCTTTTCAATATCCTGTATGAAAACATTCGAGTTATTATTGCAGCCCTCACAGCAGTACAGCCTTCTTATCTATTTCTTTTGCCTTGCATCAAGGGCTTTCAAGACATACCTCGGACAAAATTACCTACTTGACCTTTTTGGGGTCAAAACTTGGATAGTACTTAGACCTTATGTCTGAATTGTTACATGTATTGCTAGATTTGGAGTACCGGTAGAGGGTACACGCTTTTTTGGGTCTTGATTTGTAGGAAAGTGAAAATGATCGGGTAGAATAGAAGAAATGACGGGAGTTGGCGATGATGATGCCGGCCCCTGAACTGAGCATGACCAGGGTTAGGGTTACAAGCACTACACATCGCACTTTGCTCCTCACAGGCAATCGACATAATCGTCATTGTCACTTTTTTATCTGACAAGAAACAACATTGAGAGCTGGACTCAACAACCAACCCCTTGAAGCTCATTTTCTCTCTCGAAAAATAGATTTCTTCTTCACGGAGACGGATCCCAAGTGGATTTCTCATTTTCTTTGATACAGCGACATAATGCACGAAATCATCACGCTCCAGCTCGGGCAGCAGAGCAATTATCTAGCAACCCATTTCTGGAATGCCCAGGCAAGCAAACCCATTTATCCCAACTGAAAATCCTAACAGAAACTGACAAGGCTTTCAGGAGTCATACTTCACATATTCCGAGGATCAAGAATCAGCTGTCAACCATGACATCCACTGGCGTCCCGGCATCGGTGCGGATGGTACCGAAACCTACATGCCGCGGACCGTTATCTACGACCTGAAGGGTGGCTTTGGGTCCATGGCGAAGACGAATGCGCTGTACAATGACCTCGAGGAGGGACAGACGCCTCAAGCTTTGTGGTAAGTTGGGCATTACTCTGGGCTTGGTGGACATTTTTTACCAGTTTCTTTCCTTCCTCGACTGGTATCCTCCAGCTCTCATCACCCCCCATCCTCACCTCCGTCCACCTCCTAACTCACCTGCCCTCTTCTCTCACCACAGGAACGGACCAACCGTACTCCAAAAACAGCCCACCATCCCTCAATCCGCCTACCAACAATCCCTCGACGCCGGGCTTGAGCCCCCTCCCCTTTCGACGGATTCGGTCCGCTACTGGTCCGACTTCAACCGCGTCTTCTACCACCCGCGATCCGTCGTCCAGCTGAACGAGTACGAGCTCAACTCGTCCATCATGCCGTTCGAGCGCTACGCCACCGGCGAAGACCTGTTCGCGTCGCTGGACAAGGAGCACGATCTTCTCGATCGGGACCTGCGGCCTTTTATCGAGGAGGCCGACCAGATGCAAGGGATCCAAGTCATGACGGGCCTGGACGACGCCTGGGGCGGGTTCGCGGCAAAATACCTGGAGAGAGTAAGGGACGAGTACGGCAAGACGGCCGTGTTTGTGTGGGGCAACGAGCAGGAGTCGGTGAGGGCGGGGGGATTGAGCAGGGACAAGAGACTGCTGAGATTGGCGAATAAGGCGAGGACGCTGACGGAGGTGTATAAGCATGCGAGCGTTGTTGTGCCGTTTACGGTGCCTGCGACGCTGCCGGGGAGTGTGGCGCTGGATGGGGGCTCGCAGTGGCATAGTACTGCGCTGTTGGTGGCGGCGATGGAGAGCGTCACGCTTCCGTCGAGGCTGAGGGATGCGGCGAATAGAGATACGATGGGGACGCTGGCTGATACGCTTAATGCGATGGGGAAGCAGAATGTGGCTAGTTTGGGGATGAGCTTTGCTCCGCCGCCGACGGAGGAGGAGGAGGAAGGAATGGATTGGACGAATGATCTTAGGCAGAGGCAGTTGGTCAACCAGAAGTCGAGTGGACATGCGGCGGTGCTGGCGAAGGAGAACCCGGAAGGAGTGTTCCTCGACATTAACTTTACTCCGTCCGATCAGTTGGATTATGTCCGTCGTCGTGGCGGTGGCGATGACAACAGACCGAGGGTGTTTAGCCAGGTGCTCACCTCGAGAGGCTATGAGGTTAACGAGCAGGCGCAGGAAGCCAAGGAAGCTGAGGAGGATGAGAGATTCCGCAGGAAGAGCTCGTATGAGCCTGTTACGAGAAGGTTTGTTTTCCTTTCACTTTCTGCTTATTCCGAACCCGCTAACAGATCTCCTCTTGAACAGCTATCACACTTCCCTTCGCTTCCCTCTTCTGGACAGCTTCCCTCAGATCTTCAGAGATGACAATGGTGAGCCGCTGAAGAGAGGAGGAGGCCTCAACGTCACTAGTAGTCTGTCTACGGATGCTTCTGTGTGTAAGAGGCTGAAGCTGTTGGGGACTACGGTCGTTCGGTCGATTGGAATGGAGGACAGGGAGCAGCTTGGAAATGAGTTGGCGGAGATGGCTGATGAGTATCATGAGGGGTGGTCGAGCGGAAGCGATGATGGCGATGATGATTGATAGGTTGATGTAGCAACGAAAAAAATGTTCAATGAACGTCTCGAAGCGGACATGGCAATTACTGTTCAATTTCGTTCGGACGCTCACGCCAGACGTTCCACTACATGGGTATCTAACCATCAGTCCAAACCCAACAACGCCCCGATCAAATCCCCCTCCCCTTCCATCTCCCAAAAATCCATCACCACAACCCCCAACCTCTTCCCCTTCAACCCGTCCGGCCCATCCTGCTTCAACAGCCCCAACAACTTCTCATTCACTCCCCCTTTCACCGTCCCATCTCCACTCCCAGTATTTGCCTTACGGTCCCGCTGCCGTTGCTCTTCCGGACCAAGCGCCATAACCTCCGGCGTAACATTCGGCTCATTCAACACATGTTCTCCCGAAGTAAACGTAATCCACAACCCATCGTCATCACCATCATTCCCGGCAGTACCGGCAGCACCAGCAGCAGCCGCCGCCGCCCTCAAATGCCCCTCCACAGCCTCCCACTTCGCCATCACATTCTCCTCCACGCTCGAATTCATCCCACTCGGCAGGTCATTAGGCTCAAAGTAATCCTCTATGTACGCCGTCTCATTCTTTTTCTTCCCCCCCTCACCTCCCTTACCGTTGTCCTCAAGCTGGTTATAAACTAATTCAAACCCTTTATTATTCTCCGGCCATAGGGCGGGAGAGAAATTAAGTCCTGGCACAGCAAGTTGTTGATCGATAGAAAGATCGGGCAAGTCGAAGCGTTTGAGGAGGACGATTTTGCCGCGGGCGTGGCCGAGTGTCGGAGGCAGGGAGTGTGACGGGTAGATGAACCGGCGGGCGGCGGGGGTGGTGAGGAGGGAGTGAAGAAGACGTTGGACGTGAGGGGTGTTGGAGGCTTTGGAGCGGGTTGGGTGCTATTTTTGGTTTTGTTAGTATGGTAATGGAAAAGGAGAGGGTGAGAGAGGGGGGTAAAATGTGATGATGATGACCCCTTTTGTCTACATATACCCAAAACCAGATATATCCCCCAAAACCACCAGACCGATCACCAAAAGCCAGAGCCAGCATCACCATCAACACCCCCTCCCCCAAAAAATGAAAGAAAAGAAAAAAACTCACCTCATACTGCAAACTAACCATCACCACCTCCCCCTTCCCCCTCCCCTCCAACCACTTATAAAACCCAAACAAAACATCCTCCACCGTCGCCACCTCGCTCAACAAGGCCATCTTATGCCAAAACACAAGTCTCGTCCCCCCATCACCTTTCCCATCCGTACCACCTGTATCCAACGCCGCATACCTCAAATCAAAGAACCTGATCCCGGCCTCCAGCGCCTCCACAATGCTATTCTTCTGACACCGGAACCACTCGGCCGGCAAATAACTAGGATTAGAGGGGATCGAATTCCTCGTCTCGGCAGTAAAGTTCCAGGTTGCGCTGTCGTGGGTTCCCGGGATGGCTCGGAGGTGGGTGAGCGGGAGGGAGTCAGGCAAAGAAGTCATCCATTGGGCGCGACGCTTGGAGGCTGCTGACTTGTTGAAGGAGGCGGGATAGGTGCCGAAGATTTGGCGGCTGTCGCGGAGGATTTTTTGGAGGGCCAGGTCGGCTACTGAGGAGTCTTCTTGTGGTGGTGGTGAGGATGGTGAGGGGTTGCCGGTGGTGAAATCTGGGAGGAGTGAGAAGAAGAGGAGGTGAAGAATCCAGAATAGGACGGCCATGATGCACACGGAGCTGAGGACCGCGCGGTAGGAGGTTGTGGTGGGTAGGAGGCTGCGGAAGCGCTTGAAGCGCCGTGGTGTGGATGGAGATGCGGCTGCCGGTATAGGAAGAGGAGGACTCGGATGAGACAGCGCGGAGATGAGCGGCGAGCGCCCTGGGTTTGATTCCCGGTGCATTATCGCGGCATATCGGATGGGAACTGGAGGTGTAAGGGAGTTTTGGTACCTCAAAGGTGACTCGAGGTACTTCGTGTGAGTTTACACCGCCAAAGTACTTGAGAGGAGGTTGGCTCAGTGAGATGTTGGGTTGAGGATCCCGAGACGGGTGTTACCGTGTAAACATGCGACGATCTACGGGGCAACGGGCAAGCATTGATTGGCTGCTGACATTTGACGTTGACATACTGAGGTGCATATGGCGTTTATGTCGAAGCACAACCCACAGCTCAAACCGCCAGCAGAAGCAATTGAAGTGAAGATAGGACTTGTGTAGATGATCCATTCATTAACAGGTGCCATCATGTCTAAACGAGTAATTCCACATAGAATGCCACGAAGATCACTGTACGTCAGGGACTTGGTTTAGTTGATGGGGCACTTGTGCCCCGAAAAACTAAATTTATTAGTCTAGCAGATTTAGCAACTCTATCTTAGATACATTTCTCTACACCTCGCGTGTGATACTGCTCGCACATAGCATCTGATTGGTCGTAACCGCCAACAAGCCCATCTGTGTATCCTCCGATCAGTGTTGAGGTTCGCTCTTGATGGTCGGTGGCGCGGTCGCCATCTGTTGTCGCTTGGCCATCGGGCCGTTCGCAGGATCCCCCTCTGCCATACGCTTCTTCTTCTTGACCGGCCTCACAGGCTTCGTCTCTCCAGGCTCGAAAACGTCATCGGGGAGATCGAAATTCCTAACGTGCTGGATAGTCAATCCCATCAACTCTGCTTTGAAGATGTCGTTCGAAGTGCACATTGCCTTGAAGTCGTCGACTTCTCTGGACAGATCCAGAGACTTAGCCTTCTCCACCAGCTGCAGACCGATGTAATGGTTAGTGGTATAAATCTCAATCTCCGGCTCCTTCTCCGGTATATCCGCCAGCTTAACTTTCTCGTCGTCGTCGTTGGCCTCGGGCTTTACAGGTTTCTCCTCAGGCTTTAGAGGGACCGTTCCTAGATGTACCACGTCTGTCGGTTCTTCCTTCACAACCGGCACAGCCGGCCCCGGGGCAACACCATCCTCTGTCTTGATCTCCGCCTTGACCTCAACTTTGCTTTCGCTCTTGGAGTTCCCATTCGCAGCTGTATCCGTCGGCTTGACCATGTATGCGAGATTTCCGGTTTGGATCTCTTCGACCTGAGCATCCGTCTTGCATCGGTGCACTCTGTCGTAACCTTTGTTGAAAGGGCGGGCAAGGGCGATGGAAGGGTGCAGCTCAAGCTTCTGGACCAAAACACGCACTCTTGACTCGACGAAACCAGACCAGGTATTCTGCGCCTCTTTAGTCCTGCCGGATGAAATGACCGTCAGGTAAAACTTGAAGCCATTGGTGAAAAAGGTGTGTTTCTCGAACAGATCTTTCCAAGGCCTTTTACCCAACATGATCTCTTCGGAAATCTGCACCCCCCGTTCCAGCTCCTGCTGAATTACCGCCATTGAAGACCTTCCAACGTTGTGTGTCGCGCACATGGAAGGGTATGACGGGGTGATGATGGGCATCTTGTGATTGCGATCACTCGGGTATATCTAGTCTGTGGTGAGACATCAGCGCGACAATAATGAGGGATTGACTTACCTTGGGATTCCACACCGCTACACGCGTAATGGACTGGTTGTATTCGATATTTTTCAGAAGAACCGGGAGCGGCCATGGCCAGTTGAGCATGATGGTGAAGAACTTCCTGACAATGACAGCACTAGTCGCCTTCGGATAGAGCTGGCATACTCTGGCGACCAGCATAGCCCAAGCCACACCACCAGGATAACCCATGATATTGGCGTAGATAGCCCTTCTCTGAGCCCAGAGCTTGATGGCACGAAGTGCCAGCTTGAACGTTTTCTCTTCAGGGACCAGCGCAAGGATCTCGTCGGTTACGCGTGTTCCGTTGAGCGAGCGCACCTCGTTTTCGGATAAGCCGCGTAGGAGGTTGTTACTGTTCAAATTCCAGTCCTTGTCGTCAGGAAGTTGACGAAGGCTCTGAATCGAACAGAAGATAAGATCTATGCTGATGCCCGAGTATTCAAACTTGATGATAGGAACGAAAGCCTCGGGTACTGGGGTCAGGTCGGTTATGGCGCCAGGGGGAGCCATTTCGACAAGAAGGTCGGGAAAGATGTCGAAGTATTGCTTGACAGTGACGTACTTGGGTACAACGACGAGGGTATCGATATCGGATCCCGGCCCATACACACCCAAGCGAAAACTGCCATATGTGAATATTCTGCCTCGAGCGTCGCGAATCAGGATAGAATTGTGCGGCTCCTTTTCCTGGGCGGCCCTCTTCACAAACTCATCTGTAATTCGCTGGAGGTCTGCGAGCACCGCCCATCTCTTGTCAGTTTCGGCCTGACTTTCAAACGTGCCCTGCGCGCGCAGCTCTTTGAGAAGGGCCTCGGTCTGTCGTTTCTCGGCATCGGTAGGTAGTGCGGTCGAGATAGGAGGCGTTACGCCCAAGGTATGTTCGGGGTTCGACATGGTGGCACGAAGCGCGGTGGGACGAGGAAGCGTGCTGGGTGCGCCGGTGGGAGTATCGAAGATGAAATATGTCGTGCAGGACTGATCGATGACGCTGTTCGGGACAAGAGGAATACTGGATCGCGCGCAAAAGAGAGGAGCGCAGGCGCAGTGAGAGAAGGCTGACTGGCGAAAACAGAAAATGAATCGAGTTAAGGGATTGAACAGAAGGAACCAAGCAGCTCCACGAAGTCAAAGAACTCTCAGGTCATGATATGCTGTGCTTTTTGTTGATTCGAAGGATTGTGATGCCGAGTAGTTGATTGATTCTGGTATTGACCCTGGGGCAGTCGGAGAAGCCGAAACTAGACAGGGCAATTGATGGGGATGAATGAAGGGGTTGTGTTTGTAGTGTAGGAAAAGAGAAAAAGCACGTCGCCGACTCGGCGCGTCCTGGTGCAGCCTGGGGTATTGAGCACGGACTCCCATCTACAGGTAGGTACCACCCCAAGTCCGGCAGCGGGATTGGCGCGAGGTGTCCTGTTGTTTCAGAGCTGGACACTGCAAATGCAACCTGCAGAAATCACCACAAATCTCTATCCCTTGGACCTGCATTCAGACGGGATGATTCTCCACTAAAATTCAAGTACTTAGCTCTACATACCTCCGCCATAATGAGATGGGCTCGAATGGGTACTCGTCAGGGATAGAAAAACTCCCTGACTAGCGGCTGGCAATCATGTTGGCTTGTTGGTTTGTTGGTTTGTTGGTTCAGGGAGTCAAGCTCTGAAAAGCTCAGTCGTCACATTCCGAGTCTCAGTGCCCTGTAGAGGAAGGTCATCCCCAAAAGGGTGGGCCCACGAAGGAATTCCTTCAAGTAGGCGTAGGATGTCCGTCTGTACGAGTAACGTCATGGGGACAGACGGGTTGGCATAATCGGTTTCATTTTCGCAGTAAATGTCGGTCCAACATACAGGTACGTATTCTGTTATGAACCCAAGATGTCGGCTGTAAGTACCAACTTAACTTCCATGCTACCATCAGAGTGAAGGTCAAAAGGTGACGGAGGATGGATTTGGATGACAGATCAGTTCAAGCTGTGGAAGATGGGATCTGGCCCCAGGGGCAAGACCGGACCTCGAGACCGGGTGTCCATGCATCCACTGGAGCTTCCCCTGGAGGTCCCTTCCATAGGGCGGCCCCCCCGCCCCCACACTGGCCCTGCAGGCCCCCTGCAAATGACGCTGCCGCTGGATGGATGATCATCGTGACAGCCCGGGGCAACGCCGAAGCAAAGTTTACATGTCGCATTCCCTCGGCCTCCCCTACATCCTTTTTTGCACCACTTTGCTCAGTCTCAGTCTCCATGGGGAAGGATGAAGAAGACATTACTTCTCTGCTTCATCCACGGCTTCAAGGTATGTTGTGATCATGCGACGCTCCAGCCAGCATCATACTGACCTTAGCGTGTAAAGGGGGGTGAGTCGACCTTTGGCGACAACTATGCCTTCACCGAGCACCTCCGCCAACTGGTCGCGGCCGACCTACCCAAGATAAACGTCAATGTCGTGGTATATCCCAAATATGAGACTCGAGGAGACTTGGGCGAGTGCGTTGGGCGATTTCGAGATTGGTATGTGCTCATCGACCGCATCCCGTTGCTTATCTGTCACATGCTTGAAGCCCTGAACCATCACTAACATCCTCATCCTCAACCCAACCCAGGCTGATGAATAAAGTCATCGACCTCGAAGTCGCCGCCGGCACCTCCTCACCGACCATCGACCCTTCCGTCCGCGTCATCCTAGTCGGCCACTCCATGGGCGGCATCGTCGCCGCCGAGACCGCCATCGAGCTCTCCTCCGACAAGCCCATCCACGGCAGCACCGATCCCGCTGTCGAGGACCCAAAGCTGGAGCATCGCACCGCCGACTCCGCGCCCCTCCACCGACCACCCAGCCCCAACTCGCTCATGTTCCCTTACATCCAGGGAGTCCTCGGCTTCGATACGCCCTACCTGGGCATCGCGCCCGCTGTTTTCGCCCACGGCGTGGAAGGCCACTATGCGACGGCTTCGGCAGCGCTGTCGCAACTAAGCAGCTTAACGAGTCTGTTGGGCGGAGCGAAGGGGGCGCAGGCACAATCTAATGCGACGACGCAGAAAAGACAGGTGGCCGCTCTGCCGGCGCCGGAGAAGAAAGAGGAGCAGCAGAAGAGTAATGGCAGCGCTTGGGGAAACTGGGGCAAGATCGCCATGGTCGCGGGCGCAGCGGCTGCTGCGGCAGCGGGTGGAGCGGCGGCGTACTACAATCGAGATCAGATTACGCAGAGCGTGAGCTGGGCGACGTCGCATCTCGAGTTTGTGGGTGTGCTTTATAGAAAGGAGGAGCTGCGACGCCGGGTGGCATACATGGTGCGGCTCAACAAAGACCTTGGGGTCGGCTTCGGCAACTTTTATACCCGGCTGGGACGGGCCGCGGGGTCCAAGGAAGTGAGCATGGTCGGGACTGTGATGGGCAATGAACGGACGTTTTGCGTCCTGCCTAAGAAGGATCCCGCTGGGGACTGGAGGGAGGCTATCAACAATAAGGCTATGGACGAGGTGACGGCGCATATCTGTAAGTGCACCCCTCTCGATCTGTTGGAGCAAGTCATAATACGTGAAGCGAGTACTGACACTTTTCATAGCCATGTTCGACCTGAAGGACAACCCTGGTTATACGAAGATGGCTCATGATGCTAGAGACATGATTGTCAAGTGGTTGCAGAACGATTGGTACGAAAGCAGCAACGGTGGTGTCATTCGCGCATAGAAGCGCACCCTAAAAACCGTAACCTTCTATCTAATACCTTAAGTCTTTTTGTTCATCCCATCATAATACGTCTATCATAATCTATACATCTCCAGAGCTCTTTGGGAGTAGTAGTACGTATGTTCCCCCAGTAAAGCTCGACCGCACAATCCGCAGCCGAAGTGACTTTATAAAGATCATAGACCGTAACCACAGCACTCTAACAGCAGGGGCGGGTAGGCTGTGAGCATAAGCCGCACGCCAATCCAGCCAAAGCCAAGCCCGTCCTCCTCTTGACAGCCCCAACCTAAGAGGTTTCAACCACTCACTGCCTCTTCTTCTCCTTCTTAGCGGCACCAGCGGCACCACCAACCTGCTTCCTCCTCTGGCTCAACATGTGGCTATACAGCACGACCGAGCCAGGGATATACGACAACAGAACCGCAAGCAGCGCATAAGGATACCAAGTCGCGAGCTTATCGGCCGGACCCACGAGCGCCTTGATGATCATGGCCACCTCGGAGCTGATACCCAATGGGTACAGCAAAAGGAAGGCGCTATACCTCAACCAGTGCAGCGAGTAGGGCACGAAGTCGACCTGCTTGAGCGCAAAGTAGCTGTACCGAATCACCTCGGTGGTGGACCAGGCCGCCAGCATGGAGGAGTACCAGGCCGAAGTGTTGAGGTGCGGGAAGGGATAGGAGATGCCCCAGACGAGCATGAGGCGCGAGGCGACTTGCATGGCGGTGGTGAAGATGGGGGCGGGGACGATGCCTTTTATTTTTTTGAACAGCGAAAGTTAGTCTCTTTGTTTCTTACAGGTAGAGGAGAGAAGAGGAGAGGAGGGGGAGGGGGACGGGGACGGGGACGGGGACGGGTTGAGAGTATATCGATGGCAGGCATACCGGTAAGAGCATGGAATATCTCCATCACAGCGAAAGTCTGCGTAACACGAGCAAAGTCATCGACGACCAGCGGCACAAAGGGCGCGCCCTTGGCAAAGTAGACGGACGCGACACGGCCGAGGATGGTCGCCCAGGCGACGGCCGAGGCGGCATTGTAGAGGACTAGGTAGCCCTTGCGGAGAGCGGAGCCAGCCATTGTTGCTGTCGTTTGTTGTTTCGTGTGGTGTTGATGTTGTTTGGTGATCGAACTCGGTGATGGACGTTTAGATATGATCCGATGTCTGAGCTCTGAACGTGATTGACGACGGGAACTGCAGTGGATAAAATTCCCCAACAAGACGGAAGTGCTCCGACTGACGGCGGGGACAACAATTTTGGACCCAAAAAGAAACCCGAACCGAGGCCGCGGCAAGGTGGGTTCGCGCGTCGGGACAGGGGTTGGTTCCTTCCTTGTGGGCCTTAACTCCGCGGGACCCACCAGCCTTCGGCGGCCCGGCGTCTGGAACGCCGATGACCCTGTCTGTTGAACCGCCGATGTCATCGGTGGTTATGAATATTCAAATGTGAAAGAAATTCAATACTCGATTTCATGGAATATGTGAGAAAGGTAATTTTCAAAAAGATACACGCAATAATGAGATAAAACAAGAGTCGTTGCCTTCATCCAGAACAGCAATTCGCCGCTCAAGCCTCGGCATCCATCATTCTCGCCAGAGAACGGATGTCGATTGTCGCCGCCCAGGACTGGGCGTAGCACACATTTTGCCGTGTTAACCGAACCATGTGATACTTGTCTTATTTCCAGTCCCTAGTTCTAGTTAATGCTGCTAGTCCAACATCCTGATATTGCCCTTTCCAAACATACGTAGTTGGTATTAACCACCACCCACAAAATAATCACCCAACTCCAGATCTGTTCTTCCTAAAGCCCATAACTCCTTGGTATCATATCCCACAGAACAGAAAAAGAAAATACAAATGGTGTTGTTACATGCAACAAAAAAGGTTGTCATGTCATCGTTGAGCGTGGATGAGATATATCCTTTGGTGCTTCCTCCCAAAGCCTCCAATCTCCCTTGTTCGAGATGAGCTGGTTATTAAGTTCCCCCAATGCAACCTGTTCCAGCCAGTGCAGACGGACGAACCCGTAGCCGAAGTGAGTTCTTCACATACTTTGATCCATTTCCAGAACCATGGATGATGGGATCACTACTCCCGCGAGTCCCTTCGGTGCTTAAGGTTGCTCAAGAGGTCCCTGATGGAGTGGCCTCCGAACAGGTACTCGGTCGAGTGTCGTCCGCAGTAGCTGTGTGCGTTGACATGCTTGTTGTGCGACTTGGATCTCCCTAGCGGCCTTGATGGGTCCGCAGAGTTTGTGGTGTTCCCCGAATCCTTTCTGCTGTTGCGGGGAGCCACCGTTGTCTCGGACTCGTAAGAGAACCTCATCTCGTGGTACTATTGAGTTGTATTAGTACCGGAGAGATGAGACACTCGGAAGGGAGCACGGCTTACGCTATCAGGAGACTTGGGCGAGGTAAGAGGGCTTGTGACGGGTCCGGTGGTGCTGATGTTGAGTGCCGACGGGGCAGAGGCACGAGAAGAAGAGCGCTTCATGACTGGATGTTGTTGATGAAAGTTGGTGATGATGTTGAATAGTGGTATATGGTTTTAGAGAGTGCCCTCCGGGGTAGACAGTTGTTGCACACCTGGTGCTTTAGAAGATGTAGCTAATAGAACAAAGGAAAGATGGTTCACTTTGTTCGAAGCTTGATGGTGCTTGATCTTGATGATAGATGAGTAAGTAAGTAAGTAGATGAGGTCTGAGTTCATCAGCCCGGAGCCGGGCCGGCCAACTTATATCTCTTCAAGGTACCGTGGGGCCGATCGCCTTCTTTGGTACGAACTCGGTCGTACCTGGTAAACCATTCTGACCTTTCCCTTCCAGGTACCGGGATTGCTGCAGTTTTCTGACAGAACAAATAGGCCAAGAACCCTTGGCACACGTTTGTCCCACCGGGGCTGTTTGACCCTCGCCTTGGGAGCGCAATTGCGTGTAAGTCGGATCCTCGGCTGAGCAACGTAACGGCAGAAAGGTCCTCGCCGAGAGGTCCTTGCAGTGGATATTGCCAGTGTTGCAGCGCTCAGTCTCGCAAAACTTCCAGTAGGAAGCCTGAGGAGTGAGGACATCCATTAAACTAGCCCCTGTCGAAAATTAACGGCCAATGGCATGTCGTTGCATTGACCAAAAGGGACGCCATTCGCGGATTCAATTGGTCGCCTTAAGAAGAGCGTCCCACCTTTTCAGGCATCCATTGCGATCCTTCTCCATGCTACTCCATGCAGGTCTTTGCTCACAGGGTCACCGACCAGCAACGAGACAGGTGGACCATGGCTGTTTCGATGCAGTCGTGACTCGATGAGTCAAGTTGGGCCCTCGGAGACAGGTCGTTGACGATAGGATAGCGGAAAAAGATCAACAACAGACGTGGGCATTGCCAAGTCGGCCTACCCGAATGGTTATCGGTTGCTCCATCCCGCATTTTCAATCTCCGTGTGAAGTGTAGTGTACGGCGTCGTTTAGAAGTCCTGTCACAGGACTGCCAGTCCGGAGCTAGGACTTGGACGAATGCCCTGGGGACAACACCTAGAAGATCGAGGTTGGACGTCGGTCTCCTCGGGCATACATTCCACTTCTGCGTTTGCTCTGTCGGTGGGTTTCACCAAGACTCTCGCAGCATGCCAGTCTTGACCGCCAGGAATAAAGACTGCCCGACGGAATAGATGAAAGTAGTTGGCTGGATGCGATGGATAATGCGGATGGCCGTCGGTGTCGAAAAACAGATGCACAGAGACACGGGAAGCGAACGGCAGGCCGGGGCTTGGCGAGAGACGTTGTGGGAGGCAGGGGTCCCGCTCCCCACATTCCTCCATTCTCCACAGTTCCCGTTCCTCGCCGTTGGATGGAACTCCAACTCTCCATCCCGTCTTCATCCGTTCACGCCGCAACGGTCAACCTACGATATCTCCCTGTCATCGTCAACAACAATTCACTCATTCTCCCATCAAATCAACTCAAGGCTATTTTGCGAGGCTTCAGTCCCGGTTTCTTTTCTCTATCGAAAATGACTGCGTCGGTGACCTGAAGAAATCACTCAATAACCCAGGAGTGGTTAGGTCCGTTTCCCGTCTCCAGCTTACGAGGTCATGTTACCCAAGTGCATAACTCGAGGAGCCTGATTTTAGAGTTCTTTCTTTCTTTTCAGGTCGGGTGCGTACGCCCGGGGCGGTTGCAGAACAGGCCGCCGCCTGAAATGGATACGAATGTAGGAACACTGCATCGGGTTATCACGATGGTGTTTCTTTTCTTGGTGGTTGCGCAGTCGTCGACTCGTCATCGTCGTCGTCGTAAGACGTGACGCGGAGCGGTTTGTAGGGAGGGGGCCACCTCATCTCTCCCAAAGGCATTCATGCATGATGCTCCAAAGCTCAGCAGTCCATCGGCTATTACCAAAAAGGAAAATCGGGCATCAAACGGGAAAGGCGGATTTTGATCTCTTGATATCAACAAAACATGCCTTGCGCTACTGCACAGTACATAAATAAGTCGCTAGAAGCAGTCCAACCTCAGCAGAGCCGCATACAACTCATCCCATGCAAAGAACACTTGTTCATGCATGGGAGGCTTCTGGCGGCTTTTTTTTTTGAGTTAATGTTCCATCGCGTGTTCTCGTGGTTGCCCGTCACAAAATTCCATTTTTCAAGGCTTTGAGACAAGCAAGTTCGATTGCTGACAAAGTGTGATATCCACTCAAACACTGATATGTGTTCAAGTGATGCTGTCCTTTAAGTCATGCTACTTGCACGTTTATATCCTTTCTTCCCGGATCTTTGCGGGAGCTGTTACTTTGTTTAGACAGTTTCTTCACCACATTTCATTTTTAACGGCCCTTAGTTCTTGCAAAATCGTCTCAGCTCTTCGAATGGGTCATACTAACACAGTCCCCGAGATGCGGCACCTTCTACGCCGTTGAACCAGAGTGTCGGGAGCCTCAAAAGGACCGGTAAGACCTTCCCTTCTACACCCCTTGTTTATCCAAACTCCGTTGGTGGCTTTCCCCAGATTCTGGTCTTCCCCACGTCTTCACGCAATCAGGGTTTCTGGGTGCTTACACAAAGTGATCGACCGATATTTCCGGTTTGACACTTTGCACAGCCTCGATGTGCCTTTTGGATGGTAAGCGTTCCTGCATTGTTCTGTTTCATTTGTTTGCCTTCTTCACTCCGCGTCCTCCGGCTTTTGCCCATACACAACCTTCCAGGTCCAATAGCCGTGGATCTTCTGCTCCTTCATCTCCTGACGCATGTGCGCCGCAAATATCGTGATTTCCTCCGTCGACCAACCCATGACTTGTTGGAAGAGGAATTGGATAACGCCCTCAAGGTCCGATGTGACAGCAGCGTAGTTGTAGAGGCCTATTTCCTTCTGCTTGGGGTCTTTTGGCCAAGGAGACATGGGTTGCTAAAGTCGCTGGTTAGCTTTATCCCTAACTCTGGGTCGTAACGGAACATAGTACCTTCCACTCCTTCGTATGGAGGTTCACAAATCCCGCGTCCTTCAAACCGGGCTCTTGGGTTCCATCATGAGCAATGGTCAGACTCCTACCAATTCGTCTTCCAGCCTCGGCCATGATTTTTCCGTATGTGGCCAATGCAGAATCGGGAGGAAGGGTTTCGTCGTCACACGAGACGATGGGCGAACAATCAAGGTGTTCAACCCAACCGCCAGGCTTGCAGCACCGATAAGCCTGTTTGTACAAGTTTCCCCAGTTCTCGATAGCGCCGTTGAGGAACGAGATGTGAATATAGTCGAAAAAATTCTCTTTGAATGTCCATTCCTTAGTCGCATCATCAATCTCGAAGTGCAAGTTGGGCGGGCACCATTGGGGTTGAATAGGCGAGATATCCGTACCGACCAACTCGCAGTTGGGAAATTTATCGGCAAAGTCGATTGCCCAGAATCCTTCGCCAGTACCGATATCAATGGCATGCTTAATATCGTCCTTGAGAGGGGCTTGGAAAAGCTGCTCGTCCATCATAAGAAAGATGGAGTGGTAGTAGATCTCTAGGGCTCCAAGCATCTTTTGATCATTGGGGGCCCAGTATTCTCCGTCTGTCACCGAACCACTGTGGTAGGTTCGACCGTTGATGGTGCGATAGTTGAGAATACTCGATGAGATTGAGACAGTCGAGCTTTCAATATCACTTCCGAGGGCTGAATCCGTATCGTCCGAGTCAACTTGCGGAAGTCCTTGCTGAATCCAATGTGCGCCAGAGAAAGCACCAGATGTCTCGGCCGACGGCGACCCTGGGCCGACCGATGGTGACTTTGCCGGAGATGCAGGGCCAGGAGTAGGCGATTTCCCTTCAGAACCAGGAGATTGGGGAGAAAAGGGCGTCGGCTTGGCCGGAGGCGCAGAATCGGGCGGAGGCGACCCCGCCTTTCGTTTCGCCGGAGTGCTCATGATTGGGAGGTTGTCTGCTGGGTTCCGGTATATGTTTTGCAAGAGTTAGAGGAACAGAGCTCCAGGCTGAGATTAAGGTTGAGAAAACCGTATGAAAATTAGGATCCGTGAAAAGTCTGGCTGTTGCTGTGCTTTTGAACTCAAGCTATCAAATCCCCAAGACCGGCGACAGGGGGCTCCAAACGCCTAAGCCTAGCTGGGAAGCTGATACTACATCAGACTAACCCCGAAGTCCCGACAACTCGGGCCTCGGTAAGGTGCCATAGGTAGTTGGTCTGGTCAGGCGGTGGGATGCCAGAGGTGAGAACTCACATTGAAGTCGGATTTTCAAGCTGATAAGCTGTCCCCGCGATGTCAAGAATCCTTTGTGCAGGATGGGCGAATTGAGTATCCAGCACGAGCACGATGCTGAAGCGAGACCCTCTTCGTTGACTGAAAATACCTACACTTCAAACTGTATTTGGAGTTTTGGACGGTCTGGTCATTTTTGTTAATGTCGGCGATCAGGGGACACAAGCTAGAAAGGTTCCGCACCGGAAAGGTCCAGAAGAAAGGTGGACGAAAAGATTCCACATCTAGGCTGGCTTGGCTTGTCTGCATTGGCTATGTTTTCGGCCCGGGGAACACGGCTGTTTTGCCGGAGGCTGATTCAAATCGGATTTATCCCCCACACTATATTAGCCAATTACATCTGGAGAGAGACCTTCACGGCGACGTCTCAACGGGGTATACAGACCTCGGCAAATTACATAATTGCCGAGGATAGGGGGGATAAGTCCGATTTGAATGAGAATTAGTGGTACAGCGTTTGTCTCCTTTGAAGGTATCGTGCTTTACGGTACCCGTCGCAGTAGAGCTCACAACTGGACAGATGTCGATTTGGCTCAGCCGTATATTGTCACGATGAGAGACCTGGGTGGGAAAACGATGGAGTCAGATGGACTGGTTTTCTGGTTGAAGGGAAGAAGTGGCCGGCTAGAAATGCACTCCACCAGAAAACTTACGTAGCAATCGGGTGGGCCACGACTTCGCAACGGTGACAGTACCCAGGAGGAAGCGACCACCTATGTATTCCTGTTCAGTTATTCACCAAGTGTGAAAGCAACTCCCCTCCAATCAGGTGGCAGACTACCAGCCTGCTTCAGCCCGAGTTGCTTCTTGCCTGACTGTAACCTCTTTTCTCTTCCTCATGTTCAGGATCATTCAATTTGTTTGAGGCTTGTCCTGACTGTCAGCGCCATGATTCCTTAGTTGCTTTGCACAATGATACTCGTGCGATAGGAACCTCCAAAACATATGTTTGAACAACGGAGCGAACGCCGCCTCGCGTGAGAGCATTTAGTGGAAGTAACTGGGGCAATTGCAGCTTGGGATGACAATGGAGAAGACGAAGTTACCGAGATAAACAGCATATGTCAAGCGAAGCTTCAACAAACTCGTGAAAACACCTTTGAATCGCTTCCACAAGTTTTGGGCAGAATCCCGTCCTATTTTAGTCACGAGTGTTTGAAGTGCCCTCCAGATGTTTCGATTGTCATAAGAGAAGACAAGAAGGGGGGAAGAAGAAGAAGAAGAAGAAGAAAGAACACATACCACTACGGGCACTTTGGAAAGATGAAACCCAGTCTGATCTCCTAGATAAGTCGGTGATCGCATGTTGAATATTGGCATAAAGGACGAACGCCGGATTGTTTGTAATAGTATGTCCCTTCACGTCCTTGAGTTGATACGGTGTTTGGATTTGCATAGGCCAACTCCGGTAGACGTGGGAAGGGAACCCAAGGAGCAGTCAGTCTATAGTCGTTGCTGCTGTTCCCCAACTCGAATTTTTGCCCGAAGTCATGAAGTGGTATGATAGGTACACTTCGGGGCTATAAGAGCCCAGAACCCGCAATTGGTGAAACTCGGGCGGGGCGGGATATTTGAACATTACCTCACTGATTGTGTATTGTTGGCTCACTTTAGAGTTGGCTCTGAACCTGTGCCTGGAACATTGTTGTCAGCTCATTCTCTGTCACTGACCTTGTGATGAAGCACATTCAACGAGCTACTCGTCAGGCCAGACGGTCGGTTTTGAAGACCTGACGTGTAAGTGGGCTCAAGTCGAATTAGCGAGCTGCTCCTATAGACACCATCGGATTGCAATCCTCGAATGCCCAGCCCGACTAATAACAAAGTTCAGAATAACCGCGCCAGAGAGTGTAAGTGACGTCGATCTCGAAATTATATGGTAATGATGTGGGTTTGGCGACGCGTACACATGATGTAGAGGTTGAAGATCATCTTTTGTCGTGAGCTTGAAGTCGTAATTTCCGACGACTCCGACGTTGAATGGTCGCCGGAGCCGGTCCCATTAATTAAAAGAAGGCTATAGAAAGCTCGTAAGCTGTTGTATGTAGGCAGAAATCTCTGAACCATTATTCCGTTTTGTTGTCATCAAGGCATCCGCTGGTACCAACCACCACGGGACATAACCCCTAAGAACGCCGAGAAACCCGGCCCGCCGCCGCCATACGTATCCGATATACCCAAGTCATGTGCTGGTGTATGTGATTCCATCGATACGACCTATTACCGAATGTTGATGTTGTTGTCATTGTTGTTGTACAAATTCTCCTCGTCGTCCCTCCGTATCACTCTCCCAAAGCCGGTAGTGATGTTTGCACATTCCACTGCATTGGCCACTACTCCTCTTTTACGGTTTGCTAATAATTTGTTAGCACATGGACAAAATAACGAGACGAAACGGTTTGACGCCGGGAGCATCGTAAAACGAGGTTAAACTTACCACCAACCAATCCATGCCCTCTGTGATGCCTGTCCCCTCCACTGCACTGCAGGCCATGATGCTCCAGTTCCGGTCCCTTAGCTCGCCCAGGCGGAGAGCCTGAGAGATGTCTGCCGCCCCCTTTGCACCTGGTTGATCTTGCTTGTTGGCGAACACCAAAAGTGCAGCGTCCTTCAGCTCCTCCTCGTTCAGCATGGCGGCCAACTCGTCCGCCGCGGTTTGCAATCGCTCCATATCGGTCGAGTCAACGACGAATATTACTGCCGCCGTGTTCGCATAGTAGCACCTCCAGTAGGGGCGGATGCTGGTCTGACCACCCAGATCCCACACGTTGAAGTTGAGATTCTTATATGTGACTGATTCGACGTTGAAACCGATTGTTGGTATCGTAGTTACTACCTCGCCAATCTACAAATACTGTCAGCTCTCTGAACCATGATGCGCTGCCATGCGTAGTCCTATTCAGGAGGTGAGCCTACCTTGAGCCTGTACAGTAGTGTCGTCTTTCCGGCGTTGTCGAGACCCAAAATCAGAATGCGAATTTCCTTCTTTGTCCAGAAAAGGTTGGACAGGCTAGACAGCCATGACATGCTCTGACCCATCTTTGCGTGTTGGCTAGTGCCCGGGAAGACTCTATGCGCGTCAAGTTCGAAGGAATTTGTTGATCGAGGCAGATGCTAATGAGGCGAACAAGGAGAGGATATGACCGGGCAGGGCGACTCCTTGATGCGGATCGGGCTCTGACGTGACGGATCGGGCCGTACTAGTCGATGGAAATGATGACGGGGAGTACAGTAGGTATTATCGAGATGACAGTGAAGCGCGGTCAGCCCAGCTGGTAACTTTCGGATGCTCCCGTGTGCACGGTTGAAGATAGGATAACGAGGGTTTGTTGCGCCGTGGTGTTGCGACAAATGTGTTTTGGTTTAGGTTGCTTCAAAATGCTCTCTGTTGAAAGTTGTCATAGGGAGGCCGCCGCTCCAATGCCGCCAAAGAGCTCCTTGATCGTGCCGGCACTCAGGGGTCCCGGGAGGCAAGGCCGTCCCCAGCGCCCAGCCCAACTGCAAACATCCCGGCAATCGATTGGCAGAGAAACGGCGCCGTGGAAACCTCCGATAGCCGCTTCTTGTGGCCCGTGCGCTGCCTTCTGGGCCCAGATGGACCTGCCTGTCAAAGAGCGGAACTTCGATGATGTGAAGGAGCCTGTGCCACAGTTACGAGCCACAAGCACACACGTGACTCAGCCACATGCGCACTTTCGGGCCCTAGTGTTCTGCTTGGTTTTTGAAAGCCCACACCAAATATTCTAACCCACCTCATCGACACCAGCCAAATCGACCGGTAACTCGACAACACCGTCAAAATGCCGGTACGTAACGTCCCGCCATACTGAGCGTAGAGATCGCTCCGAATTGCTTTGCTGTCGAATTTTTGGCCGTCCTGCGATGCCAGAAATGGCAGCGATACGGAACTTCCAAAATGACAGTTTCGGAGCGATCGATTGACGCATGGGGGAGGGGTCTATGACTTCACTCGCCCAAACGACGACAAGACAAGTTATGCTGACGAGGTGCATCGCGAAAACAGAGCCACAAGACCTTCCGTGTCAAGCAGAAGCTTGCTAAGGCCCAGAAGCAGAACAGGCCTATTCCCCAGTGGATTCGCCTCCGCACTGGCAACACCATCCGGTACATATCACCATAAACACCCACTGCAGTCGCGTTCAGCCGGAGAGAGAGGAAGAGGGATGGCCAGTGACGGGGACGAAGATGGGGAGAGCTGGGAAACAAACCCGGTGCCTCTGCCGTTCCCGGCGCAACATGCCCTCTCCCAAGCTCTCTGGAAAGAAGAACGCATGGCGACCGCTTGATCATGACGCTGGATGCTAACAAGAGACAAACAGCTACAACGCCAAGCGTCGCCACTGGCGCAAGACCCGTCTCGGCCTCTAAATGCTCTCTCGACTTTTCCATATTCCACCCCCAACGATGGTCTTCTTTTCCTGGTTGCTCTGAACCACCTCCATTCTTCGAAAACTGGAGCGTGGGAATGCGACCTATGACGGCAGCCCTCTTTTCTCGGCCTTTGTCCTACGAAACCAACCCGATAACGAAATCCTCCCGACCTCCCGCCACGGAGTTTTGTTAGGCGAAGTCACCGATCATCAGCAAGCAACCATGAGAAGAGGGCAAGGGCAACCAGGAAGCAAAACCCGGAAGATGATGTGATCACAACTAAGTTCTGGCTCGGCGGCGGTCGGTTTTCAGCTGTGTTCTTTCGGCGGGGGAAATATCCTGGAACTCGATCCTTGTTTTTGGGAAACGTAAACTTTCGGAGTACTATGCTTTATGGCAACATTTAGAGGGACCGTTACGGGGCAAATTAGGATCTGGAATGAGAGAAAGCGTGGTGTCGATGCACGAGAGTTGATTCCCATACTTTTACCCATGCTCATGGAACTGTGATACAAAGTCGGCCCAACAGCCGTGTCCGTGTTTGCATTCTCTCAAGATCTGTGACACTGAGGGGAGTCAAGGACGGTTCAAAGCCTCAAGCAACGTTTACCCGGGCTCGTTCATGTATGAGCCGTGGAGATTTAGTAAGTGCCATCGTGAACCGATCTGAACGATTCGCGGAATTCAATCTGAATGTACTTACTGTTGTAATTCTGTTTGTTCACACGGCAACTCGTGAAGCTCTGGTCTGATAATCTTTTTCGAGGTTCGCGAACGTCCCATTCCTGCGAAGTCATGTGTAGTCAAACAGAGGGCTCATTATTGGCTATGTACTACATCTACCGGTGATTACTTGATGGACATGAGCGGATACGAGGGGCCGATATGGAAAGCACGCTAGCGGTGTTGGGGAGCATTATGACAACAACACGAAATCGTGACGATCTTATCTGTCTGGATGATGAGGACGCTTTTGGACGCATGAGAATCCATTTCACGAACTGTATATCATAAGAAAAACCTCGATTCAGTCCAAGAGACAAAGGAGCCAAAGGAAAAAGCTAGAGACTGAACAACGCCTCTAAACGCCTGCCAACGCAAAAGCACGACCGAACGTACTGAGTGGAAGAGCTTCATTTGTGGCCCTCCCAAGAATGCCCAAACCGTATCACGTTCGCGTTGAGATGCTGTCGGTAACACGAGATATCTTTGGTATCCATCTCCAACATAACAGATCTCCGCATATCCGTCAGACTCGACTGACGTGTGCAAGTCCCGGTAGACGAAGCACAGGGGCGACCTCTGTCTTTGGCAGACGGGGGTCCCGGCGTTGCAAAGTGACTGGACGGGGAAACTGGTCTTGATCGGTTAACGATCCTCCGCCCACTCGTTCTCGCGACGGATCTGCTCCTCCTCCTCGGGGGTGAAATCGTTCGTAATGTTGAACGTCTTCCGAATCTCGTCAGGGGACTTGCCCTTGATCATGTTGGCAACCGTCTTGCAACCAACATCAAGAAGGGGCTTGATGTCCATGTAGTTGGCAGCCTGAATGAGGAATATGTCAGCATGATCTGACCTTGCAGAACCCGAGTGTTGCTTGCATATCAACTAGCATCGGCGGGTGGAACGAGGGGGGAACCTACAAGAATGATCTCAAAGAGCATCTCCTGGTCGACCTGCATAAACTTCTGGTCCCACTCATCGATCTCCGTGCTCTTCTTGCGGCTGTCGTTCTCGTCCTCAGTGGTCTGGGGCGGGTCCTTGCGGTGGTGCTCGCACCACTCGACAACCTTGCGGAGGACAGGCTCGTTGACGTTTGGTAGAGGAATGGCCTCGTTCATAACGGCCTCGTCGCCCAAATCCTCAATCAAGTTCTTGATGAGGAGGGATCGCTCGGCAACAACGCGATCTGTGTTTGGCGGCGGTTAGTCGGCTGCAATCGTAGGGGAACAAAAGGAGACACGCCAGGGTGGCGGGGTAACTCGACTCACCGACGGTGATGATTTGACCATCGTTGCTCTGGAGAGATACCCTCTGGAGGGCGCGCTCGTCGTTCTCCGCCATATTGATGTCTGTATTCGCAGTCTCGACGTTAGAAGATGCGTCGATGAATGTTGATGGGTTGAGTTGGCTTTGAATGTGATTGATGCTGGTGGGTAAACGATGCAAAAAGAGGATGGTTCAATTGTGGGGGAAGAGGTGGGAGATGGTGCTATTATATACCTGTCTGCGCAAATTCAAATTCAAAGGTGGAAGTGACCTGCTCTTGAAGGAAGGCACGCGGTGTGATTCACCGGCTGCAAGTGGTTCTTATGGTTTCCCCGTGAAAGGTGCCTTTAGTTTGCTTGGGCTAGTGATGAGAGTTGAGGTCCGCGTGAGTGCCCGTTGGCGGGCGCAGTGGTTCAAACGAGTCGCCTCTGCCTTCATCTTGTGGAGCCCGCTGCACGCAAAGAGCCCAATTGCGCGCACGGAAAGTGCGTGCATAGATCTCATAGCAATCATGGCCCAGCTGCGTCAGCCTTCTTGGGATGGAATATTGTGGGGTTGGGCGGTCGGTGCCTGGGGGACCTGACCGTTGTATGGCACCACGCAGCTCCCATCAACGAAACGAACATTTGCCCACCAGTAATTGGTACTATTACTATGCCAGGAAGAGATGCCGTGGACAACGTCGTCGTAAGGCAATGGTGTAAAGCGTGATTTGAGGACATTGAAGCTGCAGACGTCTTCCATGCTTGCAATACAGACAAAGCATTGCATCAGATAGGAATCATCGAAGACCACCTACCTACTAACTACCTTTATAGTACATGCGGTTTCCCGTACCAAAACCATGCGAGATTTCGAATGCTCAAAGTTTGATGTACCATTTCTCGGGCTCAACATGATACGCCGGTAGATGTAGCCCAGGCTTGTGAGTTGGATGTCGGCATTTTAATGACGTGGAAAGGCTCCTAGATGAACTATATATATGATGGACAACTGCTTATTGGCAACAAAAGTTGTCCTCAGTTACTCTGGCTTTTGTCACAACGAATCTCGCCATCACCAGTACGGGTTATCAAGTGCCGGAATGCATCTCGAATGTGCCAAAAGCTGCGGTACCTCAACAAACACAGAAAGACAACATGGGAAGAAAGGACAAGGGGTCAACATGAAAGCCGATCAATCTTCAAGACCGTTCTGCTGGAGGTTCAAGATATCCGGCACAAGATGTTGTCCATTACTCTTTAATACTAACAGACTAAGACATCTTTTGCTTACCATCGGAAATTAGACTCGCGCCAACGAGCCTGCCGAGTGGCCCGAATGCGAACGGGCAACTGCGTGGGGAATCTGGAGATGTCTTCACCCCACCTAATTTTGAGATTCAAGAATTCCAGAAGCCTTCCTTTCCGATCGCAGCCAACAAGCCCGGAGCTTGTCAAGATTCGAGCAATAGTACCTGCAGGGGCTTGCCGCAAAAGTCGCTCATCATTAAGGTGCCTTCACCATATGACCCTGCCTTCCATGGAAAAGTTGAACTCTACTTGCCTCGGACCTCGTGAATGCTTCCATTTCAGAGGGCCTTGTGAGACATGGTCGCTCCTTATCTGGAGAACATCCGGACGCCTGACGGAGAAGGCGTGATGCTCCGTACCATTGCTGATGACGCCAATGAAGCTGGATTGGCTACAGCGATGGTACAGGGGAAATGCGGGAGAGGACGGACGGCTGGATTTTTAGCGTGCCTTGTGCTGACCATCACCCCCCTGTCCAAAGCTGTTAACGGACAGGGTTCGTTCCTACCTGAGCTCTGGCACGATGTGGGCATTCCCTTCAATCTCACTTCTCACGGAGGTTACAGGCCCATCCCTTCCTTTCCGATTACCACCCAAAGGTCCTCCTCGTCGCTTTCGGGTTATGATTGAGCGCATTCTTTCCGCGACCACCATCATGCCATTATTTTAATCAAGGCGACTTCCCTCCTTAACTTCCCCTTTGGTGATGCCCTCCTAGCTTCCCTCGACTTGTGCCCCGAACGGCTGCATGCGCTTCAACCACGGATGCTCACATCGGTCGCGCATGACTGCAGTTGCAGGACCACGAACTTGACATGTGGCGGAGGACATACCTTTTCTTGGTGCTGGTAAGGCTATGGTTCGCCTTATCACCAAGCTATCTTCACCCGGATGAGAACTTTCAGGGCCCAGAGGTTATAGCCGGTACGTTTCTATCTGGTCCCCGCAGATCGCATGGCGCAGTGCTGACACTCGTCGCGCTTCAGGACAGATCTTTCACTATCCCGTCCGGCACACATGGGAATTCACGAACGAGCACCCGATACGCAGCGTTTTCCCGCTATGGCCCGTATACGGGCTGCCGATGCTTCTTCTTCGCTGGCTATGGATAGGAAATGGAAATGATGGCGAGATTCCGCCCATCGCAGTGTTCTGGACTCTGCGCGCTCTCATGTTCGCCATAAGCTTCGTCCTGGAGGACTGGGCTATTCACGAGCTCATACCCTCGCCGCGACACAGGCGCGTTGCCGTCCTTATTGTCGCCTCCTCCTACGTTACCTGGACGTTCCAGACACATACCTTTTCAAACTCGGTGGAAACATTGGTGGTAGCATGGTGTCTGGTGCTCATTCAGCGCATCGTTGAGAATTCGGTGAGTAGCCCAAACAGATGGTTTCGATGCGCCTGAGCATCTTGGTTGCTGACAGAGTCCGGTACAGCATCGCAGTTCGTTCCTTGCCTCAGCGGTATTAGGTTTCGTTGCGGTCTTTGGAGTGTTCAATCGCATCACATTCCCCGCCTTTGTGTTGATTCCTGGTTTGCAGCTGCTGAAATACTACTGGAAAAAGTGAGTTTGCCTGAGTACAGTTTCCCTGGACGCATGCTGACAGTCGATAGTCCTTTGTCCTTTATGACAATAGTCTTTGCGGGTATCTCAACGACGCTCTTTGCCATCGCTCTCGACACGGCCTTCTACACCCCGCACTCGATAACCTGGTCGGACCTTATAAGAAACCCCGTGTTGACGCCACTCAACAACTTTCTTTACAATATTGACCCGGAGAACTTGGCTCAACATGGATTGCACCCGTGGTACCAGCATTTGCTTGCCAACCTTCCACAGCTGATCGGACCAGCCGCTGTGCTTCTCTTCACCCGACCGCAATGCTCTATACGACTATACTCTGCCATCTCGGGCCTTGTCGTTCTCTCCCTATCAAAGCATCAAGAAGCAAGATTCCTCCTCCCAACGGTCCCTCTCTTTTTATCTTCCATTCGACTTCCGAAACAAAAGTCGGCCTTGCGCATTTGGCTGGGATCCTGGATTGTGTTCAACCTCGTCTTGGGCACGTTATTTGGGGTCTATCACCAAGGTGGTATCGTGCCAGCACAAGTATTCCTGAGCAAGCAGCCTGATGCGACCCAAGCGATTTGGTGGAAGACGTATATGCCACCGACCTGGCTTCTGAACGGCAAGAACGAGGTGCTCACCACACGAGATGTTATGGGAATGAAGGGCGAAACATTGCTCGAGGAGCTGGAAAAGATTGCCACGTGTGATACCCCAGCGGACAGGAGGAACAACGAATACCTGAAAGAGAAGAACGGGACATATCTGGTGGCGCCTCTTTCCGCTGCTTGGCTGGACCCTTACCTACCGAACAAGGGCCTGGATGGACTACGGTTTCGAGAGGTATGGCAATATCGACAGCATTTGAACCTGGATGATATGGACTTTGGTGATGACGGCGTTTGGAATACCCTGGCTAGAGTAATTGGGAGGAGGGGTCTCGGGATATGGAGGGTTACCAAAAGTTGTCCTAAGTAGGACTGGCAGAGTGGGATGGCGGAATGATTTATCAACGGCGGCCGTCTGATTTCTACAGCTATTTCTACAATATGGCTGTTACTTGATGATATCAATGAACTCCTCAAGAAACACTGAATTACAATCTAATGCTGGTTTGTTTGTTAGTTTGGTACTCCTGGTATACTGGACGAGATCTATCCCGAATTGTCCCAAACTTCACAAGGATAAAATAAGTGGCTAGGTACGGTTCAGAAAGCTATCGAGAATTTCGGAAAAAGCATATTCAAAGTAAAATCACACTTTGGTTATAGAACGAAACGAATCAATTAGACATAAAAACGCCTAGGGAAGTTGACCCGAGGTCTCAAGCTAACAAACAAACCAGTATTGGACTGTAAGCTTGCGCAAGGTCTCGATTGGAAACACCCACAGACAGGGTTGTGAATGTAAACAAACGTGTGCCAAAAATCAGGGGCCGCATTTCGTCACCAGGCAGCCGGGATCGGTTGCTGCGGGAGCCAAGAGCGGAAGCACGGCCGCGACAGGGGTGGGGAGCGTCTACGGGAACGCTCACGGGCGTCGACCCACTGTAAATTTGGAACTTGAGCGCACTGGAGCTCCGTCAATCACCCGAACAAGTCCATCCACTTTATCCGTCCCGTCGAGTCAACACTACCGACAACACCACGCTCCGTAGCTGCCCGCGCCTCCTCCCCGTCCACGAGCCAGCCACCACCACCAGGAACCACACTCGCCAAAGCCGATCTAGTCAAGATGGGTGGTCTCAACCTCGAGGTTTTTAAGGTGAGCAGCGGCCCATCCCATCCCACCCCAGCTTCACCCAAGCTGCCCCTCCCCGGAAGAGCCCTTGCCCTTCCCTTCCCCGGTTCCGTTTCTGTCTCAACCAAGGCGCGTGAGCTCGGCTGACTTTGTCAAAAAAATAGTTCGGCATGTACCTCATGTTCCCCATCGGGATCATGTTCTACTTTGGCACCAACCTCGACCAGCGCTTCTCCGTCCCCGACTTCTGGCCCAAGCCCGAGAACGCCAACAAGGTCCCGTTCGACCGCGACGAGATCCATGAGGAGCTCGAGAGGCTGCGCGCCAGGAGACTTTATTTGCGTGAGAGGAGGCTGGCGAGTGAGGCCCAGCAGCAGCAGCAGCAGCAGAACAACAACGATAAGGAGTAATTTCCCGGTTGGCGAAAGAACGTTTGCGGCAAGGCAGTGCCGGGCTATTGGCGCGCCTGACTGAAGAGGAACGGCCGTCGCTTGGGGTTGAATTACCTCTAGTCCATGAGCGACTGAGCCTTGGGGAATGTATGATTACTGGGCAGCAAAAGAAAGAGAGATGGGAGCAGGGTCGTCGCAGGGACAGTTGGAACGTCGTTGTGGTTAGGGGTGGACGAATATCGATATGGGTTACAAGGCGTTTATGGGCAAACTTGTCATTTATACGTATCCTGGTCAACAGGGAGGAGCCTCTCTGCTTTGCATCGGGCCCGGGCATCATCTTTGGAAAGGGGAGGTTTATCAATGTTTACAATCATTTGTTTCGTGCCTTCTTTTGCGTCTTCTCAGGCCAGGACTACTCGTCAATGAGCTCAGTCACCCTGTCCCACTCATCATCACTCATGTTTCCCCTAGAAACGTTGGACCAGATCGCCTGGACATCAGGGTAGTCCTTGATGCTTGCGAGGAGGTCCATAAACTTGACCAACTCGTCAGAGGAGTCCAGCGGAGCCCTGGTATCCTCAATGGCATGCCACACGATGTCGGACTCGGCGATCTTGAGGTTGAACTTGGACCCAACAGCCTTGCAGATCTGCTGAGTTGACGAGGGGTCCGACCAGACAATAATGTTGCCCTCTTGGTCGTTCTCGAGATCCTCGGCGCCAGCCTCAATCGCATCCTCCATAATGTCATCTACGTCCAGCCCGCTCTCGCCCTTCTCAAAGATCACGCGGCCCCTCCGCTCGAAGAGGAACTTGGACGGGCTCTTGGCACCGTTGGCCTTCTTCACCATCTGGTTCAAGTCTTCTATAACGCGCTTCGTGTTCTCCGTCGCAGCGTCAACCACCAGAGCGATGTTGGGCGGCACAATCGCCTCGTATATCACGGGCTCTAGCGTGGCGCCTTCCGACGACTTGCCCTGGCCTCGGGCAATGGCTCCCTCGATCAAGGCCTTGGGCGTACCGGCCTTCTTGGCCGCCGCGACAACGGTGGCAAGCTGTGGGTTATTATTCAGGTTGGGTCCATAGACTAACTCGCGTAACTGCGTAAGCTCGGGCTTCAGCCGGCGGGGCATCGGGATGATCGGTGGAACAACGCACGCTTCGAGTACAGGGTGATGTTCTTGGTGAAGACGGTCCGGGCTGCATTCTTTTTGGCGTCGGCGGCGGCCTTTTCATGCTTGATCTTGGACCACTTGTTGTGACCAGACTGCAGGGCGGGACTGGTAACGAAGGTGCGCCGACATTGCGCGCATATTATCGAAGGGCTCGTGGATTTAAGAGAAGACCGGGAGAGTGGGCCGATGACGATGCTCCGCGTGAGGGAGGCCATGGTCGCGGTTTGCGAGCGAATGAGTCTGGAAGATGAGCAACGCGCGGTCAGAATAACATATAGAAAACTTTGGAGGCGAGTTGACAAGACTCGACTAAGGTACCCAGAAGAGAAGCGTACAAACGAACGTAAATTGCGGCTCTTCCCGCGACAATGGACGGAGCTCTCAGTCAAAATTCCGAGAATTGTTAAGAAGGAAGCTGTGCCGAATGGCGGCCGGGGTTCGGGCGCGGGGCGGGAAGGAAAACGGCCATGGGCGGCGCGGCGGGCGGTTCACTTCACCAGGGGCGCCTCCCGAACCCCTTGTCGGGTGTTTCCCCTCGAAGACCCCTCATTGGCCCACTGTATGTACAGCACGCTTGCTTCCCTGGAACGCCCATGCATGCAACCTCCTGTGAGCTGCATTGGATGTTACAGACCTCGACCATGTCCAGGTCAACTTCGACTTGTGACTGACACCTTGGCTTCAACAACTTTCAGACACTCGTATTATAGACTGCATTGCCCGAGGATGCTAGCTTCGATCATTTCACCGACCATCCGAGTTCCTTAGACCAGACTACAGTACAGCTATACACACCTAATTCCGCCGTCGAATTCGCACCGACAGAGCCTCGACCGGCGCCTAATAATGTCATCAACACCAGCTCCCGGGGAGCCCAACGACGCCGCCAATGGCGAGCGCAACGGCATCACGAACACATACGCTACGACGCATCCCGAGCTCGATCTCGCGAAGCTTCAAGCCCTCCCCGCCGAGCAGCAGGAACTATTCCTCCTGACGTCCGTCTCGGCATTTAGCAGGCATGTCCTGGCGCTCGAACCAGACGACTGCACCGCGCAGCAGTTTTACATCAAAAAGGAGGCTTTCAAGGTTCTGAACCTTGCCTCCCCATCGCCAACGAGAGTCATACGAAACGCGCTGGGGCGGTGTCTTGCGCACGTGTTCGACAAGGGTGATAGGAAGCTCCTGTTCGAAACCGTCAACGAGCTGGTCGGCATCATCTCGAGTGGGAAACTGAAGACGGAGGGCGAGATCCGGACGAAACATGCTGCCGTGGCTTGCTTGGGAGACATATACGGTTCGGCCGGTGACAGCGCCATTGGATTGCACCAGCTAGTATGTTCAGCGCTCTTGAAGCTGTTGAAGGCAGCGTCGAGCCACGCAGGGCTTCGCGCAGCTGTCTTGACCGCCTTGGGAAAGATTGTCACGATGATACAAGGAAGCATGGACGAGAGTGTCGCAAGAGATATATGGAAACAGGGAAGGAATCATGCCTCTGCAGACAAAGGGTCACTGGTCGTTGTGGCGGCTTGCCGATGCCTGCGGTCGCTTGTGCAGTTCACCCCCTATTTCAAGAACTCGACCGATTTCGACAAGCTCAAATCAACCTTATTCAAGACTTTCGACAACCCATCATCAAACGCGCGATCGGCAGCAGCGGACTGCTTTGCCCAAGCGTTGGTCGGGGGTTACTCCGAGTCAGCCATTGGCGAGGCGCCGCTGCCCCTGATTAAGAGATCCAAATCCAAGGCGATCAAGAGACAGTCAACAATGGGAGGGCTTCAAGATGATGAGGAGGTCCCCTCACGCCCTGAAAGCCCTGCTCCAACCCAGAGACCACAAGATTTGGCTTTGTCGCTGGCCGACATATTCAAAACTCTGTCTACCCAATACGTTCGCATGTCTACTACAAATAAGGCTAGGGCTGCCATCGCTGTTTGTATCGGAAACGTACTCCAGAAACTCGGGGAAAAGACTGTAGAAGTCAACTATCTTCGCATTCTCGAGATCCTCACAGCTGATTTCTTGGGCCATAACAACATCCTCAACAACCGGTACCGCTTACTCATTTCGCGGCGCATGGTTGATACCATTATCCAGGACATAATAGGGAAAAGGATCCTGGGCGAATCGGGCCAAATCACGGCTGCCAAAGCTATTGTCAACGATATTCTTAAGAACTATCCCCAGGCGCTCAAGGAGAGACCAGAGCCATCCAAGCACACATTGGTTGTCTCACTGAGTGCTCTGTCGTCATTGATCTCTAGTTTGGGCACAGCGGCGACTGACTTCTCAGAGGGATGCCGCGATGGCCTGCTGCAAGTACTCCAGCACCCTAGCTACACTGTTCAGGTATACGCTGCGGCCTGTATGAAGACGTTTGTGTTGGCCTGCCCGCAACAGCTTCTTCCCTGTCTGTCAGTCTGCATGAACAGCTTGAGCAGAGAACTGAGCCTTCTTGGGACGGGAAGGAATTCCCCTCGCAGGTGCATTGGTTTCGCTCACGGCCTCGCTGCCGGGCTCAGCGCAAGCCCGCAACGCCCACTCTATGGGTCTGTTGAGATCAACAGTCGCGTTCTGACCATGGCTACAAACTTGCTCAAGTCAAGCGGAACTTCGGAACTACGAGTTGCAAGCACCCAGATCCAAGTCGCCTGGACCTTGATAGGCGGACTGATGTCTCTTGGGCCGAACTTCGTCAAGATCCATCTCTCGCAGCTGCTTCTCCTCTGGAAGAACGCGTTGCCCAAGGTTCTGGCAAAGGATAGCATGGCGGTCCATAGGAATTTGCTCAATGCCTCTTTCCTCACACATGTCAGGGAATGTGCGCTTGGGTCTATCCTAGCGTTTCTTCAGTTCAACAGTCGTCTCTTGACTGTGGATGTGTGTAAGAGAATCGCTACCATGTTGCAGAGTACTACTGCATTCCTCAAGACACTACCGGCAAAGAAAACATCGGACGATATCAGCGAGAGGCTGACGCCTGCCTTGCAACTTCAGGATTTGGAAGTTATGGTACGACGCAGAGTCCTTCAGTGCTATACCAAGCTTGTGAACGTTAGTCCTGCTGGCGCCACCGAAGCTCTTCTACAGTCCAATCTTTTGACTCTTGCCATTTCTCTCTTTGCCGATCCGGATAACTATACACCCAGCTCCCTCAGCACTTCGATTGCGAACGCAGCAGGTACCTTTGACTCCATCTGGGAGGTGGGCGACAACTCAGGTTTTGGTGTGACCAGCCTTGTTAGGGGCTTCGCGACAAGAAGCCTCCCGGGACAGCAGACCAACGGGTTGGACAGCACCCAGCAAGAGTATGAACCGGAAGAGTGCATCGAGAGGCTGCTTCTTTCTCCGGTATGCGGAACCCTGGAGAACGACGCTTGTCTTCTGTACATCGGCAACTCAGATAACCCGGGGCTCCCTGATCCTGCTGCCACCGAGGTGGTCAACATGGCTATCCAGCTGTTTGCCTTTGTTTTCCCCTTAACCCCGTCTAAGGTGCAGGAGAGTGCCCTGGAGCAGATTACGACCTTCATAAGGGCTGGCTCTCTTCAGCGGGAAACTGGGCGCAAGGCTGCTGTTAACGTCAACGTGGCTACGGCCCTGTTGTCTACTCTTCGGGTGGCTTGTAAGGAGACCAAATCGTCACCAGGCGACATCACGAACATGGCCGTTGAGAAACTTCTTCAAGAGCTGTTGAGAGATTTCGTACTTGACCCTGATCAGTACGTCCGTAGCATCGCTTACGAGGCAATTGCGAGACTCTGCAGCGCTTGTGGCAATGCATTCACCAACCAAGAGATCAAATTCCTTGTCGATACTATTGTTGTCAACAGAGAACCTAGCGCAAGAGCGGGCTGTGCTATGGCTCTTGGATGCATCCAGACCAAGATTGGTAGTATGGCGGCTGGGTATCATTTGAAGACCATTCTTAACATTCTGATGTCGCTGTGCAACGATCCGCACCCAACTGTCCATTACTGGGCTCTGGAGGCCATAGCACGCGTATCGGATGCTGCTGGACTCGGCTTCTCCAGTTTCGTGTCTAGCACACTCGGAATGTTGGCCAAGCTCTACGTCTCGGATACGCATAACCCTGAGTTGGCTTCTCCCATTACCATGAACTTGGAGGCTGACCTCTCCTCATCGGCTGCAATCGCTCGCTGCGTTGATGCGCTCATCAACGTCCTTGGTCCGGATCTACAGGACTCTACCAAGTCCAGGGAGCTGATTCTGACGCTTGTTGGGTACTTCCAACAAGAAGAGGATCTCGAGATCCAGCGGGCAAGTCTCGCCTGCATGGAACATTTGACATTGTATGCTCCGGGCTACATGGACTTCATCGACTACGTCAGGACACTTCAGCGGTATATCAAGTCCGATCATGCCGCCCTCCGAGATGTGGCCGTGGACAGTCTCTACAACCTCATGAAGAGGAACTCTTACGATGTCATCAAGGCTGCTGAGCAAGGTTTCGAAGATCATTTGTGGTTGGTTCTCGACGCCTCTCCGAGCCATGACGGCATGCGCAACCTTATCAGAAACTGGCTCCGCCAGACCTGTCTTTCGGACACAGCCGCTTGGCTTGCGCGCTTCCAGCATGTCCTGAAGATGACCAGACCGAAGGCCTCCGCACAGGCAATCACAAACACCGGGAGGTCTGGTGGAGGTATTGACCTACAGGACGAAGAGGTAGCTGGTTTCGCCGCTGCTGGAGGAGGCGCCAAGGACGACAAAGACACGCCGAGCGGCTCAGACGTGGAGCCCCTGAAGTGGCAGGTCACCACCTTCGCCATGGACTGCCTGAACGATATCTTTGTTTTTGTTGCAAAGCATGTCGCGACTCATGGCGAATCTGCTGCGCAGGCGGCCCTTCAGAACAAGATTGCTGATGTTGTCCGCATGGCATTCTCGGCATCCACATCAGGAGTCCTGGACCAGAGAATTTGGGGCTTGAAGATTATTGGGGCTGTCCTCAAGATGTTTGGAAAGATTCCAGACCCAGACTTCGAAGAGGCCATGCTGCTTGAGCAGTACCAAGCGCAAATCAGCTCTGCCCTTACCCCCGCTTTCGCCGCCGACTCGTCTCCTGAACTGGCCTCGGAAGCCGTCGATGTTTGTGCAAGCTTCATCGCGACGGGCATTGTCACTGACGTGGACAGGATGGGTAGGATTCTGAAGACGCTAGTCAGCTCGTTGGAGAACTTTGCAAAGGATGAGGATAATGCTGGTATTGGTGATCTGAAGGGACTCAGCTCAAACGCCCAGGTGATGGTCAAGATGTCCGTCTTCGCCGCCTGGGCCGAGCTGCAAGTTGCCAGCTCTGAGCAGAAGTACCTACTGGATGTCCTCAAGCCCCATATCGGTACTTTAACTCCCCTATGGCTCGAGTCTCTACGCGAATTTGCTCGGTTGCGGTTCGAGCCGGATATTTCCATGACGCTTGGCCCTCCATCGCTTTCTGGAAGCTTGGACACTGTCTACGCAGCGCTGAACCGTGAGACGTTGCTCAAATTCTACCAAGAGTCTTGGTTGAAGTTGGTAGACGCTATTGCCAGCCTCATTGAACAAGACAGCGAGTTCGTCTTCGATGCTCTTGATGGCAAGGAGCTATCAGGACCCACTACCAACAACAGCTCAAAGGGAGCAGATATCAACTACCGCGATGAGCCTGTTGCGTTCTTCTTTGTCTTGTTCGGTATCGCGTTTGAAGCTCTCGCCACGAAACCAGGCCAGAGCGAGTCCCTCGCTACTCGGGAACAGACACTGGAGATCCTCCGCGCCCTCAAGAAGATCCTTCACCCAAGTGTATCTGGACATGCCATCTACCGTGATGCCATCTTCTCTGAGACGATGGATCTCCTGGACCGTCTCGTGCTCACTGAAGGCCTTGATGTGCAGGGCGTCATCGTCGAGATTGCGCGTGCCCTGTGTGTGGCGCATCCGGCCGCCAGAAAGCAGGCCGACGACCCCGAAAACAGCGAGTTGTCTGACGACATTGAGCAACTCTTTGAGCTCACCCGGATCATCGTCTTGGTCCTCTCCGGACTGTTGCCCAATCTCAGCGAGGCTCAGCAGCCCGTCCGTCATCAGATGACGGAGGAAGCGATCCTCCTCGTCCAGACATCGCTCAACGCACTAGTCGATGCCGCGGAGGTGTTCCCGTCCATCATCAAGACGGATCTGCACGCCTGTATCCTGCACATCTTCGCGACCATTCTTGCAACACCGACATGCCAGGAGGTCATTGTCCCTCAAAACTTGTCGACGCTCAAACGCTTTATCAACGGCATGACCGGCTCTAGGAGAGACGGCGGAGATGATGACGAGGGTAACTCGCCTACGGACGTCCAGCTGCTGGGATGCTTGCGCCGCTTCCTGTCCATCTATCTAAACGCCCAGAAGCGCGAGGCTCCCACATCGCTGACCTGTGTCAAGAACTGTCTCCTGGCCATCACCATCCTCTTTACCGGCGGCAAAAACCACTTGTCAGCCAGCGAGCCGCTAGTAGCCAAGTTCCTAGACGAGGTGGTAGACTGTCTGACAGACCGAATGGTATGCCTCTCCCCTGTCTTCCTTTCCACCCCCTTTCTTCTCTGCTCGAATACTAACACAACCCCCCTACCACCCAGACCGCAAAAATAGCCGCAAACTGCATCCGCTCCCTCCTCCTCAACACCAACACCAACAACCAACCCACATCAGCCGACCACACCCTCTCCCGCCACTTGCTCCCGCGCCTCATCGCCTTCGTAACCAACACCTCGCCCGAAGACCCCGAACACGCCCGCTCGCTGATCGCCCAAACCCTCGTGCAATTCACCGCCGTGGTCGCCCGTGGTTCATCCCAGCAGGGCACCCAGGGGGCAGAGGCATCCATCGCCATGGCCCTCGTCGTGCCTACTTTGCTCTCGCGCGCGGCGACAGAGCCTGCGAAAGATGATGTGTACCGCGAGACGAGCGCAAGACTACTAGAGTTGGCGAGCGCCGATCAGACTGCTTTTAGGGCGGTGGTGGGGGCGATGAGTGAAGGGCAGAGGGGGTTCATGGAGGAGGTTATTAAGAGTGGACGGGCGGGGGGGATGGGTGGTGGTAGTGGTGGTGCACATGTAAGTGCGGGGAGGCGGAGGAGTGTGGAGGAGGAGGAGCAGGCGCCGACGATTGCGTTGAAGATGAACTTTGGTGGTTGAACAGGATCCATGGAGTTGTTGGGTTGGGCTTTTGGTGTGAAGAACATATATATACGTATGATATAGAACGTTGTAATATACTTGCATGAGACACTTACATAATAGATATGGTTGGAGAGGAATTAGGGGTGTGCCTTGGCTTTTGATTTGAGTTGAGATGGGAAACTGGGGGTGGCTGAGTTGAGCCCCCCCCTTTTCTGTCATTGTTTACTTGGGTATCTCCTGCTTTAACCCTAACCCCTATTCCTAATTGCCCAATGCCTCGGGGGTTTAACGACAGACGTGCAAACCACCGTTATATGAACGTCCTTGAACATCCAAACCCGCCCCTTTCGCTTCCTTCATATGCTGCCTATACTGATGCGTTCGTGTTTCGGGATCACAATGCGACTACTTCTAGTTCGCCGCGAGTATTTCCGCCGCCATCGGCGCCGGCGCGCCGTCCCTCGTGCCATCATGTCTCCTGGCCTCCTCAGCTTCGCGCTTCTTTCTGTCGACCTCCTTCTGTCGCTCGTGGTTCACAAAAGTGGCGTAGCGCAGGGTGCCGAGGGTCGCGACCGCCATGAACAGTATTCCTACCACGGACCGGCGGATGAGAACCCAGCGCAGGGCTTCGATGTCGGAGCGGGCGTCGCTGTTGAGCATGACGGAGATTTTGTAGTTTATCTGTTGAATCTGTTGGTGCACAAATGTTAGTTTACGGCGCTTATGGTTTCGTTATGGGATGAATTGAGGGAGAAAAAAAAAAGACCTACACGACTATCAACAGCCTTCTGCTCCTCCCTCACCGCCATTTTCCTATCGTTGAACATGCCGCGCACGTTATCGTTCAGCGTCAACAGCTCCTGGTTGAGCCTCTGCGTGAGTATGTCCACCTCGTGAAGCAGGTGCGTGCGCTGCTGCCGAAGCTGCTCGTCCGCCACCCGCCGGTTGTTTTTCACCTCGGTGCTCAGCTCCGAGCACGCCGCGCGAAACAGATATGACTCGTTCTCCACGTCGCTCTTGCTCACCAGCCCGGCCTGGGCCACGTCCAGATTCGTAGCCAGCAGCCCGCGAACGGCCTTCATCGCCGTGATGGCTTGCGTGAGCGTGTAGCCGCCGGCCGAGAGCTGTTTGACGAGCGAGTAGCTGTCGAAGTGGTGCACGTAGGGAGGAGGTTGGAGGTGCGGTGGTCGGCCATTGCCGTGGTCGGGGTCGGTGAGGAGGCGCGTGGTGTGGTCTGATGAAGGCGGTTCCATGTAGAGAATTGTTTCCATGGGCGTCGTGGTGCTGCTCTTGTCTGCTGTTGGATCTGAACCGGTTTTCGCGGCGGCTGCTGTGGGTAGTTGTTCGGGGGTCCCGGAGCTTGGGGCTGTCTTGGGCCCATCGGGAACGCCTTCTGTTGGTGTTGTTGGCTCGCTCTTTTCTGGCTGCTGCTGCTGCTTCTCTGCCGGGGCAGCATTGGGTTTCGGGTCGGCGCTTGGTTTTGGGTCGGAAGACGTTGTTGGTGTCTCTTCATGTAATGGCTGTGGTTCTACGGCCTTTCCGTATTTGACAAAGGCGGCTTGCCTCCGGGAGGCGGAGCTCGAGAAAGGAGCTGAAGCGGTATGCGCGCAGCATGATGGCTGAGAAGAGTGAGGAGCGACATGACGACGAGGCTTGCGGGCGACGCGAGCGGCGGCTGGCTCGGACCAGAGAGCTCCTGTGCGGAAGAGCTGAGGATATAGGAAGGTCAAACGGCCTGGGGTGGCCATTGTGTCGCAAGATAAGAGCTTTGTTGCTGCCCGAGCTATCACAATCTTAGAAGCGGACTTGGAGGGGAGCTTGGAGGGGATCGCGGGGTTCTAGATGGGCGTTGGGAGGGAATGCGACTGTTGGGTTGTAACAAAGTGTTGTTGGATTCGGGAGCAAAGGATAAAAGGAGGAAAGGGAGTGATAACAGCAGCTAGACGGCTACAATGTTGGTGGGTCGGGAACAGCCGGTTGGAAATCACCTCAATGTCATGCATACGACTGGGCCGCCGTCAACGGAGCTCGGGATCCATTGTCGCGATTCCAGCCCAGGGGCAATGGGAAAGGATGAAACGGCTAGGCGGGCTGGTGTGCTGCACTGCTGCTGCCAGCCGGAGCTCAGTTGTTCAATGCCAAGAGATAGAGCAGGCCGCTCGGTGCTGGTCGGTGGAGCACACACGTCAGACCGTTCCTGAAGGAGGAAGTGACGTGCATCGGACACTCTGATGTCTCGAACGCACTTGACAGTAGAACTTTTTGTGTGATAAGACTCTGATAAGACATTGAGGCAGCTTCCATTGTCTACCATAGCGCGCCACGGGGGTTGTAGAAAACGATCCTCGGGATGTTCTTGTAATTGTAAGATACATTTCGGGATGATTTCGGGCTGAAACTGATCCATGGATCAGTTTCAAGTCAAAATGACACGGCAAGAGGATCTCTATTATCCTTTCTCAAACGAAACTATTATATATGGGCAAAATCGACTGCTTTGAAAATAATCCCAAAAGGAATCCCTCACTTAAAATATTTCCAATGGGGATTAATTCAAGGAAAAGACTATCATCAAGGCTGTTTTACCGAAGGAAAATGTCCCTAGACGTCTATATTTCAGGAGGAAACTGATCCATGGATCAGTTTCAATACAAAATCATACACTTGGTTAGAGAATTTTACAGTTACAAGAACATGCCGAGGATCGTTTTCTACAACCCCCGTGGCGCGCTATGGTACCTCTACGTGAACCAAAATGTTATCAACGGTTCAAAGAATTCAGACTAAAGGAACTTGAAGTGGCCAATGAGAGGCCGACTTCCATCCGCATTTTGCGGGAATGACACCTCAATCGTTGACCGCTGATGTTGACACTCAACGCAGTTAGTACCTGCCTCCACTATAACGCAAGGAACTACGCCCTGCTTTTACAGGGCATTCATGCTATGGGTGCAGAACGCGAATGAAAAAAGATCGATTCGTCTCAATACAACCCTCAAAACTCATTCATCTGATTGTTATCTTGCACGTCCTTGTTGTGTACTGTCCAACAAAATATCGTCACTGCAGCACAAAACAGAGAGAAAGAGGTAAGTACGTTCCACCAACATGGAGGGATTGCAACCATGTCGAAAGGCCCTTCCATGACCGAGGTTCCTGGTCCCGCGCGGCAGCTGATTGACTCACGGTTCGCTTCAAGTCGTGGAACTCACAATCTTTCCACTTGCGCCCACCAACACGGCACGGGTGCCAGCCCTGGGACGCTGCTTCTTCCCGTCGTCATCTTCTCTGCTTGCACACACCATACTCGCCCTGCTGCTTCATAAACTACGGGGACCCGTCTCTTGTCCATCTTATCTCTACTCCAACCATTCTTCTTCGTTACCATCTTAGCCACGCACCACATCCACCGGTCTCAATTAAGTATTTTGGCTCGAGTCATGTACGCGCTCACAGTGTCTTTGTTTCCCATCCTTGCCCATGTCTCATGCTAACTGACGCTGTAGTCCATAGTGTCTCTTTATAATTCGCTGACCTGGCAGCTGTTCCAGGCGTTAATGTTGGCTGCAGATGGCTTCCCCGTATGGTTTGTACACCCATCCCCTTCCGAGTGAATCAAGGCCAATATGGCTCCTCAGAACCTGAAGGTACTCACTGACAACACCTCCCATAGATCCCGTGGCCACGGATCCACCACTTCTGGACAGAAGTAGCGAGATCAAAACCTATACCACCTCGAGGTTTACTTATCCCGGCCTGCGTATCTTTTATCGCCGCCACCAACAGGCCGACCGTCTTCCAAAGGAGCCAGCGCCGATACCACTACTCGTTTTTATCCATGGACTTGGCGGCTCAGTAGCTCAGTTTCACCCGTTGCTCACCAGCCTGACCTCGGTGGCGTCCTGCTTGGCTATTGATCTTCCAGGGTGCGGGAGGTCCGAGTTCTCAGTCCGCCAATGGGAAGCATATACCACTGATGCCCTGGTAGAGCTCCTGGAGATTATTATCGAGGACTACCGTGAGAAAGAGGATGGCCAGGGTGTAGTATTGATTGGTCACAGTATGGGTGCCTCTCTTGCTGCACTACTGGCGAGCCCGAGACTGCCACCCCGGACTCAACTGCATGAGCACGTCGTTGGCTTGATCGCAATCTGTCCCAGCTCAGGTCTTCCATCCAAGAAGCAGATTATGATCTTCAGGGCTCTGCTTTGGATCCCTGAATTCATTTTCAACCTTTGGAGAGCGTGGGACAGGAGAGGCGGAAGCCAGAGTGCGAGCGTTAACAGGTTCGTTGGCGCCGATGCCGACCCCGAAGCAAAGCGGCTCCAGGACTTATACAACAACCAAAGTAATTCGTCAGTCTGGCGTCGTATGGCTTGGGGTTGTCTACCGACCTATGTCAATGGGCAACCTCAGGGCGGCCTACCCTCAAAGGAAACCTGGGAAAAGCTGAACGTGCCAGTTTTCTTGGTGGGAGGAGAAGACGATAGAGTCACTCCTCCTAGGGAGATTGCCAAGATCCGTGGCTTTCTGGAAAACAAGACAACACCAGACACGATTTCACCCGGCACCTCAGTTGTTGCTGATTCAGCAGCGCCGGTAGACATCAACGCAGCAGTATCCAAGATTGATGCCTTGACAAGTTTGGGACAAGCAGACGAAAATGCTCGAGAGGGGGCGGATCAGGAGCCAGTACACCAGACACAGGTCGCTGAACCAGAGGAAGGAGCGGACGATCCGTCGACGCCTACTGAGCAGGCAGCGAGTCTACCGTCTTTGTCTCTCCACCCCAAGAAGGTTGTGCGCTCGGTCATCATGGGCAAGCCAGCCACGCACGCTTTACTATACACACCATCAACAGCCCGTATCTTAGCGGGACTGATATCGGATTTTATGGTTGTGCATATCACTGGTCGTCTTGACTTGGGCTGGCAACTGCAGTACCTTTCTCGGGATGGCAAGTGGGATGTCAAGAATCTTCAGAAGTGGCAGGCTGTGGAGCCTGTTTCTGAACCTATCGGTGGTATCTTCCGTGCCATGAAGACATTGCGCGAGGTCGACGAAGTTCACAGTCCTTCCGAGTTTGTCAAGAAGTGGGGTGGTGTCATCAAGGACGTCATCGACATTTCGCATGACAACCCGGTTTACAACCCTCAGGGTCTCGAGAAGGGAGGAATACACTACCACAAGTTCCCAACGGTGTCCAAGGTCCCGCCTACGGATGCGGAGATCAAGGGCTTCATTGAGCTTGTTGACAAGATCCGTGCCGAGCAAAAGGAGCGGGCGAAGAGAGAAAAGTGGGGAGAAGAGTATTACATTGGAGTCCATTGCCACTACGGCTTCAACAGAACGGGATTTTTCCTTGTCTGTTATCTTGTTGAGCGATGCGGTTATACCCCGAAGGCGGCTATCGAGCATTTTGCTAAGAGCAGGCCCAAGGGCATCAAGCATGCTCACTTCAAGGACCGGCTGTATGTCCGGTATTCTGGTTTGGAGATTAAGGCAATTGAGGAGGAGTGAGATTTCACTCGCCCTTTTTTTATTTGCTGGTTTACTTCACTGTAAATGTCTCGAGTTTCTTCGAGCTATGTCTATCTGATGATACGAGCGGTTGGATTAGTTGTAAGCGATTCCTTGGTCATGGCAGTGTGGTTGGGCCTTGTACGAAAAGATAGATGGCATGGGCGTCTGGAAGGTTAATGCTGTTTGATTATTGATACCTTGAAATACTAGCCTGTATTCCTTCTTTTTGAACAGTTGAGTCTTGGGTTGCTGTTCGGATAAATCAAAGCATAGCTGAAGAACATCACGATCACGACAACTGTCCCTGACTAGCCAAATACGCAGCTCCCGAGTCAGCCCAAACCTCATACTTCTTAACCCTTGCCTCCTCGTCAAACTCCAACACATACGCAAACACCTCGTCCCAGCTCTGTCCCGTCTTATTGTTCGTGAACACTGCCTCCCCCCTAACCGACACCTTACGCACCTCCGAATCCACAATGTAATTAGAAAATCGCATGTCCTTGTAACTCAACTGCTCCCCAATGGTCTTGAAGTATTCCAGAAATCCATCTTTGCCCTTGTATTCGCGGCCCAGAAAGGGTGCCAAGCGAGGCAGACCGTGCTCGAGGACTATGATGTCATCGCTTTTGGCCGTGAAGTGTTTGGAAAGGATCTCGGACGGAGGGGTTTGGGAGGCGAAGGCGGAGCAGAAGGATTCAGAGGCGGTGAGGAGGAATTTTCTGGTTGTTGAAGACATTTTTAAATTTGTTTGGATGTGTTGGGGTGTTGATATCGTGAACTTGTTAGTGTTGGAGTTGTGTTGGTTCTCCGTGTGAAAGCGAGTCTTGTGTAACATGCATGGATGAATTGATGCCGAGCGTGGGAAGCACGGCTGCACGACAGGGGACCGACAGGGTTGCTTTCAGTGGTCAGGCGGACGAATCATGGGCTCCTGCCGCACCCGATGCTGTCAGATTGGCACCACTACCGCTTTTTTCCATTCCCGTCGGATTTATCCCCACGTTGTACAGCCAATCACATCTGGTGAAGGACTTGCATGCTGACGACTCAACGGGGCATGCAGCCCAGCAAACCACATAATTGGCCAAAATAGTGTGGGGATAAATCCGAGTTGAATGAAAAAAAGCGGTACACCAAACTGGCAAAACTGGAGCTCCGAACTTGTCGGAGTAGTGGCTCAATCAGCCAACCTATAATCTGACAGATGCAGCCCTATCGCCGCTGTCCGCACTGCGTCTTGAGTCTTGACCGCTGTGCGTTGATAACGTCCAGTCAGATGTGAGGACGTCCTGCTACGGCCCCTGCCTGGAGATAGCCAAAGAGGTGCTCAAACAGTCACCAAAGAGCGCTTTACCTTATAAGATGTACCACGTCACCCGCCCACCGTGACGGAGACGAGGGGAGACGGGGCACAGACAGGCACGCGCCGCCGGTTTCGAAGTCGGTTTCAATCCCATCTTTCTTTTCGTCCCATCTTCCCGCATCTTTTCTTTCCCCTTTCTTCCCTTTTTTCTACGCAACTGAAAGCTCGGTATAAGGGCTGATCGCAACCATATCTCTAACACCACAATGGTAAGTGAAAGCTCTCCGCTCCTACACAAAGAGTGATTTCGGACGTTAACCGGGGTTGGATCCTACCGCACAGGCGCCGTCTCCGGAACGCAGGCCGTTGTTGGCCTCCGACGACCAGTCTCCCGATGGCCGGGACGACCGCGACAGCGATAATGCCGCTCCCAGGTCACGATGGCGCGAGCTTGCGCTCTTCACCTGGGCCCTCGTTGCTACCGCCGCCGTGATTGTTCTGGCCGTGGTGATCCAGCACAGTAACTCCACCCAACACTCGTCGACTTCACCGGCAGCGGTCTCTGACTCCTCGGTAGCCGGCGGCAAGAAGACCGGTTCCTCGTCCGGTGGCAAGCGCAACTTGGTATTTATGGTGTCTGATGGCATGGGACCCGCCTCGCTCTCTCTTACGCGCTCGTTCCGCCAGCTCACCCAGGATCTGCCTATCGACGATACCCTCACCCTCGACCGTCACTTCTGGGGAACCTCCCGCACGCGCTCGAGCAACAGCTTGGTGACAGACTCTGCTGCCGGTGCCACTGCCTTCTCCTGCGGTCTGAAGAGCTACAATGGCGCTATCTCAATGCTTCCTGATCACACACCTTGCGGCACCGTTCTCGAGGCTGCCAAGCGCGCTGGGTACCACACCGGGTTGGTGGTGACCACCGATATCACGGACGCCACCCCTGCTTGCTTCGCTGCTCACGTCTTCCATCGCATGCAGGGCGATGAGATTGCGCTGCACGAGGTTGGCCATGGTCCTCTTGGTCGCACAGTCGATCTCATGTTGGGCGGCGGCAGATGCCACTTCTTGCCTAAGGGGACCCCGGGCAGCTGCAGACAGGATGATATCGATGTTACCAAGCTTGCTCAGGAGAAGTATGGGTGGAACTATGTTGACAATCGCGCCGGTTTCGATTCCCTTGGCCTGGGCAAGAACGTCTCCTTGCCACAGCTGGGTCTGTTTGCGACCACGGATGTTCCCTTCGAGATCGACCGCCGCAACATGGCGGATGTGTATCCCAGTCTGAGCGAGATGGCTGCCACGGCTCTTGCGGCGCTCGAGGAGGCTACCAAGGATACTGAGAAGGGCTTCTTCCTCATGATTGAGGGCAGCAGAATTGACCATGCCGGTCATATCAATGACCCTGCGGCTCAGGTCCGTGAGGTGCTTGAGTACGACAAGACCTTCAAGTCTGTTCTCGACTTTATCGAGAAGTCGGACACTGAGACCATCTTGGTTGCCACAAGCGATCATGAGACCGGCGGTCTGTCCACTGCTTGGCGTATGTTCATTCTTCCCCCTTTCTTCTTCTGACCTATGACATTTAACTAACACCCCTTGCAGATGCACCCAGCGAACTCCCCGTCTACAACTGGCACCCCACCGTCCTGGCCCGCGCCAACGCCTCATCCGAGTACCTCACCGTCCTCCTCCTCAAGCACATCGCCGAAACCGGCGACAAGGAAGAGTCGCTCCTCCGCTGGATCAACGACGAGCTCGTCGTCAAGCACCTCAACATCAACGACGCCTCCGAGGTCGAACTCAACTCGATCGCCAGCAACCCGGCCCTGGCCATCCAGCTCTTTGCCCGCATGGTCAGCGTCCGCGCCCGCGTCGGCTGGAGCACCCACGGCCACAGCGCCGTGGACGTGAACATCTACAGCTCTGGCGGCCGCGGCACGGAGAAGATTAGGGGTAACGTGGAGAACACGGATGTGGGCAAGTTCTTGAGGGGGTGGCTCGATTTGGATAGCGAGGTGGAGGATATTACCAAGGAGCTGGCCAAGAAGTTGGGCAGCAAGGCTCCCTCGCAGAAGCAGTTGGAGAAGATCGAGAAGGCATCGACCGCTTTTGAGGCTGATGGACTTGCTCATGGCGGGTTTGAGTCGGGGCTTTATGGTCATTTGTTGTGAGATGGTAGCCTGAAGTATTAAGAGGGCGTTTCGAGGAGTTTCCTTTGTAGTGTACATGGATATGATGCATACGATCTTGATACGATATGGGTGGAAGGATGAGCGATGCGAAGTGTTGCATAGAGATTGAACATTGGCATGAGCGACAACGGAGTTGCATGGTACTTATTGGCTGGTTGGCGTTTGTGTCATAGTAGAGGTATAGCGTTCATGGTTTAATGCTAGCGTTGTCGTTTGGATATCTGTCGTCATGTCTGAGTCTTCGTGGCTTCTCAACAAACAGCCATAGTCTTCTATCACAATGAAACATGCGCAGGATTCATACATATTAACTGCCTGAACGACTAATGCACGCACATCGAGGGAGGGACCATGAACATCATATCCTTCACTGTTCCAGGAAGCCTAGCATTGTCATCATGAACACATTCGCAAGCGATTTTTCAGGCACGATTCGAACATAGAGGCAATTCATCAATTCGATTTCATTCCGAACTCCCGCTCCTAGAGGTAGAAATAGGACCACTCCTGTCATTCTGTTTTCTGGCGGCATCACATGAGCCCCTCAAGTAAACGAAAAAACCAGCGAAGTATCATAAACTACATCCATTTTTTATGACCATCATGACCAGCATCAATCATGTCATCATCTACTTAAACGACTTCACAACCTTCTCCAGCGCATCCACCAAAATATCCGCGTGCTTCTCCTGGAAAATCAACATGGGCCTCAACCTAACCGCGCTCTGCCCGCTTCCACCAATATTAACCCCAAACTTCTTCGCCCTCGCCAAAAACTCGTCTCTCCGCGGGGTATCAAACGCGATAAACGTTCCCTGCCCTTTACCCCTCAGATTCTCAAACTGGCCCGGATATTTCTGGGACAAACCCTCCAGCTTGCCGTACAGATACTCACCCACCTTAGCCGTGTTCTCCACCAGTCCCAAGCGTTCAATCTCCCCGATGATGGCCTTGAAAAGCAGCGCCCTGGCCGGGTCGCCCATCCACGTGTTGAATTGCCTGTAAGGCTTGTTGGGTCGCAGCTCCGGGTTGCCGAAGTAGTAACCGGCTGTCTGCGCCTTCTTGGAAAAGGTCACCATGTCGGGAGGGTCCTGCAGGTCCCAGTGGTCGTGCGCCCAGAATTTTCCTGTAGCACCAACGCCGGTTTGGACTTCGTCCACGATCAGGAGTACGTCGTGCTTTCTTGTGATAGCGCGCAGTCCCCTAAAGAAGGCGGGGGAGGCGTGGTTGTCGCCGCCCTCGGACTGGATGGGCTCCACAATGACGGCGGCGGGCGGGACGTGGTAAGTCGTGATCAAGCGCTCGACTTCATCCAGCGCCGCCTGCTCGGCCGCGGCGTTTTCCTCGGCGTGTTGATCGAGCGGGTACTTCAGGAGCGGGAAAGTAGCCTGCGGCCAGTCAAAGGCGGGGATGTCCAGCTTGTGGATGGGCTTGGAGCGGGTGGTAGACAGCGAGCCGAACAAGCGGCCGTGGAAACCGGTCTTGAAGGAGAGGATGGAAAGCGGGGTGGAGCCGGGGGGAGTTTGGTTGAGCATGGAGGATTCCATTTCCTCGGCGGTGAATTCCACCTGGGGGCCGCCGCGCTCCTTTTGCCGGCGCCACATGAAGGCGGCTTTGTAGGCGGTTTCGTTGGCGTCGGAGCCGGCCATGGCGGTGAAGACTTGGTTGAGCCCCTTGGGCGCGACCTTGAGGATGCCGGTCTTGAGAACGGAGGCCCAGTCCGTGGGGGGGAAGTTGCCGAGGGCGGGCCGGTTGATGATGCTGTTGATCATGGCGGAGCTGAGGGCGGCGTCGTGCAGGACCGGGTTGTTGTAGCCGATGGGGATGGAGGCGATTTGAGCGTAGCTGTTGGGGAGAATGGGATGTGGTTAGTATTCTGTGTTTTGATCTGGGACTCATGGGTCACTTACACATCGAGCAAAACATTGCCGTCAGGATCAGCAATGTAGTTGCCGACACTCTTCGGGTAATCAGTGAGCATGTTCAAGCTCCGAGTGTCAAAGACCTCATCAAGCTCTTTGATGGCCTCCTTAGCCTTGGGACCCGGGATCTCGGTCTTGACCGTAGGACCCTCGGGCTCCCAGTTGTCGTAGAATGATGATGCCATCTTGCTGGTAGAGGCAGTGAACTGGCGACGGGCAGAGAACTGGTGAACTGCGGAAACAGCAGCAGGGCGAACCGTCGAAGCAGTAGACACGGCACGCAAACCGCCGCTGTAGCTGCTCCTAAGAAGTCTCGAGGCCATATGGCGTCACTGATGGATGCTGGCGTGTTCGTCTTGAGATGGTTCTTATACCAATTCCCAAGTTCAAGTCCGTGGTGTCCAACCTATGATCACTTGTTTTGATTGTTGTGTAAGTCAATGATCTTGCAACCGGTTTATAACAACAAACAGAAAGAGGGATTGAGACTTACAGAAGTAACACGAAGCAAAGAGATAAGGTTCGGGGAAGCGGATGTGAGGTCCTCAGCTGATACCTGCAGGTAATTCGGAGAAGAGGAAGAAACGCCACTCACTTCAATGAGGCAGAAAGGAAAGGTACGATGTAGTAAACAGAGAGGAAGTAAGTGGCTATCGCCGGCTTATTTGTATACATGAGAGATGGGAAGCGGGGAAGCCGATATAGGACAGACGTCAAGACAGCATTGGGGACACAATTGGACGTACGTACATTAATTGGAGGTGATTAGCTAATTGGAATCTTGTGTCTATTCTAGACGTCTACTTACAGCCGCCCTGGCCGCCGCCTTGTCAACACGGGCAGGACACGAAGTGTTTTACGTACATGGAATGACCCAACGTCACGTACCCGACTATCAGCTATCGCTTAATATGGGCAAATATCCCGAGATCATCATGGTGAGGGACGAGGACGGACAAGCTTCCGACCACGGTAATGAAAACTATGGAACCGCTCCGTCCTTTGACCCGTTGCGCCGCGCCCTCCTTTGTCTTTGTGCCGCCGACTGCAGATAACTCGTACCTTTTCTCCTCTCAGTAGACTATCCTTTCCCGTTACCCTGTGATCAGTCTCCCTTGTTATCACCGCGTGAATGGTAGTAGAAGAAGACAAGAGTCTCGTTATCTGTGCCATATCACAACATCCTAGCTATCAGTCAACTGCGTCATCTCCAGCCTATCAGATCATTGTCTTTGACCCCGCCGAGTTCCACTGAACCCCGCTGGAATCGGGGGACCTGCCGTCTCTGCTCCAACTCCATCCCGGACCCAAGCTTCCTCCACACATTCATAACTCCACTCATAATCAGATGCTATTATCAATGTGTTGATCCAACAGTATTTCCTAGAACCTGCTTAACGGCTTCACGTAGAAACTTCAAAAACTACCACATACAAGAATGTTGCGCTGTTGTTATAATGTTTCCAAACAATGATGTTGAAAACTCAGAGCAGAGTAACATGATTAAAGTGTGACGCTAAACATAAGGTCCACTCCCCTTGAGTATCTAATAACGCCAAACAATTTCTCAGGAAGAGAACAGCTCAAGCAAGAATTTGAAGAACGACTCAACAATATTCCCGCTAGCTACTGCCTTCCGGTTCTTCTTTTGGTTGAGGAGGCTGTAAACCGGCTGACTCGGCAATGCTCTTCCACATCTCCTTCTCCCGATATAGTCGATCTACCTCTTGTTTGAGCTTGTCGTTGGACTGACTTAGTTCCTGGATGGCCTGCTCCGTAAGCAGTTTCTCCAACGTCCACTTTTCGATGTTCTGGGTCTCATTCTCCTTCAGCTGAGTGATGAACTGAACAGCGCGCTGAAGGATGGATCCCTTGTTCTTCTCGCATCCGGGAACAATTTTCGCAAGCTCGTTGATACCTTCGTTGATAGTCTCGCGACGTCGTCTCTCCACTGTTGTCTTCGTTAACAATATTCTAGATCCGTTAGTTGGTAACGAACACCTACCTTCTTTGTGGTTGTCCTTCCTCATCTTGTGCCACTCTTCACTGCCAACAGCCGGCTTGGGCGGGAGATGCGTTCCCCATTTTGGCGGTTCAGGTTGTACACCGTTGGCCGGTGGGAGAGATGCCTGAGGGGTCATAGGCGGCAGTCCGTCTGGCTGGTTCACGGGAGACGGGTTGTGATAGGCATTCTCGTCATGATGCTGCATCTCTGGTCCTGGCGGCGGAGGCGCAAAAGTCTCCTCAGTTGGTGGAGGGACATGAAGAGTGGGATACATGTTGAGAGCGGCGGCGGCAGTGTTAGTAGCGCTGTTCGCATCGGCCGTGTCTGTGTGATCCGAGGCGGCCTGCGCCAGCGCATTGAAATCGTCGGCGCTGACATGATCATGGGCTGCTTGGGCGATGCTAACAGCATTCTCGAGGAATGCCTCTGGCTCGGGGACTGCCATTGTCGCAGGTGGAACACCGCGCTTGTTTCTGCGAGAATCGGGCGAAGCAGACTCGGATGCGCGCTTTCGCTTCTGTCCTGGTGTGTTGGAGAGGTCTGTGAGGTCGGGATGCTCCATAGCAATAGGAGCAGCCATTTTGATCTCTCAAAGGAACTAAAGGATGCTGGTACCTCATAGTCAGTAACAATAGTCAACGGAAGGCATGGGTCATTTTGCGTGTTTTCAATGCCTCATCTTCAACCCCAATTTTAGACGCAAGCAACACCAACAACTTGGGAAACCAAGAAGGCAGTCGTTAACTTCACGATCCAAAACGCATGTTCGCTTGGCAAGCACTTGCTTGGTAGTTATCGTGACAATGATGGGTCTTTGGGCAGAACTCCATGGTGGTTGCGGTTTGCATGCGACAAAATCAACGCGTCGCTACGCTGATACTGGCTAGGCAGCCAAACAGGTCCCAATGTGAAGAGGATTGAGTGTGGTGATCTCCGTCGACCGTCCGCAAACGTTGCGCAAGCCCTATACGAAGCTGCATCCATGTTCATGATGCGACAAGTAGGATCGATCAAGGACTTGATGGTTTGTATGGAGAAGATGATGTTTTCTCGATCCATGTCGCCTCTGGTTTTGTACAAAAACGACGCCGGTCGCATGGTTCGGGAGAACAGCAAGAGTCTTTCGAGACTTGACGGCGATTTGTGAAGCCTGCATTGACCAGCCAGGACTCCATTCGTGTTGATGGGGAAAGGCAGACGGGATCGTGAAGCAAATACCTTGACTAGAGGTTTTGGTGGTCGGGACGCTTAGGATTCTTAGGAGGTCGAGGTCATGTGCAAAACTCGTGACTGCGTGAATCAGGACTTGGACCCATCCAACGCTTCCAGGTTCGAGGAAACAAGCACCAACAACAACGCAAAAAAGAAACCTGGGCATAAAGAGAAAGATGTTTATCAATCGATTTAACTTGAAAAACGTACCGGTTATTTGAAGAAAATCAGTTTCGAATCTTGCGTTCGTCAGGCTTAACAAAGCGTCTTTTTCGAAGTTGATCTGGAGAAAGTCATGTGAGCTGAGCGAGAGGCAGCGAGGAGGTCGAGCCGCCGGCTTGTATAAAAAAGACTAGAGGCACACCTTGCTGTGCACGGACCATGCGCAATGCTCAAGTGGCATGCTGAATGCCCGAATGCCCATTCCCCGGTCAACTCACCCCTCGTCCCCACTGTTTTCACTTGGAAGTCTCCCCCATCTTTCTACTATGTACACAACACCCCTGGCTCTCTCACATCTTTTGAGGGCATGGTTTGGCAACACATAACATGTCAAATCAAAGTGTGAGAGTGGCACCTTGGAGGCGTTCGAGGACTCTACCGGGTAGCACATGTGCGGCCTCCTAATGCCATTCCAGGCACGTGCGCCCAAATAATACGACCCCAATCCTCCCATTTGCCTGCCTTTTCCACTTGACCAATTCCCATCCTGGTGAACCCAGGAAGTGAGAGTATGGCTGTCTATCTCTGGGCTGTGCGTGCCGGGGCATGATATTGAAATCAGTTGCCTTCTTGCTACAGATTCCGATGCACAGGACAGCCCCGTGCCTGACTGCAAAGGCCCGTTGGTTATCGTGAATGCAACGACTCAATCACACCCCAGGTCCGCCGCGGGTCACTAACTTCTCTTTTTCTCACAATGCCGTTGAGGCCTCTAAGATGACAGTGTGAGACAGGTCGGCACATGATTTGGGTGACTGTGATCACGAGCACGAGCATCTGACCCTCCATCAACATCACTCCCTCTGCGGACAAGTTTGAGACCAAAAGTGGAAAGGTGGCAGCCTTTTGAGTTCACCAGGCTGCCGTGAGTATTTGGAAGGCTACCATGCCGAACTTCCACCTGTGTCGGTCTTTCACCACGTTAAGCATGTAAACGCCTCATCATGTAAAAACCAAAGGCATTAAGGAACTACGCAGTGCGCACATGCTTATCAGTCGAAGCTTGTCATACGAATCACAGTCCTAACCTGTATGATGCTACTATGAGGCCCTTACAAAGCTTCTGTAGCAAAATCGAAGGGTATTTCTTTCTTTCATAAGATTCGAGGCATCTCGAAAATATCTTATAACCAATATGTATAAGCAGATAACGACTGTTGATTGTACTGCTGTCGTTCTTTGTCGCCAATGCGCGAGAGTAAACGCGGTACGTACCGCTAAGAGGTGACCCACTCAGTAGGCTTTATGCAACTTGTGCAGCACTACCTAGCTCACCTAATGTGGGGAAGTGGGGTAACCAATGGACGTTGACATCAGTGGGGTACCCGCTCCCGCGCTGTGCCACGGGACTGACACACTGAAAGCAGGCCCGGCTCCGTGGCCGTTGAGGTTCATCTTCGTCCCATCACTGACTTTATCCGGCATCCGTATATCCCGTGTATCAACCAACGTAGCACCCGCTTCTTCTTTCATCCCGTCTTGTCTTTTTGGACTCTGACAACAGAGATATCTCCGGACTTTTGAGCTCCAACTCTACCCGGAACACCATCTTGGCGATTCACCTGTGTCTTGGCCAAGATGGCAGATCATGAAGCCTCCAAGATAAACCATGATAACCATCTACTGCTGGTAAGTTGCCCCTTCATCTCCTTCAGACCGTTGTATATATACTAATCATCAGCTCGACTTCACCTACAGGATCAACCACTGCTCCGTCTGCCATACGAACTCCTCCGCAAGAATTTCCGATCCGCCCACTTCACAGTCGAGAAAGAGTCGACAACCCTCAACAAACTTCTCAAGGAGACAGCGAAAAGATCCCTCGACAGCAAGACATCGCCCGAAGATGTCGTCAAGAACCTGGATGCCATGATCGCCAAGATGCGCGGCATGAAGCGCAAGCTGTCAACGTACGCCGACGAGGAAACACGGCTCTACAAGCAGCTTGATGCTCGTGTGGCCCATCTGCGCGAGCTCTCGGACATGCATTCGGTTGAAGATGTTAAATACGAGGCCTGGTCCAGGAAACGGCTGGATCGACTGCTGGTCGACTACATGCTACGGCACGGATACAACACTTCAGCCCAGGCCCTAGCAAACGAGCGCCAGATGCACGACTTGGTAGACGTGGAAACATTCCTGACAATGAGCAAGATCCGCGAGTCTCTTGAGAACGGCAGCGTCGCCGAGGCGTTGGCCTGGTGCAACGACAACAAGAAGGAGCTTCGAAAGTTACAGGTAGGACGACACACACAACCCCGTTCTCCCAGTCAACCCTCATACCACACTCTGCTAACCCTTCCCCGTCAATTTCCAGTCCAGCCTCGAATTCCTCCTCCGCTGCCAACAATACATCGAGCTCCTGCGCATCAACACCATATCCAAATCCGTCGAAGCCATCGCTCACGCCAAGAAATACATCGCCCCCTTCCAAGAGCAATACCCCGACGAAGTCCGCGAAATGGCCGCCCTTCTCGCCCACCGACCCACCGACAAAGACCTCCCCCCCAAATACGCCGCCTGGTACAGTCCCGACCGCTGGTCCAAGCTCGCGTCCACCTTCGTCGAAGCGCATAACAAGCTGCTCGGCCTGCCCACTTTTCCCTTGCTACACACAGCCCTGTCCTCAGGCTTATCAGCCCTCAAAACGCCCGCCTGCCACGGCACGCAAAAGACGACTTCCTCCTCGCAGCCGGGCCACAGCCAGACGAGCATGACGAGCAGCGTGTGCCCGATCTGCTCGATCGAGCTGAACGAGCTGGCCAAGAACGTGCCGTATGCGCACCACAGCAAGAGTCATCTGGATAATGACTTGCTGCTGTTGCCGAACGGGCGCGTGTACGGACAGGCGAAGCTGGATGAGTATGCGGCTAAGGCGGGGCTGGCGGAGGGGCAGGTCAAGGATTTGGTTACGGGTGAGGTGTACTCAAGGGCGGCGTTGAAGAAGGTTTTTGCGTGAGAGGGCACTGCGGTTGCGGTTCCAGCCGCGGGCAGCGGCGGCATACTTTCTTTCTTTTATGTGCTTACTTTTGGTTTCATGCGTCGGGGGTTTTGAGGCGTATAATACGGCGCGGGCTAACTAACGGTTATTATTTACGGGTGTTTCGGGGGGTTTTATCATTAATGTGGCCCCTCAGGGGTGAGGAAACCAAAATTTGGGGGATTATTATTATTATTAGTCTGGTTCCAGTCTGGACTACTTTCGGGGAAAGAGACGCAACAGCGCAGCAAACAGCTTGGGAATGGTTATGGATGGGGGATAATTGCGTTGGCTTCTATATCAATATGCTAGGACGGGAAGATGGCAAGGTGGTAAGATGGTAAGATTGGGGATAAGATACGCGGCATACAGTACACACACAGACATACGCATATGAGCCCAAAACAGCGTTGCCATTATCATAGGAACATTATACAAATTTAATGACTTTCATGACATGGGCTTGCAAGTTGAATGTTAATACCCGTGCGTATGTATTCAGAACGTCAGGGGCACAACAGTCATTAATAAAACCAGGCTTCTTTTGTGTTAAAAATCATTTATAAGGTGTGGATAAATGAGAAGCGCCGCCCATTTTACCGGTGTTTCTCTCCTCTGATTCCCATTTTCGCCAGTGTAAAACAAAGCAAGAAGTTAAAACGTAAAAGTATAAACCACACGAGTGTAATGTAAGCGCTAATGGACTAGTATACAACCAAAAAACAGCTGAAATCGAAATCAAACCAGGACATAGCTGGCTTTCGCTGGGGTAGAGTGTGTAAAGAGGTAGATAGTGCTGAAGTCTTAGGGGAAGTAAGTTGGCGAGTTGTCTGGATCGCTTCCATCTCTTTTTTTCTTTGTCGTCCCATCAGTTGGTTTCTTTCCTGGGGTTATTATGCATTGCCACGCCGTCGTGTATGCATAAAGGCAAGCTATCCATCGTTCTTTTTAGAGAGCACGCACCACTCCATCACGCATAAAAACAACGACGACGATAACGCATATAGGAAGACCCAAAAGATATAAAAGTTTTTGACAACGGAGACCAAGAAAAAAATAGAGCGCAAAAAAAAAGTAGGGGGACATAATAACACAACCAGCACATTTCAACTCCTTTGACCCATGCATCGCATCCCATCTCATCTATCCACACACACACACACTTCCTCCCAGCCTTACATACCCCTCACACACTCAAACTCACCAGGGATTCCCTTCTTGCCTGTAACGTCGGTGGATTGGGTCCCATACCAGCGGTGGCGCTGGAGGAGGACGTAGTACCAGCACAGGGTTAAGAGGATGTAGATGATGTACAAACCTAGGAGGACGATGATGACGATGACGTACCACCCTAGGAGGATGATGATGATGATGTACCACCAACCCATGAGGAGGACGAGGAGGAGGAGGACGAAAAGGATCAGCAGGATGTCCCGACTAAGAGACGCTTGTTGTTGTTTGAACCCATCCATCCCCTCCAACCACCGTCATATTAGAGCCCGCCGCCGGATGCTTCTAGCCTCGATTGGCGCTGCTATTGTTGGAGTTGCCGAACGCGAACTGGCCGAACACACCACCTCCGCCGCCGGGCGTCATCGGTCCGAGGTTGCCCATCGCCGCCGCACCACCGTTGGTGTTGTGCGAGGCGGCAGCGGCAGCCTGCGCAGCGACGGCCGCTTGAGCCGCGTTGGCGCCCGCAGCCGCGAGCGCACCGGCGAGGTTCACCGAAGCACCGTTGGGCGTGCTGGGGGTTCCGTTCTGCGCACCGTTTTGCTGCTGCCCAGTTGCTGAGCTCTCGGCGTTGGCGCTGTTATTGTTGTTATTGCTAGCAGTCGCGGCTGCCGTGTTAAGACTGGGAAGGCTAGCAACGACGGAAAAATCGGGGATGCCGAGACCCCAGACCTTGCCGACGTGCTCGCCACCGATATCTCCGTTGAAGATGCGCTTCCGTAGCTCGAAGAAGACCTTGCCGGTGATAAGGCTGTCACTGCCCGCCTGGTGTGCACTTCCCACGCGCTTAACCTTGAGAGTGTCGGCGATGTGTTCAAGACCTGATTTCTGCTCGAACTTTTGAAGGATTTCGGCCGCGCCCGGATCGTTGGGGGTCAGCGCACCGCTGTTGTACTGCTTGATAGCGTGTTTCATGAGGTGCTTAACATCATATGTTGACGGGAAATAAAGCTTCATGATCTGATCAAACTCGACCTCGTCGTTAGGAAGCTGAGCACAGATTAGAAGCTTTGTAAGGTATCCAAAGTCGTAGCCACCGTGGAAGCTGATCCAGCGCACGTCTTCGAAACACACTAAGCCGGATGGGATAAGCAGCGCGGCGAACTCCTTGGGGTCGATGCCGTCCCGCTCAAGTAGGCTGAAGTCGATACCGGCTTGCTGCAGAGACTCGATCGAGGTCTGGTTAAACATGTCCTCCTTAAGAGAAAATTTAAAGTTGAACTGCCACGCGAAGGGAAACGGCCCCTGTTGGTTGGCCGCCCTTTTTCCTGCGAGATCCATAGAATCGGTCGAGTTTGGTCGTGCAGGGGGTTGCTCGCCGTCTTCGTTGAATAGGGCGATGCCGATCTGGATGACCTTCAACATGTCGACGTTGGTCCTGAGACATTGGTAATGGTAGTCGCTCTTTCCCCTAAAACCTCCCATCGGTCTCGACACGACGCCGGGAAACTCGGTGTCCTAAAAAGAAGCCCAACCCACGTTAGCCATTTCCAAGCTCTCCTCTCCCAGTAAGGGGGTAACTGCAGTCCCACCATAGCAATGTACGGATACTTGTCCACCAAGTCTCTCAGTATGGCCATCTCCTCGTTCAAGTTGTACTTCCACACCTCTCGTATCCGGCTCTTGCTCTGCGATCGCGTGACATGGTCGGCGAGGGCACCGTGACCCTGTTGTGGTGCGTGTTGCATGTGCTGTTGGTGCTGGGCATGCTGGGCGTGTTGCGAGTGTTGGGCCGTCTGTTGCTGGGCCTGCTGTTGATGTTGTTGTTGGGACTGCTGTTGTTGCTGAAGTTGGGCCCCGTGCTGGAACCCCATCCTCGCAGCATGGCTCGCCAGCCCCGAGTCTCCCCCCACATTGAAGCCGCCGCCACCAGCATTTAGTCCCCCGCCTAGGCCTAATAGGTTGCTATTTGCCGAAAAGGGGTTCACTTGGGCGTTCTGGTTGAGGTAGGCGGGGTTTCCTGCCAGTTGCGGAGGATGGCTTGCCGTGTGCTGGCCGTGTGTAGGAAACTGCTGATGATAGGGCGAAGGTCCGCTGGGGAACCTGTTGAGGGGTGGAGGAGGCATCGCGGAAGAGCGACAGCCAGTGGACGGGTTTGATGCTATACGTCTATCGTGATATCGGACTTGTGGAAGTTGGTCTTAGAAGGTCGAGCCGTGTATGCACCATTCCTGACCAGGCGCTGCTCTGAGGGATGACGGAGGGGCGGCCGGGCGCTCAGTCGGCGGTGGAATCGGCCAATGTGGGCTGGATAATATCGTCGTGGTGGATGGCAGACAATCGGTACGACTGCGGTCGAGGGGAACGAGTACGGAGGGGTACAGCCTGGAAAGTTTAAGATGTTAAGTTCTGTGGTGCGTGTTGACAGATTTCGTCGGACGGGTCGAAAGCTGGTCGAGTGCTGTGCGTTCGTGTATCTGGTGCACGGTCGAAGGCTGTCAACAGCAGTTGCTATCTGACTTGTTTCGGGCGGGCAGGTTCGCTCAACCGCTCCAGTTCCAGTTGCAGTGTTGAATGGAAGGTTGGAGGCGCCGAGGCGGCAGGCTGTTGATCGCACGGGCCACCAGGAGCACAGGTACAAGCAGGTATGTACGTACCTTTCCTTGACTGGGCGCACGAGCCAGCTACGGTTGCAGTGTTCCCCACGAAGGGGACGAGGCCCCTTTCTGCCGCCAAGGACAGGGTTGGGGGTGGTGGTGCGGGTGCGGGTGCCTGTTACACACTGGGCAGTCGCACTGGCCAAGCACGTCGGGTGCGGCGACAAGGTCGTCGACGTCGCCAAACCAATTGAAGCCGATCTGGTGTGAAGCCATTCCCGCATCGACGTTAACAAGCAATTGCCGTCTCCAAAATGCGCGTCACACGGTGAGCCTCGCTTATGACTACAAGTACCAGCTTTGCGATTCCTAACAACAACGAAAGAGTTCTCCGCGCCGTCCCCAAGAACCCCACGGGGTTCAACATCAGCGAGTTCCGTAGAGCTGCCCGTGTGCCCGAACACGATCCTTGGACCAAGAAGTGAGTACAGACAGTTTCGACGCTGTGCTCTTGGAGGAAGTTTTGATAACCAACACGAGACCCCCCGCTCCCCGAAAACAGCGAGTCCTGGCGTACCACCGGCCAATTCTCCCGCGCCGAACGCTTCAAGGGCGCTCTTCCTGGCTTTGGCACCGCCTCCGTCGCCTTTGCTATTTACTGCGTCTACGAGCATCTCTTTCTCAAGGATGAGCACCACCACGATGGTACTGCGTCCGCCGTCACTGCGCACTGAGATATAGACGGGGATGGACATGGAGATGGAAATGGAGATGGAGAAGAGTGTCTGAGTCGGACTGGGTGGATCCGGGTGATATTCAGAGGGGGGCAGGGCGTTGATATGGGGTATACATGAACAAACGACAAACAGGACGCCTACAAACGCCAGATATCATAGATAACTGGCAGCCGAGCTCTGGTTGAAAGAGCTTCACCAGAGAAGTCTATCTCGGATGGCGGGAAAGATACAGAAGAGGAACATGACAGTACCATACATAAGACGGGGAGGCTCTTACGGGAGGGCGGGGCTATAATAGACTGGTCTCCAACAGAACATAAATATCATTACATCGAAGTGATGGAGACTTCCAGGGTCATATGGTTCCTGGTTATGCGTATGTAACAATTTACTTCCCAAATACTTCAACGAGACAGCCGTAACGTTAGACATGCTTGCCACCAGGGGGTATAAGTAGACATCTTTGTACCTATAAACATCAAACAGTGAATTTAGAAAGGGAACCCAGCACTTTTATATACATTATCTGTCTTTTTACATGCTTCTGTGTTGACCTTGATCGGTCTCCTCATTGTCCACTTCATCCCGACATCATAAAAACCCTTTCTCTCTCTCTCCTCCCTTGAAAACCCTCCCGAACTACCTAGTGCCAACCCCCCCATTCTGGTATATCTATCATCTTAGCATTTAACGAAATGGTATCTGTTTCAACGGAACCCACAGACACACACAATGCAAAAAAGAAACAAAACCCAGAGTCTAGCCCGCGGTGGCTAGGTCATGCTAAATGTTGTTGTCATCCACGGCCATTACTCAAAAAAAAAAAGCAAAAACAAAAGCCAAAAGGCAAAGTCATAAAAGCCCTTGAAACGCCACATCAACTGGAGGGAAACGACAACAGCTTTTACAAGCCGATGCCATTGATCAAATCCAAACATCCCTCGACCGCCACCTCCAACTCGCCCACGCGCTCCTTCAGGTGCCTGTTCTCGTCACGCAGCAAGCCGACCGTGTCCCAGGCCATGCTGGCGTCCTGGCCCTTGCAGTTCATGCAGCCCTCCGAGCCGGGCGCGATGCCCCTGATGATCTTCTGGAACGCGCTCATCTGGGTGCCCACGATCTTGGGCTTGGGCGTGGTCGGGACCGGGGGAGGGGGGCCCATGGATCTTCTCTTGTTGGTGACGCTTATGTTCCGCTGCAGGGCTGACGCCGACGCCGTTACCGACGGGGCGGGGCTGTTGACGATGCTCATGGTACCATCAAAACCGCCACCAGGAATGATGGGGCTGCGGCACCGCGCGGAGAACACGCTCTCGCTCTCGGCGACGCTGTCGGTGTCGGTCGAGTACGAGTAGTCCGTCTTGATGGTGCTGGTGCTCTCGCGCCACTTGCGCCGGGCTTGGTAGTCGGCGTCGACGCCGAGGTCCTCCGACACGACGCTGCACTCGGACATGATGGTCGACGTGCGCTGCGGGACGGGACGGAACTTGCTGCGCTCGAAGGCGACCTCGTCCATCAGCTTCTGGATGGCCTGCTCGTGCTCTGAAGCCTTGCGCGCCATGCCCTCGAGCTGCATCTTCAGGTGCTGGGCGCGCGTCTCGGCTGCTTCGATCTCATCGCGCTGGGCGGACTTCTCGGCTTCCAGGTCGCGGACGGCGATCACGCGCTCGCGGTAGGCGGCTTGCATCTTGGTAAGCAGCCCGATGGCGTTGGCCTGCAGGTTCTTGTAGGCGGCCGAGGAGGAGGTGTCAGCGGTGGGGGCAGCCCCGTTGGGAGGGAACAGGGCGGCCTCGATGTCGAGGTTGCAGAGCTCGTCGTCGACGGCCGGGCCGGAGGGCGCCGGGCCCGGCGTGAACTTATGCGTGATGGCCGATATGAGCCGGGAGGTGACGTTGCCCTTGGGCGTGGATGGCTCATGCATGCTGCTGCGGTTGCTGAACTGGCTGGCGTTGGTCCCGCTTCTACGCGACCTTGTGGGCGTCTTGTCCATGGAGGTGTCGCCGTCGCGAACGGAGCCGGTCAGGGACTGACCATCCGCCGCCTTGGTGCTGCGGGCTGTTAAGGTGGGAGCCATTCCCAATGCTTCTGCTGCTGCCGAGCCCGAGCTGTTGAGCCAGTCGGCAAACCCTCCTTGGGAACTGTCCGGTTGCTCCGAGGAGGAGGCGGGCTGGTTTCCGGTGCCGAAGGTGAGGGCGATCAGGTTGGGGAACGAGTTCCCGCGGCGATGTTTGTTAGGACCCGAGCCCGACTCAGCGTCTTGCTCGGAAAAGCCGCTGTGGTACTCTTGCAAGGGGGGGAAGGAGGGGGCTGGGACGATGATGGTCGAGGCTGGGCGAGGCGGTGGAGTGGGAACTACGCGCGGCTTCTCAGGTACTCTTGGGGGGACGACGTTGTGCTCTGAACTGACGGATCTGATCTTGTCCAGAGATCCTCGCAGGGCTAGGGCTTTGGGAGGAGGTGTTGGACGTGCAATGGGGCGTTGGGGAGGCGGTAAGTCTCTTGCTGGCTGCGAGGGGGGCAGAGCAGGATTGGGTCTAAGGGGCATGATGCAGTAAGGTTTGGAATGCCGCAGTATCCCTGGAGGTCCCGTGTGTTTTCTCCTGTGTCTCCCCTGGTAGTCCCTGGTAGGCGAATCTAGCCGTTGTTGGTCTGGCCGGCCGGGTTATTGTTTTGTTTGGCGGGGCCGGAGTGTTTCTTTTAAGTCCAGGCGACCGAATGTCCGGCTCCTCTACCGCCGTATTATTCTAGGAATACGGAGGGCCAATGTGTACAATATGTGGATGATCTCTGGGACTGATGCCAGTTTCGACGCCAAAGCAGGACAATGGAATGCAACAAGCTTCCACAGCTTCCACGGTGTGTAGTTGAGGTGGAATCGGTGGCAATTGGTGGCGGGGATCCTAAGTCGTGTTTTTGTTTCCAAGAGGGGGAGTTCCTTGCGTCGAAGGTGAACTCGAGTCGGGCTTCGAAGATGTGCGGAGGTGGACGGGGCGAAGAGTAGTTTATGCTGGCGTGCCGTGGTCTCATGCGCTCATTTCAGGGGTCCAAAGTCTTGACCGATATATTGCTCCGGAGAGGTGTAGACCGATGTAGGCGCACGAGATCAGATGCTATCGTCCGAACAGGCGGGTTGGGTGAAATGGGAGTCGAACCTGGACGGTGATAGAGGAAAAGAATTTGTCGATAACCAAAGCCATTCAAGAATCGAAACCAAGGGAAAATATCAAGGGGTAGACCCGAAGAAAAAAAAACCTAAACAAGGTCCAACGGTCTGGAGAAGTTTGAACCGAAGCGAGGTCCCGTTCTCCCCTTTTTTTGGTGATTGCGCGCACGCGGCGGCACCACCACACCCACCAGTCCACCACCACTGAATGGGGGCCACCACCGTCCGCAACAGGGATCGCGGGATAGGAGACACAGCCAAGGCGGACGCACCTTTCAATGAACTCCAGGGGTTCGCTAACCCTTCCTGTTCTCTTTTCCGTTTTCCGGGGTCGTGAAGAAGCTAGAGATTCCCAACCTTCTTTTTCGAAGCCTTGGCAACCTGACGTCTGCAGAACCGACAAGGATCCCGCCGATTGGTCCGGCCCCGGCACTGCGGACTGCGGCACCGTGGCACGCACTTGGCACGCACTTGGCAAAAAAGCAAGTGCATTGTAACTTGTGCACCATCACCGCATTTTGAAGACTTCATTATTTCTGAGCATTTTTCTACGATTCTTTCCTCAAAAACAATCCTCACGGTGTTTCCATTGCTTGGGCAGTTTTCCCATATGCTTACAGCTTTTCATTTTATCTTCAACATTGTGCCGCCCTATGCCCACGTGGGCTGTTGCGGAAAGTTGAATCGGACCTGCCGAGTATCAGACGGTCCCGTCGTGGGTCTGTGCAATTTCATCGGCCCCAGAAATCGACAAAATGTTCAAATTGACGAGTTTCATCCAACTGGCATTTCCACTCACAAGCAGTCCACTATGTACACACAGCATATCTCGGAACGATCGTCACGAGAAGACATCCCCAGAAGAAGCAGGATTCTAGAGGTAGACAGACATCATACGTAGCCATGCCTGCCATGCTGTCGTGGACTCGTGGATTTGGACTCGTGGTATTATACGCATTTTATAGCCTCCTCCCACGCCTCCATTCTATGCATATGTATCAAAATGTTGACGAATGCTGGGTCCCACGAGTCCCCCGAAACGGACAACCACATCATCGTGCATCATGATGAAACACTGCATCACCGCCCGCCCGCTGGGTGTGGTTGGTACGTACCGCTTACATGCTGCTTGGCTGCTTCTCTTCAGCCTTGTGTCGATTTCGTAGAAGCGGTTGTGATAATCCTTGTTGGAGACTATGATACTATCTTCAGGGGCATCTCGCTTGGTGTCTGGATTTACATTTGCTCTTGGGTTTGAAGATCACAAAAAGGGAGAAGACAATCCAGAATCTCTTCAGGGTGAGAAGTTCGAAGAAACTCCCAGACTAACCCTAACCCTTGAAGAGATGCCTTGATCCTCTTCCCAAGAGACATTGACCCCTTTGCTGTATCTCGATGATGATTGCATCGGTCCTCCGGGGCCAAATTGAACTCAAACGTCTTCTCCGGCTTGTCAATGACAAGTGTTTGGCGTTTAGTCGTTTTCTCCCCTGATATACAAACGGTTCTGAGCGTGATGCGGCAGCTCTAGCTGTATCGCCAAGTTGCTGCACTTCATTGAGGAGTGGCCGCTTTGATAATTCCGAAGCATAGCAATACTTCGTGATCATTCTTCAAGGTAATGATAATGTCAATATGGAGCTGTTTTCAGTCCAGTCAGCACTCCCGAAATCTAGGGAGTCTGGCAATCCGTGCCGAGCCACAACCGGGCTCATCCTCACACACATCCATATCCTCACGCAAAACGCCATTCATAGGAACCATTCGTTGGAAGAAAAATCGCCCTTTTTGCTCACGCTTGAGCATGCATGTCAGAAACGACCCATTGTCGTTAGGTATACCTGACAAGAATCCCGCCTCCTACACATCCATCTCTCGCCCCCGCTCCCTCCCCTCTTCACATTGCCTCCCCTTTCCCCTTGCCTACCAAGCACAAAAAAAACCAACTCCAAAACAAGCACACAAAAGGAAGGAAAAAACCAATGGATTTAGTAGAAAGACTCGACCATGGTATCCTTGAGGCTGGAGTTGATCTGGCCGGGCGCGGCACCCTCTCCTAACCTGAACACGCTCTCGATAACACTAAGCTCGGGCGCCGTGGTGTCGAGGCCGGTGACGGCCATCCAGTCGTTGACCACCATGCCGCCGCCGATGACGTTGGAACCTCTGTTGATGGAGCCGGCCACCAGCGGTACCTGGAGCAGGGAGCTGAGCTCGTCCTGGTCCTGGATGCTGGTCTTGGGGTGGACGAGGCCGCCCTGGTTGCTGAGCGCCATGTAGCTGCCGACGAGCACGTTGTCGGCAATGGTCTGGCGGAACACCTCGACGCCGAGCACGTCGGCAATGATCTCTTCGGTTTCACGCTCCAGATCCGGGTGGATCAGCGCCGTGTGGTCGTTGCACACGATCACGTTGCCCAGGGCCGACAGGCGCTCCTCGATACGTTGTATGCGCACGTCGTCGGGGAGACTGTTGCGCAGATGTTGCAGTTCCTGGTCGCTTGTGCTGGTGGGGACGAGGAGACCTTTGCGGTTACTGTTTTTTTTGGTCATGGTTAGCTTACCGATATCCATATTCCCATTCTGATTTTGCGCTCCCAGAGCTGGGACTTGAGAGTTGGACAAAAATGGAAAGGGAAGAGCGCATACCCAGCTGTTAGGCGACCGATAATCCTTGTGCCGGCAATGGTGGTTCTGCAGATAGGGATAACATCTTGAAGCTCGGCCTCGAAGACGCTGTAAAAGTTCTCGCTGGCACCGACGGCAACCAAAGCGTAAGAGTTTGTAAGTGTGGAAAAGACTCCAACCCTGTGAGAAAACAGACAATGTCAGCACATCTGTTACTTGATATCCCGTATGACCACCCTCCGCTCCCCATTCCGATTCAGAGTCGCCTTGCTGTCGCGGTGTTAAGCATGGTATTGATGTCGTTGTCGGTGGCGGGCGGGGCAGATTTTCGATTTTCGCATCGCAATTCCATCTTGGGACGTGGAGGCCAAGCGAAAACTTACTCGTTGGAGTTCTCGAACTGGGCGCGGACAGCCATGGCTTCGGGTTTTCTCGTGTAGTGCTGCTGGTGATCTTCCTTTGCTTGGTGGTGAAGTGGTAATCCGAGAGAGACGGATAGATTGAGTTTATGCGACAGAAGGTATAGAATGCTGTTTGCTGCTTTGCGAATGACGACTGGTGGGGTGGGCGATGGAAGGAAAATATAATCTGATAGCGACTGGGCTAGGTGAGAAGTGGGGCGCTATCAAATCTGGAATCTGGACTGCGGTTTCTAGCAACCAGCTTTTGGGGCAGCGGGTACCAAGACCCTTACATATATACAAGTACCTTCAACAAGACAAGCATACATGCGGCTTACCAACCCAACCTCTTTTCTCAAACCCTTCCATTTTGCCATTGAGGAGTTTGTCGGCATTCCACTTGCATGCAATTTCATTTTCCATCACCGGTGACTCAGACAAATCAGAGCAGTCTTGGTAAGGCTACACTAGCAGTACTAGCCACCCTCGGGATGGCAAAAGGCTTGCCACACAGCCCACTACTCGACGGGCGACTCCAGTGCTACAGCGGGATGGAAGCTCGCCCAATGGAAACTTTAATGAAGAAGTTGTGCTGCGGATAGTGTTGTATAATATCACAGGATCCTGGCGGTTGAGATGCTAGAAGTCGAGACAGAGATTCATTCATTTTGACCATCTTTGTTGGACTGGTTCGCTCAGCTCATACTGAACCCTAACCCACAAAGTCACGATTCGGCCTCCTCAATCCATGTCGCTACAGAATAACGATGAGAACGACCAGAGTGTTATAAAGGGACCGGATCATCATCTTCAGTCATGAGCGAAGCAAAGGAAAATCGGTGAATATCCGCATGAATTTGTGCGATATGTACCCATTTCATAACGGCATGGGGAGGCAAAAAAAAAAACTAATGTACAGCGCGCGCTAGCTAATTAAAGTTTTATATTGGTTACTTCATTTGATATTAAACGTTAAAATGCCTTTATATTAACTGCTCCTAGAACGTAGAATTGAACATTTTAGCAGTTCATGATAGATTCATATGGTCGTGTAAGTTAGGATTGCTTATAGTAGGTATATAAAAAAACGGATATATATTAATTTGCTAACAAAATTGTAAGGTTGGCCATGTACCTAAATTTTTTCGGGAATCCATTCACTTTCGTGAATCCATGCACCAGACCCATTGCGCAGCAATGGGTCTGAGAGGCGTTTCTAGCCCAGACGAGTATGCAGTTGCCTTCTCTATATATACATAGCAGCTTACCCCCAAAAAAGTCCGGGTAGGGTGTTATTGCTTTTCGCGGGCGGTCCCCATACAGAACCCCGCACGCACTAATATCTCGCTACTGTACGGACCGTTTTTCCCGCAAACTGTCCGCAAAAAGAATTGTTAGGCCTGACATTTATTGTGCAATTACTGTTAAGGACTGCTTTCAACCCGTGAGCCTCGCGTAAAATCTTCTTTCCACTCCACCGAAAACTATGAACATTATCGAATATTACGCCCGCGCCCAACATGCCTCCCAAAGCCGCCCGGACTACCGCTCTCCCGCGAGGTGCCCGCAAGGTGCACCGAGAGGAAGACGAAGTCCTGGCGGCTCTGGGAGGCATGTTGGGCGCGGGTGGGTATACGGACCATTTGTACGGACCACCCTAGAATCCAGCTCTGTACGGGCCACAACCCAGGATCCAGCCTTACACCCTCAGGGAAGGGTTGAGGACAGCTTGCTGGCCTCCCCGAACACTAGTCTATAAGATACGCGCTTCTGGAGTCACGTACGACTGGGGAAACATCTGGTTGAGGTAAGTACCATGAAGCCGACGCCTTTGAACAAGATGCATCATAACCAAAACTCCAAACTCCCTTGCCCCGGGCTGACCGTCAGACCCTGATCCGTTGAAGCTCCGTCTGGTTCGGAACGACTCGAACATTCATATTGCTGACCGTTATACCGGATAATGCATGCTTTGCAAGAACCGATCCTTCTTTGACCTCTCATTGCAGCGTTTGAGCTGGAAATAGCTGTGGACCAGCAAATCCCTTCGCAATAACCCCCTGAATATCAATGTTCTTGAGAGGATCTGGATGTGGACTCCACATCTTGAGCAAGATGTACCGCGCGCTCACCGGCGGGTTGAACTTGATGGTACACTTGTTCTTGTCCTTCTCAATGTAGAACTGAGCCAGAGGAGACATGAGCGCTCCGCCAACGGCTCGTACCGCCTCCTGCGTAGCCACCTGTGAGGCTTCTCGAGCTCGCTCCAGTTCTGGGGTTGCCGTGTCGTACTCGTTGCGCCAACTAGCAGAGTGTTGCGCACGAGTGATATCATTCGGCCAGTCCAAAGAGGTGGGATTCCATGGGTCCCTTCCATCGTCACTACTGTCGCTCTCGAAAGGCAAAGCACCAATCCTGTTGGGGGTTCGCCTACGGCGTACGTGATTCTCGTCTCCTTCGCTTTCATCGTCACTGCATTCGGTCGTAACATTGAAGGGTTGGGCTGCGGCCGAAAACTCTGGAGGTAGCGCAGCTGTTGCTTGGTCTTCATCATCGTCATCGTCATCATCTATGGTGTTGATCAGATCTGATATGTAATCGCGTCGATACCTCGAGGGGTAAATCCGGCCATCATCGTCGTGTCGAACCGAGTATATCGTTGGAGTATCGCGAGATGCGCGGGGTCGTGGATTCGCAGGCTGTTCATACTGGATTTGATATTGCGATGTACGTTTCAACAGATCATCATGTTCCATCGAGACGAACACCATCCCCTCTCGGACTCTATAGAACGGTCAGCAAGGCCACTCGAAAGACAACCGACAGGGGACAACACATACGGTTGAGAGTAATGTGAGCCAGGCGCTTTGATCACCAACTCTTTCAAACTGAAGACAGTACCACCTTGGTGTCGTAGTATGATATTGCACCGGTTCGTCCTTGTGCAGTAAACCGAAGCGTCGTCTTTCAGGATATTCTCCGCCACATAGGCCCGACCGTCCCTGAACAAGCCGCCGTCACAGCTAACGATCTCCAAAAGGAGCGGACCCGGTTCCACCTGACCGTATTTGCCATACAGAACGCTTTTATAACTTGGCGACACCTTGTCGGAATCCAGCTTCCGTCGTTTTGCGCGCCGATAGTTTTCTATTCCTTGGACATCTTCAGGAGGGGTGCCCGTACCGAAGGGCGAGGGTTGAGAAGAGCTGGACGAGTCTTGAAGCTCCCCGAGCGTCGCATACCTGCGGTCCCTAACAGCGTTCATGTGAGTTCGGTGCAACTCCATTGCTCGGTCAGAGGGCCAATAACGGGAAGGGCGGGGGCGGCCGTTTTGGCCTCCGGGCGTCGACATGCCGGGTCGCAGTCTTGATCCAAGCGAACGAAGTGACGGAAGCAAGGGTGGTGTAGGGGTCGAAGAACTTGAACTTGGGACGGCAGGCGGCAAGAAGCTGCTAGACGGTTGAGAATCCTGGTTAAATCTCCGGCGAAGGGACCGGTCAGAGCCGGAGGACATCCTGGACCGAGCGAGCACTCTAGAGGCAGCCTGTTCGAGAGCTAGGTTGCGACTGATGCGGTCGATGCTGTGGTGAAATCTCTCTAGAGCCTCAAATCGTTCTCGGGATATCGCTGTGGGAGATCTCGGCGGGGGAGCATCGGGTTGGGCGTGGTTTTCGTGAGATTCCGAATCCCAAGGCGGCCTTGGAGGTCGACTGTCGGACTACGATATGAGAGAAGAATGTTAGTAAGATGTGGTAAGGTGCCAGTGCGTGTCGAAGGCGCAGAGATGGCAGGTGATAACGCGGCGATATGTTTGGATGGGGGCCGTGGAAGCGAACGTCAGAAAGGGCAACTTACCATGAACCTTGAGGGCACAAAGACCAGGGGGGGCAGGCGGAGGGGTAAAAGGAAGAATAGGACCCGACTGGGACAAGACGTTGCACGGGACGCCTTGAGACGAAAGGAGTCGACCAGCTGGGCAAGCCAACGCCATCCATATGAATATCCACCGAGAACCTAGGCTGGCTGGGCATCCTTCACTGACGTTGTGGGAGTGTAATTATTAGTATGTACCTCGTGAAGCTAGAGGAAGATAGCGACTGGGCGGTACCACTTTAACTGGCGTCATGTCATCGGGATCTACGATACGTGCGTTCACGGGTGTGACCCCATGTCCCCAACCAAACCACAAAGTGCATTCCGTTCTTCTCCTCGTTTCAAAGTTGCCTTGATTGTTGGATTTCAAGCTTGATATACCTAATGGGTGGCGTTTGTATGATCCTTACCGAAAATACTTAATACTTCAAGTGTTTGCCGTTGTTTCGATCTTACGGAATTTCAAACATTACTCAGTTTGGTACTGGAAATAGTGCGCATAACCGCAGTACACAGTAATACCGCCGAAATGCCCTGCACAGGCCTCTACCACTTTTGCACCACGCGTCTCAACCTCGTCAACGCCATTCACCACCAAGACCTTGAGATCAAAGTACTAGTACGGTAGGTGCACTGGTATTCATGATCTCAAAATCTACTCCTGATCCCAAAAACTAACTGCTCTCTTGGCATTTTAGGAAGGCAAATTTCCGCCGCTTTTTCAGGTTCAGTTCTCGGTCCAGTTCCCCAACATTCACCTCTCACCTCAACCTCACCACCAACAACCAAAAGCGCAAATATCACTTGGCGCAAAATATAAGAGGTCGTTTTCGTTCCTGATCACAACAACCACACTGTCACCATCAGAGTCGTTTGCCCATCATGACTACCACAACCACCCAAGCCACCGAGACCAACGGATCGGGTCAAGAGGCTTCCCACTCGGCTGCTGGTATCAGCGCAGGCAAGTGTCTACCCTTTCGCTACAAAATAGGTCACGGAATCTAACCCCTTCAACAGATGAGATCGCCCTCTATGACCGGCAAATCCGTCTCTGGGGCATGAAAGCCCAAGAGAAGATCCGCTCCGCCAACATCCTTCTCATCACCATGAAAGCCCTCGCCAACGAGATCGCCAAGAACCTCGTCCTAGCAGGCATCGGCTCCCTAACCATCAACGACCACGCCGTCGTCTCCGAAGCCGACCTAGGCGCGCAATTCTTCCTGTCCGCCGAAGACGGCCACCTCGGCCAAAACCGCGCCGTAGCCGCCAGCGCCGCGCTCCAGCGTCTCAACCCGCGCGTCAAGGTCGTGGTCGACACGGACGACATCCGGACCAAGCACTCGTCCTTCTACTCGTCCTTCGACATCGTCATCGCCACCGACCTCGACGCCGACACCCTCAACGTCATCAACACGGCGACCCGCATCCACAACCGCAAATTCTACGCCGCCGGCTGCCACGGCCTCTACGGTTTCCTCTTCGCCGACCTAATCGAGCACGACTTTGTCATCGAGCGCCAGCGCTCCAACCTCCCCTCCACTCCCGGCCCCGAAACCAAAACCCGCTCCATCATCTCGGTGGCCCCCAAAGAACCCGACAACAAGGAGAAATCCCAAATCGAACTGGTAACCAAACGCGAACTCTACTCCACCTGGCTCCTCGCCTCCTCCGACGCCTCCCACTTGCCGCAAGATATCCTCTCCTCCCCGCGCCGCAAACGCGCCGTCACCCCTTTGCTCAGCTGCCTGCGCGCCCTCTGGCAATTCACCTCCACCTTCGGCGTCCCTCCCACGGGGCCCGAGCTGCTAACCAACCACACCGCTCTAGCGGCGTTTACGCAGATGTGCAGCGATAAGCACAAAGCCCTTGGCCTCCCCGCTGAGACGTTGCGCGCCGAGCTTTTGAGGTCATTCCTGCAGAATGTCGGGGCGGAACTGGCCCCCGTGGCGGCGGTGTTGGGCGGACAACTGGCGCAGGATGTGATCAATGTGTTGGGACAGACGCAGCAGCCTGTTCAGAACTTTGTGGTGTTTAGTGGGGAGAGTATGGAGGCGAATGTTTATGCGTTGCATCCCCGGGAGGGCGAGTTGGGGAGGGGATTGTTACCGGTTACGATGGGGGTTATCGATGCTGCGGCGGAGGTGTTGGGGCAGGAGGAGAATAGGGGGGAGGTGGATTTGACGGCGCTGGGTCGTGGACAGCATCTGGGTCAACGTCAACGTCAGCCCGAGGAGTCGTCGTCGTCGAGGATGGGCTCTGGCTCTCAGATGGAGGGCGTTGAGCAGCTGCAGGCAGGACAACAAACTAACGGGGTATCGACTGACTCTACTGGCGCTGCTGGTGCTGGTGCCGGTGCTGGTGCTGGTAACGTCTGACTTGGTCAAGTCATTTAGACTTGCGTATCACTCACTGGCTTACTTCCTTCTTCTTCTTTGTTGGCTTGGCTTGGATCCGGAGTGTCCAGAGTGTTTGGGAAATCTTCAAATGCAATGCAGGGCGTTTTTGTGGTTACAGTAGTTGTTGATTAATGGCATCCTTCCTTCCATGGATTTGCGCGGACGGACGGACGGACGGGGATCATATGTATGATGAATTATGTAGCAATAAATCTTGATAGACAGACTAGACTAGTCATAGTCATGCCTTCCAGACGGGGGAGATTCTTTAAGGATGAATTCAGGATCAGACATATGTGGCTGGCTGGCTGGCGTTACTTACTCTGTCTTGTTGCTGAAAGCTTGCTTGTTGGACCATGTTCGCAAAGATGTTGTTCTGGTATTGAAAAAGTTCCGGGAGCGCAAGTGTAAGATCAACGTCAGTCACTTGGAGAACGGTCAAGATCATATGTCACGATTAAAGCAAACACCGTGTAACAACTTCATAGATGTATGTCATGTAAGCCATTTGTGTATCTCAATGTATGATTTCTCAAAGCAACTAGTTCTCAAATCTGTATGTATTCCGTAACCTTGATCAAACCCTGAAATATGCTTTTATGCTGCCGAACTCCTTTAGGGAACCAGAAAAAGCAAACAATCAAAACGAACTCCTTCCAACCCTGCCTGTCCAGCGCAGTGTGGTATATACGCTTCCTTCCCTCTCTCTCTCTTTCCTTTCTCCTCCACTTTTGTCGTGGGTAGTAAAGCAAAATGTAGAGTATATGTGAAATGCAATCTGTTATGTGTCGTGGTTGGTATATCCAGATAGATGCCTTTGTAGAGCCTGTTTTGTAGCCCTTGGAATCTTTCTTGGTGAGGAGGATTCGATAACTTCGTAGCCAAGTCAACTCTCACTCCAACTTCTCTCCCGTATTTCCCCTCCCTCCTCAGTTCTGAGGCTCCTGATCATCCCCAAGTTCAACCAACTCCATCTCCCCCTTCTTATTCTCCTTGAACTTCAGCCGCGGCCCGCCCCTGTTCCTAAGCCTATAATTGCTGTGGACGGGCTGACGTTGGCGCGGCTCTTCGTTCTCCTTTTTGATTCTAACCCTTTTGGGGCTTGGGCTTCCGTCTTCCTCTTTGATATCTGCTGCGGCTCTCTTTCTCTTAGACGGGGTCTTCTTTGCGGTTGGACTCTTAGCTGGGCTCTTGCTCTTGGCGGTAACCGGGCTGGCGGTGACCGCCGGGCTGCTGCTGGTGGCTACTGTGATTGAATCCTTTATGATGCTCTCCTGTTGCGAATTCTGCTGCTGTTGTGGCTGCTGGGGCCGCAGCTGTGGCAGTTCCGCCGACGATGACGATGACGACGCATCATTGCCCGCTGACACAGGTACTGCTTGCGAGCTCGTAAACTTAATCCTCTTGGGGCCGTGGCTACTTCCCGAGTCCTCGGATGTGGATGCTCTCTTTCTCTTAGTGGAGCTACTGGAGCCGCTGCTGGCCTCCGTTGCTGGAGTGAGAGCGGGGGTGGGGGCCGCGACTTCAATTCCTTCTTTAACGACGTTATAGCCCTTATCGTCATTGGCGCCGTTGTTATCACTGGCACTGCTGGCACTGCTGGTAGTGGAACTGGCACTTTGGGACCTGTTCCGGTAAAACCTCTTCATGGCAGACGCGGAAATGACCAACATCGACCTGTCGGCGGTTATGACGACTCGAACAGGCTTGATAGGTGCTTCAGAATCGACTGCAGACTTTTGAGGGATGACGGTCGCATTAGGACCGACGGGCGTCTGTGAGGTAGAAGGCGCTGGGAGAATAGCGGGACCCTGGGGGACAATAGCTGTGTGAGAAGCAGCCGGTTGAGTAGCAGCTGGTTGAGTAGGGGGCGCTTGTGAGACAGTAGGCGACCGAGGGTCAGGCGCCTGGAAAACCACAGGCGGCGGGAAAACAGCGGGCGTCTTGCTAACAGCCCTCGACGAAGACGGGCCAGCACGACCGGCGGAGGACGGTTTCGCAACGGCAGGGACCCCTTTCTAGGAGGTTTCCTCGGTGATGCTTGAGGTTGTTGCCGGTGCTGATGCTGGCCCGTCTCCGTTCGTAGTATTCGCGCCGTTGACGCCGTTGCTGGTGGTGGCGGCGCCCTTGGATGAGGAAGGGCGGTTGCTGTTGGCCCCCGGGCCCTTCTTGAGATTGTTATGGGTCCAACCCCGGATGTGAGTCGGTCCATGCCTAGGGGGCGGCTCAACCGGGGTGTAATCCTTGATGGCCTCGCGGTAGTCGAACTGAACGGTTCGTAGCTCCTGGCCGTTGGCGGTGTAGCCGAGACGGTGAGGAGGCGTCGGGGCGGGCTCGAGTTTCCGGTACTTGTTCGATGCGGCAGCAGCCCCGGAGGGAGGAGGTGGTCCAGATGGTGCCGAAGAGCTTCCGGGACGCGAACGCCCTGGCGGTGGGCTACCGGCCGTAGGCATCATCGGTTGACCAGGCATCGGTGCCATCGAATGTGGTTGCGGTGCCGGCTGGAGCATAGGCGGCGCATGACCCGGACCGGGCGCAGGCGAAGGAGAAGCCGCGGGGATATGTACGGGGCCCTGCATCGGACCTGGCGCCGGCGCAAGAGGGATCGGGCCGTTTTGATAGGGTTGAGGCGGCATCGGATAATGATGCATCTGCATCTGAGACGGATGCGGCTCGGCGTGGCCGGGTGGTGGTTGGATGGGCATGCCCTGTGGGTGATGCACAGCCGCTTGCATAGGTACTGGTGACTCTTGCGCCGAGTAACCATTGTGAAAGGGCCTGTTAGGCGCCGGAGGATAGAACGCACCGCTATTCGATACCACCATGCTAGGATGGACTGAAGGCGCGAGAACCGGGCTGACCTGCCCATCAGGACCAGGCGTTCCGTGCATAGGTCGCAAAGCTGGAAGTCCTTTAGACGAAGCCGTGTTGGAGAAGGGCGTTCGGCCAGTGGCAGGACCCTGCATGGAGTAGTCCTGGTATTGTCCAGGATGTGATTCCGGGGGCGGAGGATACGCGGAAGGATTGAGTGCCGTCCTTAGAAAATCATTAGGCCTCGATCCGTCATTAGGGTGAGGCTCTTGATGGGGATAGACCCCGTATCCTTCTGGCCGAGGATATTCTACATGGTGGTAATGTTGAGGAGGCCTTTCGAAATCGCTGTTTCGAGGCACACCGTTGTGCTGTGACTGTGGTGGCAACAACGATGGGTCGATTGGAGTACTTTCCTGATGAGCCTCCGAATACGTGCGCGGCGGTACTGGGCCGGACTGCATGCCTTGGTGGTGGTAAGGTTGCATTAGGTACCGCTGCTCTTGTGACTCCCTCTCAGCGACATCAGCAAGATAGGACAAGCTGGTAGTATCAGCAAAGCCCGTGACTTGCGTCTCCTGAGTAGGGATTTGAGCCGGTGGCTGCTGGGCCGGCGGTTGTGGGGCCGGCACAGGCGTCGAGTTGTCCATAAGTGCATCTCTGATAGCGTCAAATGGCTTGGAAGTTTGAGCCCGGGATGCCGCCGCTGTCCGTTCAGCCTCCTCATCAGCTGCGGCGGCCTGAAGGGCTCCTTGGACGAAGTCGTCAAAGACGGCAGTGTTGACTGGCGAGGGAACGCGAGCGGGAGTAACTGATTGGGAGATCTGAGACTCGATATCTTGGTCGGGATCGATACCCCTCAACTCAAGCTCTTGCCTTCTCTTCTGTTCGCGCTCCTCCTTGGTCGGTGCGATTTCCTTGTCGGAAATGCCTTCCTGTTCGCAAAACTTATGCAGAGCATTCATCAGATCAAACTTTTTTCCTTGAGCATCCAGCCTAGCTGCCTTGATGGTCCTCGAAGCATGAACTTGTTGTCCCTTTGGATCAACCAAGACTACAGGCTTCCAGCCAGAAACATGAGGAATGGGGGGCTCATCAACGTTGGTGGACGACGACAGAGGAATGCCCAGTTTGGGATGGACCCCATACTGTTTGACAATCTCCTCGTCCAATTCGCCCTCAACCTGGGTGGAATCCCAGCCTGACGCGCGGCGGTCGAGATAAAAGTAGTTGGAGTTCGGGGTCATGTAGAATCTGCCACGCTTGGCTTTGGTGGCGCCCTTGACGGGATCGTTGGTTGAGTCGCGGAAGCCGATCTCGTCGTCTTCGAATTCGAAAATGGGCGGCACCATGATACGGTTGTTGTGAAACTCGGCACGCTTGTCTTTACGCTGGATTAGGCGTACCCAGTACTCATCCGGTTCCTCAGCACCCTTGGGAAGAGGGGGATCCAGCAAACTGGTTTGGACCTGTCCGCCCTTGGACGGGGAGAAGGGCACTGGTGATGGAGCTTTTGAGCCGGGCTCCGGTGTGCTCCCCCGAATAGTATCGGTGCCACCGAGAAGGCTGGATGTGTGGGCCTTGATCATCTTGGGGTTGGGTTCGCTCGCCAGCTGGCCATTGGCCTTGCGCTTGGGTGAGAGGTGGGAGTGGATCTGATAAGCTTCGGTCATGAGCTCACTGACCTTCTTGCCGGAGCATGGCAGTTCATTGCCCTCATCGTCGCGCTCGGCAAACCTGCCCTGCTCATCCATTTGCTTTTGTGAGATGTCCTTATAGGTGTAATCCGTGCAAGGAGCAGGGGGCAGCTGTGTAACACAGTCAGTATGTAAATACGAGGACAAAGGGGCAGCAGAAAATCTTACATCCAAGGGAAGTTTGTTCTGGTGAAGAAATTCCAATCTCTCGACCTCTGCCAGCATTGAGGTGTACCATTCCTCACATAGTTCGGCCGTGAGTTGCTAAGAGGTAGGTTAGTGTCTTGCACTTTGAGGGACGATTGCAAAGTGAAATCTGTGCTTACCTTTGTTGACCTTTCAATAGCCTCACGTTGCCCTTCCAAGACGTTTAGGGCCATGGCTTTCTCAAACTCTAGACGACGAGCGCTGGCGGCGATGGTGTCATCACGGCGCTGGTCGAGGAAGCCCATGACTTCCTGGTACTCGGGAGCTTCGTCGACCATCTTGGGGTTCTCCATGAGAGCCTTTTTCTCACGGGCACCAATTTCGTCAAGAACGGGCTTGGCCAAGCGGGCGAGTTGGTTGTAGGCTGAACGAAGCTCCATGTTGCGCTCATAGGCGGCCTGGGCTCTGGTATATTGATACGCCCGTTGACGGCGGCCACGACCAGTGCCTGGTTTGCTGATGGTGGTAGAAGCTTTTGCTGCTGTTATCTTGGGGCCAGCCTTTGCAACTCTGCCCTTGCCTCTGGCACGGCCACCTCGGCCCCTCCCGCGAGTGCCGCCTCTTGCCTTTGGGACGGGGGCTGATGGGGCGGCAATATCGGCAGCGGCCTGCTGGACATTGTTGGAGGGGGTATCATTGGAGAAAAAGGAAGAAGGGGTCATGGTGCTTGTGACGGGTTCATTCTGTGAATTGGGGGTAGATTGACTGGTATCTACCAGCTGCTGGGAGCTGCTGGCGTCGTCCATGGTTCCATGGACTGGTGAGGCGGGCCAAGGTAAGTAGAAAGTGAGATGGTTAGTGGTGTTGATGCTGCTGATTGTGTGTTGAAAAGCGCGGCAACAAATAATCCAGATGATGGATGGCGACTATACGAGGGAAGAGAAGACACCGACGTATGGTATCTGTGATTGCTGGTTTGTTTGGCGTGGGTATAAGAGGTTGTGGTGTTGTGCCAAGTTCCGGATGCCGGCCTCACTTTTTTGTAAGTTCAGATCCTTTCTCCTTATACGCCCCGCGGGTATGTTGCTAAGGGTGCGAGCAGTGCTTCTAAGAAGACTGGGAGGTCGAAATAGACGCCCAGAATGCAGAGAAGGAATGCCAAAAGGTAAATTGCTGATGTCGTAAAAAAAGAAGGCTGTCCAAGAGGAAGCAAAAGGTGCAGGGTGGGGGAAAAGTAGAAGTTGAGAAGTATGTGGTCTGCGGTGGTGGTGCCTCTTGGTGGAAAGGGTGAATAATGTTCATGTACCCTGGACCGTGGTCTGCCCAATTTTCGGGTCTGCAGGTTCGCAAGACAGCGGCAGTGAATAAGATGTCGACCACGTCCTATTGTGCCAGACCTTGACAATAGAAAAGCTGTTGGTCACCAAGACAGTCCGTCGTCAACCTGAGGATGGGATGAGATGGAAGGACTCCTACACCTTCTATGCTGGATGCTGGATATGGATCCGTGCCTCACAGACCACTCACTGCTCGCTGCACACACACACAACACAACGAGGCCCGGGCAATACCTAATCGTCTCCCATAGGTGTTTTTAGCCATTCAGCAGAGGGCAAATGGACCACTGGCGCTGCAGACCTTCACTTGCAGGGCTGGCCGGTGCACTAACGAACCTGGACGCCCTGAGCACAGACCGGCTGCTGTTGTCTTCCTTGGCCAACGAGAGGTCCACGGACCTGGACGGTCTGGGACCCACCAAGGCCTACCCGGCGTGTTGGCCAATCACAGCCTTCCGTCTCCTGCCCAAAATGGAACTGGTCCCAGCAGCGGGTCCAAACTCAAAGTCTCCAAACTGCAAGGTGAAGGCTTTTTCAGACGACACCGATGTCAATAGAGGTTTGGCATAGCACAATAGCAGTGACTGGGCATATGGTCAATAAGAACCTTGGTAGTTGAATAGACTCATGATCCCCCCTTCATTCTTGTATTGGCCAATGCACTTTGAGCGCAATAATCATGACCGCCTCATGGTTTCAAATTTTTGCAAGTGAGTGACCCTGACGAGGAGGACCCACATCTTGAATTTAACGTTGCCAAGACTCCTCACACGCCTGGTCCTCGTGCATTTCGGAACCAGCACTTGCGGACCACACACTTTGCCAGGTGTCCCGTCTTCTCGAGCTAAACAATTGCAAATAAAAAGCAGTCGACTAGGAGGCCAGCTCGGTAGATGATGCTATTTCCAGCCTTCCGTGCTATCCTGTCCCTGCCTGGTGCTGCTCAGGGGGAGACCGGGGGATGTTAATCAAGATCTGATCTAATGTGGCGTTGACTATAAACGCGCTTTCAGGATCCAGAGCGTGGCGGATGTTCAATGACAAGTAGCCCAAAAGTGAATCGAGAGTGAAAATAGAGGTAGATAGTGTCAGCTTGCCTGGTTTCTTTGAAGACGATTCAAGCCGACTAGACTCCAATCTTATGAGACGGTTGGGACATTGTTGATATCTTGTTCCCCCCTTTGAGAATTATAGTCGATGGTTGACGGTTGGCTCACCGTGATTTTCTCCCCTATTCAACCTCCATGCACGATTGCCATCATACCATTTGGACCTGCAGTAGGCACCATGCATACCGTACCTAGCGCACCGTTGGAACTGGAGCACCTCTGCTCATTGTCTGTTGCTTTACTTCCGCCGCGGTAAATGCTGATTTTTTATATAACGACGTCAGTGGAAGCATCGAGGCTGCATTGAAGCTATGCGCCAACATACTTAAGCCGATAGTGTCAAGCTCATAGCTTCCCGCACCCAGAGGCAAAGGTGAGGACCAGCTGACAGGGAGCCTCATATCATGCGAAACAACCTCTCAAGGAGAAAGCCAAGTAGTACCCAGACTAAAAGGAGCAACACACAAAAATGAAGGAATTCGAATGGCTGGTCAACTACGTTAGAGGTAGGAAGATCCGATCCTGTCATATGGTCATCGCGTGCCGTACATATGTTTGGGTGTCTCGACTTTTCTTCCACTCGGTGCTCGTCCCAATCCTCTCGTTCTAACGGAATATGCAATTTCTCCCAGCTTGTCACCTCTTGAATATTTCGGAAAGCAGAAACTTTTCCAACTGTTGCACCATAATGTTAGGGCGGCGACGGGATACCGCATTTTCTCACTCATAACGGAGATGCTCTGTGGATAATGCAAGGTTTATGAGCCAATCCAGTTGGCAAGATGCTGCATATGCAGCTAAGAGCAAGCTCAAAACGCCCGCATAAGGTGTGGCCTTCCCCGAAAGAGCATCTCCGTTATGAGCGAGAAAATGCGGTATAAGGTCCATCACCACGGCGAGGTAACGGTGCTGTCGTGGTGGTGTTACAGTCCAATACTGGTTTGTTTGTTAGCTTGCTACTCCTGGTATAGGTACTGGACGAGATCTATCCCGAATTGTCCCAAACCTCACAAGGACAAATTGAATAGCTGAGTACGGATTACAAAGGCATTGACAGGATTCAATATGAGATATTGAATATCAGAATTATCATATTCAAGGTAAGATCACGCTTTGATCATGGAACGAAACGAATTAATTAGATATAAAAACGCCTAGGGAAGTTGACCCGAGGTCTTGAGCTAACAAACAAACCAGTATTGGACTGTACCTCTCACGTGGGGCCAAGGGCAGCCCGCCAGGTCCCGTCCCGGAGCCGCCTGCTAGGGTTTACCTGTGGGCTTTCCCTCGGTGGATGAATTGCCCCTGGTGGGGCACACACAGCGGGACCCATGCACTCCATGATCTGTTCCTGCCGGATGGAACCGACGGGAACAGCGCCAGACAAAAGCGGGAACTAAATTTTCAGCACTCACAGAGTCACAGCGCGCTCAGTCTTCAGTGGCACTCCCCGTCCAGCCAATCTCGCCCATGCCAATCTCCGTCCATCCGGACCCTGGATTTTTTTCCCTTCCTTGACATCGCGACTGCCCCCCAGCTGGGGTTGCTCCAGGGACCAGAGACCGGTCACCGCATCCACGCACTTGGCGTAACGTAGAAGGTACTGTATAGAACAAGGCTGCTGTGCCGTGTTTCAACGACAACAGGACAACATGGGAAAGAAGGGCGGCGGTCGTCTTCTTCAGGCCGCAAAGGCTGCGAAACAAGGTGGTGGTGGTCCACCGGCAAAGAAGCAAAAAAAGAGCCACGGCTCCGGCCCCGCGCAACATCAAAAACAAAAGCAACAATCCACAAAGCCCTCCGCTTCCTCCGCTGCCTCCGCAGCCCCGCCCCCGCTCTCTTCTTCCTCGACGTCCGGCTCCAAGAAGCAACACAAGCAAAAGCAGCATTCCGATCCAACAATACCCTTCAGCCCCGACGAAAACATCCTCCTCGTCGGCGATGGCGACCTCAGCTTCGCCGCCTCCCTGGTCGAGCACCACCACTGCACCAACCTGACCGCCACCGTCTACGAAAAGGACCTCGACGAGCTCTCCACGAAATATCCCCACGTGCGCGCCAACGTCGACAAGATCTCTGCCGTGCCCGGCTGCAAGGTTCTCTACAACGTCGACGCGCGGCGCATGGCGCCCTTTGCCCACAAAACCAAAGACAAGCAGACGGGCCGGGTCGAGCAGACCGGCACAATGGACCGCATCATCTTCAACTTCCCGCACGTCGGCGGCAAGTCGACCGACGTCAACCGCCAGGTGCGCTACAACCAGGAGCTGCTGGTCAACTTCTTCAAGCGCTCCTTCCTCTCGCTGGCCCCCGGCGGTTCGGTGATTGTCACCCTGTTCGAGGGCGAGCCCTACACGCTGTGGAACATCAGGGATCTGGCAAGGCATTCGGACCTGGCCGTCGAGAAGAGCTTCAAGTTCCAGGCCAGGGTGTATCCGGGCTATCACCATGCTAGGACGCTCGGGGTCGTCAAGAACAAGAAGGGAGAGGCGGCGGAGGGCGCCTGGAAGGGTGAGGAGAGGCCGGCCAGGAGTTATGTCTTTGTTAGGAAGGATGATGTGCCGAAGCCGCCGGCGCCGGGGATGGGGAAGAAGAGGAAGGTGGAGGAGTCGGATGATGAGGATGAAGAGGAGGATGATGATTGGGGGAGTGGAGAGGATGACTTGGAGGAGGAGTTGGGTGATGACGCTGAGGGCGATGTGGACGATGCTGAAGATGCGGCGGACGATAACTGAGTGACCGGATCACCAGTTCACTCGTCGAGTGAGGCGCGCACACCGTATACAGCCCTGGAGTTTATGACGCAATCGATGTGGTCGGGGCCCATACGATGTATTCTCCTGGATGCCGATCTCTTGACCGGAAACGGGTTGCGTTCAAGCTCAGACACCATCGAGATAGTCGCTCTATGGCGTTGCTCGGGACTACCGTCATTCTAAGGATAGGATATGGTTTACGAGCTCTCTGGTTCAGGGAGCGATTGGGCAGGGCCTTTCAGACGCTTATGAGGAACCGTCCTCCTGCCAGTCCGCGAGATACACCAAATGAGCCAGATCCTCCGCCTGCTCGATCTAGACTGGCAATTATCGAATGATACGCGGAGAGTATAACGGTGGGTGAAGCATGGTTCAGATCAACCTTCTCAGGCAAGTTCTCCTGAATACCAACTTGTCAACAGTCTTATGTGAGACGGGACAACAGCTTTGTACCCAACGATCACTCCTGGTGGGACTCCGTTATACACGCGGGCCTATATCATCCTTGGAAGGAATCAGGATCGTGCTGCTTAACATACGTAGATATCAACGGTTGTTTCTGGTGGCAGTGAGATGCCCCGACTGTTTACCTACCGGTCCCGTCATCTGTATTGTTGTCGATTATAAGCCATGTGGGTCACCCTGAGATTGCTTCGTTGTTGCCATCCCTTGGGGTTAGTAAAAGGAGGTTGTTCACAATGAGACCTGGTTGCTTCGTTCCAGACTCCGTCATGAGTTCAAGTTTCGTTATCGATGTTGAGCAGCGATAGTGACGTGAGTCTTTCAATGAAAAGATGGTGTGGCATGTAATTGAAGAGCTTCGTACTTCTCGTCAAGTCACATTTTCATCCATACGGTGGACATCGTGGGCATCGGCTGAGCTACTCTAGGATTAGCTTGATGCTGAGAGATGGCATTGGTGTTTCCAGGACCAGCATCACCGACGGAGCGGCATCAGTTCACTCTTCAACCCTCATATGGACCACGAGCAGCCCCTTTGAGAGGTATATTCATCCTGACGATCCTCAAATCTACTAGCATCTCCCTCTAAGAGCCTTCGTATAGTCCACAGTCGAACGTCAGGAGTGTCCTCATCGCCCAAAGCAATTGTCACCATGTCATATGGCCAGAGCTGGCTGGCTATCTACTCGCTGGTACTGGCTCATTCCGAAGAACATCAAGATATAGCCACCGCCTTCACAACCATCGTCAGGAACAAGCTGCTGGTGTGTAAGTGCTTTATTACCCATTCCTGTTCAGAAGTTTTTCACACTCGGCGACTGACGTGGGAGTCATCACAGCTGAGTGACAGTGTTAACTTACCGCTCATTAGAAGGCACAGGATGCTTCCATTCCCCGACTCTACTGAAACGTCACCTAGAAAGAGATATATCTCTCCTACTATTCGTGAACGATCTTGAGCTGAGAACGAGGTTTACGACAAGTAGAACAGAAACCACCAACGACAGTAGGCCAAAAAAAATTGTTGATCTTGCTCGATCTCACCTAGATAAACCAGAGCGTCACCAGTCACCACATAGGCTCGCGGTCGGATTGAAACGGCTATTGACGATCACACCTGGTGTTGTATGTTTTACTTTCTCTGTTTTTTCTTCTTCTCTTTTGAGTGCGTCCGCTCTTTGACTCATCTCTTCCTTTGTCAAGTTGCAAAGCAGGTAGATGATATAGCCGTACCGTAGAATTTGCCGTGATGAACGTCTTGATCCTCGCCCTTGTGCATTAACGCTTGATCGGGATCCCAGTCTGAGGGCTCCAGATGAGCTAGTGGCCCGTCAGAAAAAGAGTGGGAGCACTGATACTGGGATAATGACATTCTGTTATGTACGTTTCTCTTTTCTCTATTCCCATTTGTTTTCTCTACATCTTTATCGTCGTTATCCGATTGGAAGTAGATCTTACCGGGTGACAAACGAATTAATGATAGTGTACAAAAAGCTGGACATCTGTTGTTTGAAGAAGTACGGAATTTCTTTCAACTGCAGGGAGAAATTTGAGACAGGACGCCCAATACCCATAAAGTACCTATTTGAACAGAGGAACTGGAGCGGATAAACATCCAATCAAATCATCCCAATACGGTCCGCTGGCTCAATGGCAGAGCGTCTGACTACGAATCAGGAGGTTCCAGGTTCGACCCCTGGGTGGATCGAGGATTATCGGATGCGTCTGATCTTTTTTGCATTTTGTTTTTTTTTTGTAGAGAAACATCAAGACCGCTGGAGTAAATGACCTAGATCTGGGCTATATGCCCCTTGAACAATTACTACCTGGGGGCACATTATAGGTTAATTTAACGAACAAGACTTCAGACAGGTACAGCATTGTTGTAGTAGCATGTTTTACCTCTCAACACGGTAGGCTATTATACTCTGGTTTGGTTTCTATTGGGTGATGGAACTTCCAGTTTCACAAAACAAAAAACTTGACTGAAGAACATGAAATTTTTGATCAAGAATATTCCGTTAGAAAGAAGACGTTCTGAATATTGTCCAATCACATTGGCATTTACATTTAATTGAGAACCTCAGCCCAGCATTACGCAGATACATTAGCAAAATGAACTCCTGTGCAGAGCGCACGTCTGAAAGCTTCAAGGTAATGCTCGAATTCAAAGCTGTTCCATATTTCGTCACCACTTTTCATCAGCATCGCGCCTGCCCGTCATGCTGTCCGCCATTGCTTCCCAAAAACCTTCCTATCATCTCAGACCACCACCATCATCACCGCCTATCAACCTCGCCATCAACCTCCGTTCGCATAGCGGGCCGGAGCGGCCTGCATCCCGTTGCCAAATGACCACTTCTACCACCCTGACGAAAGATGTCCCACGAAAGAAGCAAAGAAGAAAAATACCACACAGTCCCTTCCACTTCTTTCCAAAAGCCAGAGCCACTGGCAGGAGACTTTTTAATAGCCAGCACGCCCCCCCCATACCCACGACCACACCCTCGCCCCACGGAGCATTTTGACAGCCAAGCCACCAAAAGACCTGTCACCGACGGTTCCGGATCAGATCACGATTGATTCTTTTTTAGCTTGCCCGTCAGGCAGTGCCCGTTTATCAGTGGCATCGATTGAAAAGAAGAAAAAAAAGGTGGTCCGCAAGAGCTGGGAGCGGGCGGGCGGCGGGCAAGCGAACCGAGAAAAAGAAAGAAAGAAAGAAAGAAAGAAAGAAAGAAAGAAAGAAAGAAAGAAAGAAAGAAAGAAAGAAAGAAAGAAAGAAAGAAAGAAAGAAAGAAAGAAAGAAAGAAAGAAAGAAAGAAAGAAAGAAAGAAAGAAAGAAAGAAAGAAATAACAGAGAGCAGAAGAAAAACCGTGCGTCGGTGTCATGGACATAAAGATAAAAATGCCCCTGTTCATTGCTTCATGCGCGCTGCATAAAGCAATCTGCCTTAGTTTCCTGACTATTCTGGTTAGTAAGGGTGTAATGTTTGACACCACCACCGCCACCACCACCACTCAAGACCACTCCGGCCCCCTTGCTCGGGCACGCTGGGGGGAAGCAAACAATGTCGAATTTTGACGCCATGGAACCTAACGTTTGGGATTGACGATGAGGGAAGGAGCTGGGCAGACTGGCGGACAGACCGGAAGGATACTACTACCAAACCCACCTCACCCATGAATGATTCTTTTCCTTCGCTCCTTCCTTCCTCATCATCAATTTCTTCACGAGCGCTTCAAAACGCTGCTACAATTGTTCCCTCTCCTGTATCTGTGGGGGGTCGCTCGCCCCCCATTCGATGATGTCCAAATCCCACTAGTAGGTCTACCTACTGTGTGTGTCCTTTCTGCCTTCTCGGAGAGACTACCCATTCTATCCGAAGCATTCCGCTTCCCCGGCCGGCCGACTGACCGACCGATCGGCCCCCCGAGACGACATCACGACTGACACCGTGACACCAAAGAACCCTCGTAGGTAACGTAACTTCCATTCCAGACAGACAGACTGTGTCGTGCTCCCAAGCACACAAGCACAAGCTAGGTTCTAGTTAAACCGGCGTCAAAGCCGCCGCGGTGTGTACCACCACTGTTGGGCTCTCGTGTAGCTGCTAGACTTGATTCGTTGCCTTTTCATGAACCTCGGTCTACTTGCCCTCTTTCTCCGCGGCACCTTCATCCGTCTTGATCTCATTCTGGTCTACCGGTTCATGTTGGCTTCAATCACGAAGGTAACCTGATGTCTTCTTTGTCTAACCACCACTTGTCTATAAGTTACCACCCATCTCAACTACTGCTTGTATGTATACATACCCCCACTGCACCACCCATTCATCCATCTCGTGTACAAACACTCACACACACTCGCACACACAGTACGATGTTGCACCACAAACCACCACAGTCCATAGTCCACAGTCCACAGTACTAGAAGGGGAGAAAGCAGAAAAAAAGTGACAGATACCCTGCATATACACATCGAGCCCTAGTCAAGATCTGCAAGTAGCCGTTTGCTTCCCTTTTCAACATGCCGTGTCGTGTGGCGGTGGTTGTTGCTGCTGTGTTGTGGATGGACTGTGGTGGTCTTCTTTTACTGTTCTGTGCTGGCACTCACTCCGAGCTCACTCACTCCAAGCTCCGAGCTCAGCCGCCAGATGCGACCCTCAAATCCGAACCGGAGACCATGCCGTATGTACATCATAATTGTAACCGTGATGTTTTGAAGTTACAACGAAGTAGGTAGTGTAGCTTGCGTAGAGAGGCATCTGTTTGTGCTTCCACCGGAGTAACCAGATCAAGGAAGGAACTAACTACCCTTTATACCTCTCTCACTTGCCTTGTCGTTGACCCCCACACCGTGACCCTCTTCGAAAAATATCGTGATCCCATTCTTGTATTGCTTGGATTGGTACTGTGAAAGCCGTAGATGAACGCTGGCTGTTGTTTGGAATACGAAGGAGTGATGACATAGCAGCTGCAAAATCTGGTAGAGACATGAATCAGTATGGAGGCTCATATGAGGCAGCTAAGAGTTCCATATGATCAAAAACGTAAGTAGACCCAACTTCAAAGAGAAAGACTGCTTTAAATCACCCGGCAGACAGTTCCTCTCTTGTCTAGTGTCCAGCTGTTCCTCTTGGTACTTACCTTTAGGTATTCACCCCACGCCCACATCGAGACATCCAGTTCCCTCCCAGCCCATCCCCCATCCACCTCCAGCAAACACTGTAGAACACAGCACAACACAGCAGACAGTCCTGTCTTGTTCTGTCCTGTGCTACTTGCGTACAACACGCACAGTTCGTCCAACACAGTCCCTGAATTGCACCTTCCAAGTAAATTGCTTTGTAGTCAAGGAAAGACAGTACTTCTATGTACCCATACTTGCCCTTCTCATCTCTCGATACCAATCGTATACCCACAATAACATCTTTGCCCCTCCCTCCCTTCCACCCCTTCCACCCCTTTGGCCCCTCGGAGAGATGAGCCCCCAGTCCCCCTTGAGGCCCTTGACGCCCAACCCACCTCTTCACCAACAACTGTATGTACACACCGTGGTCATGACCTGCCACGGACCACCACGGGACTCTCTGCCCGCCCTTCCAGAAGCAGATATACGTACATAGCGGTCCTTGGTCCTTGTATCAAGTAGATGTCTTGATGGCTCAGCAGACCTCGGTTCTTATGCAGCGACCCGATACTGCTATACGACGTGGAAGACCGGTGACGACGGGCGGGTTTGGTCGGTTAGTTTGGGCCTAGGGCAAAGGTGATGACTTGGAGGAGAGTATGGGTAAGAAGACGAAAAATCATTGATGTTCCACATGCAACCTTTCGGGCCGAGTTGGGAAACTTTCGCCTGTCTGGCCGAAGGCTGAAGCATGGGAATGGGTAGGTGAGTTGAGTTGGGAACGAAGAGGGGGGGATCATTGAGCTAAGCTCTGATTTCGTGATTACGCTTGGGTGGGAGATACTCGCCTGACGAGTAGGTATTGAAAATGGTAACAAAACGATACAAGAGTATTGGCAAGACCCGCAAAAGCCATACAGTGTGCAAAGCGTTCAAGGTAAAGAGCAGAAACATGTGAGCACTTGGACAGTAGCAGCAGCAGACAAGACGACAACAAGGCATTGAAAACAACAAGCGATCAAATAAGTGATATACTAGCTATGCAAGAACTAACAAACGAATTCGACAAAAAGGCCACCCACCTAACCAGTCCAGAGCCCCGTTTCAAACAACCTTGTGGGGGTAAATCAACTAGTAAACTCACATGCGCCATTGTGTAAACTGAAAGACAGGTCGGCCACCCACGCAACGATGTTGTACTTGGAAAAGAGCAAACTTTGTTTGGCGCCCGAAAAAAGCAAAGAGTCAGAGACGCGATAAAAAGGAAGGGCACCGCACAAATTGAGGAAAGAACGATGAGTAAACACACAATCAGCCGCCGAGCCCTAAACTCGCAGACAAAAACGCACAACCTCCCGCTTTTTGAACGCTAGAATTGCAAACGAATAAGAAAACAGGGAAAATGATAATGCCAAACCGGATGAAGAGAGATCCCACCGGGAGGAACGGGCCCCTTGTTCCGTTCCATATCGACGACCGCAAAAGGTCTCCGGTAAGATGGTACCATGTCTTCCTTAGATGATCTCTCCTCATTGCTCTGACCACCTCCGTGTACCCTTTTCCACTCCCTTATTCCATCAGCCCATATTATTACCAATTGCTTGGCGATCTCAATGTATCGTATCGTGTGCGTGTGTGTATTGGTGCCATGTCATGAAAGGTGTACCGAATATTAGGACAGATGTATGCATGAGGCGGAAACTGAATGCGCCGGCATCAGGATAGGCGCTGTCCTGTTGAGCAGCGTAACATTGCAAATATATGCCCCATCCGCCATCTAGGATGCGTAGGAAAATAGGAAACTGTGATGTTGACGGGAATTCGTCGACTCATGAAACCAACAATGACAGAAGGGAACCAATGTTGCGCTGGTAAGTTCCGTCTCAGTGCGGCGGTAACCCGCGATTAGAAGGATCCATCTTCATGTCACCCGGTAGGCCTCTGGAATCATGCTGCATGTAGCTCGGATAACTTTGCCCATGAGACACAGAGCCTTGACTAACGTTGGGGCCACGGAAAAGACCGTTACTTGTATGAGGGAGCGTGTCGAACGAGGAACCCATGTACGGTGGCTGATTTTGACCTATTTGTACCCCCTGATGCGAAACAAAGGTTCCTTGAGGGTGAGGGAGTGGCGGATGTGGCGGCTGTTGGGGCTGTTGACCCGGAGTACCAAAGGAGTACATGGTCGCGCTACCTGGAGCTGTTGTAGTCTGCTGCCAAGCACCGGGATACAGCCCGGAGGCAGTAGTGCTTGCGTAGTCGGACGGCGAACTGAACAAGGACGGCCGACGGCTTGTTTCGTGAGGACTCGGTATCATTTCCTGCATCTGAACGGGCGCTCCGTGCTGCTGCAGAGATGCTTGACCTCCCACCGAAATTCCCCCATTCTCCACATAGTGCTGGTCAGGTGTGAGATCTGGCGGCATCAGAGTAGTTGGATACGGATTTCTAATCGGCATCTCGCTAACGAAGCCTGGTTGAATGTTGGCGGTTGGGCTGTGGTCAGTTGTCGGAATAGGCATGAGAGCGTGAGGCATAGTTGTCTTGGGAGGCGAGAGTCGGGATGGTATTACCGAAAGATGGTGCTCGTCATCCTCCTCTCTACACGCATCGTCTTCATCGTCGGATGGGAAGTCTGATTGGTTGTTGTCGGCCATGACGTATACGACCGTATCGCCATCTGGTCAGGTTAGCAAATACTCCCCCAGCTTTGGCACGCCATGGACGTTGTAGCTAACCTATTTCACCCCTCTTGTATTGTTCTTCGACCTTAGCAACCTTGAAGATCTCCTTTAGGAAGGGTTTCTTTTTCGCTTGATTGGGATTGGCCCTGTCATTGAAGAAGCCTCCCATTGCCTCCATTGTCAGCTCCTCCAACTTAGCCACAGTAAGTTCTTGGGCCCGGATGCTCGGATGCTGCTGAGAGTTTGGCTCGACGATGAGTCTCAACAGGTGGCATAACAAACGGAGGCGCTCTGTGATCGTGTTAGGTAGGGGTCTTCAACCAGTCGTACTTCTTGAAATCGCATGAGACAATTGTCTTACCTGGCTTGAACAGGTGGTCCGGCTCCTTGTGCCTCATGCCCTCATCCTTGCTCGGGCCCAGAGGCTTTGGCCACCAGTCGGGAATTTTGGTTCCTGTGTAGGGATGTGTAGACTGCTTCTTGGGTGCAATCGCCTTGATCCACGCTTTGGCAATCAGTTTGCATGTGTTTTGCTGTATCTTCTTGAAGCGCTGGTCATAGAAATCCCACACTTCCTGCGCGTTATTGATTCGTATGCCTTTCTTCGCGGATACGGTCACTGCCGGCTCGTCATCATCGCGAACACGTCTGGGAACGTTAGCCCTTTGGCGCTTTCGGGTCCGATATGTCGGTGGCGCATGATCGTAGAACTCTTCGGCTGTCTCCATACGGCGGTCACTTCCGCGACGGCCATGATACTCTGGTCCGAACGACATCTCATCATAGGCCCCAGCGAGACCATCTGTAAGTCCTGTTAGTGTTGGTCTAGACCGACCATATTAAGAGATGGCCACTCACTCTGAGCAGCCCGTTTTTGATAGCGGATAAATCGATCCATGTCGAAGTATCTTTGGATTTCACCCTCTGGCAGCTTATTCGGTCCTGTGAAGTAGACGGTATGGCCATCTTCGGTGAGAACAGCAAGGAAGAAGCTCTGATGGTTTATCTTGCACTGCTCACGCAAGACTTCGCTAATTGTCTGTATCAATGTCAGTATCGGGTAAGAAAATGAACAGGAGACAAGACCTACAGGTGGTGGGGTTCTGATTCCTGTATCGTAGTAACGACCATTGTCTGGCATGTGTTCCCCGGTGGGCCTCTCCGTCATCCATTGTGGCCGAGTGTAATGGCCATGCCCGTATGTTTGAACCATGGCTGGCACCTCCGTTCGTGAGTTCCGACAAGTGATTGTGTTTCGAAAAGAGTCGACGTGATCAAGAAAGAGCGACGGCCAAAGTGAAGTTGATGAACACCAAATCGTCAACAGGACAAGATGCAATGGCCGGGATGGTTGCTGATTTATTCTTCGATGAGCCTACCAGGCTGGTTGACTGTACAATGAAAACAACAGTTGTCTTACAGCAACAAAATGGCTGAGACGGAGAATGATCCTTTGAACCAAAACAAAGCTGGCAAGTGTCTCTGGGTGTCGGTGGGATAGATTGTTGATGTTCGGTCGAACCAGTTCTTCCTCGACGCGCAGCTGTGGACCACAGAGTGAGCCAAAGGCTAGAGAACTTGTTTCAAGAGTAGTGACCAGGCAAGACAGATTCTTCTCCAATCGTGCAAAGGGACCGGGAACGTGCTGGGAGCGGAGACGAGCTGGAACCACTACCAAACAGAAAGATTGGCGGGATCAGGGTAAGATTAGGTGGATCTATCCACGCAGAGAGAGACAAAGAATGGCGTCCCTAATGTTAGAGATTGAGCCAGAGGTGTTTGGTAGACTATGCGCAGGTGGAGACAGTCGGATCGTGGCTTCAAACAGAAAGTCAGCTGAGGGCAATCAAAGTGATGAAGTTGATCTTACCGAAGTCTTTGTTTATTGAATAAGACTGAGACAGGCCAGAATGAAGAGCGCGAAACTATCGGTCCAATGTTGCTCAATATTCTCCTTCTGAGGTTGTTGGGTCAAAGGATTCAGCGTTGCAAAGCGCGCCCCCTACGTCGAAAAGTGAAGCGGTGCGGGAGCTTGACTGGATACCGAAGGTGGCTGCCGGTATGAATGGTGATAGCACGAATGCTTTGGCACGCACAACCCTACGGGACAAATGGCTGGCCTGGCAATGGGGTAAAGAGGAGAGCAAGATGGGAGCAGGACTGCCTCAGTGGATCCTTGCAAGGAGGAAGAAAGCGTGGACTCGCGCAGCCGTTTGACAACTTCTCCTCGGTCCCACCAGTGGTTGGTTGAGGTTGGTAGAGGCGGGTGCTTGCAACCTTCCGATGGCAACGGCAAGACACAGACAGTGTGGGGATGGCGGGCACCCGGAAGACTCGCCGGCTATGTTGTTCGAAGACCAGTATGATTATCAGGTTGGTTGGCCTTTAGCTTTCGCACCCTGTTGTCGTGTGGGAATCAGTGCCGTGGATGTCTTGTGTTGTTCTGGGGTAGAGGCTCGGCAGGACGGAGGATGAGACTTGTCGGTTCGGTCAGAGATGTGAAGGCGTAGCCCCGGTGATATTGACGACGAGAACGATCGGAAGGTCAAGATGATGACAGCCTGTCTGAGCCACTACCAAGTCTAGACAAAGATGGACAGGTCGATGCTAGCCAAGCGAGGGAAACTGGTTCAACGGCCCGCGTTGTTAGATCAGGTGTTCCTAGTTCAGGATACAAACATGGGAGCTGATGTTTAGGATGGACGGAGATGGGAAACGGGTGATGTTGAAGAAAAAGAAAGAGACGATGAAGGGCCTTGAAGTTGTGCTAAGCGTCCCAAAGAAGCCACCGAGTAAGAGAAGATGCCCACGTAGGAAGAATGAGAACGAGGATGGTCAAGAGAGGGCCTAGGTAACATCTAGATTATCTTGTCCACTCACGCAGTTGAGTCGAAGATGTTCCACCAGAATCAAAGTCCACACACACGCACCGAGAACACTCAGCACTAGCTGCAGGAAGATAGTTTTGAGACGAGGAATACCGAGGGTAAATAACGCACAAGATGATGGTAGACGGACTTTTTTCCTCGTAAAGCCTCGATATTGACCAAGGGTGACGAAAAGACTGAGTGACTGGACTTGGGACACTTTACGAAGGTTGTGTAGTGTCGAGAGTTTCCAAAGAGTCTCCTGTGAGCGGAAGAGCCGGGCAACGACAATCAGACGAACGAGCAGGAAATAGTCCCACGAGGAGAACAAGCTGCATGCCTCCCGGGTCCCCAGTCGCGGTAGAGAAGCAGAAGCCACGCACTGTGGTCAAGATAAGTACCTGGGGTTCATAAAAGATGTTGTTCTACCTGATGGCTGCGTCAGTACAAGAGCATGGGGAGAGGAGGGTGATTCAACTTGCTCCGAAGGCACTATATGCAGTACATCGTCCGTACTCGGTACTGGGTGCATGCACATCCAGAATAATCCCAGACCAGCAGCTAGCATTGGGCATGGTGTTTTCCAGTCTCGCCAGTGTCTATTTGGCGCGCAGTATGGAAGCGTGCCCCAAAAAGCCAACACCACCACGGCACCCCTACTTCCCCTCCCCTTGTCCCACCGCGCCTGTGGCTCGCGTTTGGATAGGCTCATGGGCTGGCTGGTAGGACCGTAGTGATGTACGTGTGGTGTACGTGTGGTGTACGTGTGGTGTACGTGTAGTGTAGCAAGGCCAAGGGTGTGTGAGATGGGAGGGTTGTATTGATACGGGACCGTGGCAGCAAGCATCAGCACCACTGCACATTGCACAAGACTTTCATGGATCTTGTACCCAACCAGGCTCTTCGTTTTCCAGACACTGTAGTCGACGCAGGAGGCAGGCGTCCAAGGTCCAATAGTGGCTGGGCATGTCCAGAGCCTGTCCGTCGACCATCTCGCCTGTTGCAGTGTCCTCTTTTCGGGAATCTCTGTTGCGACAGGGTTGACTACCGGGCGCCCGCCGATTCGGTTGACTTGTCCAGGGTAGGTAGGTACTGCGGGGCTGCTTGTGGATGATGTACCTATTGGCTCTGGTCACGGCGTCATGGTACCAGAGCTGTTATGACCGTGTACACTAGGTATGGTATTAGTGAGGCCCAGA